CGATTAAATATGGTTGCTGATATGTTGACTAAAAGTTTAGCCAAGATTAAATTCAATAAGTTTGTTGGTCTAGCTGGAATGTCGAACATATCTACAAGTGTTTAGATTATGGTGGGGTGTTGAGATAAGATGCCAAAGCCAATCATGATCGAGGGATAAGAGATAAGAATCTTATCATGATAAGGTATCTTAGGGTTGAGATAAGATGCCGAGGCCAATAAGGATTGAGTGATAAGAGATAAGAGTCTTATCATGATAAGGCATCTTAAGTAATCTAAAACTGGAAAGTTAGCCGCCATGATAAATGAATAATGGCAAGTTTAACCGAAGGTGTAAGTGTATAAATACAAGAGGTTTGTCCCTTGTATTTATGTTTGAGAATATTAGTTTGTAGGCTAGTTATATTAGTTAAATATAAATAAGCAACAAACATAAGAAAAAGTGAACATATACAATGGATATTCATAATAGAATAGCTAGATTACAACAACAAAAAATGTGTGAACTACAGTAATTTTTCAAGAATTTTTGCGGTAAATGGAAATCAAACTTTTTAGCCAACAAAATTTTATACACTTAACACAAACAGTAGTATTAAACTTATTAGCTATCCGCCGGGGAATTCTGATTACCTAATCGAAAAATTGAATACAAGACGTGTTCACATATTCATTCAACGGTTTTATTACCAGTAGTGATTGTATATTCTACACAGCTGGTAAAACTCACTCTGATGGATTTTACAAATTGGTTGCAAAATGTTATGTTGCCAATGTAATACTCTTGACTAAAATATGTATATTGCTGATAACGTAAATGCCTAACTGCTATAGAAAAATCATATTGAAAGACATGGAGCAGTCGAAACAAACAGTAGTGTTAGCTTGTTTGGGAGTTCATTGATATATTTTCCATATATTTATACAAAAAAAACTACTCTACAAAAGAATAAACTAACGCGTGTAAACATGTTGGCTCAACCATACTGAGGTTTTGAACTGCAGTGACTAGAGGTTCCAGTTTTGCTCGACGAGCTGAGTACTGGTATCTGCGTCACTCATTTCGTCGATCTCCAGCATCGAATCCTCCATGATGACATCATCCAAATACTTCTCATCCAAAAGATCCTCAGGCTCACTAGCAATGACTCTTCCTGGTTTAGACTCAAAACAATTTATATTAGTTTCAAAATTTTCATATATATGGTGTTTTCTGGCACCATTGAAGAAGACATGGTCTGATTGCTTTTGTTCACGTGTTCTTTTTTGTTTTTTCTTATTATGGGAAATAAAAGCATGTCTGAAGTAACTTATCATACAATTGTCGACACCGGACCCAAGACCAACAATCTTGCATGTTTCCTCACATTCTGTGCAGAATGCAACCGGCGTCCCGTTCTCAAAGGCGAGTAACGGAGGAGACATCTCATAACCCGTGCTGTAAACACCGTGGTCCTTACACACATGGTGCATGTACAATGAATCTTGTGTAGTGTGGAAAATGTTATCCAAGTCCATATCCGTTTCCACTGGACAGTAGGGGCACAAAGCCTGTTTGTTAGTTTGTTTTCCTGTTTCATCAACTTGATACCTGATAATGAACGGATCGTAAAAATTCAGCTCTTGGCCACACCATCTCAGAGCAAGAGGACCTCCCTGACGCTTCTTGTTATCTTCATAGTACCAACCCTTTTTGCCTTGAACATCCTTGAAAAAGTTGATGTTTACGTAGTTTGGTAGTAATGCAGGAACAACGTTGTTGATAAACTGCTCAGCCTGAAGAGGAACCACAGTCGGACTTGCCCATTTGTTTACCGCAGCTGACAGGGTGCTCAAATATTTGTTGTTCTGGGATATTAATGACCAATAATTGTTGATCCTATGAAACAAAGAGGCAGATACAGCAAACTGGGGCTTTGGTCTTTTCGCTCTTTTGATGGTTCTTGTCGGCTTAACGAGAGCGGACTCATTCACAATATTATCATGAGGAATATTCGCATTGAGAACAATTTCTTGAGGTAACTCGCTCAATTCTCCAACCTGATCCTGGTCTTGAAGTTCCTGAATGTCAAAATCCAAATCGAATTTGTAATTAGACGCAAACTCATCACTCTGAGAATTTATCTCATGGATGGAAGAGCTTTGAACAATACCGACATGACTATCCAAGATGCTTGGAAAGGACGTAGATTGCTCACTGGCAAGAGGTCCCACCTCTTTGTCGTTGAATAGTGCATCAATTTCTTCTAAGGAAACATAAACTGGACTTGACACAGTGAAGGAAGTGTCGCAGCTTACTGAGCTATCCAAGATAGCATCTTCAAAGTAAGATTCACTGGTGCTCAACTCAGAAGCAAAGGACCTGTTATTTTCGGTTTGGTACACATTATTATGGAGGTCAAAACTAATACTACTGTGATCTTTATCCTCAGCAAATGACTCGTCCAAAAAGCTCAGCGAGTCATCAAAAAGCTCGCTTCCAAAACTCAAGTCTTCCTCGCCAACCAAAGTGTTGTCATTGTATTCCTCACCTGAAAGATTCACGAGTTCAGTGATAGCGAAAGTGGCAACCATTTTTGAGTGCTGAAGAGTAAAGAGCTAAAGTAAAGCGAATGCAAACAAAGTAACGTACAGGACGGAGCTTGGGCACGGGTAGCTTGCTAAGGAAGAAGACTGAAAAGGACGAAGCAAGAAGAAGAGGAACCAGACTCATCGTTGGGGAAAGATACAAGGTTTTATAGCTTCTCAGCGAGTACATGTTGCCAACACAATTGTAAAGAATGGTCGGAGGCTTGACCCACTCATGGCAGCCGAGCCCCGGACCGGAGTTTGGCGTGCCAGATCAACAACGGTGGGCTTCTCCGGCCGGAGTGTGAGAGATGCATCTCCCAATCGGGCTCCGCGGAATGATGAAAAGCACTGCGCGCCGCTGTGGGCTCACAAATTGCCGCATTGGGAAGCTTTTACAGCGCGCATTCATGTTCCACGAGCTTCTGCCTTGTTCTGCTGTGTTCTTCCCCGCTTCATTCCGTCTTGGCGTGTTCTGTCCGAAGCAAGTGCAAGTCCGGATCTAAATTAAAAATTAGCCACAAGTTGAAGAAAAGGTTTGCAGTTTGTTGTTTTGTACCCGCTTGCTTGCCGTAAAGCTCAACGATCCGATTACTCTACTTTCCCGACCGATGCGATGGCGTAGAAAAACGGGCAATACCTTCAATCTACAGGCAGCCCGCCTTTATCCGGACTACCTTTGGGTGCATTTTCACACATGCAAAGCTTAAGCCGGCACTTACAGCAAGTATTGTCTCCACGGTGCTTCTGCAGGGTGGCGAAAGCAGAGATTTACCGGCAGCATTGCTAGTGGACAAAGAGACATACAGTCGGCAGGTCGCCGTACAACTAGCGACGCAATAAAGCAGACAATGAGTTGGCAACGAGCCAGAAACGTGCTGGCTGCGCCCCAACAACCCGTGCCAGCGTAACCTGCCGGATGCAGCACGCCAAAACAAAAACAGCCGGCAACGGCTGGAGAAGGATCCCGGCACCCTGCACGCGAAGATGTAGTAGAGCCGAGCGTATAAGCCTCTTCGGGGTGGGCGGGAAAAACAGGCTTTGTCGGCAGATGAACGGAAAGGTGAGAGGAGCGAAGAATCGGGGGGAGAGCGTCAGAAGTGAAAAACTCATTGGTTATCAGAGGGGCCCGATCCGGTCTTCGGGTGCCGTACCGTCTTACCGGAAAAAACTGACTGTAGGGCAGAAGGAGGGAGGACCTGCAACCACGCAAAAGAGGTGAAGAGGGGCATCACAACGACCAAGAAGAACCTAGGGACTAGGGCAGGGCATGAAGAAGCCAGATTTTCAGATTCGAAAGTGCAGAATGACGATTAAGAGTATTTTGCGGCGAATACGGAGGAAACCGCTGCTGGCCATACTGACGGCGGCATGCTATATCTTTTATAGTCTCTATGCCTCCATGTATGGCGAACAGTACAGCTCCTCCAACATTCTGCGCTCTTTGCCATTCAGGTCCCCGCTAGCGCTGCTGTTAACACCTCCGGAGATACTCGACCAGAGCTTAATGCATAAATCTAATGCTGCAGAGTCAGTGATTAACTCTTTGTCTCAGAAACTTTTCGAACAGAAAGAAGTGGAAAACTCCTCATGGAAACTCACCACGGGCTTCCACAACAACAGGCTAACCGAGGGATCGGATGAAATCTCCGTCTATACTAAGAAGAGACAGACCGAACACATTTACGACCCGAGAATCACAATGGCAGTCTATCTCCACCACTTGCAAGAGCAACACAGTTCCGGTCAGAGCAGCATACCTTTCTCCTGGGAAGACTGGGTGGATCTGTCGTATTTGAACCGGTTTTTGAATGGAAAGAGCCGCTCCTGTGCGTCATTTTTGACCGATTACGAGATCTCCCTGAAATATGAAATGAACGACAGTCTACCTTCCACGGAATATGCCAATAGGAGTTTCTGTCTCGATAACATCGATTATCTGAAGACACATAATGGGAAATACAAAGATGAAAAGTTATTGCCCGGGTTCAATTTCATGCAAAGGATCAATGAGAAATCGAACTTTATCGGGAAAATATTCAACGCAAAGTCGTTTATTTTGTCCTATGCCCCAACACCATCTCTCATCTACTTCTTGAACGAAAATGGTACTTACTACAAGACTAAGCCATATCAGGCAACATCTATGATGCAAAATGGCCTCTTTGAATCTTTCACAGACAAAAGCACATTCAACGGATTTAACCCCGTGGAGGAGTTGGGAAAATTGGGAGATAAATACCTTACTCACAATGAGAACGACTTTGCGATTCAACTCTTGAAAACTAAGAATTTTCAGCTGAACATTCCGGAGGGAAACTTTTATTTGGACACTGATGAGCATTTTGCCGACCTCTACAACAAGGATTTTTCACTTTTAGAGGATAACGAGAAAAGGTTTCTTGAATCTGTCAACTACTCTAAAGCAGCAGATGCCGAGGACGTGAAAAAGTATTTTAAAGAAGTCAATATTTTGTGGCCTGCAAGTTACAACGCTCATAAGCTAAAAGAGAATGGTGGCCATTATGATGCCAGATTTTTCTCTGGTTTTGTTACCGAAATGCCGCTCTCTGACTTCACCTTCCATTCTCCTTACTATACCCCTGAAGAGCTTGACAGGAAACCTTTGGATAACCCGACTAGCCGTCGTACGATTATCTTGTCACATTTGCTCCACACGCTACTAACGGCTACGTTCCACGACGGCCTATATATGTTTCCAGCACATGGCTCTTTACTTTCATGGTACTTCACATCAATGTCTTTTCCCTACGATGGAGATGGTGATGTACAAATGCCCGTCACGGACTTGGCTGAGTTCTGTCTACGATATAACAACTCGTTGATTGTTCAAAACCCAAAGTATGGCATGGGTAAGTACTATATCGATTGCACCAGTAGTTTGACCCATAGAGGTAAAGAGACAGGTACGAATAATATTGATGCTCGTGTGATTGATGTCGATACAGGAATGTTTGTTGATGTCACCGGTATCGGTGTATCAGCAGACCGTTTGACCGCTCCCGGTATGAACAAACTGGATGGATGGATTCCAAAGCAAGTGAAATCCAAGTATCCGCTTTCCAAGGTAGATTCTAGGAGAGGAAGAAGGCAAGGTGCTCTGGCTTCAAATAAATTTAAACACGAAGGTGTGAAATCAATACAAAAAGCAGAGGCGGAGGATAAGGAGACAGTAAATAAGGTATTGAAGATCCATTCTGAGAATAGGATTTACAATTGCAGAAATGACCACTACTATACATATGAACAATTGTCTCCTGTGCGGTTGTCGCTATTTGAAGGAGCACCGACATTTGTGCCTGCGTCGAAAAAGTCGTTGACTAGTATTTTGGAGCAAGAGTATTCGCCTCTTTCTCTTCGACGTGTGGCATGGGATGACTGGGTGTTCCTGAAGCCTTTGAAAATGTGGGTCCATGCAGATGATGTTCATTGGGCATGTGTGGTAAATAATTTGCAACCTACCACTGCCGTTGGGAAGAGCAAGAACAAAAGGAAGGCGAAAGGTAACAAGAAGAATGTCAAGGGAGTCAACGTTGTTGGGTGTTATATTGGCAACGAAGCTACTATTATTTCTGAGATGATCAAAAGTTCGCTTTACGAAATTACATCGGAAGAGGTGTTGAAGCATAGGGATGAAAGAAGACCTTCTATGAACATTGTGGAGGAATTTTACCACGACAATCTCTACAATAGTGTGCATTCCACAGAGATGGCTATCTATTATTCTGATTGGGAGTGGAAATCCCCATCAATCCATGACTATCACGGGATGCCGACAAAGTGGAAAGACTTGGCTCAGTGGATGCTGCGAGATCATCCTCCGCCAAGGATTCCGATGCTCGATTACCTTTCGTATGTGGAGGTTGCGGACCAAGGAAAAGAGGTTGTGGTATCGACGTCAAATTACACAGGGATATAGTGATAAGTCGGGCTATAAGACGTTTCTGCTATCATTCTCTCATGAAATTGGAAAGACTTGGCATTTACCTACCAAGCGTGGACTATAAGGATTAATGGTTGATTAATGTGTATACTAGTAAAGAGTTTTGATATGAGAATGGAAGCGAGTGGTGTTTGCCTTTTTTCATGGCTTTTTTTCACACTAGAATGCGAAGCAGGATGCCGTTTCCCACTGCCTAGGCTGGGAGGAGAGCAAGACTTCTGGAGGTTTACATCACCCACTTGACTACGGTTTCGAGATACTACGTTACTTCTCGCATCAAAAGCCACTGCTACACGTGATCTTAACATGGGCATCTCCGGAAGGAACATCGCTGGAAAAGTCCCCCTCCTCATTGCCTTCAACTTCACCTACTTCGGCTTTTCCGGTGTGTGGGCAGAGGCAACTAGAAGATGCTGCAGCAGCAACGTAGACGGCGAGCGCAGCACGCCGAGCGGAGCGGTGGCAACCGCGAAGGATGGGTTTCCGTGTCTTGTGCGTTCAGCAGGGCTCGGAATTGTCTGCAGCTCGGGTATCTCTCATGCATGTCTAGCGCTGTTGTCGGAATGTGGTTGAGAGGTTTTTGGAGATCGCGAAAACTGTCGATCTGGTGTGAGTACGGCACACGACCAGAAGATACGTATGTGGAGAGGAGGTCGGCTTTACATTAGAATGTTTGCGAGAGATAAGGACGGTAGTTAAACAGCCCTGTAGGAACTCGAATGCTCCGGGGATTTTTTGGGGTGGACTCTTCTGACCTTTTTCTCGACGTTTTGCTGACATAGTTCACTGAGCAGGTGGCCGGGGATAAGAGGACGCCCGCACGCAGCGGGAACGATGATGTAGTTGCTTTTTTTAGTCCTGTTCTGTTGCGCTCGGGCGAGGTGTGGGCGAGGTGCTGGCGGCTTGCTGCCTGCGGCAGGGGAAGTGGTGCCCAATTAGGCCGACCCGGAATCGCCGAAAAGTTGGCCAGCGCGCTAATGCGTTAGCACTGCGTGCCTTCTCATTGGCGAGTTTTTACTTTTTATTTTTTATTTTCTAGTTTGTTTTCATTTTTATTTTTGTAACAACTTGCAGTTGCATTCTGTCCCCAAATCGAAACTGAGACCGAGACCGAAGCCCGCTGCCAAGGCCAAGACAGCAGGGCACAGGGGAAGTCGTTTGCATCTCTGTCGTCATCGCGCGGGCTGCGGGCTGCGCTACGAGGATGGAGAGGAAGGGGGAAGCGGGGGAAAAGCGGTGCGCTACTAGAGCACGCAACGGGTGGCAATAACGAGCCGAGACACGGAAGACAAGACACAACCACAACCCGGCCGAGCCTGCTCTTCTCCCGCCGACTTTCCCGCTCTCGCCACGCTCTCGCCTCACCCTCCACCACAGCCGACCCCGATGCTGCCGTCCTTATCAAGATAAGCATGAGGCATCAAGCAAGAAGCGGGGATTGGGCCAAGCACGTAGCGCCTGGCCGTTTCCTCTTATTTGGAGACGATGCAATGCTCCTCGTATCTGGCCCCCCTAGGGACGGATGGCGGGGGAGCCAAGGACAAGTAGAGCTAAGCCCATGCCACGAAGCATCTTGTGCTTGTATTTAGTACACCCCTTGTTAGTCCCCCCTCTGCGCCTTCTAACGCTTTTCGACGCCTCCCTGCTGCCGCTTCTTCTTACCCACCAGCTTTTTTGTTTTCTCTTTTTTCTCCTTTTTTAGTCCTCGCACGAGCCTTTCACGACCTGGCGGGACCCTCTGTCCTCCTTACACCCATAACCAGCCGCTTCTTCTCCGACTGTTCTGCAGTGCCCTGCAGAAATCCTGCATCTCTGCGGCTCACTCCCAGCGTCCCAATTTAAATAGGTCAGCCTGCACCTGCTGCATTTGCTGCACCGCCCAGCATTTCGTTATTGTTCCGCTTGCATAGGCCACGCAGGCAGGCTCCACCACTGCGGAGGATCGGCGTTACGCTCAAATGACACAGCCGACCGGTCACACGACACCTTTCCGCCGCCCTCGGAGTCGCAGCTGCAGCTGCAGCTATCTGCCTGCCCCTCCCGCGTGCATCGCTTCAGCCGCGTTTCGTAGGCTTGCTTTGCAGCCCTGCAGCTCCCAGGCTCGTGTGGTTCTGTCTGGGTCGTTCCAGGTACTATAGCCCCGCCCGGCATTCTATGCAATACCGCTGCTGTCCTGACGCCAATCTGTCGTGTGCTCCTGTCGGCTCCGACCGACTAGTAGATCTTCCCCGGCCATGCTGTTTCGTCGTCTCAATCGGGGCAACCTGCATTTCGCGCTTTTCGCAGACACTTTCTTCGTTCTCTGCAGAGCAGGCCTGTAGTGTGTGTGTGCCACTTTATGCTTTCTCCGCTGGGATATGTCTGTGCTGGCTTTTGGCTCGGCTTGCAACTTTTCTTTCTTGCTGTGCGTGCGTACCTTCCTCGGCTGTTACCATTCCCCTGCCTTTTTCTCCTCATTCTATTCCTCTCGTTTAGGGTTGATTAGTTTATTGCACCGCTGCGACCAAAGTAGAGCCTGCAGTTTCACCCACCGCCCTCCTCACCTTCGTTGTCGTCTGCTTCATTCTTTCTTTGGCTTTCGTTCCTGTTGCTTAGCTTTACTTTATTGTTCTGTATCTCTTTGCCCTTTAGCCACTGATAGACGGAGCGATCCAGCATTGCACACCTACCAGTCGTCTGACCAAAACTGCATGCACACTCGAGACTAGAATAATCTCTGTTACCAGTTCTCTGCTCAAGACCTGTTACTGAAACCTCTCCAGTAACTACTTCAACTACCGGCTATTGATTCTCTCCCGTTACTTCCGTTTCTTTCATCTGGAAACCGACCTCTTTGTATCAGAACACAACGGAAGCGGGCCAAAACTCATTCATAGATTTTGCATCCCCTAAGTAACTCCCCTGCCATCGACCACGCTAGACTAAGATATGCATTTCCCGGGGGTCCTGCGAAAGATACGTAGGCAGCCCATTTTGATCTCAATCTTCTTCCTCAACATCCTGGTGTTTTCCCTATACTTCACAATCTATCAATATGGCACCTTCTCCACACCACTCGCTTCCTTCAAAGGAAACAACATTAAGGCGTACAGCTCGGAATCCAAGGCACCAAAGAAACAGGCTCCTTCGATGTCAAGCTTATTGGACAAGTTGGCCTACATCAAGGATGACTCCATCGAGACAATGACAAATACACTTTACAGAAAGTTGTTCAGCCCAGAGATAGCCAACTCTAATTGGAGGTTTGTCGATCATTTTGTGAACTCCAAGATTGGCCTTGATATTGCTCGAACCTTCTCTTACGTTAAATTAAGGAAAACCCAGCATTTGTATGATCCAAGGATAACCATGACAGTTTATCTCAACTACCTTCACGACGAATACAAAAAAGGATCAAACAAAATACCGTTTTCTTGGGAAGACTGGACCGATCTGTCTGTCCTCAACTCCTACTTGGGCGTTGAAAATTCCACCTGCTACTCCTTTTTCCACAGTCATGACATCGACTTGGATTATACTTTTGAAGCAAACAAATCTTCTTTGACCTATTTTGACAAAACACACTGTTTAGATAACGAAGAATATTTGGCTACCCCAGATGGGGAGTTTAAAGATCCGGAATTGCTTCCGGGGTTCAATTTCAACGGGCAGATCAATGAAAAATCGGATTTTATTGGTCAACTCCATAATGCCAAATCTTACCTCCTGTCTGCAGCTCCTCCCCCTACGTTAATCTACTTTTTACACGATAATGGTACTTACCACAAGGTAGAACCCTACCCATCATCGTCAATGATGAGAAATGGAATGTTTGACTCTTTTGTAAGGAAGAACTCGTTCCAGGGTTTTGACCCTATCGCAGAGTTGGAGAACTTGAGCCCAAAGCGTCTTCTCAAACATCAAAGTGATTTCAAGTCAGCAATGGTTAGCGCCAACTCATACGAATTAAGTATACCAGAGTCAAGATTTGCTCTTAACACTGATGAAATGTTCCATTATTTGTATGCGAAAAAGAAAACGTCCTTGGACACAAATGAAAAGAAATTTTTGGAAGCCATAGACTTCTCAAAAGCTACCAAAGTTGAAGACGCACCTAAGTATTTTCACGAAGTTAATGTCAAGTGGTATGCCAAATATAAGGGCCATGAAATCAAAGAAAATGGTGCTCATTATGATTTCAGATTTTTTTCGGGTTTCATAACGGAAATGCCAAGTGAGGAAGCAACAGTACATTCTCCTGAATACAATGCCGCTACCCCAGTCAACTACACTTTATCCATCGACAATACGATTAACCGTCAAACCATAATTTTGTCTCATATGGTCCATACTCTTTTCACTCTTACATTTCATGATGGACTTTTCATGTTCCCAGCTCACGGCTCTTTACTTGCATGGTATTTTACTTCGATGTCTTTTCCTTATGATGAGGATGAAGACGTTCAGATGCCAATTGCAGATTTGGCTGAATTTTGCTTAAGATATAATGATTCCTTAATTGTCCAAAACCCAAAATATGGCATGGGTAAGTATTACGTGGATTGCTCCAGTAGTTTAACTCACAGAGGTAAGGGTCTAGGTAGCAACAATATCGATGCTAGAGTTATTGACGTTGATTCAGGTATGTATGTGGATATTACAGGCTTGAGTGTCTCAAGTGACCAATTGAATTACGAAAATCTTCACAAATTCGAAGGCTGGATCCCTCAACAAGCTATAGATAGTTATCCTTTGGAACCAAAACAAAAAAGAGAATTGGACTCTCGTGACGACGAGAAAAAAGATGAGAAGGAAGATGAGAAGAAAGACGAGAAGAAAGACGAGAAGAAAGACGAGAAGAAAGACGAGAAGAAAGACGAGAAGGAAGATGAGAAGAAAGACGAGAAGAAAGATGAGAATAAAGACAAGAATAAAGACGAGAATAAAGACGAAAAGAAAGACGAAAAGGAAGACGAGAAGAAAGACGAAAAGAAAGACGAAAAGAAAGACGAAAAGAAAGACGAAGAGAAAGAAGAACCAGTACACAAGCCGACTGATGAGGAAATATACAATATCCATAAGGAAAATAAACTTTACAATTGTAGAAATGACCATTTCTATACACTCGACCAGCTTTCTCCGGCACGATTAACCTTGTTTGAAGGAGCACCAACTTTTGTTGTTGCTTCTAATAGATCCTTACTTGAGGTCATGGAGACAGAGTATGGAAAAAAATCTCACGGGAATCCAGAATGGAGAAACTGGTTATTTGTTGATTTGCTAAGAATGTGGGTTAATACAGATGACATAAAATCTGCGTGCGATGAGCTGAGAAGAGCCACAAACACTACTAAAGAAGACAACGTTTCTCCAAATGAATGCTTTAATCGTAATACGACATTTATTCTTTCTGAGCTAGTCAAGAACTCTATTTATGATGTCACGCTCCAAGATTTCCTTGCATATAAAGATAAAAAAAGACCGGATTTTAACTTGTTACAAGAGTTGTATCGTGATAATCCTTACACAGGGGCTCATGTTCGTGAAATGCAACAATTTCATGGGAAATGGGAATGGAGCACTCCTTACATTGATGACCGTGCCAATATTTCCACTGAGTGGGAAAATTTGGCAGGTTGGATGTTAGAAGATCATCCCCCTCCTAAAATTGCCATGTTAGATTACCTTCTATTTACCGAACAAGAGGACCATGGTCTAAACATAGAACTTTCCTAAAATACCAGAATTAGGGCACAGCGCCAACCAGCATCACAATCGTTATTATTTTACCCCGCTTAACCTTAATAATTACCAACTCTCTCGCAAGTTTTTCCTACTAATACTTCTTATGTATAAACATATTTAATTTCATTCCTTTCTAATGAAAACTCCTTTTGTATATTTGTGTAATGCTAGAAGTTTATCCATTTTATCAGCGTGATTCGTTACTATTCACACCACTAATAACATGAAACTTTATTTTACTACAACAAGGGTGAAGAAAGTTTGAAAAATAAAAGGTTCGACATTCGAACAATTTTTTGAATCAACGAATCTCATATACAAATAGCGACAAAATGAGGCCACCTAATAAAACACATACCCCTAATAAAATGCCTAAGAATCCAATATCCCATTGGATCGCATTGACATCAAATCCAAAAGTTGATAAAATTACGGCACCTGGAACCTCGATATTTAACCCAAATTTTTTTTCTTTCAAAACCAAGCCATTGACTTCATTTACCGCAAGGGATTCATATGCATAGTGAAAAACTGATAATTTCTCAATCCATGACAAACCAAACGGAATTGTCTCTTTGTTGATAAATAGACCTGCAAATAAGAGAGAGAATAGTAATAACAACACTGACAACATAGTGGCGGATCCTGAATCTTTCACGGCTATACCAATGACCAGTACTTCCAATGACGTTACCAAATTGAAAAGAATCAAAATAGAAATCGAAACCCAAAATTTGTAACCCGACATGTTTAACCCCACTAATGGATAAATAATTGCAAGTAATATAACCGGAGGAAAAACCCTTAATGGTAGGACATCACACAAGAGTTTGGAAAAGTAATAACTTAAGGGACTGTAGTAATTATTCGATCTTTCTCTAACAAAAACAGCCCTTTCCTTCGAAAATGAATCCAATCCCGTCAATGAGCTGAAACCAAACAAAGTTAACAAGAAAAAAAATAAGCCCAACCTATTTTGAAAACCACTGATATTATTCTCAACGTCGTAGTAAAGATAGGAGCAAAATAATCCCATTATTAAAGATAGTAAGTAATGTCCTAATAATAGCTTAGGATTACGATAGGAATTTTTGAATGTCCTTGATGATAAAACAATGAGTTGATTGAACCAGTTTGCTTTGGACAGATTGGAATCAATTTCGAAAAATAGGAAGTTGAGGTTATTGACTTGCTCATTGATTGCAGATTTGACTGAAATCGCAACATATGAATTTTTAAAATATTGAGCCAAGTTTTTATCGTTTCGGGTGATTATTTTATTTGGATTCAACGTTTTGGCCAATTCATCTCTGTGAGAAGCGTAATGCTGCCATTCTGACACTTCGTTTGTCTCAAGGTTAGGATCACTGTCATGGGGGTCCTCGGCTGAAAAGTCCGCAGTGGTCTCGAACTTTTGGTTTGTTATGTCGATCAAGTAATCTGCAATGTTGTATCCAACTGGGCAATTGAACCCAATGCTTGAAAAATATTTGGCACAATCTCCCATTTCACCCGAATAAATTAGGTCACCGTCTGACAAAAGCAATAGCTTATCGAAAAGTGAGACGATGTTACTTCTTGGCTGGTGGATAGTAAAGATGATTGTTCTGTTGTAAACTTTGGCAAGCCGCACCAAACATTCAACCACATTGAATGCATTATACCCGTCCAACCCCGAGGTTGGTTCATCAAGGAATAATATGGATGGAGAAGTGACCAACTCACACGCAATTGCAACTCTTCTTTTCTCACCTCCTGAAATGCCTCTTTCAAAATCCGAGCCAACTAATACGTCTTTGAGATGAAGGATCTTCAACTCGGTTAAAATCTGTAAAACTTTTGATTGCTTGACCTCAAAAGGCATAGAGTTAGGCAATCTTAACAAGGCACTATTGAGAACCGTTTCATAAACAGTCAAAGTTGAGATCATGATGTCGTCTTGGTTCACAAACCCAATAGAATTCTGGAATATCTTAAATTCGTGTTGTGTAACTAGCCTTTTTCCGTTAATGTACAAGTCACCAGAGATAAAGCCACCCTTATTCTTACAAGCCAAAATGTCTAATAGTGTTGACTTTCCTGCACCAGAGCTGCCCATTATAGCCATACATTCACCCGGATTTACTTGACCGTAGGCATTGTTCAAAACCGGCTTACTTTTGATGGCATAGCACACGTTGTCAAAAGAAAGTGTTGCTTGTTTATAATTTTCCAACATAAGATTGGCTGTGACTAGTTCTGCATTACCGTCATCACCATCAGGCAAGTAAACAGACTTCAAAAACAATGGAGAAGATTTGACCTTCTCAAAGGACAAGAGTAGAACAATTAAACAGCCCAAAAAGACACTTGATACCTTTGTGAAATCTATGAGAGTAAACCTGTCCTTACCCGGTATCTGGAAGCCAGGAATCTCTGACTTGTGCAAACATTCTCCCGATTGACAGAATAAATTAATTTGTGGATCACCAAAAACTGAAGAAATGAGATCATTCATACTAGGCTCGCTGAACTTACAATTTTGCGAATTCAAATCGCAAGAAAAGTCAGCAGGTCCTTTAATTTCGTGACTCAAAAAGTCAGAAATATCAACGGAGCCGTTTTCCCCACATAACATTCTTCCTGCCAAACAACTACACTGAGCATCATTACACTTGTAGTGTGTGGCATTTGAGTTCAAATCGTATTCGTAATCACAATGACTCAAGTCGCAGTAGAAACTTTCCACTTCGTCTATCCAGAACTGAAAATCGCAAACTTGCGCTGTAGCATTGCAACTAAAAGTAACTTGTGGGATTTTGCCGTTAAGGATCTTCAGAATCTTTTCGTTTGTAACATCACACATTTGGTTGAATTTGTTGACAATGATACCGGACTTGTAGCAGGTACCTTTCAACCCGGAGGGAACAAAGGAATCGCAAACATCATCTGATTCACACATGTTACAATTGATGCCTCCCCACCCTTCATTACACTCACAAGTGGAGTTTGCTTGTCTCTTTGGGCGATTCAACCCATCCGACAATCCTCCACACAATGGGGTAGAGCAATCGTCGCCACCAAACCCATCTTTGCACTCGCAGCGTCCAGTAAAGGGGTTACACGCTGAGAACTGTGCACAATTGAAGTTAGGCAAGTTACAATTGAAACAAGGAGGACACTTTTCTTTATCGATAGGACTGGTTTCCAGTTTTGTGCTGGTGACCGAATTCAAATCCAAAAAGCTGGACGCAGCAGCAAATGGAGCCAGCAGAAGGAGCAAACATGGAAAGCGCATTGCAAGCTGTCAATATAACTTCCCGTAAGTGATCAAGACGAATCAATTTACATGCATACCCCCTTGCTATTGCTTCCTCCCATGTGCCAAAATGGCTCGTGGAACAGACAGGCTGGCTGCACAAACAGAGTAGGACCGGATCGCCACACTGGCAGCGATAGGCGGGCGTGGAATTACGTAAGCATATAGCCGAATTTCGGACTAGGGAAGGAGGTCTTAACCAACGCCAAAGACGCAGGCTTTGCACTTGCTTGCCAAAGCACTGCCAGGAAGGTCATGGAGTCTTTGAGGAGTTCAATATGTGCAGCAAGTGAATAGACTAATACCGTGTAAAGCACTTCGGTGCTTCTGAGGTGCAAATGCGAGATACAGATCCAAAAGGTTTTTTCGGACTAGACGCTAAGAAAGATGGCGGTAATGAAAGAAGTAATTCGGCTACCCTGTGTTATTCTGCCAATAGCACATGTGATTATAGGACAGGGCAGAACCTTTGCTTCAATTCACTAAAGCATAACACGACTTTTGTTTTTCAGTGCGCTTATCAGACGTCACCCCATAAGCAGACTTGGAGCGGTGATAAGATGGTCCAGAGAACCTGAAGGATTTCGAATGAAAGCAAAAGGTGACAAGCTTTGGCGAGCTGAAGAATGATTCTCCCTAGTATCAGACGTCAGGTTTGCCATCCAGTTATGTAAGGTAAGTGTTAGGGAGGAAAGTAACAGATCGCAGAAATAACATTTTAAATAACGGTTATATTATTTAGGAAAAATATATTCTGACAAGTACTGGTCCATGTTGTCAATAGCTGTACTCTCTTCATGAATAATATCTCTCTACCATGCGTCTTGCCAAAAAGAAAGATAGGCAAGAACAGTCCGCAAAAAGCTCTTTTGCGTTGGCTGTACTATCTCCACATGGGAAGAAAGCAGTCCGTTAAAAACACCACGCCAAGTGATCACCTCAGTATCAATTGCTTGAACACTGTAACCATCATTATCGCCTTCCAAATACAAATAGGGTGAGAAATAAGCTCCCACATCATCTATCTCTTGCTGAACAAAACAAGAGTGAAGAAGTTTGTAGTCTGCGCTAGAGGGAGATTCAGACCCAATAATACCTAAGGTGGGGGCCGCATTTCCAGAAGTGTTTAAAAAATGGAGGTCATATGAGCCTGAGTTGTTGAAACATAGAAGAAACTCTGTAGTGTTCAAAATTGCAGTGTATTCAGTGACATTCAACGTCACTGTTTCAATTTCAATGTGCCTTTCAAAGTCCAGGCGAAGAGCAGATGTGATTCCGGCCAGAACAGCTAACGAAACCAGCTTATCAAACAAACGCATATGTATTTATGATCTTTATCGAATTTTGCCTTTGGCTCTTCAACCAACTGAAGCACAAAAAGCACAGGAAACAAAAGTTCTTGTCTCTACAGTTCTAAGTAGTGGGAAAGCAGAATCCCTTGCCTCCATTCCACAGATACTTGGAACATGGACGGCTGAAGGAGGCAGCAGCAGCCTTCATTTCTCATAGGCCTTTTTTGCTTTTGTAAAGGCTTCATGGGATGATCATCTCGGTTTACGTAATCTTGATGGTTATGAGAATGATGTCATTCCACGGTAGGAGGATTAAGATCTGACTGTCAGACCTCGGTTTCGGGCCCATGGCATCTCATGATATGTGATGGTTTCATTATCGTTAGCATAATGTTACATTTAAACTGAATGTCCATCATCAGCTTTAGAAGAACATATTTAAGAAAAGGTTCTTGTTTTACTAAACTCTATATGACGATTATTCATATATGATTATTACTGATGTAAATATAGAATATCAATAGATATATGATGATAGATCGATATTACTAAGAAATGTAGGAAAAAGAACCAGATAAAAAAGTCAACTCAAGGGATAAAACCAAAGCAATACTAAATCAATTTGAAGTGAAGGTAAATTTGCAATATGAGAAGTTTTGTTGATTCCATCGTGCACTATCTTAATAGCAAGCTTATTAGCCAAATCTGCTAATTAGCTTGACAGGCCTGCTAATATTATTGTTATTACTAAGACTTGCGTCATAATTTTCAGCGAAGATTGTTGAATGTGGCTACCGAAGCTACACTCAATATACTGCAGGTTTTTAGCAAGAAGTGTCTACAACATATCTTCCCAAGATTTTACCTTCCTCCATCAGTTTAAAGACCTCTGGTATCTTCGATAGTCCAACAATCTTTATCGGAGATTTAATCAAACCTCTGATATAAAAGTCCACTGCTTGGGCAGTGTCTTCTCTGTTGCCAACGGACGAGCCCTTGATCTGTAGAGACTTACAAACAATGTCGAACACTGACGTGTTGCACACGGCATCGGGCGGCAAGCCGACAAAGATGATTTTCCCGCCATTTCTAGTATACTGGCAGGATTGAGATATGGCCACTGGAGAAACAGAGACATTGATCACCCCATGAGCTCCCCCCATGGTCGCTTCTTTGACTTCTGAGACTAAATCTTTGGCTTCCAAAAAGTCAATATAGATTTCAGCTCCCAAGGATTTGACAAGGCCTCCTTTCTCCTCACCCCCGTCAATGGCCAGGACTCTCATTCCCATTGCCTTGGCATACTGAACAGCCATGGAGCCTAATCCTCCGCCTGCGCCTGAAATCACCACCCACTCACCAGCTAACAGTTCGGCAGTTTTGAGAGCTTTGTACACAGTCAATCCTGCGCACAAGATCGGAGCAACTTCGGCCAGGTTGATATTTTGTGGCAGCTGAGCTGCTTGAACAGCGTCAGCTAAAGCATATTGCTGGAAAGTGCCATTCTGTGCGTATCCGGATATGACTGCCTTAGGACAGTCTATCTCTGCGCCCTTTCGACAGAATTCGCAGCATAAGCACGACTTGTTGAGCCATTTGATGCCTGCATAGTCACCTATCTCAAAGCTTGTAACATTGGCGCCCTTTGCAACAACTACACCCGTTCCCTCGTGTCCACCTACAAGAGGTAAAATTGTCTTTGATGGCCAGTCACCTTTCCAGGCGTGTAGGTCACTGTGACAAACCCCGGAGAACTTGACGTTGACAAGTATCTCGTTGGCTTTTGGGGAAGGAACCGGAATGTCGGTGTATTCAAGCGGCCCTCCATGCTTATAGAAGACAATGGCTTTTTGAGTTTCTGGAACGGTCATAGTTTTTCCACGTAGGCCGACAATCATTTCTCTGCTTTCTTCCTCCTGAGAAGAGGAGAAAAGAAAATAGCGTCAGGCAGAGGAGTGCATCGTATCTGTTGATTCAAAAGATATCCGGTGCCATTAGAACAAGAGTAGTGCTGCTTCTTTGCCAACTGGGCAAGATTGCACATGCGATAAGCATCTCGCGATAAGCGTTGACGATACACCGAGAACGTTAGGCGAAAAGATGAAACAGAAAGTTTCCCGTTTGGGCAACTGCACATTTTTTGAGAAAGTACGTGGATGATGAACAATACACACAAACTAGAAAGTAACCTGCCCTTCGGAAAAAGGCATGCTCCATGCAGGACTAGAAAAAGTCGTCCAAACTCTTCATGTTGTCTGCATGGATGAGCTCCACCATTCCCTTGGGGAAGATCGGGGTGCCGTTGGAGTCGAGCACGTATCTGAACGGCATCTCCGTCGCCTCGTGTTTGTTGAACCTGATCTCCGGGTAGTCTATGAACTTGATGTTCTCAAACTTCGTCTGCTTCTCGAGGATAATCTGGGTCGTCCGCACGGCCGTGTCCGTAGTCATTTGCAAGCTGCCCAAACGACGCGTGGCGCATAGCAGCTTCTTCTTCAACTCCCCCGTCCGGTCCCTTGGAGGGTGGTCGCCGAGAATCCCCCCAAAAATGAAGTACTTGAAGTTCGCTGTGTCCGACGGCTGGAGGTCGATCTCAGCCCGAGGATCAAGCAAGCAGAGGTCGCTCTTGTCCTGGACATCCTCCATCCCGGCCAAATACGGGACGATGTCTTCTGTGGTCCACTGCAACCCGAGATCGATAAGCTCCTTGGGCATGTCTGCCTCCGTTGTTCCCTCCGGAAGTGAAACCAAGTACAAGTTCTCCTTTCCTACATCCTTGATGATCTGTGCGTACTCAAGCACCACCCAGGGCGTGAAGCCCAGCTCCATGTGTTCAATAACGTACTTCATTTCTGCCCTTCTGTTTCTGTTTTTTCGCCACTCTCCGTAACCACCTCCACCTATCCCGACACCGTCTCTCTTCTTTGCTCCTTCATCTGGAGTCCTTTTCGAACAAAACTTTTCATGTCCAAACGGCAGATTCCTTCCCCGTCCCAGAAAAAAAAAATTCCGCCGATCGACCCAAAAATACGAACTCCGGGACTTTTTGCCTGCACGGCTGCCCATTGTTCAGCTCCACAGCTTCCGTTATCTAATAAGGTGAGAGAAGGTGGAGCATATGTGCCTGTCAGAGTCGCCACAAGGGCGGTAGAGGCCGTTGCTTGTGCATCATTGTTGTCTGACACCGCGTACTGGTGTCAACCACAGCGCACCATATTCACACAGCACGTAAACCATGACATCTAAAGCCGTCATCCTTATTGGAGGACCTTCGAGGGGAACCCGTTTCAGACCTTTGGCTCTCGACCAGTCCAAGTACCTATTCCCGATAGCAGGCAAGCCCTTGTTGGCTCATACGATTGATGCGATTCTCAAAATAGAGAGCATCACGGAGATCCTGCTCATTGGCTTCTACGAGAACTTCATCTTTGAGGACTTCATCACGGACTACAACACCAGGTTGCGTTACTCGAACGTCAACTGCGTGATCAAGTATTTGAAGGAGTTCAAGGCATTGGGCACGGCGGGAGGCTTGTACCAGTTCAGGGACGAGGTTCTCAGAAACAACGCCTCTGACAACTTTCTGTTGGTTCACGGCGACATCATTTGCGCCTTCCCCCTGGTCCAGATGATCGAGAAGTTCGAGCATGTCAAAACGTCTTCCAAGCAGGGGAAGAAGTCGCCGGACGCAATCTTGTTTGGCGTCAACTTAGACCACTACAACTACGACTTGATGTTGACGATGAACTCGACCTACCACACGAGCTTTGGCTTGATTGTCGCAGACCCGCAGGAGAACGACAAGGTGATCCACTATGTCGAAAAGCCGGAGTCGAAAATCTCGAGTGTCATCAACGGCGGGATCTATTTGTTCAACACCAACGTCTTCAAGTTGCTCTCGGACGCCAAGATCGAGAAGATCAGGAAGGCCAACGACGAGAACTGTTTTGAGTTCATTGACGAGGATACCTTGTCCATTGAGCGTGATATTCTACAGAAACTTCCAGACCTGAACCGGACCTATGTCTACAACTACAAGGGTTTTTGGAAGACAATCAAGACCCCGGCCGATGCCATCGTTGCCAACGAGTTATACCTTGACCTCATCTACCAATCCAAACGGAGTGAGTCTCTTACTAAGCCGTCGATCAACATCAACCCTCCTGTGTTTGCCGACAAGTCGACGAAAATCAACTACACGAAAACCTGCAAAATCGGGCCCTACGTGTCCATCGGGAAAAACTGCGTGATTGGCTCGGGTTGCAGAATCGTCAACTCCATCATCTTGGACGGCGTCGAGATCGGAAACAACGCCATCATCAAGAACTCCATCATCTCCAAGAACTGCAAAATAGGCAACTGGACCAGAATCGAAGGCTCAGGCCTGAACTTGGTCAGCATCAACGAGCTCATTCGAAAGAACGGGACGTCCAAGATGAAGGCGTTGCTGGAAACAAACGAGAACTTCAAGGTCATTGGGATCAGAGATTCTGGAAACATCACCATTCTCGGTTCCAACGTCCAGGTCAAGGACGAGGTGCTGGTCTTGAACAGCTTTGTCCTTCCAAGCAAGCAAATCGGAGAAGATTTGAAGTATGAGGTGATTATGTAATGCACGCGTGTGCAAGTAAATACAGCAGCTTAGAGTAAGAATGTAAAAAGATAGCGGGAAAACTGAGGATGTGACGCGTTTTGGCGTAGGCGTATCGCTTCTGCTTTCCAGCAGGCCTTTTATTCCACAAGAAGGGGTTTCCTAAGTGCTTTTTCTCTCCCTGGGGTAAAGATTTCTTGTTGAGCATTGTGGCCCACCTTTGCTCTTCTTGTCAGGAGTTCTCTGATTGCCACTAAGTAAACAAGAGTTATTCAATTGAGCCAAAGATGGTTGCTGACGTGAAGAAACTGAAACAGGCGTCGTTGATGTCCTTTTTCTCGAAAAAGCCATCAAAGCAGACGGCGCCTGTAGCTAAGCCCGAACAACCACCAGCCTCTTCTGTTGACTCCATAACTCCTGAAAACTCACTTAATGATATTACCGTGAAACCCTCGACAGCATCCCTGAAGACGAAATGGGATGCAAAACAGAAGGAGGACAAGACAGAAAAGAAGAAAAAAGCTCCACAGACACCAAGGTCTTTGAAAAGAAAGAGGACGAGGGAGCTAGATTTGGAAGGCAGAAGTGAAAGTGACGATGTTGATGCCGCAAATGTGACCCCAACTACCGAAAATGAAACTGCAATGAAAAACATCCCATCTTCTCCCGTGGCGGCTCGCAGATCCCGGAAAGTCAACTACTCCGAACTGTCAGACCAAGATGAGGAGGATGAGGAGGAGGATGGGGACATTGTCAAACCAAAAAAGAAAAGAAAAGTCATTGCGTGGGATGACGCTGATGACGAGGATTTCGACTTGGGTATGGCAAAAAATAAGGATGATGAAGATGAATACAACAGTGGCAGTGACGAAAGTGACGACGATGATGCCAACAATGACAAAAGCGAGATTAAAGACGAGCTGACTGAGCTGACTGACAAAACTGTCGTTGATGATGATGAGGACGATATTGTGGAGGATGAGGCTTCAAAGCAAACGAAAGAAGCCAAACCTGTCGTCACAAGGAAGATAAACAACTTATCCAACATCCTTTCGAGCAAACCTAGACAAATGAGTGCTTCGATGACACCACAGAAAAAATTCAACAAGGAAAATGAGGAACGGTACCATTGGTTGATTGATGTCAAGGATGCCGACGGTAATTTGGAATCCGATCCAAATTACGACCCTAGAACATTGTATATTCCATCATCCGCATGGCTCAAATTTACGGCCTTCGAAAAGCAGTATTGGTCAATAAAGTCAAAAATGTGGGATACAATCGTCTTTTTCAAGAAGGGTAAATTTTTCGAGTTGTACGAAAAGGATGCCGATGTTGCACACTCGAAATTCGACTTGAAGCTGGCTGGTACAGGTAGAGCAAATATGAGATTGGCCGGTATCCCTGAAATGTCATTTGATTTGTGGACAAAACGATTTATAGATGCTGGATATAAAGTTGCAAAGGTCGACCAAAAGGAATCTCTGCTAGCCAAAGAAATCAGAGAGAAGAATGGATCGGCTAAGGATGCCAAGGAGTCGAAGGTTATCCAACGAGAGCTTTCTTATGTCCTAACATGTGGTACTTTGATTGATGAGAATCTATTGGACGATGAAATGTCTAAATATTGTCTTGCTATCAAAGAAACAGTTGACTATGAAAACAACACTAAAGTTTTTGGAGTTTGCTTTGTCGACGTTTCCACAGGGAATTTCCAAATTTTACAATTTGTTGATGACTTTGAATGTTCTAAGCTTGAAACTTTACTTTCACAAATTAACCCAATGGAGGTCCTAGTGTCTAAAAATGAAATAGACTTGCTAACTTTGAGAATCTTGAAATTCAATTCTAACCCAAATGCTTCGTTCAATTTCATAAAACCGGATCTTGAATTCTGGGGCCATGAGAAGACGGTTGACGAGTTGTCAAAGTTTAACTCATCTTATGATTTGAAAACCCCTGAAATTCTGAAAAGCTATTACGAAAAGGAAAACTTCTTGGCATTCTCTGCATTTGGCGCTATCTTTTGGTATTTAAGATCACTGAAGTTGGATGAGAACATAGTTTCAATGGGAAACTTTGGCGAATACGACCCATTCAGCAAGAAATTACTTAATTCTTCAATGAGATTGGATGGTGTGACTTTACAAAATTTGGAAATTTTCAATAACTCTTTTGACCAGTCAGACCGTGGTACCTTGTTCAAAATACTCAATAAAGGATTGACTCCATTTGGTAAAAGATTATTCAAAAGCTGGGTGATCCACCCGCTATTGAATAAGACAGCAATTGATCAAAGATTAGATTCTGTAGAACTACTACTAAATGACGGCGATCTGAAATATCTGATTGAATCTAAACTTAAGGGAATAGTGGATGTTGAAAGAATGCTTACAAGAATACATTCAAAAATCTTGAAGGCAAAGGATTTTGTTAGAGTGATTGACAGTCTTCAAGTGATTTCTGAATTAGTGAACGAGCTTAATAAATTCGGCGTCGACAGCCTTCAAGGTATGCTAAAAAAGTTGATTGTTGATTTTCCTATTTTAGAATTGGATGAGCTTTTGGAAAGTTGGAATGATAAGTTTGATAAGGATTTGGCGATCAATGAGGACATCATAGTCCCAAAGAGTGGCGTTGATGAAGAGTTCGATGAAAGCAATGCCAAGATATCCCAAATCGAAGAGAAACTTTCAGATTTACTGCGGGAATATAAAACAGAATACAAAAACAGTGAAATCTGCTACAAAGATAGTGGTAAAGAAATTTATTTGATTGAAGTACCAATCAAACTAGCTAGCAAAATTCCTCGGGATTGGCAACAGATGGCTGCTACTTCCAAGTGTAAAAGGTATTGGTCACCAGAGGTTAAGACTTTAGTGAAGCAGCTAATGGAACTCAGAGAATTGCACAAATCTATCTGTTTGAACTTAAAAGATAAGATTTATTCCAATTTCGATAAAAGTTATGATAAATGCATGAAAATAGTTTCTACTATCGGTAAAATTGATTGTTTGGTCTCATTGACTAGAGCATCCGAAGCCCTTGGATTTCCTGTTTGCAGACCGGAAATTGTTGACAATGAATACTCGTTCTTAGATTTCAAGCAGTTGAGACATCCATGTTTCATTCCCGGCTCTGGGATTCTTAATTCAAAAGATTTTATTCCTAATGATATTGCCCTAGGATTGAATAATGAGAACAGCATGGGATTGTTGACAGGTGCAAACGCAGCGGGTAAGTCAACTTTGTTGAGAATGACGTGTGTTGCCACAATCATGGCACAAGTCGGCTGCTTTTTACCTGCCGAAAGTGCAAGATTAACGCCCATGGATTCTATAATGACCAGATTAGGTGCAAATGATAACATCATGCAAGGGAAATCAACATTTTATGTAGAATTGCTGGAAACAAAGAAGATGTTAGATACAGCCACGCCTAGGTCCTTGATAATTCTGGATGAATTAGGTAGAGGAGGCTCTTCGAGTGATGGATTTGCTATTGCCGAATCTGTTTTGCACCATTTTGCTACTCATGTTCAGTCAATCGGATTTTTTGCTACTCACTATGCAAATCTCGGGCAATCTTTTGTCAACCATCCAAAAATTACTCCATTGCGCATGTCAATTTTAGTTGACTCTGAATCAAAGAAGATTACGTTTTTGTACAAGCTTGAAAGTGGACAATCAAATGGTTCTTTTGGTATGCACGTGGCTACAATGTGTGGCATACCCAAGCAGATTGTCGAGAGTGCCGATGTGGCTGCCAAAAAATGGGAGCATACATCAAAGCTACACAAAGCAAGTCTTGATTCAGCTTCTAAAATGCCTTTGGGATTGGAAAGTGATTTTAGTTGGTGGAGCCAAAACAAAGCACTTACTCCTTCTTTTGGTCCTTTCTTTGAAAAGGAAGCATTACGTTCTGCGTTTAGTATGATTGATGGTTTATGAGCGATTACGTAAACCTGTTTAAAATTTCATGATTTTGTTTAGAAATAGCTCTGTGTTACTACTACGACTAGCACCAGTTTACTTCCGTAAAATTTGTTTCCCAATTTTCGAAGGCCCTGAATAGTTGAGACTATGTCCACACTCAATGAAAAGTTGACAATACATAGTATCGATTCTAGCAGTAGTGACATTGCGACCGACAACGAGGACTCTGAATATCTGGATTCGAAGTCTAAAGCCAATCCTGTGGAACGATATTTAGATTCGCAAAGTAAGAGAAAACCCGCAACAGAAGGAACGCGATTATTTGATGAGACAGTTTTCAATGGAAAGAAGAAGGATCTCAATTTTGAAGCTACTGAAAAGAAAAATATTTTAGGAACAAAGAGAAGAAAGATAGATGAAGTAAGAAAGGCACAAAACATAAATAATAAAGACATCTGGGTTAATGAAACCAAACCGAAAAGTATAGTAGATTTATGCATTCATAAGCGAAAACTTGAAGACTTGAGGAAGGAAATCGATGAACTAGTTTTCAGCAAGTCAGACAGTAAAGTACTTATAGTTTCCGGCCCAAGTGGTAGTGGGAAAAGTACATCTGTAAAACTAATGGCCCACTCGGCAATGAAAAGTAAGATTGAGCTGTTGAAACAGCAAGTGGTAGGGTCTGAAATAAGTGATACATATGGGACCTCAATTGATAGTTCCGATGACTTTATTGTTGACTTTAATATTCTCAAAGATTCCCACAGTGGAAACTCTTCAGTCACATATTTTGGTGAATTTTTGGATCAATGCAAGATGTTGACTGGTTTTAATGAGAAATGTGTGGTTATTGAGGAATTGCCCAACATTTTTCATAAAGAGACGCATGTAGCGTTTCAAAGAGCGATCAAATCGTGGCTTGATTCGGATTCAAACTTTCAATTACCGCCTCTTATTATTTGCATCACCGAATATGACATAGAAAATGACCTTAATTGGAGCAGCGGAACATCGTTTACCATAGATAATACGGTAAAGGTGGAGACAGTGCTAGGCTACAAGCTTATGCAGTATGAAAATAATGGATGGAAACGAGTACGATTTAATAAGGTTGCTAAGACGTTCTTGAAAAAGGCTTTGAGCAGGGCTCTCAGTTTGGAGGGGATAAAGAAAAATAAAGTGATAGAGCTACAGGTAGAAAGACTATCCAGTTTGGGAGATTTACGCAACGCAATAAATACGCTAGAATTTTGGTTTAAATTTCAGTATGAGAGCGGCGTAGCCAAAGACTACGATGAGGACTCCATTGATGGTAAAGAAACAGGGCTCGATATTTTTCATTCTATAGGGAAGATAATTTATGGGACAAAGCATGAGAAAGAGGAGTTTGAAGATTTCAGGAAACGACACAATATCAAGATAGATGTTTCCCAAGTTGAGAGCGATGTTGTCACAGTTGATAATGTTAGTAGTGAGGTGATGTCACACTTGACCCGGTTCAATCTTTGTTGTTTAGAGAACTACTCTTTAACAAACCCTCCAATTTGCGACGATTTGAACCGATTGATGGATATACTCAGCATATCTGATGATATGGTGAAAAGAAGTGGAGGTTATGGCAACTCAAGTGTTTTACAAAACACTTCGTTTTATAATTGTTTTGGGCTTCGGATTCATTGTCAATCTCTGAAAGAGCAGGGTGAAGGCAACCTACCCCTTAACTCCAGCTCACGTGGGAAAAAACGTGTCATATTCAGTAGGGATTCCAAACTTAGGAAAAAGTTACACACCATTCAAAACGAAATTTTCGACTATCAGAAAAAGAGAGAGAAGAGCATGGTATCAGCTAAGGCTTATGCGCATCTGAACCAACTCGAAACGGTTCTCATTGACGGGTTCTACCAAAGCAATATATTGTCCAGTTATAAATACAAGTATCAAAGGTACCTCAAAGGGCAGAATATTTTGAAAATGGAGAGAATTGGTGGAAAGTTCACAAATTCTATCACCGCTGACGATGAATTCAAGGTAGATAATGAAGAAGAGAACGAGGAGGACGAATATGATGAGGGGCCAAAAAAAGCCTCAGGCCATGTGGCTGGGGCTGGCTCAGAGTCTGCAGAGGACGAATACTTTGGAGTGAAAAGCTTTGGCGCTGCTGACAGTATCGAGGCCACTGATGGGGCCGATGAATTTAGCGGAGGTGAGCTTGATTCCGATCCGATCGAGGAGGATAGTGATGAGGAAGATAACGGAGATAAGCTAGGACGTGGGAGAAACGAGGAAAATGATGATGACGATTTTTTCAGTGATGATTCGGCGGTGGTGAACGAGCTATTCTAGTATCTGAGACTACAAGTGCTCTTGGGCTTTATAGCAGAAATCGAGTTTGACGATCTCATGAAGTAGTCTTACACGGGAAAGGGAAAAGCAAAGGAAAAACTTTGGAGTTGAAATGGGAGTGAGATTAGAGGTAGGGGGGAATAAATATATTTGAAAAGCTTGTAAATTACTAAATATAGATTAGAGACTAGTAGTATATTCATTACTTTGAGCTGTTTGCTTCCTCGAGGGCGTGTTCGAAAAAGAGGTCATCGTCGCTCAAGTTCTCCTTGATGATGTCCAACCCGCCTTGGAACACGCCGCCGATGTATAACTGTGGGAAGGTTGGCCAGTCGCTGAAGGCCTTCAAGCCCTGTCTAACAGAGTCGTCCTTGAGGATGTCAAAGAAGCCGAATCGCACCTGGTGCTCCCTAAGGATGGCGACCATCTGTCTGGAGAACCCACACTGTGGGGCGGAGGGAGTGCCCTTCATGAACAGCATTATTGGGGCTGCGGTGGTCAATTTCTCCAATCTTGCATTCAACTGCTCTGGCGTTTCTTCCTGCTGGATCGTTGGAGCTGGCGCCGGGGTTGCCGTGGAGACAGTTGCCGTAGGGTCTGCGTTGCTGCTGGCGGTGGCAGCCTGGGAGCTGTCCCCGAAGGTGTCCAAGGCGCTGACAAACTCCTTGGGGTCTGCTCCGGTGAGCTCCTTCAAAATCGTTCCGTTTTTGATGAGCACAAAGTAAGGCACCGCCGTGATGTCAAACAAGTCAGAGATCTCCGGAAAGCTATCGGCGTTGATGGCGAGAAAGGTGGTGGATTTGTACTGGTCGGAGTCTGCTAGCGTGCTGATCACCTTGTTCATCTGGATGCAGGGGGACGCCCATGGGGTGTGGAAGTACAGCGCAATGAGCTTGTCCTTGACCGACGTGAGTTCCGAAAACTGGTCTTTGTCTGAGATTTCTACTAACACCATCTTTGTCTGTGTGTGTGTGTCTGTATGTGTGGTTATCCTGGGGAACTGAAAATATCTAAGTCTCGGTTGTAAACTGAAACAGAAACGTAGCCTAGAGAGAGCAGGGGCGCAGAAGGGAGAAGAGAAAGAAAACGGGAAATGAGGCGGGCAGCAAAGAAGACGTGTGGCACGCTGCCGTGACCAGAAGCCTTTCTGGTGGTGATAGGTGTGCACATCGCAGTTTCTTATAACCTGCCTGGAAAAGCTCACCACACCCCGCAGACAGGGCGTACCTTCCCGATGCGGCAACTGCACCACTGTCTGTGGCCATGCTGACATCTGGCCGCGCTGCCATTGGCTGTCGGCGCCCGCACCACAAAATCCGCCTTCCACCCTGCGTCTGTGCGGGAAGTTGGTTTATCGGACAAAACAGGATGGAAAAGCGCGAGACGACAGCAATACCGAAAGGGCAAGGTGCGGATTTTGATCCTATATAGTAACGATCATTTGCGCTGCTGAGAGCCTTTTTCAACATTTCGTTGGAGGATAATAAATCAAGAGTTGGTTGAATTGAATCATTGTTTCTTTTTTGTTTCGTTCTCTAACAATCCATCAGAATTCATCCTGGATAAGGTGATGAATGATGAGCCATCAACGTCCGTCATAGGTGAGGCGTTATTTTTGCGCATTTCTGTCTAGTATGTGGTAATCAACTAGATATCAGTATTATATATATAACGATAAAGGCCCTTTTTTATTGAGGTCTCTCAAAAATTGCCATTGTAAAATGGATGGAGTTCTCCTAAGACAATTGTTGTGCCCTTTTTACACCATGTTTCGTAATTGATTTTGTCTCACATGGAAGATGATTACCTAATCGCAACCACTCACAAGGTTCCCTTCATTCTCACCATACAAGTGTGCGGGGAGCGTGTTCCGGCGGGTCGGGTTGCGCGCCTATTTCCGGATCGGTGGTGGGGGAGAGCGGGCTGATAAGCGGGTGGGAGTTCCGAGGAGGCAGGGGCCAGGAGGCAGCCGTTGACGACGAAGAACGAAGGGTTGAAAAGGCGGGTGATTGCTGTTGTTGCGTTTCTTGTTGTGAGTTGTATCTTCCTCTCTTCTGGAAGACTCTGCAGCCAGTGGAAACACAGCAACACAGCAACACAGCAACATCAACTAAACAGCAACAATGGTCAGAGTTATCACGTGGGCAGAATGCGGACTTCCTGTGGCGTCTCCGATCTTGGACGCCTGCACCGTGACCAAGAGCGGCATGGTGTACACCTCGGGCTCTGTCGGGTCTGATGCGGACGGGAAGGTCCCAGAGAGCGTCGAGGAGCAGACGGAGGTTGCGATCAAAAACTTAGAGACGGTGTTGAAGACCGCGGGCAGCTCTTTGGACTCGGTGGTCAAGGCCTTGGTGTTCGTCACGGACCCTGCGCTTGTTCCCAGGGTCAACGGTGTCTATGCCAAGTACTTCAAGACAAAGCCTTCGAGATCGTGTGTGATTGCCAAGTTGGCTGCTCCGCAGTTCCTCGTTGAGATCGAGGTTGTTGCGGAGGTCGAGTAGACGCCGCGTGTTCTCTAGACTGATATAGCGTTGCGGTGCAACTTTTATACTAATACACAAAGCAATTCTAACTGTAAACAGATTAGGAGCATATACTACAGGCCGGCGGCTCACTGGTACTGGAACTGCTGCTGCTGCTGCTGCTGCTGCTGTTGGTAGTAGCGGCTGTCGTCCTGCGAGGCGCCCGGGTCCAGCGGATCCTGCACGTCCTCAGGCAGCCCGCCGCCGGCGCCCTCCTGGTACTGCTGCTGCGGCTGGAAGAAACCCTGCGGCTGGTACTGGCCGTAGAGCTGCTCGTCGGACATGGGAACCGGCATCTGCACGTTCGGGTCGGCCTGCATCGGCTGGTTCACGACCGGGGCCATGAGGTTGCCCTGGCTCTTGCGCTTCGGCCGCTCCTCCTCCCGGGGCACGATGTCGATGAGGAAGTCAAACATGTCCGACTTCTGCAACGCAGCGGCGATGTCCGACTTCTGCAGCGTGCGTCTCTTGTTCTCCTCCGCGTGGATCCACGCACGCATGGTCAACTCCGTGATGAAGATGTCGCAGCCCTTCGCAAAGAGGATCGGCGCCTCCGCAGAAATCATCTTTACCTCCTCGTCCGTCTTCATCACCTTCTTGATACGGGCCAAGGGGAGCTGGTGGTTCTTGAAGTCGTGCTCGTCACGCTCGATGGAATCGATCGTGTTTTGCCAGTACTGCATCATGTAGTTCTTGTACTTGCCCACCAGGCCCTGTGCCACGTTAGCAAACGCCCCAGACGGCTCGTCCAGGTCGTCCTCGAGGTCGTCCTCGTAGTCGTCCCCAATCTCGTCCTCTTCGTCCTCGTCTCCCTCGTCTTCTTCGCCGTCGCCGTCGCCGTCCTCGTCCTCCTCTTCGCCATCGTCCTCCTCATCCACCATCTCGTCGTTATTCTTGTCGTTATTCCTGTCGTTAATATCGGTGTGTCTTCCACCATGTTCATTGTCAAAATTACTTGATGAGGTATTGCTGTTATTCTTGGTGCTATTATCTCCGCTCAGGTCTGGTATCTCTCCTATTGTATTGACATCCATCTCGTCCAGCGACGCCATTCCAGAACTAGACGTTCGCTGTCCACCGGCGCCGCTGGCTTTGCTGTTATCGTTTCCGCTGTTCTCGTCACTGCCGCTGCTACTGGCACTGCCTCCTCCTTCTGCTCCTCCCCGTACCAGCCCCGTCTCGCTCTCCTCTTGCTTCACCCGTGCATCGCCAAAGGTATCCTCCATGGCTTGTGTGCTGTTACCTGGTCTGTTCGAGTCCGCCTGCAGCCTGAACCGCTGGTCCTGGACGAGACCCCTGTTGCTACGATCGCCGAGAACTTCATCACCGACGCCGGCATTATTCTCATGACGATTTCCAGCGCTATTCTCACTGCCGTTATTTCGTCTCATGCCTTGTTCGAGGTTTCCGTCGAGGGACTCCGATCGATTCCCGGCTGCACCATTCATGCTTTTCAGGCCGACAGTATCGCTTTGCTCCCTGGCCGTCTTACTTGACCGTTGTTGGCTCCTGGTCTGGCGACTCGGTGACATCGGCCTTAAGATGGCCCACACCAGAGGGGAGAGGAAAAAACGGAGAAAAACACAGGGCCGGTCGCCAGCCTTTCTTCACCGGAGCAGTCCATTACTACGTACGCCGCTGCTGCTGCCGCCACGCCTACTGTTGCTGCCGTACTCCCCATCCTGGCTAGGCGATGTGGTCCGAACAGACACGCTCTTCTTGGACTCTGTTTCTGTCCCCCAGGGGCCGTCCTTGCCCTTCTTTCGTCCCTCCCCCCTCTTCTGCCCGGATTTGGGACGATCGGCGCGAAAAACGGCTGTGCAAAGGCCCTGCGTTTTGTCCCAGCCCGAAACGGAAAGGAGATCTCTGGCGGACTGGCCTCTTGAAGGCTGGTGGTGGTGAAGGTGGTGGTGTAGGTGGTGGTGTGCAAGTAGTCTTGTGCCCCCTCTCTCTGCGTAGACACGGCCGTGAGGATCAGATATGACGTCGGCAAACCCGTTCATCTCGTTCAGCGAGGTGACCGACGGCAGGGGCAAGAAGGAGCACAAGCAGACATTCGATGAACTCTACGGAGAGCCGGAGAACTTTTTGGAAATCGAGGTGAAGAACCCCATCACGCACGGCAGCAAGTCGTCCAACATGTATACGGATTACGAGATAGTGTGTAGGACCAACATCCCGGCGTTTAAGAAGAAGTTTTCCAAGGTGAGAAGGAGGTACAGCGACTTCTACTCCTTCCGCAGCATTCTCGAGAACGAGACGTCGAGAGTGGTGATCCCCAAGTTGCCGGACAAGTCCATCTTCAGCTACTCGAACCGCTTCAGCCCCGAGTTCATCGAGGAGCGGCGCCACGGCTTGGAGCACTTCATCAACGTGGTGGCGAGCCACCCGCTCCTACAGACGGGCAGCCGAAGTATGATTTGCTTCATCCAGGACGACGTGTGGGACAAGACGAGGTTCATCTCGGCCTGAGCCGGCGCCGGCTCAGGCCCGGCGCCGGGCCTGTCTACGTGTGTGTATAGCTAGCTAGCGTCTATAGCGAAAGAACCCCGACTGCGTATATCTTGGATCCGTGTGGGCCCACGGGGCCGCCACCCGCCTGCGTGTCCATGTGAGGTGCGACGGCGAGGCGGCCGGCCCGGGTCTGGTCTCGCCTCCGCGGCGAGACGAGGGGAGCGGCCGCTGGCGCTGTCTGCGTGCAACGGCTCGGTCGGGAGGGTTGGGTGACGGCGGCGTGGACCGCAGACGCCAGGACCAGCGCCAGGGGGGTCTCGGGAGAGGCAGAGAAGGAGAACGGGGACGGCACGGGGCAGACGGCACGGAGCACCGACAGGACGGCAGAAAACCGCCCGGTGGACTGTCCGCGGACACACAGCAGCAGCAGCAGCAGCAGCAAAAGCAGCAGCACAGGCAGCCGATCTCCTTTCCTGATTCAGTTTGCCCTCCCCGCCCGCACAAGCCCTCTCTTGACCGTCTCTTGAGCTTGTCCGACCAGCACTCCTCCCATCCTCCCTCCGGTCTATGTCCTTGAACACGTTGTTTGCACAACCACTTCGATCGAGACTGTTCAGCCACACAGCTGTATACAAGCGGCCCCTTAGCAGTGGCATTGACTTTGGATTCTCCCGACTCACACCCAGCACCCGCAGCACCCTTGCGCACCGCTTCAACCGCCCCACCACCAACCGCTTCCGACTCACCAGCATGATGGGCCTCGTGACGATCTCCGACTCCATCAAGGACGCGCTGTACAAGAGCGAGGTGATCCCCACCGTCATCCACGACGACCACTTCACCCCGAAGGGCTTCTTGATGATCCAGTACAAGGACAGCGACAAGGAGGTCACCATGGGCAACACGCTCAAGGTGGCCGACACCCAGGAGAAGCCTGTGGTCCACTTCACCCTCAACCTCTCGGACGACCACAAGAAGAGCCCCGTCAAGGGCTCCCGCGGCGGCGGCGCCGCCGCCGCCGACGCCCCTGCCGCCTCCCCTGCCGCCGCCGCCACCCAGATCCGCCCCGACGACCGCTTCACCTTGGTTCTCACAGACCCGGATGCCCCCACCAAGGGCGACGACAAGTGGTCCGAGTTCTGCCACTACGTGGTGCGCGACATCAAGCTCAACGACTTCACCCTTGCTGACACCGCCCCTGCTCCCACCACCGCCGACGGCAAGAACGACATCGACAGCTTTGGCGACAAGTTGACCACCGTGGACCTGCAGGGCGACGCACTTGTTCCCTACATGGGTCCCGGGCCTCCTCCGAAGACCGGCTTGCACCGCTACGTGTTTTTGTTGTACAAGCAGCAGCGCGGCAAGCGGCCCGACGCCCCTGCCGACCGGCCCTGCTGGGGCACGGGCGTGCCTGGCTCGGGCGCCACCGAGTACGCCCACAAGCACGGCCTGGAGCTCTATGCCGTCAACTTCTTCTATGCCAAGAACGAGCAGCAGTGAGCCGCTGCGAAGACACGACAGTCTCCGCTCCCGCTGGCCCGAGCCCGGGCCCGGGCCCGGGCCCGACCCCGGCGCTCACCCCTGGATAGCACCGTACCCCACCCCGTCTAGCCTTGTGTATGTCCCAGCACCCAACAACACGATCACGAACATGGACCCCGCCAGAGACTGGATGAGCCGCCCCAACGGGCATGACGTCAGCACCGTCGCACGTGACACCCCCTCCCGCTGCCCCTCTTTGTCTCCGCCGCTCCGCCGGCGCGCCGACGGGGTACAATGGCAGCACAAGCAGACCCCCTCTTTGCGGTCCGGCGGCGCTGGGGCGGAGTGCTCCGAGACCCGTGGCCCACGCGGGCGTGGCCCGCGTGGCCTGCCCGGGGCCCGGGGATTGTGCCGCCACCCCCAGCGACGGGCTTAGCGCGAGGTGGGGGTGTGTCGGGGCAGGTGGCGGAGTCCACCGGTTCGGGGGGCGAGCAGTGGTGTGGTTGGTCGATGGCCCGAGGGGGGGAGACGGAGAGGAGGGGGTGGAGCAGGGCAGCAGCAGGGCAGTATAAGAGGAGACGGGTCTGCCTCTGTTGCAGCAGATGTGGTGGCGCCTCCCTGACACACAGAAGAGTCAATTGTCTGGTTGTAGCACCAGCACTAGCCTCAGCACTTGACAGCTACTCCAAGGCTACACAAACAACATGTCTGCAGAAACAACCTACGAAATCCCAGAAACCCAGTACGGGTGCATCTTCTACGAGAACGGGGGCCCGATCGAGTACAAGAAGATCCCTGTGCCTAAGCCTAAGCCTACGGAGATCCTCATCAAGGTGCTCTACTCCGGCGTGTGCCACACAGACTTGCACGCGTGGCACGGCGACTGGCCCTTGGACGTGAAGCTTCCGCTCGTGGGCGGGCACGAGGGCGCCGGGGTGGTGGTCGCCAAGGGCTCGAACGTGACGAGCTTCGAGATCGGCGACCTCGCCGGCATCAAGTGGCTCAACGGGTCGTGCATGGGCTGCGAGTTCTGCGAGCAGGGCGCCGAGCCAAACTGCCCCAAGGCAGACTTGTCCGGCTACACGCACGACGGCTCGTTCCAGCAGTACGCCACCGCAGACGCCATCCAGGCCGCCCACATCGCCAAGGGCACCGACATGGCCGGCGTGGCGCCAATCTTGTGTGCCGGTGTGACGGTGTACAAGGCGTTGAAGACCGCCGACCTCAGCGCCGGCCAGTGGGTCGCCATCTCCGGTGCCGGCGGTGGATTGGGCTCCCTCGCCATCCAGTACGGTAAGGCCATGGGCTTGCGGGTGCTCGCCATCGACGGCGGCGACGACAAGAAGCAGTTGTGCGAGTCGCTCGGCGCAGAGGTGTTTGTCGACTTCACCAAGTCCAAGGACATTGTCAAGGACATTGTCGACGCCACCGGCGGCGGTGCCCACGGTGTCATCAACGTGTCCGTCTCCGAGAAGGCCATTGCCCAGTCCTGCCAGTACGCACGGATCTTGGGCAAGGTGGTCCTCGTCGGCTTGCCTGCCGGCGCCCAGGTCAAGACCCCGGTCTTCGACGCCGTCGTCAAGTCCATCCAGATCAAGGGCTCCTACGTCGGAAACAGACAGGACACCTCCGAGGCCTTGGACTTCTACTCCAGAGGCCTCGTCAAGTCCCCAATCAAGGTGGTGGGTCTCTCCGAGTTGCCTCATGTTTTCGAGATGATGGAGCAGGGCAAGATCTTGGGCAGAATGGTCTTGGACACCTCCAAGTGAGCCTCGCCCCCGCCCCCGCAACCTAACGAACTTCCATCCATCTATCTATCTATGTGTATGACGAAAATATCTTCTTTTGTACTTTTCTACTCGATTACGCTCTACTCTCTACTCTCTACTCTCTCTGCTTGCCTGCCAGCAACATGATTTTACCACTCCAACCCCCGCCCCGGCGCGGATAGGCAGCGCAGGTGCGGTGATGCTTTTTGAACTTCCGTCAACCTATCCTTCGTGCTCCCGGCGTTGCTAGACCTGCCCGGCGTTGCCCAATCCCTCTTCTCCGTAACCACCCACTCCTCCACCTCTTCCGGACAACAATGGTGCAGATCAGCTCGGAAGACTCAACAAAGCTCCAGTTCAGGAAACTCTCCGACCCGGACGACTCGCCGCTCGTGTCCTTCTACAAACATTGCTTCAGATACGCCTCTCCCAATTTGTTCATATGGGGCCCGCTAGCGCCCGCCCACGACGCCCTCTTGGCCCGCTCGGCCATGGCCCGGATCCAGATAAGTGTCGGCTTCTTAATCTTTGTCACCACCTTTAGAAAATACCCCTCCACGGTGGGCACCCTCAGAAGAGCCTTTGTCCGGCTCAGCTCCTTCACCTGCGGCTCCGCGTTGATGTTGACCGGCATGCGGGAGTTGACCTACTTCTACCACCCAAACTCAAACCCGCTCTACGTGGAGATCCAGTTGGCCCGCGAGTTGTCCCTCTTGGACCCGGCCAACAAGGGCCAGCCCGTCAAGGGCAGCTACTGGTTCGGTCCAAAAAACTTCATGCCCATGAACAACGAACAGTACTGGAAAATGGTCTATTCCATGGAGGTCAACGATATCATGGCAGACCAGTATTTGGAAAGCCCTTTGTTGACCAAGTGCCAGGCCCTTTTGGACAAGAACTACGGCGAAACCTCAGTCGTGGAACTAAAAGCCGATGAATTGACCTCCAGAATCGAAGATATCGTTCATCGCGACACCAAGGAGCAGGAAGTCCACCATTCCATCGTCAATGACAAAAATAACAAGCTCTTCCCTCTATTCGAAAACATAGAGGGGAGTTCAAAAGCTAAAACACTCATCTACTGGACTAGAAATAATCCCTTCGACGCCTTGCAGCTTCAAGAATACAAGGAGTTTTACGCATACATGTTCCCACGTATGCATTTCGAGGCGGATACCGTCAGAAAGGAAAACAAGTGACTGTTAGCTCCATTAGCCGTTCAATTCATAATACTCCATTGTCACTGTAAATAACCAAATTCTCCTCCTTCCTGCATTTTTCTTTGTAAAAACGAATACTATAGTATATTTTAATAGACGAAACACTACTAATGATAATTGATAAGAAAAGGAATAAAATAAACAAAAACAAACAAAAAGAAATCGATCCATATTTTTGCCTTCCTTCGTTCGCAAAAGTTCAGAGTTAATATCTTCTTTGGCCTAATGGGGCGTTGTTGCTACCGCTTCTACCACCACCATTTCCACCGAATCTACCTCTTCCACCTCTTCCTCCACCGAATCTACCTCTGCCTCTTCCTCCACCGTTTCCGCCTCTACCCCATTGCTTCTTGTCCAAAGCTTGTAACTCTGGAGAAACTTCTTGGTTGGCTTCCTTGAGAATAACAATCAAATCGTGCGCTTGGTTATTGTCACCTCTGGTGAATAGAGTGATGGCAGTACCCTTGGCACCTGCTCTACCAGTTCTACCAATTCTATGCACGTAATCTTCAATATTAGTTGGCATATCGTAGTTCATGACACATGTAACACCCTTGACATCTGTAAAACAAAAAATGAAAATAATTCGAAAAAAATAAATGTTAGTATCATTGCGCTTCAACACAGAAACTAGCCCATTCAATCTCCATCAAGGGCTTCAGTTCCCATAACTTTCTTCTCTTCTTTTCTCCTCATCTGCTCCCAATACAGACATCAAACTACAAATAAGGGCACCCTTCTGCACTTCAAACCATTCTGTGAGAAATGCAACCATTACTTTATTTCGTTAGTTTACCTTTTACTCGACATTTGCTCCATGGTCTGAAAAAGCAGACATGTACTGAACAAAATGTCTCCCCAATTTCCATGCCTTAAATCTATGAGTTCATCAAGAAAAAAAAAAGCTTATATTAGCCAGCTATAAATGTGTTATATGATATTGCATGTTTATATAATGATCCGTGTATTATGTCCAATGTCCCAAATGTCCCAAGGTTTCCAATTTCCCAATTCTAATTTCCCAAATGTTCATGCAATAAAATAACAACATAAAAGCTAATACAGCATTTAGTTCCGTCTTAGATCTTGATTGACTCAAAATGCGCAGCATTAGAAAATCAATTAAAAAGTAAATGTAAGAAACAAAATAACGAGCTGAAGACAGAATCTTGAGAAGCCAAATATAAGTCGCCAATAAAACATTAACAACGCTTATACTCGTATCAATCAAACTGTCAGCAGATCCCCTTAATTTGATACTTGCTCTGTAGGTTTTTTTCTATCCCTTCATCCTCATAACAAAACATGCTATTAAAACAAGTAAGCTATGAGGATCATAGTTCCTCTTAGCCAGAAAAGGAACGGAAAAACGAAAAAAGAAAGTAAAACGAAGAAGGAAAAGTTAGTAAAAATAAATGTATGCTGTTTTCAATACGTACCGATACCTCTGGCTGCAACGTCGGTAGCAACCATGATTGGAGATTTTCCGGATCTGAATTCTTGTAAAACCCAGTCTCTTTCTCTTTGTTCTTTGTCACCATGAATAGCAAGTGCAGGCCAACCTTCACTTCTCAAATATGAGGTCAATTCATCACAACTTCTCTTAGTGGATGAGAAAATGATAATCTTGGAGCTTTCATCAGCCATTTCCGTCTCGACGTATTTGGCAATCTTGTCTCTCTTTTCAAAATCGGTACAAACATCAACAACTTGCTTAATGTTGTGGGATGCTGCTAAGTCTAATGATCCAACATTGACTTGGATGTAGTCGTTCAAGTAATCTCTAACTAAGCCTTGAACAGATTTTGGCCAAGTTGCGGACCACATCAAAGTTTGTCTATCTGGTCTAATTTGGTCAACAATCTTTCTGATTTGAGGTTCAAAACCCATATCCAACATTCTATCAGCTTCATCCAAAACCAAGTAGGTAACTCTTCTTAAGTTGGTCTTACCCATTTCTAACATGTCTAATAATCTACCTGGAGTAGCAATACAGATCTCAACACCTCTGGCCAAGTCTCTTATTTGCTGTCCCTTTGGAACACCACCGTAAACACAGGTGTTTCTGATTCTGGAAGTCTTACCGAACTTGGAACATTCCTTTTGGATTTGAACAGCCAACTCTCTGGTTGGTGCCAAGACCAAAACAATTGGACCATCGCCTGGCTTTAACAATGGTTGAGCATTGATATGGACAATCGATGGCAAACAGTAAGACAAAGTCTTACCAGAACCAGTAGCCGCAATACCAACCATGTCTCTACCAGACAAAGCCATTGGCCAACCTTGACATTGAATACCAGTTGGCTTTTCGAAACCTTCGGCTAAAACTTCCTTCAAAACATAATCTGGGAAACCAGCTTCTTGGAACGAAGTGATAGGTCTTGGAATATCGTGACCAGCAATGGTCATTTCGTTCTCTTTTCTAAATGCAGCGATTTCGTCGTCACTTCTAGCAGTAACTTGGGGGTCTTCCTTGTAAAAGTTCTTCTCAAACTTAGGTAAAGAACTAGGGTCCCAGTCCTGCTTCTGCAAGCCAGATCCAAGTTCACGGTCTTCCCTGCTGAAGCTACCACGTCCTCTGTAACCACCACCGTTGTCGCCACCGTAACCACCAGTTTGTCTATCGTCTCTACCGAATCTGCTTCTGTCACCTCCACCGTATGATCTGAAAGATCCTCTGTTATCGTTCTCGTAACCCATTATTGCTCTAGTCTATGTCTAATTGTTGGTTTTGCGATATTTTCAAGAAAAAAACCGAAATGCAATTCCTACAAGAAGAAGAAGATTATGGGGGAAATAGGTGAAGAAAAAAAGGCAGCAAGATTTAAGTAGTAGATAAAAAAAATTCTGCGAGAAAAATTTTCATGTTTTTTCTTTTCTTGTTGAATTTTGCATTAAATCGTATTTAATTCTATTTTGTTTTACTTTATTTGAATTAAATTTATATTTATATTTTATTCGATTTATTGAATCTTTATGGTACATTGAATAGAGAAGAAACTATATATAATTGACAAAAGTTTGTCAAAGAGTCAGTTGCCCATCGGGGGAGGAGGGGATAAGAAAAGGGTAACTTTTCCCGTAATCATGGTTCTTCGATGCTGTAGTCCTTGGCAGCCACTTGCGTGCTGAACACTTCTTCCACATGGGAACAGAGGTCGGACAAATCATCCAGACCCTTATGTAATGCTTCGACGGCAGTCATCCCGCCATACGTTTGGATTCGTAAATTCAGCTTGTTTTCACTAGGATGTGGAATGGAGTACCCGCAGAACTCGACCTCCGAATTCTTCATTATCATGTATCTCAATGCGTTACCCAAAGTATGGTCTTCATCAGTTATTTGGAATGAGGCTGCAAATCCGTCACTTGTAGCACCTGGAAGGAGTGTGATCTTGGAACGATCTGCCTGAACGTCGTCCTCTTCGTTATCAACTGCAATTTCATCTGCGTTAACAGTAGTTGTTCCGTTTCCGTTCACTCCTGCATCGGACATTTCTACGTCCACATCATTATTTGTTTCTTTCTTCTCAACACTACTCATTTTCGCTGTCTGATATGGCGCCGACCTGTCTTTTCTCCGATAAGTCTGCTCTCAGGGATCTCGTTCTGTGTTGAAAGGTATAAGCTGCAAGGCCAGGAGAGAAAAAGATCTAGTAGGGGAGAGAAAAAATTATGCCATATGAAAAATTTCTGTTCCTGGTGCACTGGCTTCACAAACTTTACCGCCATGATTATGAAAACAAATCAATCTTTAGCTGAAAGATAGGTCGATATATGGATATATAAATATGGATTGAAAGCTATGCAACCCGGTACATAACAATACATTACACTGTGATTAGCCGCTACTTCCTCACGTGGCTTTCTTGCCGAATACTACTACAATCATGTCTTCTATGCTCCTAACTCCGGCTTGGGAAAGTTTCAAAGATCAGGCTATTGTCCCTGATCTGGCTCGAGAGTCTCCTTGCGAGCCTTGCCACGTCCCTTAATACCTTTGTTGAGGTTCTTGTACAAGCTTGAAAAGTAATCTAGAAGATCCTTCTCACTTTTGGGCAGACTGTCGTAGGACCCAATGCCCTCTCCCAACTGAGCGAGCTTGTTAAACAGTTCATTGATGGTATCTAAATGGAACCTGTTTTGGTGTGCTTTCAAGTTCCCCAACTGCGTGAACCCTTTGTTACACCCGTCAAACTTGCAAATAAAGGGCTTGCTATTGTCGTGTGTCAAATGGTGCGCCTGGAGATTACCTTTCCGGCTGAACTGTTTATCACATATGTTGCATTTGAACGGTTTCTCACCCGTGTGTAGCCTCATGTGTGTTCTTAGGTTTCCACCTTGGGTAAATCTCTTGTCGCAAAATTCGCATTTATAAGGCTTCACACCCATATGTGATCGAAGATGGACGTCGAGATGTGTGGACTGAGTGAACTTTTTCTGGCAGTATTTGCATTGATGACTCTTGTCACCTTTGAGTGAAGTTTTCTCAACCCCACCTACCAATTCAATAGGATTAGGTAGTATGTTTTCTTCGTCTATGTTGCCATCTTCGGATTGCTCAATGTTTCCACAAACACCCTTTTGCCTAGCTTGTATAATTAGCATAAGTTGATCCACTTTCGTAGCACCGACTAAAGGCCTGCCATCATCACGTTTCAAAGAGGAATTTGAGTTGATCAACTTCTTTTCCTCATACTCGTCCAAGGCACGTTTATTCTTTACTTTAATTTGCTGGTTATGTTCAGGCTTCTTCGTCTGTATACTATTGTCACCGTTTAACTTTCTCGGTGATTTTTTCTTCGCAGGTCCTTCTTCACTTTCTTGATTCGTGATGTTTTCCTGGTTCAATTCTGATTTCTTGCTTCTCTTTCTCTTTCTGGAGGAAGTGGAACTCAAATCCATATTATCATCTTTACTCTCAAGTGATTCGCGTGCTTGAGTAGACAAAGGTGTAGATGGTTTAACTTGATGTGGGGACGTCTGATGTTGAAGTAGTTGCGGAGCCTGATGTGGTTGATGCTGAGAATAAAGATGCTGTTGTGATAGCTGCATCTGCTGCATTTGCAACTGTTGGTACTGTTGTTGTTGTTGGACAAACAAATGCGGGTAAACTTGATGTTGTAACATGAATTGATGAGGTTGTTTGATGTTGTGCAAGGGAGCAGTGGCGGACTGTTTGCTTCCTTGGGGGATCTGTGGTTGTCGTTGTGGTCCTGAATGTTGGGGTATTTGCGATGTTTTAGATTGATCTTGTGGAGACGGTTGGGTATCATGCTCTGGTTGCGGTTGCGGTTGTGGTGCTACTGCGACTGGAGGTACTGCGATTGAAGGTGGATAAGAAGGCTGATTCAATGTGGGGCCAAAAAGATGACTCAAAGAGGAGGTGCTAGCTCTTGATGGGAACGAAAGTTGGAAAATGGAGTTTGCTCTTGATTTCGCCTGAGGTTCTGGGAGTTTGCCATTAACAGCTGCATCGTTAGACTGATCCAAAGCACCTGCCTGTAATGGGTCAAAGATCTCTTGAATACCGCTGCTATCTCTTTTGAGAAATGAGTCGAGATCTGCAGGATTCAAATCTTCAGGCAGATGTATTGTTGACGGGAATTTTCTTAAGAAAAAGCTGCCCTGTCTAGAGTTGGCGGAACTTGGAAGCATCGAATGCGCTGGAGATGAAGTTTGAAAATTGTTATGGTTAGAAAAAGTCGGACCATTTGGAATATTAGGAGCATTAGGGGCAATAGAACTGCTTGTTCCGTTCCTGGAAGATGAATTCACGGAACTCCGGTTCGTCGAAGGAGCTGACATTGGCTTTGTCGGAAGCTGTGCCTTCGATCCGAGATACAAATCCGATTGCTCACTTGACCTTCGGGTCGAGTTCAGGTGGTCTGTTGCTGTTGAATTGAGGTACTTATCTGGGTTAAAAGGTTGCATCATTCCAAAGCTACTGAAGCTTTGTCCCACTGCAAGGTTGGAAGACGAATTCCGAGCCATGGTGTTATTGTTCGATGACAAGGAGTAGTCTCTGGAGTAGTCGTGGACCGACGGATCAAAAAAGCCGTACTGGCTAGGAGCGTTTGGATACATGGTATTTCCGTAAAGGAATGGCATGGAGCTGTTGTTAGAGGGTATTGAGTTGAACACCACTTTTGTATTGTTGGTGTTGCTACTACTAATATTATTGTTGTGGTTGTTGTTACTGTTATTGCTGTTGCTGTTGCTGTTTCCGCTGCTGGCAATACTAAACTCACCACTCCCAGTGCCGGTGTTGCCGTTGGTAGAGGTACTGCTAATGTGATGGAAGCTAGATGGGAAGAGACTCATGTCGATTGACGGGTTTGACTGCATGTCCACGTTGTGTAAGATGGAGTTCCTTCGGCTTCCAAATTGATAAGCCGTGTCTTCGGAAATCGAGTTCAGCCTTGGGAAGCTGCTATAGTTTGCGGAGACGGAGGTCCCTGGTGTCGGGTAGACGTTTGCGAAATTGTGTGCCAGCTGTGGGAACTGGCCCATTCCTAGCGGGGCCGCCGTGGTGCTGTTGTTCATCTGGGAGAAGACATGGGACGGGTAGGACGAGTACGGCATATGGGAGAGTTGCTGCTGGTGGAGCGGTTTTGAATGGGAGGAGGGGAGTTCCGTGGGGGCTGGCGTGGCGGCAGAGGTGGGCGGGATGGCAGCAGTCCGAGGGACTTCTCCAATGTCCGCCATCGTGTCGGTGTCTGGGTGGTGGCTGTCCTTGTCCTTTGAGCTTAGGTCCGCCAGGTCAGAGTCCGCCGGTTTCGACTTCGGGGACATGGCAGAGGGTCTGCTCATGGGCGCCGGGCCCGGTCTTTTCTTGTGTCTTGTCTTTCTCTTGGACGACTGCGTGTGTTTGGACCCGTGTGCAGTGTCCTTGGGGGCGGCGCCGTCGCCTTCCTTGGCGTCTTCTGCAGCGGCGGCAAGGCCGGTGCTGGCGTCGGTGGTGCTGCTGGGGTCACTAATCTTGGGGGTGTTGCTGTTTTTCGTATCGTTCGTGTTGCTGGGGTGTTTGTTGCCGGTGCTGCTGCCGCTGTTGCTGCTGTTGCTGCTGTCATTGTTGTTGTCTCGTAGTGGCACCGAACCCAGGGGAAGATATTGCGAGTTCAACATGGCCGTGGGGTGTGCACACGCAGACACAGCACGCTGGGGACAGGGAACGGTGGACGGGGAGAGCTTGTAAGGATGTAGAGAGGGCGGCGTGCGGGGGCGTCAAAGGGCCGAGTAGCGTGTGCCTGCTGTGGAGGGGTTCTTCTAGGAGCAGTTTTCCATGGAAAGGTACCCGGGTTGCAGCAGAAAAAGAAAAACGGGAGATACTACTACTGGTGCCCCTAGGCTGGCACGAACATCTGAATGGCCACGATAACGTCCGGCCTCTTGTGCGTGGAGAAACAACAATGGGGGCGGAAGGCGGACACCAACACGAGAGGAGCACCACGAGAGAAAACGAAAACGAAAACGACCATACAGACGAGCAGAAGAACAAACACCCCAGCCAACAATACCCGCCAACGACTCACACCCACACCCACACACGGGGAAGCACCGAACAATTCGCAATCCCGGCGCCTGCACCCGACCCTGATGGCGAAGCATGGATTGGAGCCGGAGGATCCATGCTGCAGGGAGGCCATGTCCAGAGAAGAAAAGACAAAGTGAGACGGTGGCAGAAAAAGAAAAGAATGGCCATGCTTTGTGTCACCGCCGGTCTGCAGCTGCGTATCCGGGCACGCTGCCGCCGGCCGGGGCCCAGGGGAGGGGCCGGGATGCGGCCGGTGGGGGCTGCCGCCGGCCGTGGGCACATCGGGCGGCAGCGGCGGGGGGGGCGGGGCCGGGCGATGCCGGCGGCGGAGATCTGCACGGGCGGTTCGTGACGGTGCGGATGGGGCGTTGGGGGCGGGCCCGGCGGGCGAGACGCCACGGCGGACAGCGCATCGCGTGGCAGAGCATGGCGGCGGCTGTTGGCTTTGGTGGTTGTGGTGTGCGTGCCGTGTCCGGGGGCGTGGTCGGCAACCCGCGTGCTGGGGCGGCCCGGCAGAGGAGGGGGCGTTGTGGGCGTTGTGGGCTTCTCTGCGGGCGCCGCCGCCGCCGCCGGCCGGCCCCGGTGCATGAATGGCCTCGGAGGGAAGAAATGAACAAACAAAAAGGTGCTGCATGCGCGGCGGGTCCGGCTGGTGCATGAGATGCAGCTGCAGGAGAGGCAAACACAGACGAAGCAGGGCACACCGAGGAGGACCAGGCAAGGCAAGCGGGTCAGAGTACAAAGATACACAGTCGTATAGTATACATGCTACTTGGGGTCGAGCTCGCCGTCGCTGGTGTCTCGGCCCAGCTCGTCGCCGGAGGAGTTCTTGGTGTTGCTGGCGCTGGCGCTGGCGCTGTCGCTGGCCCGGGCGTTGGCGTTGTCCCAGCCGCTGCCAAACAGAAGCTCGTCGAGCATCCCGATGCCGCCGATGCTGGTGAAGCGGCTGGGAAGCTCGATCGTGGACCGGCGCTGGCCCCGCTCGTCGGCGCCAGGGGCGCCAGCGGCGCCGCTGGCGCCCGGGCCGCCGAGGCCAGCGTAGGCAATACCGCTACTGCCCTCGAAGGTGTTCTCTCCGCCGCTGGCCACACCGCTGCCCGGGTCGTCGAACACAGCTCCGCCGTTGCTGCCGTTGGCGTTTCCCGCTCCGTTCTTGTCGCTCTCGCTCTGGAAAATCGTGGACAACCCGGACGGAATCGCGTTGGCAGTGGTCACCTGGTTGAAGAAGTCGTTCGTCGTCTCAAGCAAGTCGTTGTCGATCCAGTTCCCGTCCGAGTAGCCTCTGCCCTCGCCAACACGGCTGCTGCCGTCGGCGTTGCCCATGTCGGTCGCAGCGGCGGCGGCGGCAGCAGCAGCAGCAGCGTCGCTGTCTTTGTCGAAATCGCTCTCCTCGTTGTCCTTCACAAATGTGAATAGCCCGAGAGAAGGCTGGAAAACGCCGCCCTCTTGCTGCGCGTTCTTTAGATCGCGCTCCATCTCTCCATCACCGACATCGTTGAGAGCAGCGGCGTTGATGCTGGCATTGGCAGAGCCTCTCTTGTGGCCCCGGCCTCCGCCGGCGTTCCCCTGGCTAAGCGAGTCCAGATCTCCGGGAGAGATGACGGACGACGGATTGCCCATGTTCGGGTCTCTGCCGGCCTCGCCAGCACCGTCAGTGTCTTGGTCAGTGCTAACTGTGGCGTTTCCAGCCTTGTTGTTGAGCATATATGGGGGCAAGAATCGGCCGAAAATCTTCATGTCCATCTGATCCATAGGACCAGGAACATACTTGTACTCCGTGATATCGTTGAACACAGCATTGGCCAAGTCTGGAGCACGGTTGTTGGGCGACTTGTCAGATGGGGTCTGCCCGTCGAAGTTCTGGAATGGTAACATCGGCGCTTCCTCCTGCTGCTGTCTACCTCCTGTAATACTCTCGCTTGGATACTGGTGCTGGTTTCGTGCCGGGGCATTGAAACGGCTTCCAGTGTGTTGTAATATAGCGCCAGCGTTAGCGTTGCCTTTAGCATTGGTGCCACGGTTGCCCTGAGCCGGTGCTGCTTGCGGTTGCATGTTCATCTGTCTAGGAACCTGCACAGGAGTCTGCATTTGAGGTGATCTGAGTGACCCGTTGGACGTAGATCCGCCAAACCGCTGGTAGCCATCATTGTTGGCAGCAAGGTCGATACCACTGTTGACATCAGTGTAACTCGGATCTTCTAAACTCCCCACATTTGTATTGCCCATATTGTACTGGCTTTCAACTGACTCTGGCTGAGAAGTGTTCGAGTATTGGTGTTGGTGACGAGTGTACTGTTGCTGTTGGTGAGATTGCTTTTGCTGCTGTTTCTGTTGCTGCTGTTGTCTCTGCTTAGTATACTCAGGAGTCCCCGCGTGCGCAGGAACAAACTGCGGGCTATTATTGACACCTGCTCTTGCTGTCTTCCTGTTCAGTTGTTCGAAAAGTGCGTTCAAGATATTGTAGGTTCTGCGTGCAGCCATACTACTATCTTTCAAAATGTCCAACACTCTTTTACCGTTCTCGGCATCCTTCTTGATCGCAATATACTCTAGATCTGGCTGTCCGTCCCTGTTGATAGGAGGCGCAAAATGAACATAGTAGACCAAGCACGCGACAGAGAAGAAAATTGTGTAGATTGAAAACCAATACGATCCACTTAACATGTTCTTGTTGATCATATCTTCGGCCAACTTCACCACAATCCGTGCGACATTGATACAGTTCTTTGCCTTCTCGATACATGTCAAATCGTTCAAAGAGTTCGATCGCACGTTGGTGGAAATGTAATGGATGAATGGACGGTAAAGAATGATTTTAACATGCAAGTAGGAGATGTGTAAAAGACGGTTCGCTTTCAAGTACTGCCCCGGTGGTTCTACACCGGGCTTCAACTCGAGCGGTAGACTGTTCATCCAATCCTGTAGCTTTAGCTCCAAATCGTAAACAAAATTGTTCCGAATCAGGTCAGATCTGTTGTTATTGCTGTTATTGTGATCATCACTATTATGGTTATTGTTACTATTACCGTTGTTGCCGATATTCTTACTATTGTTGTTGCTATTCGCATTGTTGTTATTTCCATCACTGGTGTTATCATTGTTAGAGTTGTTCGTGTTACTGCCATTGTCATGATTGACGATGTTGTTTGTATTATTCGCGTTGCTGTGATTGCTGTTTGCTCTATTATGATTCCCGTTATTAACAGTCGAGACCTTTTTGGGCTTGATCGGATAAAGCTTTGTCACCACCTCTTTCATCAAAAAGATCAAACGAGTGTGTGCATTGGCAATCCCGGCACTTGAGAGTCTATCACCCTGTCTGTCCCATCTATAACCGCTGACGGTGATATTCTCATCATCCAATTCGATCGGCATATCTTGGTCGAAATCGTCTGAGCTAATGGTCCTTGGAAGTCCCAACATAGTGTTCACGTAAATATCCATCTTGTAAATTGTCCAAAAGAGTCTTTTTCTAATTTCGAGTTCAATAGGGTTGAATGGGTAGTCCAATTTACGGTGTAGACCTTCTCTCAAGGCTGCTCTCAGGGCAATACCGATGTAGGCATAGCAAGTTGATAACCTTGCCGAGCATTGTAAGAAGATAATCAACATCACGATTGTTTGGATGCCGTAAGTATCTCTAGTATCGGTTATATCGATCAATTTTCTTGCTGCAATGAAGTATCTATAACCTTCATCTTCAAAATCCTTTCTTTGGATGTAGTCGTAGTGGAGTGATCCCGGAGTGTTTGCGTTGCTGTTTCCGTCATTACTGTTGGTGTCGCTGTTTTGTGTGTTGCTGTCTAGTCTCGAGTGGTTTGTATTTTCGTCACTTTTGTAAAACAGAGCACCGCAGGCCATGACCGAGTATACCAGCGGCAAAAACCGTTGTTGTTTGTTCGTATACTGGTTCGGATCTGTATCGTACAATTCATTGAGATCTTCAACAAAAGCAACTCTATGGTAGAATCTGAATAGAACGCAAGCGTTCTCCCAGGTCTTGGTAATGAGATCAAGAGCCACTTCTCTGGAAGGCAAGATGATCTTAATTTCTTTACCGAGAGTGGATTCTAAGGATCCATCGATGCCCTGATACTGGCTGTTATTTGTGTCCAAGCCCTGGATGTGGGAGTTACTGCTTATGGAGACAGCCTTTGGTTTGACCAGCGGAGGAGATGCAATCGAGCTGGTACTGGCCTGCACATTTGTAGAGGAGTTGGGAGGCAGCTTTGTTATCGGTAGGTTTGGTAGCGGCATCTCAGGTAGCGACTCGTACATTTTTGCGATATGCTTGCTTGACGACTTTGAGATCGACTTGCCCATGCCCTTCAACTTGTTCAGCGCGGACATCAACTTCATTGGGTTTATGGGTTTTGGGTTATCGTTCAAGTCCGTCAATTTGATTTCGGGCAAGAGGCGGTGTAGAATATCATCGTACAACTTCAACCTGTCTGTAAGCTTTGAGAACAGCTCTGGGTTCGAGGATGCCAAAATGGAGACGGTGGAAGAGTTGAACCTCTCCATTGACGCATCGTTTGAGTTTTTCTTCATGTTGCCCGGAGGAGGACTTCTATCCGCGAGACCAGCACTAACTGAGGGCGCCCCGTGCATCGAAGGTGTAGACGCAGACGTTGAGGTTGCGGCCGTGTGAGCGCCTGTCGCCATCGAGGCGTTGCCGTGTGGATGTGCATGAGCATGCGGCACAGTCTTGACGGTTGCAGGGACAGCAACAGAGCTGGGCCCTTTCCGCTTGGAGCGGTTTGGCTGGTCGTAGGTGCACTCGTAGCTGTAGACGGTGCAGTGGATGCACGGGAGGTCTCCAGAGCACTTGATCTTCAACTTCCGGCAGCGGTCGCAGGCTCGGACGACCCTTCTGCGCTTCTGCGAGCTGGTCGACTGCATGCTGTCGGGCAGCATGATGACCTTTGGCGGGTTTGTCGAGACCTTCATCTTCGGGGTGTTCGAGAAGGCACTGGCGCTGCTCTGCGGGGCCTTTTTCCGGTCTGCGTTGGGCAGGATCTCTAACTTCACGCTCGATTGGCCCGTTGCGCCAGCGGCGCCGCTGGCGCCCGACGACTGGTATAGGTCGTCTGCGGCCGGCTTCAGGCCCTGGGGCGTGTTGCTGCCGCCCTTTGCAGCCGGGCGGGTGGGGCCCCGTGGCTGGATCGTGTGCGGTCTGCCGTGGTCGCCGTCGAAGTCCTTCGTCGACTCGGCATCGGTGCCGGCGTCCGCAAACTGCTGGCTGCTGCTGCTACCACCGTTGTGGCTGTGGATGCGGTTGTGGTTGCTCGTGTCCGGCAAAAGTTTCCTCTTCGGCATTGCGGCGGCTGGTTAAAAGAGTATCAGACGCACAAAGGTCCCGGGTGTGTGTGGAGGCAGCCTGGAGGGGTCTATGGGTGGGAGTATCGTGTGCGGTGTGCGTGTGTGGGCAGCTGTGAGGGGCCAGAGACGACTGCGGTTGTGCAACTAGGTGTGGAACAAGTATATACTGCCTTGTCAGCCTGATCCAAGACACCGCTGACAACCCTTGTGGACGTCAAGATCGCAATACACGCTGCACAGACGCTCTTCTCCATCAGATCGTCTCAGAGGGCTCCGCCACTAATCCCAGTCTGCTCACCCTCTCTCTGCTGTGCCTGCTCGCAAAAAATACACATTGAAGATCAACACAGGAGAGAAAAAAAGAGAAAAAGAAGCATCCGCCCCAATTTCTCGCTGGCCGACAGCCACCACCTCTCAGTTACGTCAGCACCCCCCCTCCTGCTTACGTCAGCTTCCGCTTACCTCAGCGCCCGCACAGCGCCCGCAGCTCCAGGAACCACGCCGGCAAACACGTCTCCGGCGGGAGCTGGACACGGATGGCGGTGAGCACGGGCCGCGGCGGGCGGCCGGCGTGGCCGTGGCGGCGGACGTGGGTCCCGTCCACGCGGGGCTTGTAGAGCTTCCAGTGGCCGGCGGGCCAGTCGCAGTCGGGGGCGGTGGCGGGCGGGCCACCGTCCGTGGAGGAGGCGGACGAGGACGAGGCCGGCGGCAGGGCGAAGGGCGAGGGTGGGGCGGGCGGCCAGCGGTAGGTGTCGACGGCGGTGGTGGAGAGGGTCTTGAGCGGGGAGGGCGGGGAGAGGGCCGGCGGGAGGTCGGAGGAATGGGGCAGGGGCAGGGGCTCAGGCCTGCTCTCCTCCTTCTCCTTCTCCTTCTCGCGGAGCTCCATGTTGTGTTTCTTCTTGTTCTTGCGCATCTCGACAATCTTGAGCAAGTTCTTCGGGATCTGTGGGGACGTGGAGATGGAGAGGCGGCCCACGGACGAGGACAGCGGAGGCGACGGGGTGGGCAGGACGCCGGCGCTGTGGTCGATGCTGAGCCGGCGAAGGGCGGGGGAGGTGAGCGGGTGGACGGGGTCGTGGGTGGACGGGGTCCGCTGGATGGAGATGGCCTTGGAGGAGCTGTGGCTGGCGCTGGGGTCGTATCTGGTGTTGTGGGGCTCGTCTGCGGGCGGGTCCGGAGCGTGAGGAGGTGTGCCTCGGCGGCGCTGTGTCGGGTGCATGTGCGGTGGGGGCTCGTGCGGTGGTGCGTCGTCCAGCCGGCGGCTGGCGTCGTCCGTGTCCTTGTCCTTGTCCTTGTCCTTGTCCTTGTCCTTGTCCTTGTCCTTGTCCTTGTCCTTGTCCTTGTCCTTGTCCTTGTCCTTGTCCTTGTCCTTGTCGTCGGCAGTGTCCATGCCGTGGGGCAGGAGCTCGATGTTGATCAACTCCAAGAAAATCTCGACCTTGTAGCTCGCCCGGCTGGCGTAGAGCCGGTACTCGTTGGAGATGCTGGAGTAGTTCCAGCGCTGGATGTGTCGCAGGATGCCGACAATGACCTCGCTCTTGTCCATGACCAAGCAGTTCTGGTTCGTGACGTCGAGGATGATCTCGATGCTCTTGGAAATCAACGACGGCTTGAGCACCATCCACTCCTGGTACTTGAGGTTGGTGATCTCGTCCTCCTCGGGCAACACGCTCGAGTTCATCATGTGGAACAGCCGGATGCTGTGCTCCTCTATAAACTGTCGTAGCACCCTCGGCGGCTTCTCCTCGTTGATCCACACAATCGACCGCAACTCTAGAGACTTCAGAAATGAAATATTGATGGCATCCAACTTCGAACATCTGTATATGCCGTCCTCCACCATGGAGTAGTTCTCCGGTGGAACCAACATCCCGAGCGTGTCGTTCTGCTGTATCTGTCTCGACGGCCCGCTATCTGCTCTGTGCTGCCGCAGGCCCCATCGTCTGCGGCCGGGGCAGTAGCCACACGCTCTTGTAGTGACGTGCAATATCTCCCCCACCCCACTCGCTCTGTCCTGGCAATTTCTTCTTCGCACTGCACGGCTCGGTAGCATGTTTCGTGCAGGTTCTCTCTCTCACCCACTCTGTTTACTATTCCTTCTCAAGATGGGCGGGTAGTGAAGGGACCCGTCGAATTCCGAGACGTGCCCCTGCAATTAACATCCTTTTCTGTCACTAACAGAGAGAAATGACTGTCGTGGATACCAAGCAGCAACAAGCCCGGAAACCAAACATTGCGTTCATCCACCCTGATCTCGGCATCGGGGGGGCCGAACGTTTGATTGTCGACGCCGCAATGGCCTTACAGTCGGTAGGCAACAGTGTAACAATCTACACCTCCCATTGTGATAAGACCCACTGTTTTGAAGAGGTGAAAACTGGACTTTTAGATGTACACGTTTACGGTGATTTCTTGCCAACAAATTTCAAAGGTAGATTCAACATCGTGTTTGCATTCTTACGACAGCTGTACTTGAGTGTGCAGTTGATTCTATCTCTGAAAATCTTCAAGTACGACGTCCTAATTCTTGACCAGCTCTCTTACTGCATCCCTTTGCTGCATCTCTTTAGCTGGAACACACGCATCTTGTTCTACTGCCACTTTCCGGATAAACTATTGGCCCCACACACCTCTGTGCTCCGTCAAGTATACAGGTTTTTATTTGATGCTGTCGAAGAAATATCCACCTCATATGCCGACCAGATTGTCGTCAACTCTGAATTCACAAAATCAGTTGTCCGCCAAACTTTTAAGTTACTAGCCGGCCAACCTTTGGAAGTGGTATACCCTTGTGTTTCCACTGATGAAACTACATTTGCTCCTTCGTCGGAGTCATTGGAAATAGTAGATAAACTACTGGGAAATAACAAATACTTTTTATCTATAAACAGATTCGAAAAGAAAAAGAACATTCAATTGGCAATTCAGTCCTTTGCCTCATATACGTCTGCCACCAATGACAGCTTTCAATCAGTGGTTATTTCCGGGGGTTATGATCCTCGAGTATCTGAAAACGTTGAATACCTTAACGAACTAAAGAAAATATGTGACAAGCTCAGCCTCTCTTACAAAGTGTACAGTCCAAGTAGTGTGAATTTCTCTGGCCAACTCAATGAAAATGAGGTTCCAAATGTTATTTTCTTAACTTCAATTTCAACTGATTTGAAAAATGCCTTGATTTCCAAGTGTGACATTTTGCTATATACACCAACAAATGAGCATTTCGGAATCGTCCCACTAGAAGCTATGCGTATGGGGAAGCCCGTTCTTGCAGATAGATCTGGTGGTCCTCTTGAAACCATTGTTGATTACTCAGACGATAAAGTCAATTATACTGGATATACAATCAGTTCGGATGTGTCAGGATGGACGAAAGCATTAGAACAGGTTAAACGATTACCGAAAGAAGATTTGAAACAACTTTCTGCAAGAACCAAGAAGAGAGTGGATGAAAAGTTTTCCTTGGTTGCCCTTAGAAATAAGTTAGTCAAAGTTATTCACCAAATGATGCTCAAAGACTCTCCTCATTCATGGGTTACCCATGTTGTTTTCCCTATTTTGTTTGTTGTGGGAGTCACCTTTTTATATCGCTCTTACTTTTGAAAATGACACTGGTAATTTCAGTGTATTCCTAATCAAGGATACAAAAAATATTTAATGAATTGATGACTAACTGAAAGCATTGGCAAATCGTATTCAGGTAAATAAATAAATAAAATAAACATAATAATAAGCAGAAAAAAAAATTTATCCGTACAGGGTGATCATTCTGTGTCTGTAACAATAGCTTCTTCTGTATCTACTCTGGCCTTCTGAACACTCTTTATTACTTCTTTCAACTTTTTCTTATTTATTGGATACTCAATAACGTAATCATATATTCCAAAAGCCTGAGTGTCTCTAGAATATGAAGTCAAAGCAACAATTGTAGAGTTGGTGTTCAATGAGTTGGTATGTCTGATTAATTTGACCAGATCAATAGAGTTAAGTCGTTGAGATTCTGATGATGTGAATATAATGTCAAATTCAATGTTACCACTGCTCAACTTAATTAGCTCAGAACCACTTGCACACGAGAAAACTATACATCCAAGTTCTTTCAAATCTCGGGTAATAGAAAATCTATGAATTGGAATAGGTTCAAATACTAAAACGGTAAGTTTCGGTAACAATGACGTCAACGAAGGCTCATCATACTGAGAAGATGACGAAGCTCTATTTCTAAGTCTGCCAAATTTCCTTCTGTTTACTTTTGATAAAATCACATTCTTTTCCTCATTGTCCGATGATGAAGGTGAAAAGTCACTTAGCGTACGAGTGAATGACTTGGTTAATATATGAATTGCTGGACTTCCTGTTGGTTCCTTCTTAACAGGTTTCGTACCCAAACTTGTACCATTGCAGCTACCACTGCCACTCGTGCTTCTCAAAATAGGAAAAGGTTTGTTATGTGCACTAGCCACATCGCTATCCAAAGCACTAATATTATTTTTCAAAACCGGTGATTGAATAAATGATAAAACTGGTGACTTACTTGTTCCCGTAATCAGCTGTGGGTTTGGAGACAGAGAACGTTTATGTGGCGTTAGCACTTGTTGAGCTCGCCCTCTAGATGCCGAAGTTGCTGAGAGAGAAGGAGTTCCTGGCGTAGCAGGAACAGAAGAATTCGCAGCATATGCTGAACTAGAAGAACCTGTGGATTGGGCATAGTAACCTCCTTCAGAAGAAGCAACAGAAGATATACTATTTCTATGTTCCAAATGTTCAGATTTTAGTCTATTGATGGCATCTTTGTTCTGTTTTTCCAAAACCATTAAGTTTCGAAATTGGAAAGATCCAAACTCTGAATTACTTCCTGCTTCATTGAGCCTAGAGCTCCGTCTTTCTCTAAAAGACAATAACTGTGATGAGTTTTTCGACAAGCTTTGCCTAGGAGAATCAATCGTAGAAGAAGAGCTTGAGTCGCGTTTCATTTCGTAGCTGGTAGATGCGTTGAAATACTGGCTTGTGTTTTCTTCCTCGCCTTCCTCATCTTCCTCATCATCTTCATCATCTTCTTCGCCATCATTCTCAAAATCACCAGAGTAGCCAATGTCTTTCTCCTGAACATTTCTGGTATAAACAGTTTCTGGATCACGTTTTGTATTGTCTATGTCATCATCAACTGGGAAAGAATTCATAGTGGCACCTCTTTGATCAAAGTAGTCTGTAGACTCAGGATGGTCGGGCTCAGGGACAAAAGAAGCTTCCTCATCGAACAACGTATCCCAATTAATTCCCTCAAAATAGGAGTGATCCATAATTTCTGCTGACCCCCCTACCCCAAGGCGCTTTGTAGGGTCTTTCACAAGTAATTTTTCAATCAAATCACGAGCAGAATCCGAACAATAACGTCTAAACTCTTCTTCAGAAAGTTGTGGCCATTGAATCTCCTCGTATAGAATATTGTTGAAAACCTTTTCCGGGGTCTCATCGCTAAACGGTGGATATCCGAAAAGAAATTCAAATAGAATACAACCAATTGACCACCAATCACTGGTAGTATCTTGGCCACGTCCAGCAACAGTTTCTGGGGCTAAATAGTCAGGCGTACCAACGAACTTTCTAGCCTGCGTAGATTGAGAAGGATCAAAAAGAGCGTAAGTTTTAGGTGTTTCTAGCGAATGGCCTGAGGAGTCTGGATCAACTTCTCTCATTCTTCCTGGCTCTTGGGACAACTTCGACTCACTTCTCAATGACTTAGAGCTATTTATTGGTGAAGCCAGTGACTGGTTTAAGACAGGACTATGGTGAGAATCTGAGGTTTGAGAAGACTGACTTGCTGTAGATAGTCTTCGAGCTCTTGTACTGTATTCGTGTTGAAGTCTAGATATAGGTCCAGAAGAAGCACTATCATGATATTTCAGCTCATTGGTGACAGGTGGGAAATATTCTTTGATGCTCTCTCTCTCTGGTGTTATATCATCTTGTGGTTTAGATGAATTCAAAGAGAATGGCTCTACTGTTAGTAGTTTTTTATCCAGCAAAGTGTTTGTATTGGATTCACTTTCATTCATCGTAGAATTAGCCTTGAAGGGATTTTCGACATTAGTAGCTGTTGAAGGTATCCCATCTGGGTTGGTAACATTTACGCTAAAACTACCTGCATTCGACGAGGATGATGTACCACCCGTTGATCCCAATCCGGCAAGTCCCAGCCCTGATGAACTTCGATGACTTGAAAAGCTTCCTCTCAGGCTCAATCCACTTCCCTGAGAGTAAGTTCTAGGGCGGGGATTTTGCGACTGAAGTTTAGCAACTGCTTTTTGTCTATTGACCAATCCCATTCTACTAAGTCCAAAATCTGTAAGTTTAACGTGACCTGAATGATCAATCAATAGATTATCAGGCTTTAAGTCCCTGTGCACGATACCTTTAGTATGCAAATCATCTACTCCGACAATAACTTCCGCAATATATCTTTTTGCCCAAACATCTGGTAATGAGCCCATGTTATGTAAAAGGGTGGCAAGGTCCCCACCATTCAAATATTCCATAACCAAATAAAGGTAGTGTGTACTTTGGAAAGAAGCTATCAACTGAACAACATGCTTTGAGTCAGCCTGTGCCATCATGATCGCTCTTTCAGCTTTGACATTTGTGACTTGATTCTTGGCAATCATATCTGATTTCTTTAATACCTTGATTGCAACATAATCACCCGTAAGTTTTCGTTTGGCAAGGAAAACCGAGCCAAACGCACTTTTGCTTACTGGTTTGATTATTTCATAATCTTTTATAGAAGGAAGATTGTGTTTCACTGTAGTTGGTACTAGGAGTGGTGAAAGTGGCGTTTTCTCATTATAGGCAGAATTTGGATTTGTAGAGAGAGATGATGTGGGTGTGTTTGAAATTTTGGTTGTCTCCGCAGATTGTAAAAGTGGAGAAGTAAACGGGGAATTTACTGAGGCTTCACTTCTTCTCGAGTTTTTTTGAACCGATGATAAAGGCATAGGATAGCCCGGTGAAATTGGTCTCCTTGGGGTTGACAGGGAATGGGTACTTGGATGTTTCTTAAATTTTCCTGAATCCTCCGACAAAACTGTTATAACGGGTGTCGATCTCCTTGGAATCAAGGCTGCTGAATTGCGCGGTGTCGAACTCCCAGAGTCAAGAACACTATGCACACTATGCACACTATGCACACTAACATCTTCTCTAGAAGCGTTTGGAGAGCAATGGTCCAAATAAGCATTGTTGAAAATTATACTATTGTTCAGCGAAACTTTTGGAGTATTTAGATCTGGGGTTTGCATTGGGATTGCAGGTTTACCCCGAGTGGATCGCATAGAAGAACTGTCATTTTCGGACTCTGATTCGGAGACGCAAAAGACATGTTCCTTGATTTTTCTGATAGTGTTGTCAACTGCCTGAATTACCAAGTCACTGGTTTCCTTTGTGATTCTGTCGACATACTGTAAAATATGAGCGTATCTTTCTAATGTTTCGAGCTTGTCAGCAACCAACACTTTTGTGTCTTCAGTCAACTGTTGAATCGCAGGGTCACTGGAAGAGGGTAGCCTTAACTCATTTAATGTTTTCAAGGCACTGGCGGAATCTGGTGAATATGCAATTTCAAATAACTCTACTGATTCTCTATTCTCCGATCTTACTTCGCCGGGGTTGATCTTCAAAGCCTCATCGCAGTAGGCAATGAGGTTTTCGATGTTCTTCACAGGAAATCTAATTTGAGGAAATAATGTACCAGCACTTTTTCTCCGGGCAGGAAAAGGTAGGGTGCCACTCGACTGAGGTCCCAAAGGTATTGGCATGCCTTTATAATCACTAACCAGTACAAAACTGTTAGATGAGGAAGTAGAATCGGACGAAATTGGACTAACTGTAATGCTAGAGGATGAACTGGAAGGCGATAGTACTGGAGGAGAACCAGGTGACGAAGAAGAGGAACTTGGTGAAGATATTGCTGGAGACGGAGGTTGCCTTCTATGTAACGTTTCTAGTATGTTTTGCAACAACTTTTTATGATCTTGCAATTCTTCTTGTTTGATATAAACCATATCTTCAACTCTATGCTCAACCAAACATAGTTCGGAATGTTTTTCTAGCCACCAGTTAGGGACTTTTTCTTCGCAGATTCTACAGAGTTCAAGAGAAGGAGGTGGTAGGTCGTTTTCATCCGTTATTTCCAGATCGGTCAAGTACAGCATGTAGCTTTCCAATAAATTGACGCCAAAAACTCCAATTGTTGAAATTAGTTCTTCCGGTAGTTCCAGAGTTACGTCATTTATTGGTATCCAAGGCTTAACAATCCACATTGAATGGCTTGGAATTTCATTTTTATCGTGTATTAAGATTCCCTGTGCTTCTAGCTCAATGAATCCCCCATCTGTCGTAATAGTTGAGGAATCGGAGTGGATGCTCAAGGAGTCATTATCTGAGTTATCATTTGATGTTTTCGAATTTATCGTTTCGGTTTCATTTTCGTCGTTAGCGGAATTTGTATTAGGGCTTGTGGAGTTTTCTGAAGAGGCGGAGGAAGAACTAGATAGAGGGCGGAAGCCGTCATTTTTGGTGCGGTTGCAACTCAAATTTGTTTCAGTCATGAACCTTATTCGATAAGTTTCATCATCAATCGTCATGATACTTGTCGCCTTCGTGAAAACGTTTTTATCCTCTTCATCCCCTGCGATAATATCGTGGATAGGCCTATTCACGATCTTGGCGATTTTGGTTCCAACAATAGACTCCCAGCTTTTACTCACAAACTTTATGTTGCAGTCTAAGTCCAACTCTAGGACCAATGCTTTGTTCTGCTGAAACTGGTTGCTTTTACTTCCGCTGCCTCTACTTCGATGTCGATAATTTGGGTTGCTGGTACTGGTTTGGGAGCAGGAGCGGGATTCCTGGGGCCGAAGTTTGTCGTCTATAGAGCTTTGGTCGTTGGTATTCAAGGGCGAAACCGAGCGGGACGAGAAGTTCGATCTTCCCGCCACGCCTGGAGAAGCAAAGCTGGAGTTGCTCAGAGAGGTGAAGGAATCGTTATAAGGCTTGTTCGGCATTTTGTTGCTGGAAAATAGTGTTGTCGACAACGGCGTCGCCTTGCGTGGTCTTGGGGACGAGAGAGAAATATTGATGGAGGAGGACGACGACGACGACGCCGAGCTGAGCGCAGAGGAGACCGGTCTCTGAAACTTGGCGCTTGTGGGGGACGGAGAAGACGTCCTGTCCGGGGTATAGGGGAGATATCTAGCCTCGTTGGCGCTGCTGCTTATGTTGTTGAAGCTGCTGTCGTTGCCGCCACTGGTGCTGAAGCCGCAACCAAATCCATCGCCGTCGTTGCCGGCCTCTCTGTCGCCAGTGTTCCTAGGGCTCATGCTTTTGTCCCTTGTGACGCTTGCGTTCTTGAGCTCGGGAGTAAAATCGCTCATTCCTGGCACATTCTCCAATACTGCAGACGTATCACTTTGCTGGCGGGCTGGCGGGTCGCAGTCTCTTGTCTTGCGGAGACCCAGAATGAAGCGTGTCCACTTTCTCTGGCGCCAGACTCTCTGCCATTGCTCCATTATCAGTCTGCATCCCTCCCTATCATGGATCGACCCGTGCTCATCATTTGCATGCTCATCATTTCCTCAAGCCCGGCCCGTGCACGGGTGTTCTCTCTTCTCCCCCCTTCCCTTGCCCTATTCTGCCCATTTGGGCTCTCGTGACTCCGGGGTCGCGATTTTACTGTCTTTTTTGGCGGCGCGTCGGGGCTTGTCTGTCTGTCCCCGCCACCCACTTTCTTATCGGGGACGCGAACGGGAGCAAATTAGCTGTCTCAGCTAGTGGCCGGACAGAATGTGTGGAGAGCCCAATCGGGTGCCGTTTTTGGCAGTTTCGGCTCTGCTGGGTGTGGTGTTTTGCCCTCCGCTGAGCGCTGCACCGGCTGGGCGGGCTCGCTGCGGTGCCAGGCACTTATCTATCCTTCTTATCTGCTGAGCATTTCTTCCTCCTTTTGCCTCCTGGCTCTTCCTGTCTCTATTGATGGTTCGTCCCTGGTCACTCAGTCCGTTGTTCTCCGGTGTATATACGTACAGCAGCGACGACGACAAAACCTACTAACTATCCAATCACTACGCTAATCTCTTACCATGAAGCTCTCCTCCTCTCTCTGCTTCTCCATCCTCACTTCTCTGGCAGCCACCAGGGTCTCCGCCTTGGTTCTTCCAAACTTGAAAGACATGCCAGCGGTCGTCAGCACTGCAGACAAGGTTCCGGTTGTTGCTGAGAACGTGGTTGCTGACAATGCTGCTGCAGAGTCGTTCCCTTCTGTCGAGTTGGCCGACGAGGCCATCTTGGATGTTGAGTTCAACGAGAACGCCATTCCAAACTCTTTCATTGTCATCTTGAAGGACGACATTTCCGACGATGCATTTGAGTTCCACAAGTTGTGGATCTCGGACGTTCAGGTCCAATCGTTTGCCAAGTTGAACAAGTACGAGGTCGACGCCTTCGAGCAGTCGGTCAGCTCCTTGAACTTCCAGCAACAGACCGGCGGTATCGGACACGTTTTCGACTCGCCAGGTTTCAGAGGCTACTCGGGTTTGTTCACCCCTGAAGTGATCAACCTTTTGAGACGCTCCAAGGATGTCGCTGTCATTGAATTGGACTCGACTGTCCACACCGTTGGCGCCGCCACCGAGAACGGCGCCCCATGGGGTCTATCTAGAATCTCCCACAGAGAAACATTGGGCTTGGGCAACTACAACAAGTACCTCTACGACGCCGATGCTGGTGAGGGTGTCACTGCCTATGTCATTGACACTGGTGTCAATATCGAGCACGAGCAATTTGGCGGTAGAGCTGTGTGGGGTGCAACCATCCCAACCGGCGACTCCGATACCGATGGTAACGGTCACGGTACCCACTGTGCCGGTACAATTGGTTCCGAAGAATACGGTGTTTCAAAAAAAGCCAAGATTGTTGCCGTCAAGGTTTTGAAGTCTAATGGGTCTGGTACCATGTCTGATGTCGTCAAGGGTGTCGAGTTTGCTGCCAACGCCCACGTCAAGGAGGCCAAGAACCCTAAGTCTGGCTTCAAGGGTTCCACTGCCAACATGTCTTTGGGTGGTGGTAAGTCGCCAGCCTTGGACTTGGCTGTCAACGCTGCCGTCAAGGCAGGCTTGCACTTTGCTGTTGCCGCAGGTAACGATGATGCAGACGCTTGTAACTACTCCCCTGCTGCCGCAGAAAGCGCAGTTACTGTTGGTGCATCAACTTTGTCTGATACTAGAGCTTACTTTTCTAACTACGGTAAGTGTGTGGACATTTTCGCTCCTGGTTTGAACGTTCTATCCACCTACATTGGTTCCAACACTGCTACTGCAATCTTATCTGGTACTTCAATGGCCTCTCCTCACGTTTGTGGTTTGTTGACCTACTTCCTTTCTTTGGCTCCTTCTTCAGACTCCATGTTTTCAACTGCTGGCATCACTCCAAAGCAGTTGAAGCAAAACCTGTTGAAGTACGGTACTAAGAATGCTTTATCTTCTATCCCAGATGATGGAACACCGAACATTTTGATCTACAACGGTGCAGGTGGTGACATCAGCGACTTCTGGAACTCTGAAGGTTCTGCTGAATCGTCAGCCGAAGATCTTGAAAGAACAGTTGAGATTGCAAACGACTTTGCTGAAACTCAGTTGGACAAGACCAAGGAGGAAATAAAGCAAATCATCAACGAAATCACTCAGGTCGTTGATTCTGTTGAAAACGTCATTTCTGTTTAATGCCGGTGCTTTGTTTGATACAAGGATAAGTTTGAATATTTGGTTGGGTTTTTTAAAAAAAATGGTTCTACACACATTTTACATATATTACATATTTTACATATTTTACATAATTTAGTTATTTTTATTCTATTGAAAAAGATTTTCTATAAAGGATGGTAATAGAATTTGGCTTTTCTTAAATCGCCTTCTCGACCTATTGTAACCGGGGCGTATATTTGTTGGTTTTGTAACGTTACATTAACTATGCTAAAAAACCACTCTGTTAAGAATGGATTTGAAAACTGCTATAAATTGAGGAAATGAAGAACTGAAAAGATGCAATCTTGACTGTTATATTATTCTTAGGAAACGTACTACCTGGAACAACTTTGAAACAAAGAAAGCTGAGTAACTGAAAATGTTGTAGATTGCCCAACCTGTGACGAGTAGAATGCACAAATCCAAAAAACCCACAAACAGTGCCCGGAAGCTCCACGAACGTTTTGTTTGTCTAGGGATAAAAGTTCCCAAGATGTAAAGGAGTGGGTAAACAAGTGAAAGTAGGGGCACCGTGTATACCCAGCCAAGCACCGCGCTGTGGAACTCTCGTATCGTTGTTGTGGAGGGGATCATATCTCCGTAATATTCGATGAACATCGCTGCCTCTGGTGGCAAGTTTCTAGAGAGCTGGTCAAGGAAACCGGGTTGTACTCGTGCGTGTTTGGAAGATGCTGTTGTTCTAAAAAATGGTGCTCTCTTTTTACTTTCCTTGCGCCGTTGGCGGTAATCTATGTTCAGATGATCACGGCCGTATTCGAGCATCCTATCATTTCCACTGTCCAAGTTCACCTGTTGATGGTCGATCCCGTTCACACAGTAGTATTCATATTCACGTAATTTAAGAGCCATCTTGTGGTTCTCTAACTTTGCCCGTTGCATGTTTCTTTCGGCTCTGTATTTGGCGGCCTTGAGTTTGAGTGCATCGTATTGTGCCTCGACCTTCGATTTTTGCATCGTGGGTAGCTCTGCCTGTCGCTGGAAAAGGTTTCTTTTCTGAGCTGAGAACTGGAGGGATGGTTTGATTTGTGATATGTCATAATCTGAGCTTCTTTTCGCTGAAGACGGGAGGACACTCTCAGAGTCGGAGCTGCTGGATAAGCTGTAGTCATCCGAATCACTGTCCAGTGTTGGCAGCATATATGAAGGAGTATGCTTGCTTTTTCGAGCAGGAATGTTATTAAATCTAGGCTGGTTGATGTGGGACCGAACTAGCTCCGGTTCAGGACGTAATCTCAGATCACCTTCATCATCGTCTAGAACAACGTAGTTGCTTGGTTCCTTCTCTTTGAATTTCTTGATGAAATTATGAGTCTTCATTCTCAAGTTCCCCATTCTCTTGCGCTTATTTGACTCGAAAACCCCGTAATCTGCATCAACGACGTGTAGTGATCGGTTGATCTCTGGATTGGCAAAGGTGAAATATTTCTCTTTTTCCGGCCCATTGCTTATGCTGCTGTTGTTCATAAGTGACATTTTAAGCTCATTCATGCTGCAATTGTTGATGCTGACCATGACTGCTGGTTGTCAATAACAACAGATCTGAACAAAAGAACTAGCTGGACAAGAAAACAGCAAAGTCAAAGTTGTTATCAGTTCCCGCTTGGTGCACCCTGGCTGAAACAAAGGGTTTGACAAAATCGCACCGAGAACTTTAAAGGACAGCCACATCCCAATTAGGAAGTCTAATTATTATGATTATCACAGCGCTGCACTAGCAGCGGACGGTATACGATATATTGCAAGAATATTGAATACAGGGGTGGGTTGTAGTTATCTACTTCCAGAAGGAAACATGGTCCTTCAGGATAGCCTCCTTGAGCTCGTTATCCGACTCAGTGTCTGCAAATGGTCCTACGACCTCGACGTTTTTCTGACCTGAGCTGAAGATTTTCCTACACGGCATGTCCAACGTCATGTTTTCCTCGTGGTCACCGGTCAGCTCTAGCAACGCGTGTTCACTGAGCCCATAGACGACCCTGCCAATGTTCGACCAGTAGATGGAGCCCGCACACATGCAGCATGGCTCGAAATTGGTGTAGAGGGTGCACTGCCAAAGGTAGTCCTGCGAGTACTTCTCAAATGCCACCCTGCAAAGCGTCGATTCAGCGTGATTCAGAGTGTTCACATTGCCCTGCTCTAGAACAACTGACTCGTTGTCAGGCCCGACAAGCACAGATCCGAACGGATGGCGGCCTTCTTCCATGGCCGTGTGCGCAGCGGCAACCGCCTTCAAGAGATTCGCTTTAATCTGAGCCTTGGTCGGAGTACTTCTTTGTGGGAACATCAGATGCGCTATGTGTCAAGGGGAAGCCGGCACAGCTGTAGGGGCGACAGATGGATAAATGGGGTCTCTTGCTGCAGTAACCGCCAATCTTTTCAGTTGGGCTGCAAACTGAAAAGGCGGTCGCTTACGTAACAAACTGACTCGTGTGGAAAAGCATTTGAGTTAACGGAGTTGGAACTGTACAATGCACTCTAGACACCGTACCGAAACGCTAGCACCATTAGCGGCATAGCAAGCCCATCAGCAACCTCCATGAGGTTGTCAAAGCTCTAATTGGGCATTTACAAAGATTTTTGGTGTCCAATTGGGCATCTTCGGACTTTTGTTCATAAATCGATTCATTACGATACATAAAGCTTATATATTTATATGGACATTTTTGATTCACCGTCATAGCTTTAAATAATTCATTGTGGCAATAATAGGACGTGTAAAGAAATGAGGTGCACGAGCGACCTAGCAGTCAACTCCGGCTGACATCCCGTGCGTCAAGCTAGCAGACGGCATTACTTTTTACCAGAGATGGTGTCACTGATCTTCTGGAAGACACCCTTCTCCTCCTCTGGTTGCACCTTAGAGGCAGCCTTGTCGTATTGGTTGGAAACGCCTTCGGTAGCCTTGTCCCATCCGGACTTTTGACTGTCTGGGGTAACCGCGTCGGAAACCTTGTCTGAGAAGTTCTTTCTTGCTGAGTCGGACATTATGAGTATTTGATAGATGTTTTCTTGTGTTTGAATAACTAAAAAAAGGTATTTGTTTTACAGATAGTTTACAACCGTTGCAGTCAATTGATCATCAAACTGGAAACACCAATCTTTTTATAAACTTTTCCCGGAAGGGGACATGTCTCCACGTCAGGGCCGTGGACGGGATAGGTCTGCTCGAGAGAAGGCAGAAAGAGAATGACGCACCGCATGTACGTCGCATCACCATCGAGGCCTTCCGGGCCTGCCCAGAGCCAGCAAAATAGGGACTGGAACGGTACGCCACATTTGACGTCAAGGCAAAAATAGAACAATTGGGCGGCCGTATTTGCGGGGTTGGGACGGGGTGAGAAGGGGGGCCAGCCCGGGGGAGCTGTATGGCATCTTATCCTGCGCTATTATCGTGTTTTGCTGGTATTAAAGCCCTTACTATTACGAGTACTCTATTTATGCTAATACACGTACGTACTGTATACACACGGGGGCATGGGTCGGGCTAGCCATATTTACAGGAGTGTGGCAAGTGACGTGGAGAACTCGTCAGTGGGTCTTCTGCTTCAACTCGATGTTTCCGCCACCACAGCAGCCACCCCCGCTTGGTGGTGCACCTGAGGCTTTGAATCGAGACTTGTTCTTCTTGATTTCGTTATTGTCGCCTAGCTCGGTGTCCTGGTGGATGTTCAGCGCATATCGACCTTCGGAATCGTCACGCTTGACGCCCTGGACAATGTTCCGTCTCAAGAAGGCGCCAACTTGTTCCAGAAGCTCGATTCTCTGCGCCGGCGTGTAGTCTGGGTTCGTGGAGGACTTTTCGGCCCTCATCTCCTGCTTTATGTTCGTTCTGGCGGCAGCTAATGTGCTGGTGTCAGTCGTGAAGGCAACCCTCGTTGCCCGCAGAGCTGAACGGTAAGCAGCTAGTGCCCTCTGTGTTGATGCCATCTTCTGTATTGTTATAGTCTGTTGGTGGAGAGAGAAAAAGAGGCAAACCCAGCCAAGCATAGACAAAGAGGCCCGTTGCTGAAGTTATCGATACTTCCATTTGTCATGACTTTTTTTCTTTCTCCAGTATCTTCCCCAATCAGATTATTAATGATATAATCATTCTCTCAGCTTTGATTACGTAACTAAATGGCCAAAAAAGACGATCGTCCCAAAATTCATATAAAGCCAAAGAAAAATAACTCCCTCCTTCCGGGATCGAACCAGAGACCTCAGGATGTCTTGTACCCATTACAGTCCCGCGCTCTTCCAACTGAGCTAAAGAGGGTTTTACAGTGCTTGAACCGTACTTGGCTTCCAAGTTTGTGGTATTCACTAATACATGGCCTTATTGTGTATTACCTACAGCTTACCAAGGCAGGTCCTTTTTGTGACGCTGCAACTTTGTCAAATGAGATTAAATAATATATAAAAAAACGGTAACAACTACATATCAAACGGCTTTTGAGACACATGTTTACTCAAAAAGAATCAACTGCTTGCCCTTTTTAGAGTTGGCCAAACCTGCGGTGAAGATGTCGAGCAACTTTTTGTCTGTTAGGTCAGAAACCTTGGCCTTGGTCTCGTTGTACGTTGGCTCCGCAAGGTCGCCGTCTTCAATCATCTTGAGGACTGCCTTGATGGTATCAACTCTGGAGTTGGGGATTCTCTTAATGTTGCCTGTGATCCAGAAGCCCTTGGCAGTGAGGTTCTTGAAGATGAACAAGCTGGTTGGCAAGATCACTGGCTTCATGGACATGCCACCGTAGGTCAAGAGGGTGGCGTCGGGACCCAGCTTTCTGGCTAGCCCCGTAACACTCGATCCACCAACGCAGTTCATGCCAAGCTTAATCTGCTTACCGTCCAACCACGACTTGATGGTCTTCCCGAATTCCTTGGAGCCGTTGTCATCCTCTGTGATGACCTTCGTGGCGCCAAGCGCGGTCAAGTCGGCAACAAGCTTGTCGATGTCGTCTCTGTTTCTGACAATATTGAGCGAGTTCAAGCCCAGCTTCTTACCGATCTGGATGGCTGCTCTGCCCACCTGGGAGTTGGCACCGTTCTGGATGAACCAGTCTCCCGGCTTCAATTCCTCGAAACACGTCAACATCTGGTAGGCCGAGGAGGGGTTGACCGAGATCGTTGCCGCCTGGTTGACGGAGATCGTTTGCGGGACCTTGATGAAATCTCTGTCCAGGCCCCGCTTGTGGGTGCACCAGCTTCCGAAGTTCACGTCCGCCGGGATGCACCAGTCGCCCTTCTTGAAGTTCGACACGTTGGACCCGGTCGCAATGATCTTGAAGAGGCCCTCGTTACCGCACACGGCGGCAGGACTCTTCAATTCGGGCAACGAGTCGACAGAAATCGGAGGCCTGGAAGGGTAGATGCCCTGGATCTGGTTGATGTCGGACGGGTTGATTGGGCAGGCCACGGTCTCGACCACAACATCATCCGGCTTCAAGCTAGCGACGTCGATCTTGTAAGCGTGGCATTTGAGAGTCTCTGCAGGCTCTCCGTAGGCGTTGTAGATAATGGCACGGGCGGTTACCGAGGACATGAGGCGAGTGGACTGGAGAGTTCCCGTTTTGAGCCCCGAGCGGGCGTATGTGGCGGCGAACATGGACATTAAGGGCAGAAATGGACACAATGCTTAATAAACCTGCTGCTGGTGCCTTCCAGAGACCCTCTGAGCCCTCTGCCAGCCGCCACTGGCCGTCTTCTGCGTCAGCTGTGGCCTGTCTCCTCTTCTGGCACCGTGTGGGGAAGCTCGCTGTCCGGCGGGCGCCGCCTGGACAGCCCGGACAGCGTGGAAAGTTTTTTTTATCGTCCGGGCATGTTTGGCTTATCGTCAGCTGGAGGGGCCACAATGGGGTAAGGTTTGTTTTGGTGACCTGGGAATCGGGCCAGCACCAGCGATGGAGGGAGAAGGCACAGGTACAAGCTGTGGTCGTTTCCACCGCTACGGGGTGTCCTTTGAAAAGTCGCATTCGGCGTCTTCCCTGAGCATGATCTCCAACGCAGCGCCTCGAGAAGATAACGGCATCGGCGGTCCCGGGCACGGGCAGGTTCCTGGTCCGGGCCAGCAGCTGGTGGGCTCGTGTTCATTGTCGTCATCGTCTTCGTCGTCCGAGACAGAAGCAGAACCAAGGCTGTCGACGCCCGCAAACCCCGGAGGTGCTTCGGATGCCTCCCGTATGAAAAGTTCGTTTATCAACGTTTTCTCGTTGAAAAGCAAAATCGGGACTGATGCAGGCGGTACCAGGGCGGTGGGTGACCCGCTGGTCGGCTCAGCACAGGTGATACCCCCTGTGGTGCTACCGCCGAAGGAGACGTCAAGCCCGAACATCTTCAAGAAGATCATCTCGCGGAAGGCCCTCATACCGAGAATGAAAGCGTTCAAGCGAATAGCCAACGACATGCAAATGGAGTCGTATCCGTTGGACGACGAGATGCAGCATGAGATGATCATCACGACGGCGATGAAGGAGGACGACGAGCTGTCGAACTCGAGATCGTCCTACTCGTTCTTGCTATCTCAGAAAAATAGTCCCCGGAACATTCTCAATCAAGACAACTTGAAGAAGTTCGAGGTCATCAACAAGGCCAACGAGTCGTGGAACAACAACCGCAGAAAGTCCAGCTCGTCGCTGACCAACTCGGAGAGCTACAAGTCGAATAGCCGCCAGGGAAGCATGTCCAACGCCAGTATAAACCTCCACAAGCGGAAGACTTCCGTCACCTCTTTGATACCCACTGGCACCAACATCTCGGCATCCACTACTGTCGCAGACGCCTCTACGGCGAGGGAGGAAGGGGGCGATACCCCCTACCACTTGCTGCACGGGACGTTCGACACGTCCAGCCACTCGCTTCTATCCAACCCTTTCGAGACGATCAGAAAGTCTAGGAAAAGGAAGGCAAAGGCCTACGATGACTGCTACACAGACGTAGAAGAGTACCTCAGTGACGACGGCGGCGTTTCGCCCTGGAACCCCATGATGAACTGCAAACGGCGCCTGGTCAGTGGCAGCGTCACAAACTCCCCGAAATCACCAGCTCTCGACGCCTATCCAAGCCGGAGAAACTCAAGCATGATGCAGAGCTTACAAAGCGCTTCTGACGACTTTGAGCAGATGTCTCTGAAGTGATCAACTGTCAAGCGCCCCAAAGATGGAGGCGTAATTTATTTTCTACACTCGAGCACACACTCATATATATCTATACCTCTATATGATCCTTATTCACAGTTCATAACCTAAATCGCTTTCCGTATTCTAGTTATATCGCCTGTTTTCCACATTTGTGGCCGTTTTGTGACCACAGAATCTTTTCCCAGTTGATACATACTTTTTCCTCCCTTCCTCCCCCAAAGGCCTGCTTCCCGGCTTCCTGCGATTTCAAATTCACAATTTTGAAATTTCCTCGCAGACGGAAACATGAATCAGCTGAACTTTTATGGGACACCCTGACATAGCATTAAGAAGCAAGGCACACTGTTCCCCGGGAACCAGGCTTGGTAAGATCACAAGTGAGCAACCCATAGACTAAGCATCAGACCCTTAGTATACTTACAGGGCCGCTTTAGCATATTAGGCTTGTCCCAGGATGACGACGTCGCTCTCCCATTCATTATCATCCACGGGATCGTTATCTACCGTGCGAGAACAACAAATACGAGCAAAGAAGGACAGAAGTGCCACGATAACACACGAAAACTCAGACAACTCGCTGGCGAATACTTTTAAAGCTGGTGTGGAGCCTACAAGGTTCCCATCTTTAACTTTCATATCCCAAAACATAGCCAACAACGACAGGGAAACAAGTATTAAAAACGCCAACTTGAGAAGCGAGTTGATTGAAAACAACAAAGTCAACAAGAAATCAAAAGACGCTCTTTTCAACAACATACCGACCGTTGCATCTGTTAGCTCACCGACAACTACCACATTTGCAACGTCCTTTCAACCAAGCACGAACAGCCAAATACCTAAAGGCGGTAGCATAAATACTCTACAGACTGTTTACACTGATGCATATAGTAGTCTCGATTTTGATGATCTGAAATCCAACAACAACGGCAGCAGTAACTACAACAATCTAAACGACGGTTTACGCATTCTTTCTCCGGGGGAGTTCCATCCACGAGATGATGCCCATTCGGCATATCAGCAGTCAATATATTCTAACAACTTTGAGAGCCATTTTCCAAATCCTCCTTATCAAAAGGTCAACAACAATCATACCACAGGAGTACACCAACAAAATACCAACAACTATAACAGTTGTGGGACAAAGGAGGGAAGTGAGTCTTTCATATACAATGATCTCAATTCGATGGATATTATGAGTTTGAGCGATCAGAAGCTTCAACGGAAGTTGTCTAACGGAATTTTTTTGAGCAACCCCATGACGAAGGAAAATTATCCCAACATACCAAATCAAAACTTGATCAACAGTACATCAAATAATATTGCTGGAAATGGAGCGACTAGTCAGAATGATCTGGATTTTCTTGATAACCAGTCGATATCTACTGTTGTTACATCAAGCGATGTGCAGTCATATATGAACAGCGGCAAGAGGTCGCCAGCAACAAAACGTCAGTTATACTACCCATCCAATAACCTGTCTGTTTCTCCAACTTATTCCAAGGTTCGGCAGGTCTCACAAAAAATATTCAACAATTACAACAACAACAATAATGCTGCCACTAATTCTAATACTGCTACTGGGCCCATAGGATATACAAAAATTGATTTAAGTAAGAGATTTCGTAATAATGTGGATAATGAATTTTTTGAAAATGTTGATGAATTTCCGAGCCACGAATTAGATCGGGATATATTAGAAGAGGACTTAGTTGACAACGACAACGACAAGGACAACGACCAGGGCGATGAGGATGATATAAATTTAAATTTAAATGAACTTGATGAGCATACTGGGCTTACCGATGCAGAATCATATTTGGCTAAGCCATATAAAAAGAGAAATAATTTCAAAGGAAAGTATCATTCCAAAATTTCCCCTATAGAGCAAAGTATGTTTGACCACATGGCTCGAGGTAACATAAAGCGAAATCGTTCACATGTGAACAGCCCAAATAAAGCATATGTAGAAAACTTGAAAAAAGGACACCAACGAATGAACATGAAAATGAAAAAGCCAAGGTACGAGATTTATGGCAGTATCAAACACCCATATTATGATTCACTGGATGAATACAACGTACAAGATGGGCCTCCAAATGATGAGAACTCGCCGCATGATTATAAATCATTATATTATAGGCAAAACATGTTTCTTAAATTTATTCTTTCCAGCATTTACATATTTGTGCTGTTACTCATGCTTTGCACCTGCTTGAAGATTATAATAATGAAAAACTTCAACAACACACTAGTGGATTTTGAGGTTGCTGATCTTGAAAACGTCCTGGTAAGTGACGAGATTTTGTTGCTAGATATCAAATCTCGGGCGTCCAATACAAACTTACAAGACATCAGCATATGGGATTTGGGTCTTGATTTGTTCTTGGTCACCGACGAATCGAATTTGATGGAAGAAGGAGACAAGGAGGATGTTGAAGATGGGACGACAGAACTGGTACTTCCAGGCAAAAAAGAGATCACGATATTGTTGGGGAACTCAAACAAGTTTTTGACACCATTGAAGTTCATTGGACTCTTGAACCTGCCAACATGGTCGGAGGTGTGGCACAAATGGAAGGACCCATCACAAGTGCTACCCACCTTCTCTGGGGCTCAATTGAAACTTTATCAGCCAGGTAAGGGTTTTGTTTATCAAGGTGAGGAGCTATCTCATGATCAATGGTTAAGGATTCTTAACTCAAAGTACAAGATAATCTTGAGGGGGAATCTGAAGTATTCGTTACCTCTGGTTTGGCAGGACCAGTTCATCAGTATATCTACGGAGATTGAGATTAAACCTAAAATCTAAACGTCTTTGATTCTTTTTATATACCGTACTAACTATTTTTATACTCCACCAATCTTTCTATATCGCCTCTAATTTTACGATCGTCCTTTTCAACACCTCTCTGAACACGCAAGAGCAATTTTTTGTCGATTGCAGGACAAACAACGTCGTTCTTTTTATCGATGGTTGATAGCAAGCATAGATCACAGCGACGGCCGACGGGAGTACAAACAGTTTGTCCAAATCCCACCAAAACTGGGTTGATTTCATTCCACATTTCCTTATGATTGACCAACATCTGTTCTAAGATTTTACGAATATTATCTGGATTTTTCTCATTTTTCGGGGTCCAACCAAACATGTTGCAAAGCCTGACCATATGTGTATCAACGCTGATACCAACGACCTTGTTCCAAGCTCCTTGCAGAATTAAATGACCCATCTTGTAACCTATACCTTTTAGCTTGACTAAGGCTTCGATGGTATCTGGAATGTCACCGTTTTGCAGGCTAGCTGTTGTTTCTTTCAAATACAAGGCCTTCCTCGAATGAAAACCTATTTGAAAGATCATCTTGTCGAGCTCCTTCTCGTCAGTGTCGTTGATGCTCTCAATACAAAGCCCCTCTTTGTACCCTTTCTGTAGATAATGTGCATGCAGAGCTTGCATTACTTGAAAGTTAATCTCATCTTTGGTTTGCGAAGAAAATAGTAGTGTCACAAGCAACTGATATCTTGAAAATCTATCTGTTCCATGTTTTTCTATTAGTTTGAGTTCATCCTGTAAGCCTGATATTTCTGCAATCTCAATGTGTCGTATCACCCCCGTCTCTTTGTAATGGTTGGTGATGAGTTTCAAAAGGGTTGGGATCTTCACGCAGCCAATGAGATCGACGGGAGTTACAATAAGCTCTCTCATTTCCTTGATTTTGTTGTACAGCGGGAAGAAGTTCTCAGAAATGTCGACAGATTCGGCACCTGCTGCTTCCTCATCTTGATCTTCATACTCCAGTTTGATATGCTTGATGTTTCTCTTTTTTCTGGCAATTGTTGGCGGTTGATTCTGGCGTTCCTTATCGAACTTCTTGATCTCCGAGTCAAAAGTACCGAGATCTTCGTGCTTGATAGTTACGGAGGAACCTGTTTGTCGTAGAGTTGCCGCTCTTGTAAAGTGCCTGCTACGAGACATCTTTATGTTATCAACAAGGTTTTGGAAAATATTGTACGTAGAGTGATGCTAAGGCGTAAAGAGAGGGGACTTAGGGGGCGGGAGGATCTGGCGGCTGGTGAAAAGTCACCTTCGATCTTTTTTATCGCTCGTTAAAAAATTACTCTATACAACGAATGTTAGATAAAAACTATAGTAGTAATAGTAGTGGTAGTAATAACTCATAGAATAAATATGATGATAGCTTGTATAATAAATTCTAACGAAGAAAGTAAAGATTGATGACCGGTGAATAGATTAAGTAGAAGGAGAAGAAAAAAAAGAAAAAAAGAAAGCCCAAAAATACGGAAAAGATAAAAAAGCTCGTAATAGTATGATAATTGAAAATGTATAGAAAATGTATGTGTATAATAAGTCATCAAGGTATGCCTGGAAGTAGAGGAGGGGTTAAAATGAATGGAAATAAGGTCGGAAAATTTTCTCTGGAGCTACTTGAACTCGATCTGGGCAAGTATTGGTATGTGGTCGCTTGGGAAGTCCTCGTTGGGGAAGCCTTTGAAATGTTCGAGGTAAGAATGATCGACGTCGCCCAACACCTTGGTGAAGTTGTACTTGTTGTTGCAGTCTGCAAACCAGATGTAGTCAATGACGCCCTTGAACTTCGGGGTGTACGTTGTCTTTGTGAAAAGACCCTTCGAGTATAGGTCCTTATAGGGAGATTTGAACTTGCCGAGGCCGTTGTTGATGAGGTGGCTGAACTTCATCCCGTAATCCTGGTTGAACTTGACCTCTTGCTTCTTGTCCACCAAGCCTTTGGACATGAAGCGGTATACCATGGAGGTTGGGCTAGAGTTGAAGTCGCCGACCATGACGACGTTGGGGCCCTGCTTCGCCCTCATCATGTCGTCGACCTCGTCGAAGGACATCTTGTAGTGGCGCATGATGGAGTGCTTAACCAAGGAGGTGAGGAGGTAGGTCTGCATGAGCTTGACGTCGTCGTGCTTGGGGGACCAGTAGAGGTGTGTGTTGGAGACAAAGAGGGTCTCGCCGGAGGCCTTGTGCCTGAGCACGACAATGACGGCGACGGTGTTTCTGACGTTCAACCGTGTCTGGGTGTCTGCGGTCTGGTCGATGATGGAGGAGTGTTTGAAGTGGTCGGCGAGGTTGATCTGCTCGTAGTTAAGAAGGTCGAACTTGTCGCGGTTGTAGAAGACGGACACGCCGTCCATCATGTTGGCGCTCTTCTTCCAGTAGCCTGGCCTGGGCTTCGTCTGGAAGATGGAGTCGTAGCCGAGGCGCTCCATGGCGGCCTTCCAGTGGTCGTGGTAGACCTGGTACTCCATTTCCTGGAAGCACATGATGTCTGAGAGCTCGGACAAGTCCCGGAAGCTCTGGTTGAGCCTGCGGAAGCGCTGGCTCCAGTTTGTGTACTCCAGCGGGAGATACGAGTATAGGCTCTCCCAGAGGTAGTGTCTGGACAAGATGTTGTACGAAGACACCGTCACGGTTCTCGCCGGGTTTCTCACCGGCGCAAGCTCCAGCAGCGGCCGGTGTCCAAGGATCATGTTCCGCTGCGGCGTTGCCGACGAGTCGGCAAACGTCGTCGAAGACGACGTTGCCGTGGACGTCCATGCTGCGTCGCCGTGGCTCGTGTTGCGCTCGTGGGGCCGTCCGGCGCCCGGGAACGGCGCCAGCGCCGGCTCCAGCGCCGGCGGCAGCTCTGTCACGGCCACGGACGAGTGCACCTGCTGCGAAAGCCTGGCATGTGTCAGAACCGCAAAGAGCGCCTTTGCAAGAGGACGCCTCGTGCTGCACAGGGATGAGATGAGCATTTGCGATGGGTGGGGGGCGAAGGGGGACGGCGGCAGAGACAAGGCCGATTGGGGGGTGCCACACAGACCAGGGACAGCCAGCACCAGAAACAAAAGCAGTACCAGCACCAGCGTTGAACAAGGGCACTGTCCTCGTCAACACTACCACCAGGGCCACAGACTGAGCCTGACACTGAGTCCGCCTCCTGAGCCCGCCTCCGTGCCTCTCGGCTCGTCTTGTGCAACGGCGCAAACCCTCTTTCTCCGGCTGCAACTGGCGTGCAAAGAGGGGGTGCTGCCAAGCACAGCGCCCCGCCGGACCAATCCGGCCGCATTCCGGTCCGCGCGCCTGCGGCGTCTCCGCCTCTGAGAGGCTGCTAGCGCCGAGGGGCGGGACCGATGGCCAGCGACAATGGACAAGGAAGGCGGGCGGCTTACGTCAGCGCGGGGCGAGGGGCGGGGCAGTAGCGGCAATGGGGTTGTTATCGCCGGGAGATGAGGGTCGCGGGTTGCTGACGTAAGCGGCCCAAAAGATCGACAGATAGACAAATAGACAAACAATCAAACAGAGATACAAACAAACAAACAAACAGTTACATGCTATTATAGTACATACTCGCAGCGGGCCGCTGGGGCTGGCCTGCAGGTGGTCAGGTCTTGCGGGACCCGCTGTTGCCGAAGTCGGCCTTGACGCGCTTGCCGCTGGCCTGCTTCTTGAACTCGAAGCGGGACACCAAGGGCACGTGGTCGGAGGGACAGTCCGGGGTCGGGAAGCCGATCAGCTGGTCGGTGTAGCGGCGGTCGGGCTCGCCAAGGAGACCCTTGACGGACAAGGTGGCGGTGGAGTACCACACGTAGTCGATGACCTCGGTGAAGGCGGGGGTGAAGTTCGTGAAGGGGAGCTCGCCAACAACGTCGTAGGCACTGCGCAGGTGGAACGGGTGGGCCATTCCCTCGCTGGTGTACTTGCCGTAGTCGCGGTCCTTCAAGTCGTAGTGGTTCTTGGACACCCCCTGGGAGAAGAACTGGTACACCGCGGAGTCCTTCTGGGAGTTGAAGTCCCCGCAGATGACCAACGGGATCTTGTTGATGTCGTCGCGGCCGTTCGTGTACTTCTTCACCACGCCCTGCAGCTCCTCCAACAGCACCGCCACCTGCATCGCCTTCACGTCGTTGTACTCGGGGTCCCAGTGCAAGTGCGTGTTGGCCAAAACAAGCTTCTTGCCGCTGCTCGTGTGCTGGAGAATGCTCACCAACGCAATGTTGTCCTTGTTCATGAACCGGTTGAAAATGTCGTCCGTCTTCTTGAACTTGTCCTGGCTGATCACCAACCGCCCGTACTCAAGAACCTTCTTGTCAATCAACTCAAACACCCCCGTCTGGTAGAAAGTCGCACACCCGTCCACCCGCTTCGCCCCCTTCTCGTTCATCGTCTTGGCACGGCTCTTCTGGTGGAAAATCCCATGGTATCCCCGGCTCAACATGAACGGAGCCCAGTACTCCTCGTACGTCCGCGTCTCAACCTCTTGCAGACACACGATGTTCGTCGAGTACAACGAGATCTCCTGCGTTAGCTTCTCACGCCTGTAGTCCCAGTTCAACGCCCATGACGGTGTGTACTTGTACAACTTAGGCGTCGCATAATGCTGGCATAGCGTGTTGTAACTCATTAACGTGAAAGAATTATTCTCCTTCGAGTGCAAGTCAACCTCATTGACAGGCTTCAGCTCTTCCTTCTTCACCATAGGCTCCCCATCTTCGCCTATCCCAATCCATTTTCTAGGCTCAGGAGCATCAATTTTGATACACTCGTCTCTCAAATGGATTATCAACCCACGAGTACCCTTTTTGGCAATCATCGAAATAACATCCTTGTTCATGTTCAAATTTCCCTCAATGCCAAGAAACTCTAATGAAATTAAATTCCCAAATTGATCAGGAATCTCCTTAATATCATTATCAAAGAGATATAGGTATCTTAAGTTGAATAACATGCCAAGTTCAGAAGGAAGGGATGTGATCTTGTTAGCCGAGAAATCCAATACCCTCAAGCTTTTTAATGAGCCAATTGATTTCGGAATGTTCACAATGTTGTTGCCATTCACATACAATCTTCTCAAAAAAGCATACCTGAACAATTTGTCCGATATGCTCATCATCATTTGTCCACTCAGATCTAATCCGGTCCATAATTGGGTATTGTTTTCCTTAATTCTAATTCTCTGGTCTTCTTCTTCTTCATCAACAGCATCCGCTTCAATTGCACCTGCCTTCTTTGCTATGACAGCATTGGAAAGAGTAGGTGTTCCAACTCCAGCACCACTGCCTTTGGTAGCAGTTTCAGCCTGAAGCGCTGCTTGCGCACTGGCAATTTCTTGCTGCTTTATCACACTCGTCAATAGATTCTTGGTGACATCAATCAATGTATTGCCCGCGTTTTCAAACTGCTGCTGCTGCCCTTGGCCTGGTTGTTGCTGACCTTTGTTCTTTCTTGATGAACTTGCAGCTTGTCTTGCGTAGAAATGCGACACATTGGATTGTCTAGAAACCTCAGCCAATTGAGTTTGATGCTGCCAATGCATCGAACTAGTGATATTCTGATCCACTGCAATAGATTTGTAGTCAGCTTCATACAAAGAAGGATTCAAAGATTGGACTAATTGTGAAGGTTGCATTTGCGGAGTCATATGAGACATCGCATACTGATTTTGAAGCTGCTGTACCAAAAGCTGTTGGGCCAAAAGCTGACTTTGATTCTGATTCTGATTAGGACTTTGGCTTGGATTTTGGGCTTGACCTTGGGACTGTTGCTGTTGTTGTGATGCTGCCGATGATGCTTGGTTTGGTTGGATAGACACCCCTTGCTTCTGTTGTTGTAGTTGCTGTAGTTGTTGTAGTTGTAATTGTTGTAATTGTTGTTGTAGACTATGCAGTTGCTGTGAGGTTTGCTGATTGGGGTTTCTAAAGTTGGATGGGAAGCTGTTTTGTGATATAAGCTTAGACGGATTCAAGCTTCCTTCGTTTTGGGTCTGACCTAACTGATCCAATCCATTGTCGGAGATACCAAACTGAGACTGCTGACGCTGTTGCTGCTGTTGCTGCTGTTGCTGCTGTTGCTGTTGCTGCTGCTGCTGGAACAAATAGTGTGAATTATTGAACTGCGAAGCTGGCGTCTGTTGTGGTGAACTTCCTACTCCAGATGGAATCACATTAGGCGTGTCTGTTGACTGTTGAAATTGGGTTGCAAGGTTCATCTCTGAAGTGCATTAATATCAAACGGTCAAGTAATTGCTGCTTTTATGATATCTTGTCTGAATTCTGAAGATGTCTTGAACTTTACTTCTCTTTCAATTCTATAAAGCTCTATGGCGTGCCAATAGGTAAAACTCAAGTATTCCAATCCCGTTGGTGTCAAATTTCCTAATATCTTAAGTGCTCTTATCTAAACTTAGTTGTAGGCAGAACGGGTAACTAAAATACAAGGCAGATGTATCCACTTTCAATAGATATAAGTAGTCATTAATTCAAACAACTTACTGGCTAACGTAAGTGCCTCTTTCACTGATCAATCGTTGGATTTTGATGTCGCACCTTCCTGATGTTCATTTTTTGTTGTGCCAAGGACACCAGTACACCGCGACAGAAAAGCTCTGTCGCAATTATGCCAGTGTAAAATCTTCTCTGTCTATTATATAACATGCAATGTACAGTTGATTATAAAATTACACGGGTTACTGAAAACCGCTAATTTAGTTCTCACCAAAGCGGTTTGTTCATCATCTTGAGAGCTGTTCTTGCCTTTTTGCCAAATCGGCGGGGAAACTCTCTAGGTCTGTTGTCTGTGGGCTCAATATCCTTAATGGTATTATTGTTCACGGCGTTAGCTCCGTCTGCATCACTAACAGAAACTTGAGATGTTTCAATTACCAAAGCAGCGTGGCATAATCCAATACGCTCAACGGACTCATGGACCACTCTCAACTCTTCAGTCTTTATCAACTCTTCAAACGCGTCTAATCTGACCCAGTTCAGCACCAACTCTTTGAAATTATTGCCTTCTGATTCGTAAACTTGTTGTAACTCCTCAACAGGTTTGTAGCCGTTTTGGAATGATCCAATCAACGGCCACAAAACATTCCACAAGCCCTTCTTTTCTTCTAATCTTACTTTCCTTTTATCAAGCTGGGGATATTTGCTGTACAAACTCTCAACTCCAAATAGTAAGTTCAGCTGTAAGTCAATCAAATACTCTGCATCTCCAATTTTGAAAACGTAAAGCGGTAAGAAGCTCTCAATTTCTGACTTACTTAATTTACCGCCAAAGTTTGCCTTTTTTAAACCATATGGATAATAGTCTCGAATCAACTTCCGCTTCTCAATAGCGTACTTTAGCTCTTCTTTCTTTCGACTTTCCTCTTGTTTTTTCAAAAGCATGCTTTGTTCCTCTTCTTCTTTGCGTCTTTTCTCTAAAGTTAGCTTTTCCAAAGCCTTCTTTTCTTCCTCACGCTGTTTTTCGATAGCATCAATTCTTTTAGCTATTTCTTGCTGCTTCAGTTTTTTACGTTCCAGTCTTTGATGCTCAAGGGCTTCCCTTGCCTTCTGTGCCTCAATTTCTTTCAATCTGTGTGCTTCGATCTCTTCTGCCGTGGGAGGGATAGGTGTTACCTTCTTCTCTTCAGGTTCATCATCATGCTTCTTCCTTTGTTTAGAAGCACTTTTTCTTACAGAAGGGGCAGGAGAAGAAGAAGCTGATGCTGAGGGAGCTTTGTCTGATGATCCTGCTCTCTTCTCATCCATCGTTTTTTGCTTTTTCAAAATATGAGGGGCATCACTTACAGTACCTTGGTCATTTTTGACATCTTCGCTCTTTACCTTAGTAGCAAGTTTTCTTTTCTTTCCATGAAGTGATGGCTCCTCTTCAGTGAAGCTTTTATCGACTTGGCTTTCATTGTCATACTCGATATCTTCATCTTCATCGTTGTCTTTATTGTCCTCTTCATCTCCCTTTGAACTTTCATCTTCTTGATCAATATCCATTTTGTCACTATTGTTCGGTTCTAGAGCAAGCATCTCTTTTGATTTTGCCAAAAGCAGGGTATATTCTTCTGTTTCACACAATCCATTTTCTTTCAGAATGTCTAAGGCAGTTCTATCTTTCTTGTCTTTTACTGCAACGTTTACTTGATTTGATAATAGTAATTTGACCATTTCTAAATGTCCCTTACCGACAGCATGCATCAATGGAGTCCAGCCATTTTTATCTTTAAAATTGATGTCCGCCCCAAAAGCAATTAGCAAGCTTGCAATATCTGGAAAACCAAGTTTTGACGCAAGGAGAAGAGATTCAGAAGGAATTTTTTTGCCGTTCATATTGGAAACATAATTTAGGACAAAAGTCACATCATTAGCACTAATTCTTTCTTGAAGGGAATTTAGACCCCCTTTCCGGAGACTTGGATATGAAAGCTGATTATTACTGAGTGAATGTGCTTCGTCGTCAGTGGCAATTGAATTAGATCTTTCTCGGCTGATTTTGTCTGAACTGAGAGAATCATTCTCTGCAAAATTTTGAGAGTACTGCAGAATCAACTTTTTTATCTTTTTAGCATCTGGTGGTACTTCCTCGTTGTCGTCCTCATACTCTTTAATTGTACTTTCAAGAACATCAAATGTGTTTTGTCCTTGAGCGTTCTGTATGTTAGGGTTTGCGCCTCGAGTGAGCAGCAGCTGAACAACTTTATAATGAAGATTGGAAACTGCATCAATCAAAGGTGTATCTTTATCCATCTGCCCACTCTGTATATTGATATCAGCACCATTTTCAAGTAAAATTTTAGTGATCTCGTAGTGGCCTTCGAGAGCAGCCTCGTGAAGGGGAGTTATTCCCGCAAAATCAGCATCATTTATATTTTGCCCTTCTTCTATCAACCTCCTTACCTCGTCAATATTTCCCTTTGCACACATCCTTTGAAGTAAAGTACGTCCTGAAGCATCACGTCCTGCACGGGAAGTTTTGCGCTGTTTAGGTGATTGTGAACGAGAAGAGTGTGAGTTGGAGGTAAGGTTTGAAGAATCCGTTCGTTTTTTTGAGATTGTTAGTTTAGTGGAAGCCGTTGTGCCGTCATTTTGTTCTGCAGAGTCCATATTCGAGCTTTTTAGAAGGCGATGAAGTCTTCTAGTTTTTCTTGAAGGTACTGGAATAGAATCTTCTATATCTGTTTCCTCTTCTGACTCCTCTTTTGAAGGTGTTTCCGAAGTTACATGCCTTATTTTCGGCTGTATTGGTTCGTCTTCATCATCTGAATTATCACCTTTCTCTATGACTTTTGAGTCAGATATCGTGGATTCTTTTCGTTTGATGTCATGGTCTTTATTTTCATCGGTGAGGTCTTTTATTACTTCTGGATTGCCATCATCATTTTTCGTAATTTCATGCTGTATAGCTTCATCAGTTATTCTTTCTTTGGCGTGATTATCAGTATCTTCAGTATTGAAGTATTGGTGTTCCACATCTCCATTTTTTGATATCTCTTGGTGTTCTACATCTTCAGCTTTAGTATCTTCATTCGTTTGAGTTTGTTCAGTCTTGGGTATGGATTTCTTTTCTTTGACTTCTTTTATCACTTTTGTTTGTGCTTCGACACTAAAGTTTTTTTGTTCCACTTCCAAATCTGGTGCTTCGCCTGGTTTCTTCTTCTTCATCTGTTGTAGGCTGTTGATATCTAATGGTTTCTTCTCCGTAATCTCTTCATTCTTTTCAGCCTTCACCATATTCTCGATCTTAGCGTCAGGATGAGGTGCTTTAGCCACTGGGGACAAATTTGATGTAGTTGCATTCACAGTTGAACTAGAGAAGTTCTCACTTCCATTTCCTCGTCTACTGCTAAGCAGCTGAGCGCTCCTTACTGTCGAAGTATCACTTTTGGAGTTCATTTGAGCTGATGTATTCTCACCATGCACAGGATAAAGGCTAACTTTCGATTCCGATGAATAAGAGTTATCTGTTCCTGATGATGGATTTGTATTAGAAGGAGGATATGAATGACGTGATAGATTATTATTGCTGGTGCTGCTCATATTACCATTGACGCTACCCGAATTATAAGGTGAAGCTTGTTGATGATATCGAGAGTTATGGTGAGGGGAATGATAAAGATTATGGCGAGTATCATATTGATTACCGTAGTTGTGGTTGTAGCGACCACGACCGTATCCATGGCTAGAATGATTGTGTTTGTATTTGCGGTTATGTCCATTGTTATTGTTGTTATGATGGTACTGAGAACTGGTCATTCTGTAATAACCATTTCCCGGCCCCTGCTGTCCATTTTGGGCTGGAGGACCGCCTGAACGACGATACGGGTTGCCCGACATGACTTCTAACTGTGATCTCTTGCCCTAAGCTAGAAGTGTTCTTAATTTGCTTTGGACCCTGAGCAAAAAGCAGGTTAGAAAGAGTATATATAATAGTCATTACATCTCTATTATTTTACAGCATTTTTTTTTTGAGTAGCGAGTTCGAAGAAGGAAATTTGAAATTCGTGATATGTTCGAGATTTAAACGTTTTTTCATTACATTTACTTTGATTAAAACTATAAAATGATGAGAAACTATTACGCACAGAAACAACGCGATAAATCTATACATAGATTTATATATGGTTGGTATCTACTGACTTGATTGGCCTTTTTCCAACCATTCTCCCCACTCTATCAACTCATAGATCAAGCTAAGGTTAGGACTTATTTGCGGAACAATCTGTTTGAGTCGTCCATAGGCCTCATTGTATCCTCCCCCAAACACTTTCATGAAATAGGCCATTATCAAAGATGCTGACCGACTGACTCCACACTGACAGTGAATGAGCACCTTTTTATTACTTTTCAATGATTTCTCTATTAAGGCTGTCAAATATGGGAAGTCGGACGTGAGTCTAGATGTGTGTGTCCAAGGAATGAAATAGTACTCTATATTTTGCCTACTATTTCTGAATGTAAGTTTTTCTCTGTTTTGAGAGTCTATACTTATGTTGTCGAAGTTTTTAATTCCCGCTATTTCTGCAATTTTGTTTCTTTCATCAACCTGATTTGTATAATCTTTGATTTCCTGTGCAACATTTATTATCACGTCAAAGTCGGTTACCTCATCAAATGTAGGTTCAGAATAGAGGTATAGGTTTGGTTTCAATACACAAATAGGTCCGTTTGGGTATGCCATTTTAAACGTTTCAGCGTTTGTTTCGTCCATTTTCGACTCATCAAATGAGTGCATTATTGTCTGCGGCTTGATTTCAGAAGAGTATAATTGGCCTGAAGAATTTAAATCCACAGGTACAGGGAAGGGTTTTGCTGGTAACGAGATTGATGGTGATGAGAAGGAAATAGGCGATAATGACAATGAGTCTTGGCTCGAGAAATCCATGCTACTCGTTCTCTTTTGTGGCTTTTCAAAGGGCAGTACCGGTATCTTCTTGTTGTTTGTTTTCGATGCGTTCCTATCGTTTGGTAAATCTGTGTCGTAATTGAAGATAAAGTCGCCATATGCGCTTTTGAGACCCCCGCCTGGTGCGTGTCCGTTTCCAGGACTATCACCATTGTTCTCGGCTTCCACATCATGCACTGGTATATTAATGGCTAGTGTAGTAGCACTTCTTTTCCGCTGGTTGTTATTGATGTTGCTGTTGTTTATAGTGTTTGTGCTGCCGTTGCTGTTGCCACCACTCAAATTGAGTTTGATGCTATTTCCATTGATGCTACTGCAGGCGGATGAAGAAGACGGCGAACTCGAGTTGAAAGACGCCATTCTTCGAAAATGCTGTAAGGGTCTTGGGTTTGAAAATGGCGATATTGCAGCACCAGTACCATTAGCAGCACCAGCACCAACCGCAGGAAGATTCCCTGTTGGTGTTGGTGTTCTACTCAGTACTGGTGTCTTTAGCGTGTTCAGCGACGAAGAGCTGTTTGGTGCGGTGCTATCTTCCGTCCTCTGGTTTGGCAGCGGGATGCTGGTATTCGGTATTTCGTGGTTGTTGATGTTGTTTCTGGGGGAGTTGGTAAGGTTGAGTTGTAGGTTTTTCAAATTCTTTGACTTCCGGGTAGGCAGTGACGGAGACGAGTTAGGAGACAGCAAATCTATCATTTTCTTTGTGTCACTCTCCCGTATCGAGAGATAATTCTCGGGTTGCTCTGTGTGGGTTGTCGGGGGTGAGGAAGGCAATGCTGTTGCGGATGTTGTTGTTGTTTGAGTGTGATTTCGACTCGTGTTGCACGCTGTGTTGTGGTACATGTCACTATTTTCCCATTCCTTTCCCCAGTTCTGCTTCTCAATTACCCAGAAACAACGCTGTTTACCGGACTTGGTAGTGTATATGAGACCGCTTGGTGTGGCTTCCAACAGGCTGCTTCAGGCTTTCTGCTCAACCGTCCATCGCTATTTGTCGTGCTGGTGGTACAACGGAAATATAAATAGCAACAAGCCTCGACGCGGCACATCGATGTTTCACCAAATTATTTCCTGCTCTATACTCTACTTAGCGTACACGGACGGTCTACGTGGTTTTCTATATGGAGATGGAAAGTACACTGCGTTTGAAGTTGCCAGCAGCAGATGTGGTCTCTACATGTGCCCCCCTGGACTGCAGGTACTGACGGCAATCAACAATGCTACCTCCGACCCCGAAATAAATGTCCTTGGCGCCCAAAAGTGTAACGCTGTCGTCGTGCGCTGCTCCTTCTCCGCCAGCGAGCTCCACCATCATCTCACCCACCACTGGTAAGATGGCTGGAGAGTAGATAGTTTCACTGGTGAGCACAATGTTGGTTTCGGTCTTCATCTGCGGAAGTGTTTCGTTGAGAATATTCATGAAGGAGCGGCACCAGGAGCCTGAGATGAAGCTAATGGTTACCTGGTTCTGCTGCATCCACTGGTTGAACCTTGCGACTACTGCCTTCGTGATGTCAATCTCTCCGTCCCGGATGTTCCCCTCCACATCATCTCTTTGTTGCAGCAACCGTAGTTCGTCCGGATTCAGCGCACAGAAACACCAGTTGATCAGTATGTTTGGTAGAGTGACTAGTCTGAGGACGTCGTAGTTGAAATCACTCAAGACAACAGAGATGGGCTGGTGCTGCGTAGCTTGAGTGGAGAAGATCAGGCTCAAGATGTACAGCGTGGGCAAAGAAGTGCCGCATCCAAGTTCAACCACATTGAACTTCTGACCGTTTTGAAGAAGCCTCTCGACTATCTGTAGGTCTTTTAATTTGGCTATCATGTCGAAGGAACACTCCCAGCTTTTCAAACCACCCTCGTATACCCCGTTCTTTAGGTCCTCCCCGGTTTCTCCCATGAGAATGTTGAACTCTTCGGCGCTGACTCCATCTTCCTTTTTACCTAGAGTGCTGTCCTCCATCATCAACTGGTGCCTCACGTCAAACAACTCTCTTCTGTACAGTGTCCGGCCAGGGTAGAGCTCGACCGGCTCGTAGGTTATTCGAGTTTCGGCAAAAGACAAACGCTGAAGGTCTTGCAAAGTGTACAACTTCGGGCTTTGGAGCTCGGAAGCGTTATCTATTGGATTTACAAACTGTGCAGGAACACCATTTCCGTTTTGCTGACCCCCCTGTGGCTCCTCTTCAATATCTTCTGTAAAGCCAAAGCTAAATCCCATTTTGTGGAAGATATCGGCAAGTGATTAGCTTTTGTATTCTCTCTTCTCTCTGTGATTCAATTCATCCGAACCTCTCTATTCAGAGATGTCAATAAGCCGAAATGGTCAACTGGAAAACTTTTTTTTGTTAGAGGTGGGCTTGTTACGTAAGCTGTTGCCAAGTTGATCTTGAACTTGCTCGTGCCAGATATCAACGAGATGGTTGTTGGTGATGTCCTGCCTCGGCGGTTGGGGTGGTTGAATATAGGACGAGTGCTAGATCGCTTGCTACTATGGAAAGCAGCAATTTGTCAGAATATGGAGACTATCTCTCCAAGAGTTTCAATGCTGGCGAACTCGCCAATAAACTGCTTTTAGAGACCAACAACGCACAAGATTCAGATATTGAGCTTGAAACGTCGATAAAGAGGCTCGACTTCGATATAAGCGACTTGAACTCGAAGATAGATGACAATGTTCGGGAGAATTCCGGGCTCTTGATTGAGGAGTTTGCCCAGGTAGAGAAGTTCAAGGATGAAATCAAAGTAATTCAGCCCTCGGTCGGCCAATTGAACAACTCATTCCAAAGGTTGGAGAACGAGATCATCAAGCCGTACAACGAATGTGTCAATTTGCAGATGGCTTTGAAGAAGGTGCACCAAACTAACAAGCTGTTGCGATCTTTGACTTTTGCGATCTATCTCATCAACAAGATTGAGGAGATTGACAAAAGTGAGAATAATCTCTCTGTCAAGCCGTTCAAGCACCTGTACAGCTTGTCCGTTCTGCTAAGGGAGCTCACGAGCTATATAAGCAACCCGAGCCTGAAGTTGATCAAGTTGGTAAGAGACTATGTGCAGTTCAGCGAGATTTTGATCAAGCGCTGTCAGAACGTCATTCAAGTTCAGACCAGGAATCTGCTGAAGTTCCCCATCCAGGAATATGTCACCAACACTGGGGGTGCTGAACCTGAGCAGGACACCGAAAAGTCGCTATTCAACTTACTTTCCTCCAAACTTCTCCTCGATGAGAAGAACCTGGTATCCTCGATCGAGCTCATATACACTGCTAGCAGCAAGCATTCGATCAACTTGATTCTACGGAACTTGAACAACACCAAGTACTTACCATCATATATCAACTCGCTGGAAAGGCCTTCGAGGTTGATAGCTCAGCTAGAAAGGTGCATAAAGAGCATGAAATGGGTGGACGAGTTCGGCTCTGGAAACACAGAAGTGTCTGTGTGGGATCATCTCTTGTCGACAAATGCCAGTCTCATTTTGGGTGGTGATGAAGAGAGGCAGTCTCGTGGATTGCTGGACAGATACTGGAGGGAGATAGCGTTGGGTGTTGACTCGGGGGTAAGAGAGGTTGTGAACCGAGGAGGGCCGATTGTGAGAAACTTGAAGAACATCAAGGGCGAGCTTGAGAAGGCCATTGGAGAGGTGGTGAGCGGCTCCTACTCGGAGATGGGGGAGCCTTTCAAAGTTGACAAATTGGAGTACCGGATGATGCTGAACTCCATCACGAACTTTGAAAGAAGGAAGTAGGTTATCGCATATTGTTTACAGCAGTTTAGATGTTTATAAATCCGCATACATAAGGTGAATTACTCCGTTCTGAACACCGGTTTCCCCGGCCTTCCTATGTTTTTGGAGACAGTGTTTGAGCGTTTTCTGAAGGAATCTCCGAACTTGGTTTTCGTTGAAGACGTGGCGCCGGCCGTTGCGGCGGGGTCCTCTCTGTAGGATCTCTGTCTGGCACGCTCTCTGGCCTCGGCAAGCTTCTGTTTCCACTCTTTGAGTCTCTCCTTTCGGAAGATCTTGGCGTCTCTCTGCTTCTTTCCTCCTCTCTTTTTACCCTTCCCGTCTCTCGCAGACCGGTCTATCTTGTGGTACAGGTCAACCGTCGCGTTGTGCTTCGCCAGGTCCTTCACCCTGTAGTTTGTCAATATGCGGAAGTGCTTGCTCCACTGTATCACCGTGTCTCCATCGACGGCAACCGCCTTGTACTTCTCGACCTGGTCGTCGCCGTCACCGTCGTGGTAGTAGTAGCTCAAAGGTCGTCTGCTCTCATTCCGTTCCTTTGCAATCTGGTCCCACTCCTCGTCCTTCACTTTCCCCGGCTCCTGCTCCTCGTCGACGTCGGCCAAGTCGTCCACCTTGATCCTGACCAAGCTGCCAGCCGTGCCCGAGCTATTTGTGAGAGACGCTCCGTTGGGGGTTGCGGTTGTGGAGAAAAGTGGGAAATACTCGACCTTGTCGTCACCATCCTTTGCCAAGGATGTGCTGTCGTCTGTCTTGTCGCCGGCGTCGCCAGCTTCGGCTGCCGGTGGCTGGTCGGCGTCGACGTCGTCGTCGACATCGACTATCTCGAAATCAAAGCCTGGTGGCGGGCAGTTGTACTCCTGCTCGTCGGAGCTGGCAGCGTCTTCGCCACCGCTTTCGTACAGCTGGGACCGGGAAACCGTCTTGACGTCGGACATGGGTCTTTCTGGGCTATGCTGTCCTGGTCGAGGCGGGAGAAGCCCGCGTAACGGAGGGTGGAAATCGGTCTGAGATTGATGGGCATGTTGAAAAACCATCTTGAGCGAAAGAGGAAAAAAAAAAAAAAAGTGTTGCAATTCATGTGTACATAACAAGAACAAGAATATGAATAAGAATATGAAATAGATCTGGTAGATAAATAAATAGAACGTATCGTGTACGGGTGGGGGGGTGCGTGCCGCATGGAGCGGGGGTGCACAACGCTGCCCTCGGGCAGCACAGTATAGAAGGAGTGTTCTTTTTCTATGGAATGAATAGTTGAATGGACGCAGAAAGGAAGACCAGACGCCACGGCGCGGCGCCGTCTATCTGTAGGGAGCGTCTGCGTTGGCGGCGTACTGGTACTCCTGTTCCCACTTGTCGCCGTTGGCGAGAAGCTTCTCCTTGTTGTAAAGAAGCTCTTCTCTCGTCTCGGTGGCGTACTCCGCGTTCGGCGTCTCCACAATCGCGTCGACGGGACACGACTCCTGGCAGTACCCGCAGTATATGCACTTGGTCATGTCGATGTCGTACTTGTAGGTTCTTCTCGACCCGTCTGCTCTCTCCTCCGCCTCGATCGTGATGGCCTGTGCCGGGCAGATCGCCTCGCACAACTTGCACGCAATGCATCTCTCCTCCCCGGACGGGTATCTTCTCAACGCGTGCTCCCCTCTGAACCGCGGAGAGATCGCCCCCTTTTCAAACGGGTAGTAGATTGTGTACGGCGCTCTGAAGTACATCTCGAGCACAATGTACATTCCTCTGAACATCTCGGCCAAGAGGAACCACTTCGTGGCCTTGGCCAGAGCGCCCTCCTTCGACTCCTCCCACGTTCTTGGTCTCGGGATTCTGAAGCCCTCCGGTCTCGTCGAGATGGCGCTGCCCGCCGTTGCCGATGCCGACTTCAACATCGCAGTGGCCGACAACGACCGGGTGTACGACTTCACGAGTCCTCTGCTGAGCGCTGGTCTGGCAAACATGGTGTGCTGTGGTGCTGTGGTGCTGTGGTGCTGCTTCTGCTGCTTCTGCTGCCTTTGCTTCTGCTGCTTTCGCTGCTGTTCCTGTGCCTGCTGCTCCCTCCTCCCCCCGCCTTCCGTGCCTTGTTCTAGCTGAGCATTCTTTCGACACCTGCTCTTTTCTCTTCTGTCTCCCTCCCCTCCCCTCTCTCTCCCGCAGCATTAGCAATTGTTTCTCTCCCATTCGCTCCCCACTTTTTGCGTCCACGCCGCGTCGCCCAAATCTGCGACGATCGACCCCGTTTTTATTTTGCGACGATCGACCACTTCTGAGTTTGGGTCGATCGACCCAATGCGGTCGATCGACCTCAATTTTGTTTTGCGGTCGATCGGCCCAACGCGGTCGCCCTCGCAGTCGCGCGTGCTGCGCTGCCGCGGCGGCAGCCAAACGGGGCACACGGGTGGGACGGCCAGGTGAAAAGAGCGGCACAGCACAGAGCACAGAACAAGACAGACAGAGACAGGGCACGGGGCAGGGCCCGGGGCAGAGGCACAGGGCACACACCGACACCGACACCGCAAGCCACTACCGCCAGCCAGCCAGCATGCTCAGACAGTCCACCAGAACGTTTTCCACGTCGTTCAAGCCGAAGTTCGCCAAAATGACCCTCATTGGGACGATCGGCACCGACTTGCAGAAACAGACCACCAGCACGGGCAAGGAGTACCTCAAATACGCAATTGCGGTGAACTCCAGAACCAAGGCCGGGGAGTCCGTGTCATGGTTCAACATCGCGTGCTTCTCGCCAAACCAGATCGACTTCATGGAGAGAAACTTGGCCAAGGGCTCGAAGATCTACCTCGAGGCAGAGGCGAAAAACACGTCCTACGAGAAGGAGGACGGGTCCAAGTCGTTCTCGTTGATGCTATTCCAGTCGAACTTCGAGGTGATCAAGTACCCGAAGAAGCAGGAGGAGTGAGCGGGGGTGCTGACCGCCCGCGTGCTGCGGCGCCCGGCGTCTGTTTCTGCTGTACACTATAGAATCTTGTCTAACCTACCTAACTCTGTCAACCCGCCTAGTTGTTTATTTCCCGCCAGGCTAATAGTACAGATACCTGAGCTCGTCGAACGCTGCCGCAGCCTCGGCATCCACCTCCCGCTGCGCCTGCTGCAGCTGGAACCTCAGGTTCTCGTCGTCGCAGGCCCTCATGAACGTCTCGTTTGTCGTCGCCGTGGCCGGCGTCCCCAGCGTGCTCAGCTCGTGCTCCCGCTCCGTCGCCAGACCCTCATACTTCTCCAGAGAAAACTCGTCGGACACTCCTGTGCCGGGACTGTAGCAGTAGACCCCGTCCGCCAGACAGCTCCGGGCCTCGGCGTCGGAACTGCTGTTGTACGACGAGCCGCCGCAGCTGTCGCTGCCAAAGGCCATGGCCAGGTCCTTCTTACTGTCGTCGTCGTCGTCGCTGTCGCCAGCCCTCCAGAACCGAAGCATGAACTTGTTCTCGTCCGTCATGATGTCTCCGCCGAAAACACCCCGGAGCCCGCCGCAGATTCTTCCAAGCTTCTTCAGCAGCCAGTCGCCGTACGGAAGCTTCGACACAATCGTGCAGTACATCTTCGCAGCGTCTTCGCCAACTCCAAAGAGGAAGAAGCTCACAAACGAAATGGTGATGAGCACCCACGTGTTGATATCCGACTCGCTGTTCCGTGACGCAACAATGTATGTCCCCCACTTCCTCCTCTGGGCAATCTCCTTCTCGTAGAACACCCCCTTCTTGATCACCAGGATGGAGCCAAGCACCGCAGAAAAGACAATTGACGAGCAAACGACCAATATGCAGTACGTCAATAGCCTGATGAACCTCTTTACCGATAAGCCTGAATTGGTGCAGACCAAAATGTCCTTGGCTGCTCTCCTCTTCTTGAAAAACAGAATCAAAGTGGCCAGGGAGATCGCCATGCTGATGAAGTTCCACACAAATATCCACAGGTAGAACGTCACAACCGAAATCGAGTCCGTCACCAGCGGCGGAGAGCACCCGGAATATCTGCTGATAAGGTATCTAAAGCTTTGCGCCAGATATGCCACTCCAGAGATAATGAAGGGGAACACAATTGAGAAAAACACCTCACAGCATGGCTTCACCCACTTGTTGCCGAACCAAAACGTCGTCATTCGGTTGGTCAGGAAGATCATCAGCAAATTGAAACTCACGCAGGATATCGATGACGAGATACCCACCGAAGCAGCAAGCTGGATTCTGACCATAATATCACACCACACCTTCCCGTTCCACGCATTGACGTAGTCGGGCCCTCCCCAGACAATAGCGCTGATAAACCCGTCCATCATTAGTATCTCGACATAGATTAAAAGCGTGAGCGCAGGGATGTTTTTGTTCATGATATGCCATATCGAAGGCGGTAGATTCAAGATGAAGCAGATAGCCTGCAACGAAATAAGCGTAGCTTGCAGATTGACCATTGTTTTGACGTATGCTCTGAAAAGCTTGACTTATCTTCAAAGTGCTGCCGTTCTCCGGTAGAATCAGTTGGAAGTAGTAACCATTTCAGCAAAGGGACAAAAACAGGACTATGACTTTGCTATATATATTACATCTTTAACGTATCCTTACATACATGTAATCTTATCGGTTGTTTTATGCACAGCAATCATGTTTCAAACTTCTTCTGGATGGATGGTAATCACCTTTCCCTTTTAGTTTCAACATGTTTCCTTTGATGTCCGAATCGGGAAAATTCTTTTTTTTTTCATTTTCGTGGTAATTCCCCCCCCCCCTCATTATCTATTTTTCTAGTCGATGACATTGACCTTAGCCTTCAGGCCTGCAGGGGGAAATTACTCCGCTGTTTCTCCCTAGCAAACACTACTGCACATATGATGACAACTATCAAACACACTTGGCATGAAAACGCAATCAGTGATCTGCCACACCATTTATCAAAACGATTGTTGATGGAGCAATGGGCGTCGAAATTGTACTTTTTGTTCTCTTGTTGTAAAGACTGCACAGTCCGCTCACTTTCCGACTCGCTGATTTTGTACTTGTCGGCGAACGGATTGTCAGAACGAAGCGTGTAGCCATCATAGTCTTCCTGCTCATCCTCGACATCAACGTCCTTTTCTATTTCTCTTCCTTTTCCTAGGTAGTTGGCTTCGTTCAACTCCCTCTTATATGCGATCAACGCATACAATTGCCAGCTCCAAAGGCAAAAATATATTGGAGGAAATAACATTCCCAGGAAGAACAGCTGTAGAAAGTATGTTAGTATAGGCATAAGGTTGAAAAGAAGAAATGAAAGTGGCCCGGACTTACAAGACAAATGTTCGGTAGTAGTACAAGCTTGGTCCGGCAGGAACTACAGCAGCATAACGGTGTTGCATCCTGCTCTTCTGAAGCATAGGCTGGGTTGAAGACATGGTGGTGGTGGAATACAAAGTGTAAAGAACTGGCGGCTCTTGTGGTGCTATGCATGTTTGCGTTTGAGGAAAGTAGAGTTAACAACGTGCAATCATGTTCTCCCACTTTTCCGTTCAACGTTGTATGACGATGGCTACTGTTATTTATAAAGGCATATGAAGGGTTTATAAGTCTAGATTTTGGATCTGTCACTGGAAATGTCGTGAACGGGCTTTGGCGGGTCGCATGGAATTTTCATGTTTCGCAGCTCAGATTAATTTCCTATTTGGGCGATTTCAATTGTTATCAGCGGGAGCAGCTATTGGAGGGCCTCGTTCTTCGCCGAACCAGTTTCATAGATGCAGCAAAGAGCACACACTGAGTTCATGAATATTTTGGTGGTCGCATATTCAATACCCTAGCTTGTACGTAGCATAAGGGTGTTATTAAGATGTTAATGGCGCCGGAAACAGGTTTCATTTCCTCGATCTCCCACCAAAGCACTTGTCTATATGTGCGCTGAACCGACTCCCCGCTATCTTCCTGTCACAATTGGAGCACTTAAAATACGTGTCCTGCGCAGTGCCCACCACGATTGCGTTAGCCTTCGCACCTAGCAGTTTCCTGTTGTCGCTCAGCGCATTGACGTAAACGTCCTTACCGTTCAGCGTGAACTGGAACCTTCCGATGTCAGGCTCCACAGGCGATTCGTCCTTCACGCTGGTGCCGTTTCTGCTGTTTGTAGGCGTAGGTGTCTCCTCGTCGTCTGTAGTCAAGTCTATCCGTTTGCTGTCATTACCACTTGCACCCGAGAAGAGTTCTTCGTTCTCGGCGCTGCCTTCGTGTTTCGCCAGAAAACTTGGCGAATCGTGAAATATCGGCTTTTCTATCGTGCCGTATTCTTTTCGCACAAGCTTCTCGTCCAGCAGCGATCGGCTGATGATGTTGTAGATAACTTGATCTAGCATGTCGTCCAACAGTCCTCCGCAGAACGACGAGTAAGTAAGTGCACTGTCTGGGGAAGTCATCGTAGCAACTAATCTTTTTCTTCTCTTTGTTTCGCCTTGCTTCTTGCTTCTTTTCTTTCTGTGAGTATTCGTGATCCTCCATCGAGGGACTTTTCCAGATCCGAGATGGCTGATTAACTATCTCTGCTGCAGATAGACAGACGATACAGAAAATTTCAGCGCGTGCGTTCTGTCTTGGGAACGCTGACGTCAGCAGCTGCCGGAACGAACATGTACAAAAGCCGGCTCCACCACAGTTGTGGAGTCAGAGGGACCGGTAAAGAACGGCCTTGGTTGCAGAAAGAGAACGCAGACCGTAACGCACAACAGTACGATGCAGTATATGCCGCTGCACGACACCGGACTCAACTCCGGCACGGTTTCCCAAAAGAGTGATTCGGCAGGCTCGTACACAACGGCATCATCGAAAACGGCGGTGGAGCCTGAGACTCCATGTTCTACAGCTGCTTCCACACCAATGCCGCCTCTGCTGTCCCGTCACAGCAACAATCCAGAGTTATCGGATGAGTCGGACGACGAACTCCAGGATTGGTCGCTTTTGAACAACATCTCTAAGAAGGGAATTAAGGACTTCGAGCCGTTGTTAACCGATGACGACCGGCACCAATTGTCTGCCTACGACCAGAGCAAGTTGAACAAGTCGAGGAACATGCGATTCAATGCATTGGCAGTGAAGCGGGGGTCGATAGTGGACTTGGAAAACTTGAAAACTTCTACGATATACATTAACGCCCACGACCACGATGATCTGTTCATGCTTCAACCGAAGGGGAAGTTCTTGGAGACCATGGGTATGATCGACAACCAGAACGTGTGCCACTTTGGTTTCGAGGAGACTTTGTACTTGGTTGAACGAGGGAGCTGTGTGCTCAAGTTCTGGGACAAGGAAAACGAGGCGAGGAACAAGCTGTACCAAGAAATGCCGCCGTTGAGTTTGCAGGCGGCCTACTCTATTCTCGTCACCAAGGGGGACAGGCTGGACCAGTACATCGTCTACTCAATCCTCAAGCGTGACGGGTATATCATCACGAGAAACGAGGAGTTTGAGGGCAAGATCTCCGAACCCCGAAATCAGCTACTGCCCTCTCCGGACACCCTCTTCAAAAATCTGAAAATGTCCTGGTGGACGAGAGTGTTGACAAAAGTATCGAGCTTTTTCAAGATGGACTTCCCGTACAAGTTTGCGTTTTCATACTTCAATGTTCTTACGTTTTTACATTCCAAGGTCAAACAGCAAGCATTGCCGAAGCTTGACATTTGTTCTGTAAAGCCCACCCGAGGCAAGTACAAGATCTCCTTCAATGTTTGGAAACCGTCACCAAGCTTCAAGAAGAAGAACCCTCCACCACCAGATTATCAGATCACAATTTTCAAGGCAACTCAGCGACTACCCAAATACAGTGAACTAAAGTCGCTTCTTGAACGGTCGAACTCAAACCCTGATACACACAAGCCAAAGCCCAAAGTGAAGCCACGTAGAACGAAAAGTGGTGCAGATACAGGTTCAGAAAATACTGTCGCCAAGCGGGTTCTTGAAACAAGCTGGGATTACGCAAAGGGAATTGATATCAGTAACCTCAAGTACGACCCTCATCGTATCACCTTTGCCATCGTTGACAATGCTACCGTCAACTTCATCACTTTGTCACATTGCAGTTTTGTCTCCGAGGGTCCCGTGTGGAGAGACCATTGGGTGACCTGGAGGCCACCACCAAAAAAGAACAGGCCAAATGGGTCCTATAACAACAATAGGGGGAAATTCAATAAAAATAAGAAGAATCTAGCATTGCAGGAGGTAAGCACTGATTCCAACAATGGGAATAAAACCCCAGTGCCTGAAGTGAATCCTGTGATGCCAAAATCTGCACATTTTTGAGTACTTTTCTATAAAATTTACATTTTGTCTTATATTTCAGGATTTATATGTTAATGTTTCGCAATTAAATAAATGAAAAATAAGCATCTTCAACTTCAATTAACTGTATATGCCATAGCCATTGATGATTTCAATTACCACAGTGATAAAAATACTATCAAGACAAAAAAATCAAAAAGTTAGCACCGGTTGGTTTCGATCCAACGACATCAGGGTTATGAGCCCTGCGCGCTTCCACTGCGCCACGGTGCTTTTGTTGAATGAAAAGTTCACAATCTCTGACATATTGGGTTTTTAAATCTACTCTGGCAGTATGGCCATACCTAATGGTTAGTTTTTCAATTTGTAGGACAAGAAGCATTTACCCTTAAAAAATTATTTAGAGGGTTTTCCAAAAGTTAGCAAAAGCGTCGTAAAGTCTTATCCTAACACGTGCAACTATTAATGTGTTTGTCGATGTACCGCCAATAGACTATCATCTGAGAGCGATCTAAATCATTGGCGCTATGATTATGCGGTTGGGAGGTCCAATTTGGATGGCGCTTTACAGGCGATGAGAACCGTTCATCTTTTTTCAACTGATGTAAATTTGATGATTCACGAAAGCTCATCTGCTTCTTGATGGAAAGCAAAGTTCCTGCTACGTCTACTACGGTAACGCCGCATCAGAGACTTTCAGCATGACTTCCACTGTTCTTTGACCCACGCTCCGGGCGTAAAAGTTTGACAATTATGTTCTTCAAATAAATGCCCTCTGTTCGTCTACAAATTCCCATCGTTGAAAAATAAGACTCATCACGGGCTTGCTTATCAAAACTCTCAATTGCAAACCTAATTCGTTTTCAGCAATTCTTTCGACTGATACCTGTTGAGATGACAGTCCCAAATCTCTTCTTCCTCGTTAGGAATGTTGCAATCACCGTCCACTTTATCCACATGATAGATCAATTTTACACACTAGACACTTTCAAAAAGTCTGCATGCCTGATGATACCCATCAAAACCCCAGTCTACTTTTGTGATTAATAGTTGTGAATAATTATCTCATTTCCCATAGGTAGGTGATACCAATCAATGTAGGAAAATCATGCACAGAGCTGAAATTTTTATCAAAATAGTAGCGACATGTTTTTGTTTACCTTTTTTCCCTTTTGCGGATATAATGCTAACAAGGATGAGAAAGACAAGATTGTGACCCTAAGAGCTTATCGAGTCGAAGCACCAACGGAACTCGAAAGGGTAATCACGGTGAAAATGAACAGCACAGAAAATTCAGATGATACCGGCGATATGATCCACCATGGTCTTCGACAATACAAAGAGCCTGAACAGGATACTGATTCTGAACAAGATTCAACTCAGGAGGTAGAAGAGTTTTCAAGCTTTGACATATCAGACGACGATGTCCCCAAAAGTGACAATCAATTTGATGAGCATAAGGAAGTGTCTCCTAAGGTATTTGAAAACTACGAAACCGATGATGAAAGATCAAACCTCGTAACAGCTGATGGAGATTCGGCAATGAATTCTGCCCCGAGAACACCTAAACCAGATGCCACACCAAGCAATTCGAAGAACTATACAAATGAACTTCACTCTAGCTTCAAAGCTGCTGATGAGGACACAAAACCATCTTCACGTCTGTCAAGTGACACATTTGAAACTCCAAAGACTGTTGAGACAAGAGCCTCAACGATGACCTCTGACCTACCCTCCGACTATAGTAAGTTGATGGGATATGGGCTATCCTTACCTTCAGCGAGCCTGGCAAAACAGTCAAAATCCAAATTGCCCACCAAAGGTTTTAAAAGTGGAAGTGGAAAAACTTTCTCAAAGCGATTAAGTCGGCAGACAATCGATGATATATCAATGGATAGAGACTCAGATTATAATTCTTCCGCTGTCCTTCAATCCATGGACTCACTATTTGCAAATCTAAGTTTAGATGATAATAACCACCCCTCTAATTTGATACCATCTCCCAACGATCTGGTTGACCTTCAGAACCAGTTGACGAATTGTAAAATTCAAATAAAATTACAGAATGATCTATTGCGAGATAAAATTTATCAGTCTATTGTCGATGGACAGAATAAACAAGAGTTGTCAGAAGAACTAGAGCGAAAAATACACAACAGTTTGAACTCGTCCAAACTAAGGTTTCAATTAAGTCATGCAAACGCTGAATACAACTCACTTAAGGAGAAACATGAAAAATTGCTGCTAGCAATTAAAGATCTTTCTAAATCAGTAGAGCTATTGCGTGATCAGCATGCCGATCTTACGCATAATCAACATGAATGGCAAAGAAAAATTGACAGCCTAATTTTGAAGATAGAAACTTCACTAAACTTAAAAAAGCCTGCTAGAATTACCGATTTCAATGATATTCTGGAAACTTTAAGCAGCTACATAGCAACGATGCTAGATGAGCTACTAGAATCAAGGGTTGCCGTGAAAGCTTCTGAAGAACATACAAACAAACTGTTGGAAACTATAAAGGCACGCGAGCAAGAATTGGACTCTATACAGAGTGACTTTACTAAAAAGCTCCAAGATTCTGAGCACCTGAATTTTAGTTATAAATCAAAAATTTTTGATTATGAAAACTTGCTTAGATCAGAAAAGTCTAGCTTTTCAGCATTAGAAGCTCAATATTCCAAACTCCAAACTCAATATCATGAACTTGAGAATGAAATATCAAATAAGCGCAAGGAGGACGAGGTAAAGTCAACTAGTCGAGTGAGTCAGTTGGAGAGTCAAGTGGATAATTTGAAAAAAGCCAACTCAGCTTTAAAGAGAAGCCAAGAAGGAAATGGACCTAAATTGGACCAGATGATTCAAAAAGTATCATCCCATCATTCAGCTATATTAAATTCCCTTATGACGATTATTGATCCTTCTTCGTCAGGAAATATAATAAATGCATGTGAGAAGTTGAATGGAGACACCCCATACGAAGAAATTATGAAAGTGTTTTCTGTTGCCCATAACTACGAAATCAGTTCATTGAACACAATTTTGAAAAACTACCAAGTTCTAGTGGGAGAGAAAAAGGTGCACAATCTACAGTCCAAAACTATTTCAGAATTACAAGGTGAAGTCGTTTTTTTGACTCAAAAGATAAATGATCTCGAAACAATGAAGGATAGTGAAACAGTAAGGATACACGAACTTCAGAGTCAAAATACCAAACTTAGGGAGATTGTAAATGAAAAAGCAAACAAGGTGGACCAACTGAAAAAGCTCAGGTTGGAGGACCTGAAAAAGAAGTGGAAGGCTGCAGAGGAGGCTCTCAGTCAGACAAAACAGGGTGCTCAAATGAAGATATCTGAACTGGAGGAAGAGTTGAATGCCACCAAAGCCCAGCTCTCCCGGTATGAGAGTACGTAAAATTTCAAATCTAGCCTCTCAATATCTAATCCATATATAGTTGAGATGAATTTTATTCGGAGGGTTATTGCTATTACTTTATTATATTAAGTACGTATACAAAATTTGACAATTTGCTTCTAGATGCGGGACATTTTAATCACTCCATCTCCTCATCACTGTCGCTGTCACTTCCACTATCACTATCGCTTCCTCCTTCGGCTTCTTCCTCAGCGTATTTCTTGGCTTCCTCTAGTAAATCTGCAGGAACAAATTTATGAACGCCTCCGGTTTCTTCTGTGCTTACCCAGCTGACTTCTAACTCATAGTCTTTATCCTTGTTGTCCTCATGAACTAAATGTATAATTCTGGCAGCTTCTTTGACAGCAGCTTTACAAGATATATTTGGCAGGTCCAGCTTTTCTAACTCAGCCTTTGCAGCCTGTCTACCCTTACCAGTCGCAGCACCCATGTAGCCCCAATACACACCACTTGGCTCAACCATGTATAAATGTGGACCGGAGTCATCGACACCTCCGACAATTGCATTGATACCAAATGGTCTGACGGAGTTGTAACAGGTATAAGCTTGAACGTAGTAACCTAGTCTACTTATGAGCCCTTCCAATCCCATTGGCTCTTTGTATAAGGACTTGAAACTCTGTGCCTCGTCTCTGCCACGATTGACAAAATGTCTTCCATCGGGTATCAAACCCGAATAGACAACACCAACGTGTCTATCTATGGTTTGGATCTTCTTGTTTTTGCCCGGTGCCAAAAGCTTTGATGAGACAATTTTTTCAGTTGCAAGAACGATACCATCTTTGCACTTAATACCAATTGAAGTTCCTGCATTTTCTACTGCTTTAGATGCATATTCCACTTGAAAGTTTCTTCCATCGGGAGAGAAGACAGAGTTTGACAAATCATAACCCGTACCAATTGAAGTCTTCAAAATGCGATGATGTCTGTGTTAGTACGCTGTATCAGCTTTAGCTTTTTTCCCCTGGAAAATGGGGTGCAACCGCAGCCTGGAACCCCCTTCTGCACATACCATTTTGTGTGTGTTGCTTCTAGTTCAATTCTTGGTGTCAGTGACGGACTCTGGATATCTACAAGACTCCTTACTGGCCACCAAGAGTGTACCAGTACGTCTTTGATTTGCCCTCGTCGGTATCGATCTACAACAAAAAGCTCTCGCGCATTGAGTGAGACTGGCGGAAAGTTCAACATAGGATGGACCATGTTTCTGAAGCCCGGTTTCGGGCGCCGCCTGTCTTTCCGCTAACGCAACGGAAATCTACCCATTGAGAACGTATTCCATTAAAACTATATACATTCTATGGATACTATACGAGTAGTGGTGTGTGGTGACGAGGGTGTGGGCAAGTCGTCGTTAATCACATCCTTGGTGAAAGAGAAATTTGTGCCAAATATACAGCATGTCATCCCGCCAATGAATATTCCCCGTGATTTTTCGGATTCTCGCTACTCAGTGAACTCGACTATCTTGGTAGACACCTCTGCCTCAAACATCTCCTCCCTTCAGTACGAAATTCGTCAGTCAAACGTCATTTGGTTGGTGTATTCTGATCATTATACCTATGAAAGGATATCCCTATATTGGATTCCGCTCTTCCGATCTCTGGGTGTGAATTTGCCAATTATCATATGCAACAACAAGAGTGACATTGACACATCTACAGAGTCATCCACAGCGCTGAACGAAGAGTTTATTCCGCTTTTGAAAGATTTCAAAGAAGTTGAAGCTTGCATCAGATGCAGTGCCAAGGAGAACTACAATGTCAACCAGGCGTTTTACCTATGCCAGCGTGCAGTCACACATCCGCTTTCTCCATTGTATGATTACAAAGATGGCTGCTTGAAACCTCTCGCAGTGTCTGCGTTGAATAGGATCTTTTACCTCTGCGATAGAGATCAAGACGGATATTTAAGTGACGACGAGTTTCTGCTGCTTCAGCAGAAATGCTTCCACAAATCCATAGATATCACCGAATTGCAAACCATTAAAAACACATTAAATGGTATTATACCTGGCTCAGCAAGTGAAAAGGGAATTACAAGCCAAGGATTCCTCCTACTGAATAAATTTTATGTTGAATCTGGGAGACATGAAACGATCTGGGGGATACTTAGAGCATTTTACTACACAGATTCTTTGTCTATCGATGACAAAGTGTTATACCCTAAAATTGACATTCCTCAGCACTCAAGTGTAGAGCTCTCTCCGATTGGTTATAAGTTTTTAGTTGATTTGTTCATATTATTTGATAAGGATAATGATGGTGGTTTGAATGATCATGAACTCGAACGTTTATTTTATCCAACTCCTGGTATTCCAAAATCGTGGAAAGACAACAATTTTCCTAGAAGTGTGGTGTGCAATGAACAAGGATATGTGACTCTTCAAGGGTGGCTTGCTCAGTGGTCTATGACAACTTTCTTAGATTACAAAACAACATCTGCATATCTTGGATACTTCGGTTTTGAAACAAAAACATCCAACTCCAAAAATACCTATTCCACATCCTCTGCTTTGTACATTACGAAACCGAGGAAGTTTAAAAAGAGGAATGGAAAAGTTTATAGAGCCGCAGTCAACGATAGAACAGTTTTTAACTGTTTTATTGTAGGTGCCTCTGGATGTGGCAAGTCATCGTTACTGGAATCTTTCTTAGGGAGACCGTTCAGTAATGCTCACTCTCCAACAATTCAACAGAATATAGCAGTAAACAATGTTGAGTTGATTGGGGGGAAACAATGTTACTTGATTATGGAGGAACTTGGTGAAGTTGAACACGCTATACTCGATAACAAGGAAAAGCTGGATTCATGTGATGTTTTATGTTTTGCCTACGACTCCTCGGACCCTGAGTCATTTCAACACTTGATTGAAATCAAACAGATGCACAATTATTTAGACAATATTCCTTCCGTTTTTGTTGCGTTGAAAGCAGATTTAGACAGACAACAACAGCGCTCAGATTTCTTACCCGAACCTTACACCAAGTCTTTGCACCTATCCCCACCACTTCACATCAGCTCTAATTGGCTACCGTCTATGAATGAACTCATGAGTCACTTGGTTGCAGCAGCTACCAACCCCCGTTTCGCAACTCCTGGTCTCGATCCAGAGCCTACTGAGCCTGAACCTCTTTTAAACTCATTCACCATTGGCTGTGGAGCCATTGGACTTATGGCGGTAGCGTCAGCGTGGTATTTGCACGGGTACCTTCTAGGCGGAAGAAGGTGATTTTGATACAATCTAGCAGGCGAACTCAATGTATAACGTATTTTTTAGAGATATCTATGTTTAGCCCGTAGAACGAACATTTCGTGGGAGAAACCATTGTACGACCGAAATTGGAAACCGAATCAAGCTGCAGCGACATGATTTTCGACATGATTTTCGACATGATTTTGGGTTGCAACTCCGGGAGACGAAGGAAACCAGGCGAATATGCGAAAGAAACGTTCCAATTGGTTCCTTCTTGATCGTTAGTGAATGAGTAAAATAACAAAGATCAAATGTCATCCATAATACCCACATTAGTCTATGTCTCGATTGTGGCATACTCCTATGTGTTTTCTTTGCATATCAAAGCCGTCCATGGATACAGAGATGATCCGATTATCATCATTTTCAGAACCAAAAGAATAGCGTTAGTAACCATTGCTAATCTTTTACTTGCTCCATTTGTCCTTGTGCATGTACTCAAGACAGTACCTGATGTTAAAAGTGTCTTTAGGATATTGGGAATACTTGACTTTTTCCACTTAGAAGTTTTCTCCAAGATGCTGAAAACTCTCTTCTTGTTCATGATGTTATTTTCCGGTCCACTTTTAGATAGAATAGTCAATCAGGAGTACATGGAAAGATATTCCTCCACCATTGAAATGCTAAGAGATCTTCTTATTGCTCCTTTAACGGAGGAATTCGTTTATACCTCTCTGACGACTGGATCCATCTTAGCGTACGAACTTTCCAAAAAACCATTAGCATATTTGGCTACACCATATTATTCTTCGACCGAGTTCCATAATAAAAAAGAATTTGATATATACTTGAAACTCAGCCCAATACTATTTGGATTTGCCCATCTGCATCATGCCATTGAACTGAGAAGACAGAACAACAGCTGGGGACAGATTATTATTACATGCGTATTTCAATCTATTTACACGACTTTCTTCGGGTATTTAACAAATCGGGTGTTCGTTAATACTGGAAGCTTGGCTTGTTGTTTTGTTGCACATTCATTCTGCAATTACATGGGATTTCCCAAGTTAAGTGTCTCGGGATGCAATTCTTACAAAATTATCTATTGGGCCTTACTTCTTTTCGGCGTGTCAAGCTTTAGCTCTCGATTTGATAAAATGACGTACACTGCTACGAATAGAATGTAAGTACGCCTTATGTATATATTGATTCGTATGCAGTTATATGAAGTTTTTTGAAATGTAAATCTAGAAAGAATGCATCGCTATAAAGCTTTATTTTTTACATAAGTGGAGTAGTAACTTCGGTAGAAGTAACCACAGAGCCGACCTGCTCTTTATCGTTTCTCTCTTGCTCCTTTGATTGAATCCATAATGTGTGATTAACCAGATTTAAGTAGGAATACATGAAGTTGCTCAAAAGCACTTGCTGTCTTAATTGCCTCTTAGGGTCTGCAAGTTTCAAGTGACTCAAACGATAAATTGCACGTTCCACTTGAACAGGGAATCTGTGATCCAACATGACGAGAGTGGAATTTGAGACTGGTGGTAATGGGAACCCAAAAGCAGAGTCTCTCATCTCAAGGGGTTGATTGGGCTTACTTGGACGTTCGTTCTGCTGTAATGTTTCCTCAAGTGACCTTTTGATCAACTCATTAGATTCTGCCTCTGGAGAAACTGTTGTTTCTGGGGCCTGTGGTTGCTGGACACTCTCATTAGCAGGAAGAGAAAGTGCTTGATTCACCATGGTGGTAGTCATCACCGCTGATGCATTTGGATCACCATTAGTCAAATCTGTTGTACCTGAGCTTGTCAATATATCATTTGAGGTTACAACAGTTAGGCCGTTTTTAGCCGCTGAAGGCAAATCACGCTCGACTGAAGTAACAGTAGGAGTTGACACAGTCCCAGGTGATGAATGCGGTATTTTTGAGGCTAGAACTGTCTGTATAAGTTTGGACTTTTCACCCTCCTCTAAACTATTTGTTAGAGTACTCTCATTGGACTCGTCAGCTAAAGAAATCTGATCGATTGCCCTCGAATCACTTCTTTCAACCCCTTTGTTAAGTGTCAAACTGCTGTCTCTATGTTGAAGAGAAGGATTGTTCTGCGCATTACTTCCTTTTGTTTTGATATCTGTGTTATCCTTTTTATGCTTATGCTGGAATCCAAGTATGCTGCTGCCTTCAGTTTTCTCTTTTTTGTTGTTTGCGTCAGACACACTCTCACTAGACTTGTTTTTGGAAAGAATGTTACCGTGGGAGGAAAAGAGGCCTACCCCCAGTTTTGGAGAAGAGCTCATGCCATCGTGAGCTTTCTTGATAATAGACGAGGAAGTCGATTCGGATTTTTCTTTTTCTTTTCCCTTTTCCTTTTCCTTTTCTTTATCTTTATCTTGTTCCTTCTCCTTCTCCTTCTCCTTCTCCGCTTCCTTTCCCTTTTCCCTTTCCCTTTCCTTTTCCTTTCCTTTGTCCTTATCCTTGTCCTTCTTACCACCAAAAAATGATTTGAAATCTGCTTTTGGTGAACTCAAGCCAGATTCAGAGCTATGAGATAGTGATCTTTTGACTTTGAAGGCAAGCTTTGGCTCTTCTGTGGATTCGGTTGCATGTGAAACACTACGTGGTTTATCACGCTTGATCTTGAAAAATGATGAAAAAGAAGATTTAGTCTTAGACTTGCCATCTTTCTCCTTTTCTTTGTCTTTTTCCTTCTCCTTTTCCTTGTCTTTTCCTTTGTCGATACCTGTATCGATTTCAGTTAGCTTATTTGCCACTTTAGGCCCACTCGGATCCAATCCATCAAAGTGACTTTGACCTTTACCACTTTGATTTGCATCAACAGCGCCAACCACCGAATCCTTAGATCTGTTGCGTATTTTCTGATTTTCAAGCTCATTAGTGAACGATTTAATCCCATCCGCAGATGAAACTGGCTTTGTATCATTTATGACAGCTACTCTTTCATTGACTAGTTGTCTCTTGGTATCTAAAATACTCTTGTCATTGGCATACCTATTTCTCGAATGGCTTGTTTGGTTAGTGGAATTCAAAAAATTGATTCTAGTTGCATCGGGCGAATCTGTCGGAGACATAACTGGACTTTGTTGGTTCGTATTGAAGGGACGATATATGTTTTGAGCCTTTGGCAGATTGTGTTGTTTGTCTATCGGACTCATCTGAGCATGAGTGAGGTTTTTTCTTTGATGCTGTTGATCCTGGTTCGAGTTGAGAATTTGGCCTTGCTTTTGGTTTGGCTGATGTTGATGATGGCTATGAGATTGAGGAATATTTTGCTTATAAGGAGAATATTGTTGCTGTTGTAGTTGCTGTTGACGCTTTTGGTGATCGAATTGTTGCTTTGGGTAAGGTTGGCGGCCTTGCTGTATATAAGGTTGGCGATTCTGTTGTTGATGCTGCTGCTGATGACGGTGTTGCCGTTGTTGCTGGTAGTTGCTATTGTTTCTGGATTTGAGCATATCATCGTATGCTCTATTATGATTATTCAAAGGAAGATTAGAAGAAACAAACGCAGACGCCGGAGTACTAGGAGTGGTAGGAGCTGAAGCCGACCTGGCTGATTTTGGTAAATCTGGAAGACGGCTTGAAGGAGTCTTCGAATTAATAGGTTCCAACTGTGGCCTGCCCAAAGGTTTCTGGGCGTTGTGAATTTTCTGGATATCTTTGTAAACATGAACATGAGGGTGGGAACGGTTGTTATTGCTCATCCCTCTTCTCGACTTTTGGGGCATGTTTGGCAAATTAGGCAAGATTGAAGGGGGGCTGGAGGTCTGCTGCCTTCTGTAGTTTGTCCAACGTCCCCTTTTCAGGTTTGAGGCAAAATCGGAGGGTTGGCTGCTGTTGCCGTAGTCACTGAAGCTGTCACCTGAATCGCTTGACTTGAAACTCATTTCGACTAAATCGCTGTCAATCTCTGAACTATCATTAAAGTCGTCGCCATCGGCCTCAAAGAAATCATCTTTGATGAACAAGCTTTCACGGGTCTTATTCACGTTGTTCCTTAACAGCAGCTTCCTTGATCTTGCACGATTCAAAGCCATACTATCATTTGGAATCTGATCGATGTTGTTTGCCTGATCGTTACTGTCATCATTGTCACTTTGGGAATAGACCTCTTGTTCAAGTTTGGAAAAACCGATAGACCTGGTGGATAGGGATCTGGCCAAGGTTACTGCGTCATTGTTATCCAAACCGGCACGTTTGGAAAGTGTTTCCAACTGCACGGTAAGCTCTTTCAAAGATGGTTTGCGTATTTGCAAACCTCCTTTCTCTCTCTCCTTATTTTTAGTAACGAGTCGATTTTCCTTGTCTTGTTCTGCAAGGTTCTGAACAAGGTCATTATCGTCGTCGTCGTCGTCGGCGTCATCGTCGTTCTCATTGTCGTTTCCATTTTTTCTATAGGTGGTATTGTGCTTGGTGCTTCTTACTGTCCGGTTCAAGTCACGCAAGGAAGTTTCTCTGTTGAGCGACGACTTGATTGACCCGGATCTCTGCAGCTTTGTCTGTATTCCGTCGACGGTGTTCTGGACATGTTTTCGGAAGTTTTCCGGGGAGAGTTTTGGGTGGGCGGTGGCTGGTACCCAGATGATGTCCGAGTCGCCGAAGGAGGATTCGGGGTCGAGGAAGTCGACGCTGTCGTCGTTGAAGTCGATGTCCTCATGCTGGGTGCTGGATGCGGACAGCTTGGACAAGCTGGCCAGGTCTGCCTCGCCAGGCGCCCGGTGGCCCTGTTGCAGGCCGGCACCACGGCCTTGGCTCGCCACAAGCTCGTCGTCCGAGTGCCGGGGGTTGTAAGCCGTGGTGCTGCCGCTGGCGTTGCTGCCGCTGCGGCTGCTGTCGGCGTCGTGTTCGTCGTCACTCAGGTACGAGTCGAAGGAGCGGCCTAGCGAGGAGGCCGAGTGTCCCGAGAGGACCGACGTGGACCTGTCCAGCTCCGGGTCGTGGCCTTTGTTGTCCAGAAAGTAGCTGTCGGTGAGCGGCAGGTCCGGGTCGAAGTTGAGACTGTTGCCGATCGAGAGCCGTTTCAAGCGCTTGACCGCGTTGTACTCAAGCTCCACAGCGGCGGACGCCGCCTGGAAGTCCTGCTGCACGGGTTTCCTCGGCGAGGACGTGCTCGATATGCTCATGGCGTGTGTGCTGTGTGTGTCTGTGTGTCTTGCGACGGCTCAGTCAAAGGAGTGTGGGGCGTGTTGAGCAAAGATGGCGCAGTGCTGCAGGTCGGACCACGGCTGGTGTCTGTGCTGTCTGGGGCTGCTGCCTGTGTGGGAGGGTTCGCAGTGCTGTGCCGCTGGGGGTGGTGTACGAATCTGTGTTGTTGCTCGTGCGCCTGCGTTCAAGAGTGGGCGTGGCGAAGGCTCTTTGGCTGCGAGGCGGTTCGCAAGAGGGTGCTGGCGGACGGAAAGCACAGGAAGCAGAATGCACACACCGACGACGTCTTGTGCTCTGTGCAGATCAGCTCCGGTCTCTGTCTCTGCCCCGACCTGTCACCTGAGCCGTCGCCAAACCCGTCGCCACCTCTCTTGTGTCTCTCCCCCCCACCCTCACGCTCTCCCTCACCCTTCCTCCCCCTCGCCTCGCCTACGCGCAGTGGCAGCAAAACAACAACACCCCGCGCCCGCGACTGCGACACGACGCGGCGGAGCTTCGCGTCGCCGGCGGCGGAGCAGGCAGGGGCTGTTGACAAAGGATCGTGGGGGCTGGCGGACGGGCCGGCCACACGGGCTGCACCAGCTGCAGCTGGGATGCAGGCTGAACGCCAGAGGCACCTGTAGAAACTTCCCCCGTCGAAAACGGGCGTCTCTGCGGCGAACAGGCCGTCTGCAGGACGGTCCCCCGGACCCGGATGACTGATTGCCCGGCCAGACTGGCGGCCTCGGCCGTTTTTTTTCCACTTTTTCTCATTTAGGGCGATTTTCCACCACCGTCCTGGCACAGAAGAAGCAGTATATATCTATCAGGGAGTGCCTTTGGTGAAAGGTTTTCTGTCCGGTGCAGCTGGAATCCTCTCCGTCACGGTCCGCCTCTGCCAGTACCATTGCCGCCATGACCAGAGAGTTCACGATTAAAGTGCCGGCGTCGTCCGCCAACATCGGCCCCGGGTTCGACGTCCTGGGCATCGGCCTCAACCTCTACCTGACGCTGTCTGTGTCGGTGAACGAAGCGTCCACTGCGTCGACGAAGGACCCCTACAACGCAGAGCTGTCGTACTCGGGCGACGGTAGCGGGTCTGTGCCGCTGCAGTCGGACCTCAACCTCATCACGAAAACAGCCCTCTACGTGCTCCACGCCAACCACGTGCGTGCGTTCCCTCCGGGCACGAGGATCCACGTCAACAACCCGATTCCGCTCGGACGGGGGTTGGGCTCGTCGGGCTCCGCCATCGTCGCCGGCGTGCTGCTTGCCAACGAGATCGGCTCCTTCGGCTTCGACAAGAACCGCTGTCTCGACTACTGTCTCATGATCGAGCGGCACCCGGACAACATCACCGCCACCATGATGGGCGGCTTTGTCGGCTCCTTCTTGAGAAACCTCTCGCCGGAGGAGGAGACCGTCGTGCACGGCGACCTTGGACGCATCCTGCCCTCGCCAAACACCAGCGCCGACTACGTGCCTCCCAACGCCCCGCTCGACCTCGGAACGCACGTCAAGTACCCGTGGAACCCGGTCATCAAGTGCATCGCCGTCATCCCGCAGTTCGAGGTGAAGACCGAGGACAGCCGCTCGGTGCTCCCCTCCTCGTACTCCAAGAAAGACGTCATCTTCAACTTGCAGCGTTTGGCGGTGCTCACGTCCGCCGTCGGAGACCTCAAGCCTGCGCCAGAGGTGATCTACAACTCAATGCAGGACTCGCTCCACCAGCCCTACAGAAAGGTGCTCATCCCAGGCTTGACGGAGATTCTTTCGAGCTTCACCCCGCAGACCCACGACGGCCTCCTCGGCATCTGCTTGAGCGGCGCCGGCCCAACCATCCTCTGCTTGGCAACGAAGAACTTCGACGCGATAGCCACCGACATAATAGCTCAGTTCAAGTCCCACAACGTGGCCTGTGAGTGGAAGTTGTTGGAGGTCGCCAGCGAAGGCGCAGTCGTGGAGCAAGGTAGCAAGCTCTGAAGACGATATCAACAAGAAGAGCATCAATAATAACAACTTCCCCGCTGAAATGAGAAGGGCAGAACGGCGGAACGGGCGAAAATCACCTCTCTGGAATCCCTGCTTTCCACAAGTGTTTGAATTGAATAAACAATCGCAACAGCTGCAGCGTACCCCTTTGCCAACCCACCCCGGTTTGCCGTCAAGTGTACTATAAAAATTTAATTCTTGAATATTAGTTTTTATATAATTAGTAAACTATGGAATAAAGAACAAAAACGAACTTCGAAACTTTTCTTCAATTATGAAAACTAGGATTTTATTTACTTATTGTTGTATTACACAGATGACGGTGGCACGGATATCGAGACCGACGGCAGGACGGTATACGCGGTGAAAAACCACTTTTATATATAGTGAGTGTTTGCCTGGGCTTGTATCCTTCAGCTTTTCTTTAGTGTTTCCTCTCCTTTTTGTAGAATCAGCTGAACTCTCCAGCTCTGGCGGCCATCAAAAGACCGACAATCAAACCAAACAAACCTAAAATACTACCGAAAATCTCAATGACCAAGATCTTCACAAACAACGAGGAGTCTGCAGCGTCCGAAATGGCGGCGGTCGAGCCGGTGATACCAACGGCAACACCACATATGAGGTTGCTTAGTCCCACTGTGAGACCGGCCCAGAATAAGGAATATCCGGTATATAAGTTCTCGACGGTCAAGATGTTGTCAACAGCCACGAGCTTCGATGAGAAAACAATGGCCATGATAAGCCCGTAGATCGCAACAACCTCGCAGAAAATGATACTGATGAGGTTCTTCGTGGTGATACGTGGTGCCTTCACACCGGCACCGATGACGGATGATCCGGTAATGAAGATACCCCACGCGGCACCGACAACCGAAAACCCGATACACGAGACAATACCAAGATTGGCCCACATGTATGGTGACACGGACTCAAGGAACGCTCCAACATTGAACGCTTCTCCGGATTCATTGAATAACATGTCTATATTGCACAGAAAGACGAAAAAGAAACATTGTTAGTATCAGTCCTTGATCAATATGGCTTCTACTGAAAAATTCTTACTTACAACCTCCAACGGTTAACAATGCAAACGTGACAATCGATGTGTAAACTGAAGACATTGTGTACTGTGCTGCTGTATTCTGCTGTTTTTTCTTATTCTAGCTCTTGTGCTATTGTGTCAACTCTTTCAGCTGCAATCGTAACCTGTCTTATCTGTCTTTCTTGTCCTTGTAACTGTTCTGGTGAGAATGAGTGCAGTTCAGAACTTCAGATCACAATCAATGTCTTGCCAGGCAATAAATCGTCTTCACTATCTGCTCAACAGTCCTTCTTCTCTCCGGACCCATTTCTTTGCCCACAACTTTCATTCATCTTCACCACCCAAAGGCCTATAGACATGCTGCTTCCCTCCACGCAGCCGCTGCTGCCTCTGCCACTAGCGACAAGTTTCTTTGCAGCAGTCCCTTAGGCCGATCGGCGCGAATTGACTGAAATGGCCCGTTTAGTCTTTTAGGCTTGGGTTATGTGTATAACTTTTGGATGTTACCTTACTTTATAGACATTCTACTTTGCTGCTACAACCAAGCTGTGAACGGTGACGCACAGCACACTATACACTCTCGAGGACTCATTCGTAACTTACGTAGTCCGGGTTTTTCTTCAAGATGACCACACCTTCCATGGATGAGGCGTATGCAAGATATTCGTCAGTTTCGAGCTCTGCTCTTTCTCCAAAGCCTAACAAGACCGGAGTGGAATGCGTCACCCATCCTGTGATTGTCTTGGGCTTACCAGCAGCACCGACGGTGTCGACGGCCTGTCCGACTCGTACGTTGACCTTTATTGGCTCCAAGTTCTCATCAACAGTGACTAGCATACGTGGTCTGATGGCTGGTGTTAGGTAGTAGAGGAGGTTGGAGTTCTGGTCTAGAATGAAAGCCTTAGGGTCGAGCAATGCTATACAGACCGTAAGGAGTCCGGCAAGTGAGACCTTGGATAAAATTTGCTTGTCGATGGAGAACGGACTCACCGTGAGTGTGCCCTTACCCAAGTGGATCAGACCTTGGGAGATTCTGGAAACGAATAGTCCATTCTGATCGTTGATGTAGTAGGAAGCTAGCTGTCTCAGAAGTTGTGCCAATCTGGCGTTGTTGGTACCAGCTCCAACTAGTCCCATACCAAAAATCGCGTTGTAAGCAACCTCCATGTCTTGGTCATGGGAGTATCTGGAAAGCGTTTCAAACACATTCATTTGTGGATTACTAGCAGAAACCAAACCCATAGCAAGTGGAACAGCCCTTTTTATTATGGCCTTGCCATAGTGCATCAAATGCTCGAAATGACGTATAGACATTTCTTGTCCAATCTCTTCACCCATACAAATCAACGCGAGACCTAGAACAGCAAACCCCTGGTAGAGGTCATCTTCAGCCAAATCGTCTTCCTTCTTTGCGTCCGACGCTTCCTCGCTGCTGACAGTTTCTGTTTTGCTGTCCTCAATTTTGGCCTCTCCCTTTTCGATGCTTGGCTTGACAGTAGGGTCACTTCCTCCTTCGATGGCATTGTTTTCGATATCAACAGGCATGTCTGCAATTTCAACATTATCTTGGTTATCAGTCTCCATCACACCCCCATCGTTGTCGAGTTCTGCATCAACTTCTGCATCGGCTGCTGCCTCCATCTCGTAAAAGTCGTTGTCATCTTCATCATCCTCGTCATCTTCATCATCTTCGCTGCTGTCTGTAGGCTTGGTAGTACACATTTGCAATAATTCTTGGATTTGTAGCACGTTACCAGTTCCAGCATAGGAGCAAATTTTAATAAGAACCTTTAAGGATTTGGAAATTGGGTGCTCAATCGCATCAATGGTTTCAAGGACATCATCGACTTGATCGTACTTGCCCATGTATAATAAACCGAGACCCAAACACATGAATCTGATCCATTTGGATGCTAACTGAGTTGGATCTTTATCTAACAAAGATTGAAGAATAGTATCAGTAATTTCGCCATTGCAAGTACCCACAAAAGTGTGACCCAAGGATAAAGCCGCCAATGACTGAATTTCCAAAGTATAGTTTGAGTCACTAACAATTGGGGTTAACAAGTTCAAAACATTTTCGTTTTCACTTCCAGCATATGCAATACCAAGACCAGTGATTGCATATGTAACAATCAACTCATCATCCCTTTCTCTATTGTGAACGAATTCTTCTAACAAATAGTAGGTTGATTCGACATCATCATGAACACCATTAGTTGAAATACCCATTCCCAAAACAGCACCTGCTCTGAGTTTCGTATTTTCATTATACTGGAATTGATCCAATGACTGCAAGCCATTTTCAACGTTCCACAAATTCACTAGACCCAAAGAAGCAACAGTAGATAGCATACCTTCATCCTTTGTCTTGTAAACCCATTTCTCCTTTGATATGAGTTTTTCGTCACTGTAACCGGCGTTTAAGAAACCGTTCACAAAAGCAGCAGCGAGATTCTGCTTTGCACTCTCCAATTTGGAGGATGAAGCATAGAAAGATGTCTCCAAATGAGATTTATATATATCTTCTGGAACTTTTGGTGCCAACAAGTTCAACTCGGTGACCAAGTATTGGAAGTATCTATGCATGTGATTGTTGTTGATACATTGCTGGACTTCTTCGTTCTCAACACTAAAGCCGTAATTTTGCTTACCAAGAATGAATCCCAATTGCTTTTGGACAGAGACATCATTTGTCGACTCAAAAACAGACTTCACCAAGGACTCGTCACCCAATCTGATGGCAAGCGTTAAGGCTTCAGTTAATCTATTGTTTTCTAAATAGATGGTGAAAGCTGTGTTAAGGAAAGCCAAATCATCTGGCGGTGCCAACAATGGGACGCATGCAACCATGTAGGAGCAGACTCTTTTATATGTATTTTTGTCAACATACTTGGATAGTTTCTCAACTTCTTCAATCTCTAATAACAAATCGACAGCCTCAGCTTCAGCGTTGTGCTTCAAGAAATAAGGGGCAATTATGCTGCTCAATTGAACAAGCTTGTCTTTTGGTTCGCCGGCATCCAAACCGGCCTCATACTCATCACCAATTTCTAGAGACAAGTGTCTTAAGTATTCATGTCCCCATTCGCTCATGGTGTCATCAATGTGACTTTTCAATCTGTACTTCAAACACACTCTGACATACTCTTCACCGTCTTCTTCGGAGTATGTCATACCCAAAACAGAAAGGACGTCATAAAGCTGCATCAACAATTCCTTGTCCTTCCACGACTGGTCTAATTGGATTAAGGAAGGATAGAAAGGTCTCAAGAATTTCAATGGCTTCGGAACAGCAGTCATGGACGATGTTGATTCTCTAATAAATGTCTTCAAGCTGTCCAAAGCAGGCTTGTAAAGCTCAGTTTGAGAAGACATCAACCGTTCAACCAACATCTCCAATTCATTCTTCAATTGCTGGTCTTCTTCATTTAACTCTTCCTCTTCATTCTTCTTCTTTTGATCTTTATTTGAGCTTGTGGCAACAGTCTTTGCTGATTCTGTCGCAACCGCAGCCTCTTTTTCACTGACGGGAGCCATTCTCTATCTATGATTCTGCTATCTACCGTCAGAATATATCTATATTGACGGAACGATGTATGCTACTCTCCAACTCAGTAAGAGCCACTAATCTTGTGACAAGTGCAACGGCGTCTGGAGCATCCATTTCAGCATCTCAGATCCATTTTTGCCACCGCCCTCGCTGTCTCGGCTGGACTACTTTCTTTCTGTCTCGACACAGGCGCAGAGAGATTCTCGCATCTCGTTGAGAAGGGGATTACCTAATCAGAGGGAGGGGGCATACACATTACTATTATACAACATTACATATCTTCGCTGAGAAGCCCGTTGATGACCCAGTTTAACTCGTCCGGGGTGCCTATATCCTTGTCCTTGAGAGCAAGATTGATCTTCGGCACAGGATCGTCTGGATGGCCGGTGGTTTCGTGCCAGATGGCCTCGTGCGACTTCAACAAGTAGGACACGTCTGTGACTTTATTTGGAACGACATATAAGTTATGCTCGTTGTTTTCGTCCCATTCCAACACTTTTTCACCATTGGTCCAGTCTGTATTTGCCTGCAGTGTTTGCCGGCTCACAAAATCGTAGTCGTCATCATTTTTGAGCATGACGTCGTTTAAATGGTCGACTGTCCCATAGGGTTGGATCATGTGGGGTGTTAGACTGAACGAGTCAAACAAATCCTCTGTGGTTATTGTCAACTTCTTACGCTTTGTACCTGTTTCAACGCCGCAGTTGTCTATTGTTGCCCCCTTTTTCTCCAGAAAGTCGTCCACTTCGTTTGTGGTTTCTTTGGATGTATCCACACCCTTCTTATCTGCATCTCTTTTGGCCCTCACGTTATCTATGACATTGCCGATGATTGATTTCAAATGGTATTGAAGTCCCAGATAGAGAACATCAACAGCCTTCATCGACACTCCGCCCAACAATCCATGTTCTCTTGCCAGACCCAACATTATGTCTCTCATGCGCTTCCTCTCCGGTAACTCGTACGTTTCCGTGCACAACGGCTCGTTGATCATATCTAATATATCCTTCACCGAAATCAATGTCATCTCCAAATTGTTGCTACCTTTTTTATTGGCATTCGCCTCGCTTGATGCGGCACCAGTCGCAGACGGGTGGGGAGAGGAAGAAGATACAGATGACGTGTTGTTTGTGGTCACAATCGGCACTTTCGGAACCATTGCCTGTCTACTCAAAACCATCACATTTTGAATCATACCTTTCTTTCCGGACTCCTTTGTAATGCCTTTCAAACGCACCCTTTCACGGATAGAAAGAGACAAAACGTCTTTCTTCAACTGTTCGTACTTCGAAGACTTACTGCCAATCTTCCGTTTTTTAGATGTGTTCCCGAATAGACTTGTAGATATCCCGTCCAGAGGCTCTACCCTGTAGCAATTCGCCAACATCGACATTAATAAACGGTTGTGCATATGTCGGGTTCCTTTTTTGCTCAATACAGGAGCAATCTGCTCCAAAAGCTCTGCTCTCGAGAGCTTCCCCACAATAAACAACGACACGGCGATCTGGTACGCGTCCCACCCATTACCAAGTGTCTTCTGGAACTTTGACACAAAACTGCTGATCTCCACCCTCTTGCTTGTCGGGTGATGAATTTGGTGTTGCTGCTGGTGTTTGTCATGAAACCCGTTACTCTTTCCGCTCCCGTTACTACTGCCTCCGTTGGGAGGAGCATTGCCCGTGGTGGTGGAGGCACCTGCACCACCCACCGTGGACGCCGATAAATGTGATGCCGCAAGCATGATAGGGTGCTGTAACCCTAAACTCGATTTAATTATTTCTGTCTACGCCTCTCCCCCTTATCATCTTCTCCTCCTCTATGCCATCATCACCTTCTTTCCGCCTATTCTCATTTTCGTCACCAAAAGGAGAAAAAAATGGCAGAATTACCGAGGCGCTTATGTCAGCATATGGGCTCTAAAAATAGAATGACATAGAGTGCATTGCCGTTTTGTTGTGGTTCAGTTGAAACTTCGGGAACACCTATTTGTTCTCGTTTCTACTTCCATCGGTTCCTCCTGTGGTCCGGCATAGGAAACAAAGTTCACAGCAGTTACCAGCTGGAATAGAAAGACAAGCCAAAGCGCCATGTCGACCTCCCTTGAGTATTTTAACCCAAACATGTACCACGTTTTCCGTGTGTTCAACCAGAAATTCATTGTCGATAAACGCTTTGAGCTAATTAGAGGATTAGGCCAGGGGGCTTATGGTGTTGTCTGCTCTGCAAAATGTACGGAAACGGAGGAAGGGGAGGACAAAGTTGCCATCAAGAAGGTGACAAACGTTTTCAGAAAGAAGATTCTTTGCAAGCGTGCTCTCAGGGAGATCAAGTTGCTTGCCCACTTCAGAGGGCACAAGAACATTATCTTTCTTTGCGATCTAGATATAATTCCAGACTCAAACGGCAACTTTGATGAGATTTTTCTCTACGAAGAATTGATGGAGTGCGATTTGCATCAGATTATCCGCTCCAAGCAGCCATTGACAGATTCACACTACCAGTCCTTTATCTACCAAATCTTATGCGGGTTGAAATATATTCACTCTGCCGATGTCTTGCACAGAGACTTGAAGCCGGGAAACCTCTTAGTCAACGCCGATTGTGAGTTGAAGATCTGTGATTTTGGTTTGGCAAGAGGCTACTCAAGTGATCCTGAAAAAAACCAAGGATTTTTGACTGAGTATGTGGCAACAAGGTGGTACCGAGCACCAGAGATCATCCTTTCATTCCAGGGTTACACCAAGGCAATTGACATGTGGTCCGTTGGTTGTATATTGGCTGAACTTTTGGGAGGCTCTACAATTTTCAAAGGGAAAGATTATGTTGACCAGTTGAATGAAATTTTGCGTGTTCTTGGTACCCCTGATGAAGAAACCATCCAAACGATTAAATCATCGAGAGCACAAGCCTATATCCGGTCATTACCATTCATGCCTAAAATCCCCTTCAATGCTTTATACCCTGAAGCTGAACCTCTGGCGATAGATTTACTGGAGAAGCTTCTTACCTTAGAGCCGAACCAGCGTATCAATGTCGATGAAGCTCTTGAACATCCATACTTGGAGGTGTGGCATGATCCAATGGACGAGCCCAACTGTCCAAAAAAGTTTGACTTTGACTTCGAGGCAGTAGATGATTTAGGTATGATGCGTGAAATGATTATACATGAAGTACGTGCGTTCAGAGACTTTGTGCGCCGTCCCTATACAGGAGAAGAAGAGATTTTTGATTCATCCAAGTTTTCTTATCCAAATGAAGGAAACAATGCATCACAAATTCTTTTGCAACAGGAACAGCTACAGCAACAGCAACAACATAATTTACAACAGCAACAGCAACAACAGCAACAGCAACAGCAACAGCATGAACAGCAGCAACAGAACATACAACAACAACAACAACAACAACAACAACAACAACAACAACAACAACAACAACAACAGCAAAATTTACAACAACAGCAGAGCTTACAACAACCACATCAACAACAGCAACAACACCAGCAACAAAAGTTACAGCAGCAACAACAACACATGCATCAAGATATGATGCCATCCTTACTCACCCCAACTGATGCCCTTCAGTACATCGACCAGGACCTTCCTCCACACCCGGAGGAGATGATCTTCGAGAACTCGAATAATATTGACTTAGAGCAAGAATTAGCTTATGGCCTCGATGGCTACGGTTTTCATTGAACTATACAAAAAGGCAAAGACGTCTGCTAGTAGTGCACACGCAAAATGCCCTGATTTATAAAGAATGTATTTATAATTTTGAGATTGAAAGCTTACCTTTTATTACTACTATTATTATTATTATTATAGGAATACAGTACTAAATTTGATAAAGAAAAAAAGGAAACCCGATGCGATAAACTAACCATATAAATCTATAAAAAAGCGATCATCCATGTGACCATTAGGCTTTACTGCATTGAGAGAGTAGACGTCCTCAAACTCACCGTCAAATGCCCTCTTCAACCAAGTAAATAACCTATCGTATACAACCATACCTGCGTTGTGCCAACGAATGCTGTGGTCACTATCTGGGAAAACGTACATGTCATAATTTTCAACACCTGCAACATCAAGAGAGTCGATAAATTGCATACTGTTCTGGAAATGAACATTATCATCACCCGTACCATGCATTAATAAAAATCTTTTTGCGTTTTTGAATCCTTCGGCCTCACCAACACGACAGTTTTTGTAGCCTGTTGGGTTTTGTTGTGGAGTATGCATATACCTTTCCGTATACACGGAGTCATATAATTTCCAGTCTGTAACTGGAGCAACCGACATTCCATACTTGAAGACCTCACCTTGATCGTGTTCTAAAGTTTTAAGGGTCATGTATCCACCATAAGACCATCCCCAGATAGCAGTACGTTCTGAATCGACGTATCCCAAGGAAATCCAATGCTTAGCTGCTGTAACCTGATCCAAAACTTCATAATACCCCAAGTTGTCCCTAACAATATTCCGGAATTTCTTTCCCTTGAAGCCTGTACCACGTCCGTCGACAGTGACAACAACTGCGTCCAGTTCAGCTGCAATGACAGAAGAGAAAGAAATCGAAAATGGCTTTTGTACTAGTTGAGAACCCGGACCCCCGTAAACAAAGAATAAAAGCGGATATTTCTTCTGAGGATCAAAGTTTAAAGGAAGCGTTTCCTTGTAGTTGACTGTTAGGCCTTCATCTAAGGTTATATTCCCAAATTTGACTTCAGGAAGAGAATATTCGTCCAAAGTTTTTTGTAGATCGGTATTGACTGAAAAATCTTCGGAAGAGCCTTTATGTAAATCTAGCAATTTCTGATACGGAACATCTGGGCCTTGATAAGACAATAACAAATATCGAGCACCTTTGGAGAAAGATACATCGAACCATCCATCTTTACTGACATCTGTCAGGTTTTCCTTTGAAGCACCTTCAAGATCGACGGAATAGACGTGTCTTTCAATGGAAGATTTCTCAGTGGAAACAAAGTATACCTTGTCGCTGACAAAGTCATAAGCGGCAGCGCCGTCTACAACTTCCCATTCTCCCTTAGTTAAGTAGGCTTTTGGCTCGGAAGCATTTGGAGGAGAAAAGTAAGCCAAGTGTTCATAGCCATCAACGGCCATCATGTCGATGTAACCTTCCAAGGGTCTTTTCTCCGATTTCGGAATGTGGATGGTATTATGAGAGATTTCGAACCAGGATTTATCATCTCTCCCATCCTCAAATCGGCTTACGATTGAGGACATCTCGGAATCGGACAACGGACATGAGACAATAAATATTTTCAGAATATCTGACTCTCTATTAGTGACACGCACAAGAACCTGTTCATTTCCAACCCAGGTGACTTCTGTGATCAACCTATCGGTGTTGTTGATTTCTTCATCATTGTAGAAAGGATCCGAGGCTGGGAGTTGTTTGAGGGTGTCGTTCGACAAATCATAGATGAGGATGTCGACTATTGGGTTGGCAAAACCTGCCTTTGGGTACTTGATGCTCTCAAGCGTCGGATAGGAGGAACTGTTTCCCGGGCTATTCTGAACGAAGTAGGGAATAGGGAAAGTCGGCACTTCTGTGTCGTTTGAGCGTAAGATGACAAGATGGGAGGAGTCTGGAGACCACCAAAGGGCACGGTCACTTTCAAAAACCTCTTCCTCGTAGACCCAGTCTGGCTTGCCGTTGAAGATTTGGTCGCCGCCGTCAAAGGTGATTTGTCTGCTGGCGGGACTGAAGAAGTCAGACACATCGTTGACGTAGACGTTATTGTTCAACACGTATGCGATTTTGGAGGAGTCTGGGGAGATGACAGACAAGGCGATCTTGCTGTTCTCCTCGGTGCTCGATGCGATGATGGGCTGGATGTCCTTTGTCTCGACGTTGTAAGCGAAGTATGCTGCAAAAAACGAATGTCTCCAGTTGTGGCGTTTGTTGCACGTCAGAAGAGCGATTTTCAAGTCGTTGCTGAAGGTCACAGACTCCACAGCATAAGTCTTGTTCTGGTACTCTATTGAACTGCCGAGGTCGTAGAGCACGGTTTTCTTGGCCGAGTCTTGCAAGCTTCTCAAGTAGTAGTTCCCCCTTTCAACGACGATGTAATCTCCGGAGTCGTTTGTCAAGGATTCCGGGGTTTGGATCCACTGTATTTCTTTGCTTTCGGCGTAAAACGTCCCATTTCTGACGTCTTTGAAAGTAAGTGGTCTTTTGGCTTTTGCGTCAGCGTCAAACGCCAAACCCTGTATTTCTTTATCTGCTGGATGGTAATCAAGCTGCCTCTGCAAACCAAGCTGCTTGTGGTTCACGTAGAGACTATTAACCTGAGAGAGCAGCAAACTAGTTCCGTACACGAGCACTATCGACACCAGCGATATGTACCGCCAGGAAAAGGAGGTGTTTTGAGAACCGGGCAGCGGCATGTACTCCTTGCTGTGCATCCTGCTCTGTTGCAATGTGTGTGTATGTGTGTGTGCCTGTGTGTGAGACTTTGTTTTGCGAGTATCTGTAGCAAAGGCGGATATTGGGGGAATGCTGCAAATAGAGAAGAGCCGGCAGAGGAGGGGAGGCAACACAGAAAGAGCAGAAAGAGAAATAGACAGCTTGATAAAGATGAGAGCTATGACGGCATGGCTCGTGATGACCCCGGGGAGGCTGGTCTGCTTTTTCGCTGATATAAAACGATGAAAAAGAACGAAGGGGGGGAATCACCATTCGCCCCAAATGCCCATAGACACCGCGCCGAGAAGGTACTGCTTATAATTCAACTGACTTAGCATAGGTCCAGCCCGTTCGTTAGTCCTTTGGAAAAGTTGAGAAGACTTTACATCCCTCTGCTTACTTCCACTAGACTTGTATGGGTCAGAGAACCGGACACAGTGACCATATTCTTCCAACTCTTTTATCCTAATTCAATGCAGTGCGCCACTTGGAGGCTGGGGTTCCAGGTGATCCAAAATCATCGGAGTTTTGGGGTTTGAATAAATCCACCAAAGAGAAATCTTCAAAAAAGGATCTAATGTACTCTACTTGCCCGACTTTATTTCTGGAATCATGTTTAAACCAAGAGTGTCAAATCTTGCATATGATGGATTTACGAGAAATTTTCATGTTTATCGCTGGAGCGAATGATGAGGGATGATGTCACTGATTAGAGCACTTGCACTGTGAATCAGTATACATGACCGATTCCAAGCATTGCTAGCTTTGCTAAGGGAGCAGGGTTGCGAGGTCGTCTCGAAGGGATTGCTGCAGCCGTGCAAAAAGCTTTTCCACGAGGCTTCACGGTAACTCCGTTAATCCCATCCGTCGGATATAACCTTCGGGAGAACCGCATGTGGCCATAGGGGGTACACATATATGACATGCCTCAGCTGAAAGCTTTCCAGTTGGGCAAATGTACTCTACATCTTTTCTCATTTCCATTGTAGAGTCCTATAACCATATTTCGCAACGCCCAGACAGCTTTAATACTACACCAGTGCGTAAATCGATATACATCATGACCACACCAGCACTTCCAGCTTTACTCACACCTGCCCTCAGCGACCGTGATGCCATAGCTGATGCCCTCTACCGAGGAGTCATGGCTTTTGACACCGCCGACGATGCTCTCTTCAAATCTGCCCTGACTGAGGATGCCGTTTTGGTCCTTAACGGCACTGTCATGGAAGGCTATGATGCGATATACAGTGGATGCTATGCCAATATCGCCAAGATGGACACCAACCATTTCCTCACCAACATGCGTATCAACATCACCGAGGAATCCAAGGCTCAGGTGTCATGCTCAGCTCTTTCTCAACACTACCGCGGTGGAGAGGGCATGAAGCCTGGCTCTGATTTCTTGCTTGCTGGAGGCCTTTATGCGGTCGAGTTGGTTAAGGATGCTAGAGACGGATTGTGGAAGATTAAGCATTGGACTTTAAAAACTACTTGGGGACAGGGCGATTGGGGAGTTTTCGGAAAATAGTTCAGGTTCCGCTATATCATTATACATGTTTTCTCATACTTTGCGCCTGTTTAATAAGATCTTATTTTACTGTTTATTGTGCTGATTTATTATCTGTCATTACTGAAAGTACATCTGTAGTGATGCTAATATTTTGATGTATTTCTGTGTTTATTCCGATGAAAGTTTGATGGTAGCTTTGACGGCATGGCCGTCTTGATGGACCTCGAAGTCGTTAGTTTGCTTTATAGGCAAGTGTGAATGAAAATAGTATGCGGAGGGTTGCGTTGAACTCTACGCGTTGGCCTCTACGCGTTATAAAGTATACGAGTGTGCGTACGTGCCTATGGTAGAGCCACTTGGACAGTGGCAGCGTCAGTCTTGGAGCTTCTGAGCATGGCATCGACAATGGCTAAGTGGTGGAAGGCGACCTCGGGCCAGCAGACGACGCTACCCGGCTCGCCGTGGAGTTCTCTGCCGAGCTTTTCGAACTCCCTAGCGGTGCTCCAGAACTCGTCCTTGATGAGGACCTCCTCCTCAGTCTTTTCGTCGCCGGCTGTGTGGCCGCCCGTGCGTACGACGAAGCGGTTGCCCGTGGCTGGAGAGAAGTCGTAGTAGACGCTGCCGTTGTCGCCGAGGATCTCGAAGAAGCCCTTCTTCTCTTTGTTGCCGAAGGCGCTGCCATAGTTGAACGAGCCGACGACACCGGAGGCCATCTTGCAGAGTGCCCAGACGACGTCGACGTCACCGCTCTGTGGTCTCACCTGCACGGTTCGGGCGTTCAACGCCTCGACGTTGCCGAGCACGGACGTGAGAAGCGCCAACTGGTGCACACCACCGTCGCTCAAGAAGCCGCCAATGTGCTCTGGGTTCTGGCGCCAGGAGGTGCTCAAGTACTGGTTGTTGAAGTTGAAGGAGCCCGTCGAGTGGTAGTTGAAGCCCACCACGGTACCGATCTTCGCAATAGCGGCCTTCAACTCGGTGACCGCCTTCAAGTACACCCAGTGCTCGTTCACTGCCACCAGCACCTTAGGGTTTTCCTTCGCAAGACGCACAATCTGGCGGGCCTGGTCCAGATTCGCCGCAATCGGCTTCTCGATCACCACGTTCTTGCCGTACTTGACGGCCTTCTCGACGGCCTCGAGGTTGTACTGCACGGGCAACAACACGTCCACCAAATCGACCTCCGGGTCCCTGAACGCATCGTCAAACTCCTGGTACACCTTGAGTGCAGGCGTCGAAAGGCCTGCAAACTCCTCCGCTTTGCTGGTGGTCCGGTTGAAGCACGCCACCGGCTCAAAGTATGGGGAGTCCGTCAACGATGGCAAATGCGCCTTTTTGGCGAAAATCCCTGTGCCAATGATGGCGACCTTAGTCTTCTTGATGTTTGTGTTGGACATTGTGCGCTGCTCTGCTGTTCTACTGTTTTGGGGGGTAATTGATCTTGTCAGACGCACAGAGATGTAAAACAGGCCTTCAGCACAGCAAGTGGATAAGCAAACAGGTGGCAAGATAATCCGGAGCCCTAACCGGAGCCCTCTGGGCCATCTGAAAAAGTCAACACGGGTCGATCGGCTCAATTTTCGGCGAAAATGGATTTTTTCAGCTAGCGAGAGTCGGCATCAGAGAAGAAGGTGGTGAAGACAGGAAAGAAGAAGGCAGAAGGTGAAGAGAAGAAGGTGATGAAAGAAAGGAGAAGAGAGGGCAGGACCACAGTACAGGAGAAGCGCAATGAACTCGATCAAGACTGCCAACCAGGTGCTCCAGAGAACCAGCGAGTATCTCAGCTCGGGGCTTGTCTCATCACAGCCTGCGTGGTACAAGGTGCTCGCACACAACACTCCTCGCCATGCGTTCAACAAGAGCGTGCGGTTGGAGGTGTTGGAGAAGACGAAAGCGGAAGAGGTTTCTGCGATCAGCCACATCAACGCGAGACTGGCGGATGGGTTTTACGTGACGAAGGTGAAGGTGCAGAAGAAGAAGGACGTCTCGAGTCTGTTGAAGTCACAGCAGCTGCACTTCATCGAGGACGACCTTCGTCTGCTCTTCTACAAACAGCACCCGTGGGAGCTTGCCGATCCAAAGAACCTCGTGGAGAACGAAAACAATCTTGGCAATGAGAGCTTCGACTGGAGCCATCTGAGGCAGTTCGGGAAGAAGCTCGACGGGGAGAGCGTTGTCCAAAGAACCATATACCTCATGGAGACGGAGAAAAAGACTCTCCTTGACTCGTACGAGCAGGCGAAGTTTGAGTACTACAGACTGAAGATCCAGGACGAGACAGAGATGAACGTTGTCCGGGAAGAGGGCGAGATGTTCGGCGCAGTTTATCCTAAGACCGCCATCGAAGAAGGTTTCGACAAGGAGACCGAGGTCCTGCAGAAATGGAAGACCGACGCCGTCGAGCAGACGAAGATCCTTGACGCCAAGTTCAGCAACAAGGACTCCTCCGCCACTGCCTCCGCAGACACTACCGCCGAGAACGAGCCCGCCTTGACCGAGGAGGAGATCTTCAACAAGTTGAAGCTCTGATGCGCTTCTGCAGCCTGACCACCGAACCATCTGTCTATAGCACTAATTTTATAAATGATAATATTTCACCTAGAACCACTCTCGTAAGGTACGTAAAAATTGTCCACTCTGAAAGCCCGTTTCAGGAGACTGGGTCTCCTGCGATGCTGACTTCAACGTTTGTGTTACTATGCGTGATTTGGTATGTACAGTTGTATAAACAATATATAGACGGATCAGATCCAGCGCTTTTCCTCCTTTTCTCTTCTCTCCAGTCTCTTTCTGTATTTGGCACCTCTGTGCTTGATGAGGATGTTGTCGACCTCTCCAAGCGCATCCTGGATCTTCTTCTTTCTTTCCGCAAACGTTCTCTCCCACTTGTGGCCCTTAGGATACAAGACACCCTTCAAGATAGGCGATGCTTCGTGCTTCTCGGCAAAGAACTTCTTTCCGTTGGCGAGAGGTGGCATCAGATCCGCAATGCCAAACTTGTACGCCAGCTTGTAAAGGTCACTCTGGCGACGTAGACTGTAGAGTGGCTCATGTGTGCGTCCGGTTACCGGATGACGGTTCGCCAAAAATGGGTTGGCGTCCTCGGCATTGCAGGCCGTTGGCTGGTCGGCGTACTTTCTGATGGGTGCTGGTGGGAATTTCGTGAAGAAGTTCTGAAGCTTCTCTGGAAGCTTCGCAAAGGCTTCTGCAGAGGAAACGCTGAACAACTTGCTGGCAGACATCGTAGCTGGTCCGGTAGTGGTATCTGTCTTTGAAAACTCGAGGAATGCGCTCTTCTCTTCTCTGTTGTCAACCGAACCTCTCCGTCCTCTCTCTTCATCTTCATTCATCCTGCCAGGTAGATTCACTCACTCTGTTGGAAAAAAATCGCTAGGTGTGAGGTTCTCGCTCTCTTAGACGGTGTACGGATGCATCAGGGCAAACCTAATGAAATGGCTTATGTCAGCGCTTCCGTAGTGACTCACAGTAGAGCGCTTAACTTACTGAAATTACCCTTTTCAGCGAGGGGGGACCATTCCGGTTTCCTCTTCGACAGTAACAGTGAAGACTGAAATTTTCTCTTCACTGTTTTCCCCAGCTCTACAACTCTCCTCGTTCAACCTTGGTGTATCTCAGGCTCTCTACTTCTAAAGCACAAACAAGAAGCTAACCATGTTGAGATTCAGCAAGTTAATGAAATGCGTGCCAAACGCTGCTACAAAAAGATTCATCTCGACAAAGGACTATTTGTCTTCACACGTTCCATTTGAAGTCACGACCTACTCTCGTCCTCCTTTTATTCTCGCATCGGCAAAGGGATCCTATCTTTATGATTTGGACCAAAAGAAGTACATTGATTTTACCGCGGGGATTGCCGTCGTCTCGCTAGGTCATTCCGACCCGGAAATCGCCAAGATCATGTTCGATCAAGCTTCCACACTCATGCACAGCTCCAACCTCTACCACAACCCATGGACTCTCGAGCTAAGCAAGCAGTTGGTAGAAAAAACAAAGAAATTCAACGGTATGCACGACGCATCTCGTGTGTTCTTATGCAACTCGGGTACCGAAGCTAACGAAGCCGCTTTGAAATTTGCCAGAAAGCACGGAAAGTCCTTTTCTTCTGACAAAACCGAATTTATCACTTTCAAAACCTCTTTCCATGGTCGTACTATGGGCGCATTGAGTGTCACCCCTAACCCTAAATACCAAGCACCATTTTCACCATTGGTCCCCGGAGTCCATGTCGCAACTCCCAATGATATAGATTCAGTCCGTGCCTTGATCAATGAGAAGACTTGTGGTGTCATTATCGAGCCTGTTCAAGGTGAAGGTGGTGTCCATCCAATGAAGCCTGAATTTCTGATCCAATTGAAACAGCTATGTAAGCAAAACAACGCCGTTTTGATTTATGACGAAATTCAATGTGGTATGGGCCGTAGTGGTACCTTATGGGCTCACTCAAAATTACCAAAGGAAGCTCACCCAGACATTTTAACCATGGCTAAAGCCTTGGGTAATGGTTTCCCAATCGGTGCAACAATGATCAGTGAGGACGTCGAAAATGTGTTGAAGGTCGGTGATCACGGAACCACTTTTGGTGGTAACCCATTGGCTTGTAGAATCGGATGCAACGTACTAGAAAGAATAGCTGACGAAGAGTTCTTGGCCAAAGTCAACCAAAAAAGTGAATTATTGAGAAGCAAGCTTAATGAACTAAAGGAAAAATATAGCGATTCCATTGTTGAGGTCAGAGGACAAGGTTTGATTTTGGGTTTGGAGTGCAAGGAAAGCCCGGCAAAGATTGTTGCAAAGGCTCAAGATTTGGGATTGCTAGTCATCACTGCAGGAGGTAACGTCATCAGATTCGTTCCACCGCTAAACATTGAGGACGAGACTTTGATTGAAGGTGTCAAAATTTTAGACAATGCATTCGAAGCTTCAGTGGCCGAACAATCATAATGCATTGATGAAATAATTATTATATTTTATACTTTGGAGAACAATTATATAATTAAGGAGTAAATTCATAATAGATCCTATTAAATGTACGTATTAAGAATAGAATGTCTTTACTTATTTCCTATTCCAGACTCTGCCGCCAAACACTTCCAATGTTTCAAAATCTGCAAGGCTTTCACTGTCAATTTTGAGGGCAAAATAAAACCCACTGATCAAGACCAGATACAAGAAGATCAAAATGGAGCCTTTGAAATAGTTACTTTTACCTTCGGTGTAAATGTAAGTGAACATGTAAACCCCAAGCAAAGATGCTATGAAGTCCCAATGTGGAAAAATTAGGGAGAAGATTTTGTCGACTCCAATGCTGGCAAGCTGTCCTGGATCCACAGCGCCCATCTCACCAGTAATGCCAAATGTACCAGCAATAGCATTTTCCACAGGCGAAACAAGCATTGGATCCAAGGACGAAAAAGATGGTGCCAATCTCAATAGTTGTGATAATCTTGGTAATCCTTTCCATTCACCACTGATCGTCTTGGATATCAATACCGGGAAGTTTTGACTATCTGTATAAGCTTTACTGAAGTTCCAAACCGAATACAACATGACAATAGGAATTTGTAATAAACAAACTTGTAGGGCATATGCACTACCAATCTCCATACTTAATGCAACGTTTCCATGTATTGCAAAAGAGAAAGCGTTCACAAACTCAGTGGTATTTGGAACAAGCGCAAAAATGGTCAAACCCAAAAATTTGGGATTAATTGCAATCGATTTCAAAACATCATCAACACAATCAACCAATATTTCTGCAATGATCGCATACATAAGTGTTGCAGTAAGAAGGATTGTTGTAGATTTGGTACGTGACCAATTTGGTGCATCATGCCCGCCAGATGGCTCTACCGCTGGTGGTTGTGATTGAAGCTTTTGAGGAGGTATATTTTGCTGTGGAGGAGTGGAGGATTCAGTCTTGGATATTTGACTATTAGCATTCTGGTTAACTGGTCTCAAACTGTTCAAAGTTGTATTTTGGTCATTCAAATTGAATGATGTCACACTTTGAATTTCAGATGTCGGAGCAGGGGCAACTCCAGGAGTATAATCCAGCTTCTTCTCCTTCGAAGTTATTGGATTTGACCAAATCAGTGCAGCATGTGTTTTCAAGGTGAATAATAAACAAATGCAATAGACCAAAAACAAACTCAAAGCACAGATGATTGTAAAAGGTCTCAAGTGATTAATGTAAAGCGGATCAATGACAACGGAAGGCTGATAATAATGACAGTTTCTACAATCCTCACCAGAGGAAAGATCGCAAGCTTGACAGCGAACTTTGTATTCACCATAGATCTCATATAAAATGGTTGGTGACAACATGACCAAAATTGCATATAGTAACATTGTTGAAGAAACTCCTGCAGAAGCAGGATTATATCTTTGTGTTTTTCTTCTAATAGCACCAAAACACATTGAGCCACCAGGAAGAAGGAGGACACCTCCAAGAATTGATCCAATTAATGAACCTTCTACCAATTTTGCCTTGGATTGGTCTAGTGCAATACAATAAAGATAAACTTCGACAATGGTTGAGAAAAACGCATTTATAACAGCACCTACTCCCATAGAAGTTTGTGCCGAAATAGATGCAACAGCTTGTCCTATGAAGTAAGCCAATGGAATAATTGAAACTAAGCATAAGCCAAAAATTACCGTGGAGTCTGTTAATGGATTGATCCAATGAAACTTGCTCTTAAGGAAGTAAAAGTCTACGATCGTGAAAATGACAAGAAAGTTCAAATTGATAAAGAAAATGTTGGTTCCATCAACAGTATATTTGTAATAATGGAACCCAAATGAACGATAAGTAAGAATCAAAAATGATTCATTCTTACGCATTTGAGGGTTTGCCAATTGTCTTCTATAATATTGATTTTCATCTTCGAAAGATAGTGCCAACGGATGGCGTCTGATATGGCTAGCCATGATCGTCAACACTTTCGTCATTGGAATACAAAAAGCAGAAAGCCAGGTAATAAAACTGAAAACAATTCCAATTGGCACCAGTATCAAGTAGTATTGAACGTAGAACACCACACGACCGATATTCCAATCACCTCTACCAAAGAAACGTTTTTTGTAAAAAGTGGTGTTTAGCTCATCATCGTCAGTCAAATCAGAAACAGTGGTTTCTGGTACTGTAGGTGCAGTCCCAACCATCGGAGAAGGAACATTTTCGGCATTGTCAGGATCAGGTTTGTGTAAATGAAGCTGATATGCGTTAGGAGCAGAAAAGAACAACTTTCCTTGATTCTGTGTCCTCCACCTGGCAAATTCATCAATTGAACTGCCAACGTTAGCGTCCTCGTTGATATAATTTTTGTCTGATTTTAGAATAACAATTTTCCCAAACGGATATAGCAAGTAAGAACCTAAGTTCCAATAAAATTTAGCGTACTTGACAGAGTCATTTGTTCTTGGGTTGCAAAACATGGAAAAGAAAAAAGTCACTGTTCCTAGAAGCATACAGGTTAAGTATAGCACAAGTCCAAATGTACATGCCCAAATTATATTGAAAAAACCAACAGAATAGCTGATTTTAGGTTTTGCCCCCGGAATAGCATGAATATCCAACTCTGCTTCTTTTTGAACACTTCTGTCTTTTTTATAAATTGCAGGTTTCCAGATTCTGATACCAAAGGGATGTGTTTCATTGATTGCAACCTGTCTTTCTTTCAAAGTGAATGATTCATTGGAGAGCATGGAAGCATTATCATCAACGTCGTCATCAGGAGCATTATTACTAACGTTCTTACCTTCTTTGGCAGAAGTTACGGGTTCTTTCGAGTCGCTGACGTTTCTGTATGTATTGTTACTTGACCCTTGTGGATATTCTTCACCATAGTCATCATAATTCTCCTGGGATTTGTGTATAGAATCCACTTCCAGATCTTTCAAGTCTTTCAAGTTCTTACTAGCTTGTTGGAGGTTATTCATCACGTCGTGCTCCAATTCTTTCTTCTTGTCTTGGACTGCATTGTTGGTTGCCTCAGGAGGAGCAGAAGGAGATTGCAATGATGATTTGAATCTTTGTCTGAGGGCATCTCCATAGCCTTCTAGGTATTCCCTAGTGAGATCTTCCTCAATTTCATCTTCGTTATCGTCAACGGAGAAAACGTACTTGGCTGAGGCTTGTTTGCGTAGATATGGTTTTGGCTTCCCCTGGTTCAGTGACAACTGACTTGGTTGTCCTTGAAGTTGTGGGGATTGTGGGTTACCAGACATTTCGGACAAAATAAGCGGCGAAGCAGCAGAATTACTACCCTGAGCCTTATCTCTTAGCAAAACGTATTGTCGGTGGTGATTGGGGTTGTTTCCATTATGCTGCCGTGAAATAGATTGCGGCAACGGAGACCGAATGCATCTTGTGGACTGTTTCTTCTCTATCTTAGGATTCGGGTTTGTATTGGGGTAAGTCCAATTGGAATCGTCGTTCTGGGTATAGTTTGAGTTAGAGACTGAGCGTGTAGAGTTGGTTGAGCCGACCGAGTTTGTTTGGGGGGGGTCTTGCTGAGAAGGCCCTGGAGTGGGGTCAGGCATCTGAGCAGGTAACCGGCGTGTAGTGAGTACCTTTTGCTTAGCCAAGTTACTCAATGGTCACAGAAGGAAGAGAAGGACAGCTCTAGAGACAGAAAACGTGGTAATAATTCTACGCCGTTGAGTATGCCACTCGATCGATATATGTAAATATTAATTATGTAAATATACTTCTGAACTCCGCCAAAAATGGCGCACACGTTTCAGGCGTAGAAAGACCAATAACCGTGCACACACGTCGTATGTTTGTGCAAGCCGCTGGATAGAGGAAGCGATATATGAAGTTATATGAGAGTATATCTAAGTAGATAATAGATATTTACGTGTAACTGAATCGTGAATACGTGTCGTAAGTAATTTTGGAGGAAGCATCAGAAGATGAAAGGAATCATGGCCTTTCTGTTCTTTGGGTACTTGTCCCCAAAGGTCTTCTTGTACTTTGCGTGTTTCTGCTTAGCCCACATCATCATGGTACCTGTTCCAGCAACGAGGAAAACGTAGGAGGACCAATTGTTGGTCATGACGGCAAACACAGTCCAGGAGAGAAATTCGAAAAGATAGTTTGGAAAAGAAACAAACTTGAAGGCGAAACCGTAAGGGATCTTGTGTGCTCTGGTGCCGTCCGATCTCAATCTTCTCAAGATGATGTGGCAGTATAAGTTACAGATCTCAAAGAGAACCATGGCACCCCCGAACCACTTCAATTCGTCCAAGGAGCGGTCCTCAACATGGTGGATCACGCTCCAGAATTTGTTGCTATAGACAACGCTCTGTGGGGAGTAGACGGAGAAGGCAATGAGCAAGCTGTTGATCCAGTAGTGTCCTGAGTTTCTGAATAGAAATGCAAAAGGCATGGTGTCTGCAGAAAACGTGTGGATGAACAAGGTCTCGTACTCTCTCTTCAAGTAGTGCAAGAGAGTCAAGTTATAGGCAAGCACCTGGGTGTAGGTCATGTCGCTTGCACTGTAGTACCCGTAGTAGAACAAGGAGTGTATGATCATTGGTCCTAGGTATTCGAGAAAGTAGACGGTTCTCCAGCCGATCTGGGGCCCGACGTCCTTGGCATAAACGTTGAGTGTGGAGGCCTGGGCGAAGTCCAGGCCATTTTCCTCGAGTGTCAAGTAGTTTTTCAGAGGAAGCCTTTTCTTTTTGTCCTTCTCCTTGTCATTCTCCTCTGCCAGGTAGGAGAACTTAATTCGGTTTGGATCGGAGACGCTGTTCTTCTTGGCATAGGCCTCGATGATGGCAGAAAGACGCGTGTTTGGCGTGGTGTCGCAGTTGATCTTTTTGAGCTTTTTGGAAAGCGGGTTAATGATGAGGTTCACCATTGCGTGCTGCGAATTGAGTATGGCTCGGTGCTGTGTAGCCACTCCGTCTCCGTCCAGGCCGGCGCTTTTGCTGGAATTGCCTCTGACAGGCGTGCAAAGAGCAAGATGTCCACTCTAGACAGGCAGGCCGCACTCTCTGCCTGCGGCGCGGGAGGGTTTTTTGCATTTTCGCCTCGGGCATGAATTGGAGGGTGTGTTGAAAGAGGAAATAAGAAAGAAGAAGCGGTGGCACAAGAAGACCCATTCCACATTGCACAGCATAGGATAACACACGCACACGACAAGCATGAAGTTGGTGAATTTTCTCATGAAGCTGCATAACGAGTCTGTGCAGGTGGAGTTGAAGAACGGGACGATGGTGCAGGGCACGATCCTGTCGGTGTCGCCGGCGATGAATATCAATCTCAAGGACGTGAAGATGACGGCGGTGGACCGCACTCCGGCGGCGCTGGAGCACATGACTATCCGTGGGAACCAGGTGCGGATGGTGCTCTTGCCGGACGAGCTGAACTTGGACTCGATCCTCTCGGACTCGGTGTTCAGACCGAAGAAGAAGCTGCAGCAGCAGAACCAGAGCCAGCCCGGTCCGCACAGTGCGCCCGGCAGGGCGCCTAAACGCACGGCACGGGCGAAGAACAGAGGGTTCTGAGGCCTACGTATGTATTCATGTTAATCTCTGTACAGTAATTCAAGACTCGGCATCTTCAAGTTCCCGCTCGAACTCGTCCACAAGAGCGCTCTCCCGCTCCTCCAGGACGCCCTGCTCCTCTAACACCCACCGGTTCACCAATCTCGGCAGAGCCATGTCCACAAACTTTGCTTCCTCGAGGAGAGAGTCTGCGATCTCGTCCACGTGAGCCAAGCGCACTGCTCCGTTCTCCACCACACGGATCCTCCGGAAGTCGTCCAGCCTCGCCTCGAGCACCGTCCACAGCTTCGCCTGGTCTTCCCACATGAGCCGTGCGTAGACCATGAAGAGCACAGAAAGGTACTTGAAGCCGTGCTCCCCAGCAACGAGCCACTCGACTACGTCCTCGGGAAGAACCTCGAACTGCAGCAACCGGAACAACAGCACCACGAACTTGCATGCCTTCGTCCTCGCCGCATTCACATACGTCCCGACCACCACTACCGACTCGACACATTCGTCCAGCACCTCGTAGAATCCCAGCTGCGACGCCCGCAAGTGCCAGTAGTGAGCGTCCTGGATCCTCTCTCGCAGGATCTTCTCGATAAGCAGAGCTGGGTTCACTCCGTGCACCTTCGTTCCGCTTTTCGCTAGCCCCCGGTCAACAATCAGTGCATTTTGTCTATTTCTGTCACCTTTGCTCTGCTCTGACTCCATGTCTGCCCCTTTCAGAGCCCCTAGAGCCCTCTCTTACTCCTCCTTTTGCTTCTCGTCAGGCCCTCCAGACACACTTGACCTTCCAAGTCGTCATCTCCGACCGTTTTAAGACGATCGACCGCCCAAGAAAAAAAATTCCGGAAAACTGAAATTTTCCTCGTTCTCGTCGCATGAAAACTGAGCAGGCCAGCGGTGAAGAAGAGCAAAAGAAGAGGAAGAGAAGAAGAGGGCCACAGGCCTGTGCACCGTATCCCCGTTGGCTTCTGGATCCTTTACCACCCAGCACGGATTGTTCATTGAGAGTTTGTTTGGAAAAGGTATGCAGTGATGCTTAGCAGAATAGAGCCGGGCGAGGAGAGGAAGGGCGGAGGAGGTGCCCCCGCAGGAGACGTGCTCGGCACAGTGGTGGTTCCCCTTTTTTTGCCTTGGCGTGTTTCCGTTCCATTTGGATCGGTCCTTCCGCATTCATATACTAACTGTTATCTGGCGCAAGGACAGCGCTGTGTTTTGATAACCTATTGTTCTACAGATGTCTACTGAAGAATTAAATAATGCCACTAAGGACTTATCTTTAGATGAGAAGAAAGATACCACAGTTTTAGAAAACGGTGAAGAGTTCAACGTCAAACACCCGCTCAACTCCAAGTGGACCTTGTGGTACACCAAGCCACCTGTCGACAACAACGAGAGTTGGGCAGAGCTTTTGAAGCCAGTTGTGAGCTTCAACACGGTTGAGGAATTCTGGGGGATTTTTCACGCCATTCCAAAGGTGAATGAGTTGCCATCGAGATCGGACTACCACTTGTTCAGGGACGACATCAAGCCTGAATGGGAAGACTCCAAGAATGCACAGGGCGGTAAGTGGTACTGCCAGTTCAAGGGCAGAAGAGAAGATTTGAACGAGCTTTGGATCAGAGCCCTTTTAAGTGTCATTGGTGAAACCATCGAGAAGGACGAAAACGAAGTCAACGGTGTTGTTTTTAACGTCAGAAAGGGTATTGTCAAGATTGGTTTGTGGACCAAGTCCTGCGATGAGGAGAAATTGAGAGCCATCGGCGAGACCTTCAAGAAGGTGTTGAAATTGGGTGACGAAGACAAGATAGAATTTTTGAGACACAAGGATTCCGAGATTAGAGGTGCTAAACCAATGATTATTATGTAAATAAATAAGCAAACAACTTAACCGGTCATTAACAAACAGACAGAGCAAGAAGCCGTAGTAGTTGATCAATAGAATCGATTTGATTTGATTTGGTTTTTGTTTAGTTCTTTTTTTAATATTCCTCCCTTCTTTCATTACTCTTGTTTTTATAGTCCCCTGTTTTCCTATTTTCCCTATTTCCCTATTTTTCCCACTTTCATGTTAGCTTTTCAGAGTGGAGGATTTTTTAGTTGAAATAATTTGCTATGAAATCAAATAAATGCTAGTAGCACGTGAGAGATTTACCTAGAGATATTAGAGGATATAGAATCGATATAAACTTGCGGTACTAAGAAGACTGTTTTTGGAAAAGACGGGGGTAGTGTGAACTTGGGGGGGAAACTAAACAGACAAGGCTGAGGTGGAAAAGCAGACAAAAAATTTGGAACGTGAACGAAAGAGTGTGGAGAGGGGGCTCGGAAGTAGAAAAAGAACATGAGTAGAAAAGGCAGGTGACGGGACTAAACGAACGAAATGAAGGAAAGCCAAGATAAAATACAAGTGAAGAAGTGGAGCTGAGAAAAGGGGACAGAAAAGAAAAAGAAGGGGGAGGGGGGAGAGAAAAAGGTGGGTATGCTAGAGATGCTTGTTGTTTGTTTCAAAGGTTCAGAGGGGGGACGGGAGGGGTCAGACGGTTCGGTAGACCCTGGTTGTGCCGACCGTGCCCTTGATGGTGCCGAGGCCGATGGTGCCCGAGGAGAAGGTTGCGATGGTGCTGTACATCGACGTGAACTGCTGGACGTAGGCGCTGGACGTGGCGTACACGACGGCTCCCTTTGTGATGGTCAGCCAGACCCAGGTGTTGTGGTCGATGCTGGTTGTGGTTGGGTTCGGGAGGGTCGTGAGCGGGGTGTATGTGGTGCCGGTGTTTGTGTCCGTGGTGGCGGGCGTTGCGGTTGTGCCGGTGCCTGTTGTCGTGGGGGTGTTTGTGGTTTTGGTAGTTGGCGCCGTGGTGGAGGACGACGAGGACGTTGTTGTGGCGGCGGCAGTGGCAGCTGGCGCAGGCGTGGTGGTAGCCGGTGTGGTGGTAGCCGGTGTGGTGGTAGCCGGCGTGACGGCAGTTGTGGGCGTGGTGGTAGCCGCCGTGGTAGCCGGCGCCGCCGTGGTGGTCACCGGCGTCGTTGTGTCTGTGTCCACGGCGAGCGCCAGGACGCAGAGCGACAGCAGCCAGTGCAGGCAGACGGCTGGTTTCATGGCTGATGCTGGGGACGGGCTGTTTGGAGGCAAACGAGAGACGGTAGCGGCTAGAGAACGCTAGGGGGGCAGGAGCGTGTGCAGCGAGAGAACGGCGATCCGGACAGCGTGCTTGAACACCCTACAACCCCACCACAACCCCACTACAACCCTCTGAACCACCCGAACCATTCTCAAGAGTGCACCCTTAAGGCCTCAACACCAGCAGTACACTGCGTCTGACCGGGTCTGTCAGCGGAAAAGGAAAACCTCCCGGAGACGGCGCAGCCGAGCAACGACCTAGCCAGCACCCCGCCAGCGGCCTGGGGGAGAGAAAACGTGGAGAGGTCCCAGACCGAGATAGTTGCCACTTGGGGACGCGGGGACAACAAAGCGCCCGGCCAGCCGGCCAGCCAGCGGATCGGCAGGGGCGGTGTGCGGGGGGGGGAGGAAAAGGAGAGGGGAAAAGGAGAAGAAGGGAAGGAGAGAAAGAGAAAAAAAGTCTAGGTCTTGCTGACATAAGCGGCTGACGTAAGCGGGACGCGGGGCCGGTTTTTTTTTCCGCTTTTCGCTTTTCGCTTTTTTTTTTTTTTTTTTTCGTCCTCGGAACTTTTCAGCAGCGAGGCGAGCAGGCGATGGCGGACGAGGGGGCAGGAGGCGATAGAGAGCCGGAGGGGCGAAAACGGGGCAACAGGAGGGCCGGAGGAGGGGACGGGGCAACGTGGAGAGGGCAAAAGCACAGAGCACAGCAGAGCACAGAGCACAGCAGAGCACAGCACAGCAGAGCAGAAGATACCACGATGACAGAGAGCATGCTGCCTGCGTCGCTGTTTGCAGAACCGGAGAGCTTCCGTCCGGAGCAGCCCCAGGGCACGCTCGCCGAGTACTTCACGCAGACCACAGACACGGGGCTGCAGATCAACCTCGTCGGGTCGTCGCCGTTGTACGGCCACATCTTGACGCACGCGTGCCTCTACCTGGCCCGGTACCTGGAGAAACACGCAGACACGCTGGTGCGCAACAAGACGGTGCTCGAGGTGGGCTCCGGCGGAGCCCTCCCGTCGATTCTCTCGGCGCACTTGGGCGCCCGGTTCGTGGTGTCCACAGACTACCCGGACGCAGACCTGATCGGCAACATCCGCAAGAACATCGCCGAAAACAAGGTCGGCGCCAACTGCGCCGCCCTCGGGTACATCTGGGGCAACGACACCGCGGACATCGAGGCCACGCTCCGCCAGCACACGGCGGGCGAGTGCTCCACCTTCGACGTCATCATCCTCAGCGACGTGATCTTCAACCACAGCGAGCACCGCAAGCTCCTCCACTCCTGCCGCAGCCTGCTCACCCCGGGCACGGGCAAGGTGCTCGTCACCTTCTCGCCCCACCGGCCCAAGCTCTTCCACAAGGACCTCGAATTCTTCGACCTCGCCCAGCAGGCGCCCTTCCGCTTCGCCTCCCGCTTCGTCGAGATGGAGCACTGGTCCCCGCTCTTCAAGGACGACACCGACGAGTCCACCGTCGAGCTCCGAAGCAGGGTCTACTTCTACATGCTCGAGTGACGCCGCCGCACATCTAACAATGGCCCCTTTTCTCCCCCCTCGTGTACCTTGCCTCTCGGGCGCTTCGGACGCCTCTTCGAATGCCTCTTTGGGCCCTCCACATCCCCTGTATACCTTGTCCCCCCCTGTCCCAAACAGGATGAAACACACCTCCAATCTGTAACCCCCCTCCGCCCAGCCACCCGTCAGGCCTCGCTGTGCGCTCCCGCCGTCACCCCCCAACATGCTCAACACCCAGCGTGCTGGTCGATGCTCCTTCCCGATCGGGCACTAATTTCGGTTTCACATCCTCAAAGGCTCAAGCACCCTTGTCCAGCACCTCTGCACACCAATTGCACTGCGTCCTGTAGACGCACATCTGTGCTGCAAAGCACCATGGACAGCCCACCGCCAGCACCAGCAGCAAGCACCCCCGTATAAATATCCACCCCTTCCTGGCCTTGCTCCCTCCGCAGCATGCATCGGAATTTACACTTTTCTTCACTACATGGCTCCTTAGTTTTGGCCAACACTCTTAGAAAAGAGCAAATTAATTAGCCTCTACCCAACACAGCTTAACTCATTCATTCGTTACCTTTTTCTTTCAAACACCCTAACCCTCTCGCTAACTAGCATCTGCTCCTCATTCACTTTTCAGTCACTTGTTGTCTCACACAATCCAAACAGCCAACCAAACAACCAATTAACCTCCAAAGTTGAAGTCCCGCAATTAAGCCACTTCCTCTAACCATCCCTAACTACTAGTCATTCTTTCGAAAACCCCCTAAACCCTCTTGATATCCCCCAACTATTGTCATTCCTTTTTACAATACAATTTTTTTCCAAACTAATTCAATCGTTTACAATGTTACACTCCTTGTTACTTTCTTTTACCCTATCGACAGTGGTCTCTGCGATCTCAGATTACAACAACGTTGCCCTCTACTGGGGCCAGAACTCTGCTGGAACACAACAAGACCTAGCATCTTATTGTAGTTCCGAAAAGGCAGATATTTACATCCTCTCCTTCATCGATGTCTTTGGTTCTTCTCAGCAACCAAACGTCAACTTTGCCAACGCTTGCACAGAGTCTTACTCCAGCGGCTTGCTGCATTGTCCTCAGATTGGCAAAGACATTAAAACTTGTCAATCTTTGGGTAAAACCGTCCTCATCTCACTGGGCGGTGCCTCTGGTGCCTACGGATTCTCCGACGATTCTACCGCAGATTTTGCAGGCACCTTGTGGAACATGTTTGGTGGAGGCTCCGACTCATCTGTTGAAAGACCTTTCGACGATGCAGTGGTTGATGGTTTTGATTTTGATATCGAAAACAACAACCCTAAGGGCTATGCTACTCTTGCTAACAAGTTGAGATCTTATTTCTCCGAAGACTCATCCAAAACTTACTACTTATCTGCAGCACCACAGTGCCCTTATCCTGATGCTTCTGTTGGTGACTTGTTGGAAAATGCATCCATTGACTTTGCCTTTATCCAGTTCTACAACAACTATTGTGCAACTACAGGCTCCAACTTCAACTGGGATACCTGGAACACCTTTGCTGAAAACACTTCCCCAAATAAGAACATCAAATTGTTTGTTGGCTTGCCAGCCGCTACAGGTGCTGCTGGTTCAGGCTATGCTACCATCGACCAAATCAAATCCACATTCCAGAACACTATTCTCAACAAAGAAGATTCTCATTTTGGTGGTTTCGTTTTGTGGGATGCTTCATGGTCTACTTCAAATAAAGTTAATGGTGACACCTTTGGCAACAATTTGCAATCACTTTTGGATGACTCTTATTCTGGATCTGGCTTGTCAGATGCTACTCCTTCAAACTCTTTAAGCTCTAGCTCTGCCGGTTCCACGAGTTCCACGAGTTCCACGAGCTTGACCAGTTCCACGAGTTCCACGAGTTTGACTAGTTCCACCAGTTCTAGCTCTAGCAACTCTTTGACTGTCAGTGCAGAAGAATCAACTATCTCACAGCCTATTTCTGCATCATCCTTTTCTAGCGAACAAACCAATTCAGTGGAACAAACTACCTCTGCAGCTGCTACATCTTCAACCACAACTTCAAACTCAATTGATACCAATACTTCCGAGTCACTGATTAGCCCAACCTCAATGGTAGGTGAACAACCTGCTTTGACGGCTCAGCCTACTCCCACCACTCTCTCTATCTCGTCCACATCTACTGCTGCTACCACTTCTACCACTGCTGGTGGCTCAGGTTCAGGTTCCAATTCAGGTTCAGATTGCTCCTCACTTAGTGGACTTGCCAAGGCTCAATGTCTCAACAAGAACTTTGAGCAAGGTCTTTACTTGGGTGGTGCTTCTTCTTGCAACGAAAATGATATCGCTTGTGCATCAGACGGCTCTTTTGCAATTTGCAACTTTGGAAACTGGGTGAAAATGCCTTGTTCTGCCGGAACAACTTGCTATGCTTACAATAATGGCGACCAAGTTGATGTAGGTTGCGACTACATTGATTCTAAGAGCAGTTTCGAGAAGAGAGATAACGTGCTCATGAACTTATTCAAGAGGTACTTGGATTGAAAAATAGACCAACTCTCTGGCTTGTTTATTTTCTTTTTTTCACTTACGCAGATCCTAATTTTCAGATGGACATAATCTAATTTTCTTTTATATTGAACGTTTAATGGAATTCCAAATATATATACATATAAATATATACATATCAGCGTAGTTTTACAAATGATAACACATTAACAAAAGTAGCATAGCTCAACTAACAAGCTATTATGTTTTTTTAGCAGCTTTTTCTATCTTTTTCAGACTGTTTGTAATCTGCCTGATACGATTCCTCACTCTCACTGGCGTATAGTCTGTATTTCTCCTTCTATTCTCCTTGATGTACTTCATGATATCTGATGAGCCAGCTTCGTCATCATTATCATCATCATCATCATCATCGTCATCATCATTTTCGCCATTTTCGTTATCGCTGAATATACCTTTGGTGTAACTGTTAACCCGTTTTCTCGCAGTTGTATCAATGTTCGCTTCAGAAGTGTAGTTTTTCCTTTTATCGAACTTAGTGTTCGTGTGTTCGGTACCATTTCGTTGGAGTATTTTTATCAAAGTGTCTTTCTCCAAATCTAATTCTTTTCTCTTCTCCTCCAGCTCTTCAAACAGCTGATCAAATTTTTGTCGATTGAGTTGATTCTCTAACTTCATGTCCTCAAATCTGGACTCAAATTTCATGTTATTCGATTCTTGTTTACGCCTTAACGTTGTCAGCTCTCCTTTGATACTTTCCAGTTCTTTTAGAAGCTTCCCGTTCGAAGTAGAGTTCACTTCTTCCAAAATATTTTGCAGTCTTTCGTCCAATTTTCCGATTTGCTGATCTATCGACTTGGATTGATCCATTATTGTTTTCGGAGAATCGCTTGCTAAGGTTTTCTCTGTCCGTACTATTTGCCTGTTTAACTCATCTAGATACCGCCTTCTTTCCTCCAACTGCAGATCCAGCTCTTTTTGCTTGATTTCGCTTCTCAGTATATCGTCTTGCTCTTTATGAAGATCTGACCGAAACGATCCCAAAGAGCTGAATGAGGGTTGGCTCGAGGGTTCATTGGGATTCGTGTCTTGCTCACTATACAAAATTGAACGGAAAACTTTGGATCCAAAATTGCTCAACGAGCTCAGCAGGCCATTATTTTTTGAAGCAAATGAATTGTTAGGTTTGGAAACTCTTGATCTTCTATCAGATATCTGTGAGGTATATCCCAGTGGGTTCCTTCGAAGTGATTCTCTAGTGATATTTTTGACCGTTTGATCATCATAGATGGCAGATCTAGATGACGAGCCTGGTATGCGGTCAATCGGTCTTTCTCCCAAAAGTTGATATGTTTTTAAAGAATCAGGATTGTTTTGACGACTGGTATATTTTCTGGGTATGGAGTGATTCGTAGAATGACTAGCTCTCGTTTCTTTTCTCAAGAACTCTAAAGCTTCGTGTTTTCTTCTTTCTCTTTCATTTTGGTTCAAAGATATTGAATTTTTACTCGATGGTAACACACTTTTGAACCTCACCTGTGATGGTGCAGGTCGACTCTTTGAAATCTCTGCAAATCGATCGGCACGAGTCCCATTTTCCGAGGAGGCAATGCCTTGTGAATCGGTTCTAAAACTTCTCCTTGGTTGTCCTATGGGCGTCTTTAATGCTGGTATGTAGGACATGGCACTTCAAGTCACAGTGACCTGGTTTAACGCCACAGTTGCCGGTATTTGCTTGTTTTAAGAGGTATTATTCAAGAAGTAAACATGCCCTTTACCGAGGAAGTGCCTGTTTCATGATATTAAAAGCGACGCGTTCAAAATTTTTTGACGCGGTGAAGATTCAGCGTATTTCAGCAGATTAGCGTTCTCGATACATCAGAACTTGGGTCTTTCAGTGACAGCCGAAAACTGAAGTCAATCTAGTTGACACACTTTATAAATCCAGGTATAAATCAACAATGGATAGCTCTTTCTTGGAGATTGGTGCCATGATTGAGCCAACTTTGCCGATTGAACTAAACCCTTCTGTGTTTCGACCTTTTGCTTATCGTGTTTTATCTAAAAAATACGGACTGAACGTTCAATCTACAGCTCTCGAGAAATTGGCTTCTTATGTTGGCCGAAGGTTTGGAACAAAATGGAAAAAAGATCCTAAAACATCTGCATTTCTTGATGCAGTTGCCAAACTATGGAAAGAGCAAGGCCGTGGAATATTTATTGATGGAAATGGTGTAACCCAAGTTATCAAGGAAATCATAGCAAACGAACAAAGAATGAAAACCAAAAAGTCAAAAGCTTTACAAGAAGAGGCGGAGCCAGCAAATTCATCCTTCACTGATGCCACTACCTATGATAGTTCTCTGATATTGAGTTCTCAAATTATGGAGCAGACGGATGATCTTCCCAAATTAAGAGATGACAGCGAGGATATAGATTGGAAGATGTTCTTCAAAGTGATAGATGCAAACCATTACACCAAATTTGCATACGACATGAGACGGAAGATTTTTGATTATTTTCCAGAAAACTCATCGAAGTTGATTCAACTGCCAGGAAAAGACGATGCTCTCAACTTCCATACAACGAGGCTAGACCTATTACGAGATAGAATTTACCGTAATGATATTTTTGCAAAAGTTAAGTATGATTCATCTGAGCAGTCAAAAGTTTTTAACCAGACACAAAGGCCGAAACATATGACATCGGTGAAAAATTTATTGGGTAGAAACGAACAAAGATTTGTATTATTTGGATTAGTGACATTGAATTCTTTTGGTGTATGGCAATTACAGGATGACACTGACAAGATTGAGCTAGTTCTCAAACAATGCATCTTTCCAACAGAAACATATTTTGTCTCTGGTAACTTTTTGATTGTTGACGGATTCTATTCTTCTGCTGGTAAGTTTCATGTTTTATCGATTTCACATCCACCAGCAGAAGATAGGCCTACTACAATCGATGCCCTGGCATATCTAGATTTTAATTGGGATTATTCAAAAAATGGGAAAATAGATTTGACCATGAAGGCGTTAACGTTAAAACAAATCAAACAACATAATGACCACAAGATCGTTGTATTAGGTGGTAATCTTTATCTTGATGATCTGGAAACTATTTCCAAAGTGAGGAAGACGTTGCAGGAACTTGAGACAGAACTTGCTATAAACCTTAAAGCTGAAAGATCGAATGATGTTTTACAAGAAGCAACTGTGAAGGTACACGATAGAACAATCGCAATAATATTCAACGGACCATTTATCTCGAGAGCTTTAACTGTTACTGAAGGTTCCTCGTTAAATCATATGACCTCATCAGGGTTATACAAGGCAAGCTTCGACAATCTTGCAACCGTATTGGAACAGTTTAAAAACATCTGCGAACATTGCAAATTAGTGTTTGTGCCAGGAGACGAAGATCCATGGATGTCAATGGTGACCAAAAATTCCAACTCAATTTGGCCAAAAATGAAGATTCCCTCAGTTTTTGGAACCCGGCTTTCACGAGTTGCAAAGGACGTAGTTTGGGCTTCTAATCCGTGTCGTATGAATTATCTTTCTCAAGATATTGCGATTGTGAGAGACGATATTGGTGAGTCCCTTAAAAGAAATGATTTCTCATACCTGTGCGAATTAAGCCAAGAAGAAATTGAAAAAGCTGTGAAACGCAATGATGAAAACAGATACAGTGAAACTCCTTTTGTAAACAGCCAAAACTTGGAGATCGACAGGCTCACACTGAAAGAAAATTCTGACACGACCATATTTAAAAAAATCACTAGAACTTTACTAGATCAAGGAATACTATCTCCATTTGTTAACAAAACGAGACAGATTCTACCTAACTACTGGCCAATTCTCAGTGTTATGCCTTTACCAGATTGTATTATTATGTCTGACTCAACATCTCCGACTCTTTCTACTATGTACAAAGGCTGCCTAGTGTCAAATGTGGGGAAATTTTACGATAACGGACGAGCAAACTATCTGGAATATTATCCGAGTTCACAAACTGCTAAAATGAGAGTGGTGTATTAACTAGTAGCAATATATAGAACACATGACATTCTAAAAAGGAATGAAACAGTATGTCACTTTGATATGCATTATTAAGGGTATGGATATTTCTTGATTGTTGACGTGACATCAACAGGGAGGCAATATATTGGGTCTACTTTTCGTAGATTCTTGTATCCAAGTAAGCTGAGCCCGGCAATGCCAAAAAAGGTATGATATATGTCGACTTCCTTGTCTTTACGATCGCTTATACCTCCTTTCTCGGCATCTTGACATGATAAGATGAATTTCTGAAGCTTCTTACCATCGATGTAATGCAGTTTCCCAAGCATGGCTAGCGAAGAGAGAACCCACCAGCTGTAGCAAACATCGGGGAGTTTCTCGGGCCTTCCGTTTAAGCCTCCACTGTCAACTTGGCGATCCGAAAGCCACCATTCTAATATTTCTTTATTGGGAAGCTTGTCTAGGGCATTGGCAATGGATAATGCTCCTAAGCATGTGAAACCCTGTGCTGCATGCGATTCAGAGCCTGGCACCATTCCAAAGCAGCCGTCAAAATTTTGACATTGAAGGATCCAGTCAACTGCTGGATCAACGATACTGGGGTCCAGCTCTTCTAAGATAGACAAGCATTGCAGAGCATTGTATACAAATCTGGTGTCAACTTCCCCAAATTGGTCACCTTGGAATGAACCATCTGGAAGCTGCATACTTTTCACAAATCGGATAACTCCCTGTCTCTGTTCAGATGTCATTTCCCCAATCGCATCGTACATCTTCAACACTTGCAGTGCCGATAAAGTGGACAACATATGCGCATCATGATTTGGAGCGGCACCGAACCCACCGTTGGATTCATCTATACATGAAAGAACAAAATGGATCACTTCATCTCGAGCAAACTCATCTGTATGATTGACAAGAAACAACGTCCCCAGCCCCCAATAGAGAGCGTTCATCTTCAAGTGTTCTGCCATAAAATGCACGAGGTAGGCCGGATGCCTGAACAAATCTTTCACATATGCAACATGCTCATTCACCAACAGTTTTTCACTCATCACTGCTAATATCTGTCAGAAGCCTATATACCTATCCATTATCCGCTGATCTAAATATATCTACACGAGCTAACCATTCAAAGGTCGGTCGAAGATAGACACGGTCCGGAAGTTGTGAGGCGAGCGCATTGATTTTGGATTTATTTGTATTATTCACCATATATTATACACATTTTACAACTTGGTGGTCAGTTTTGCCTCGACCCCAAGGCTTGTTGAGGAGCTACTATTTTTACCGATAAACATTCGCCGCCTTTCAATCATCATGAACTGCATCTGCTGTTGCAGACTAAGAAGCATTGCTCTCTGGCTATTCATCTGCTCTCGCAGGTTCACGTTTTCGTCAACGAGAGCCTTGGTAACATTCTTGTTTATTTCTAGTTCTCTAATCAACGTTTTCACTTTCGACATGCTCATTCTCTGGGTTTCTGCAGGAAAGCTGAAATTGGCGCCAATATTTTCTCCCATATCGTGCAGGGTACCACCGTGTATGTTAGTCCCGTGTTGTAGATTGGAGTTGCCTGAGTCATGCATAACTCCGACTTCCTCAAGTTCCAGGGGATAACCCAAATTATGTACTTTACCATTCACAATGGAATTGAGGATACTACTCATCTGCAGCCTTAAGCTATCATTTTCTTTATTCAATTCCTGCATGTTGCCTTCCAACTTTTTGAAGTATCCACTCATTTTTATGAAAACACAATCATTTTCGTGGATTTCGGTCAATAGTTCCCGCTGCCCCTTCCATGTACATCCATATTGTAGACCTGGACAATCAACGTAAATTTTTTGGCAATGTTTCTGGTGCAGCTTCAAATGCATGAGAGGGAAAGAGAGATGGCAACCTGTACAAGTGGTTATATGTTTCAGACATTCATTTTCCAAATGAAATGTGATGTCCATGAGCCTGACCTTTTGTGCACAATCGGCACATGGTATACAAGTATGCGGACATATAGGTATTCCATCAGCATCTATGTCAGGGTTACTTTCGGCGTCATCCTCACTAAATGTCCCGCCATAGGCATCGCTTTCCTCAATAGTGGCTATATTGTTCTTACGATCAACAGGAACATCTTTCAAGCTCAAGATAAAGAGGCCCGATGGCGATTGTGTTAGCAATCTATTTTCTACTAGCGTCTTTCGTTCACAGAATTCTCCACAGATGCACAATATCCTTGTGAATTCGCAAGTATCGTCAAGATGTTTCTTGATACTCCACCTCTCCCCTGTCCACGTGCATCCCCGAGATTTGTTCAGACAAAACACTTCTAAGTCGTCTGTCATGTTCGAAACGATAATAGGGGCAGGGTAGATGTCGATATCGTTTTCTTCATCGCCGAATGCATCAATGCTATCTCTTTCTTCATCATTATCCTCACCGTTATCCTCTCCTCCTTCGCCCAGGTTGACAATAGAGTCACTGCTAGTTCTGTTATGGCTATTTTTCCTCAAGCGAAGTTGACGCCTTATAGACTTCGGGACACGTAGATGGACACGATCCAACGGACATCGCTCACCAAGGACGCTTTTGAAACTTTCGAAGATACATTCCTTGCAGAACGTGTGGCCGCAGATTGTACTCCAGGGCTCAATAAAGGGCAACTTGCAAATTGGGCATGAAACATGGTCGAGTGTTTCTGTCGGGGAGACGTAAGTGAGTGAGCGCAGATCTATGGGTGGTGTTGAATTTGTTATTGTATTTGAATTAGCATTGTCATGTGCCACGAATTTCTTTTCCCAGAGGTCCAATGGGAGGTCGTACCCCGCAATCGCATGTGTGGTCATCTGATGCGGTCAGCTTGATTTCAACTGTAACGAGAGGTTACACGGATAATCTGGTTCTGCCTGTGTTAACCATCCAAAGCGGTTGGAGTGGGAAGAAGGGGAAATTAATAATCCGTCCTCTCGATAAGCTAATGATGGGACGGGGGCTGTGCAATTCGAAGGCACGTGACCCCAAGAGCGAGGATTCTCAGCCAGGATAAGAGCAGAATGAAGCCAATATAAAAAGTAGGATTGGTGGTATATAACTGGTATTTTTATATTAAATAAATATATATCTATTATACTATTACCGAAAGGTAAGAAAACAATCGGGGATAGCCGGAATCCCCGAAACCAAGAAATGAATTCGAAAGTAAGGAAAGTAAGAAAACGGGTGAGGAGCAGGGATGAGTGGATGCATGGTATTAGTGATTAAATGATGAGTTTAAGGACAAATTAAGTCTAAACGCTGTTCAGGCTTTCTGGAGTATCCTTTTCAATTGCTGGTGGAGCACCGTTTTTTCTGGCTTTTGCCAATTGCATAGACCTTTTCACATGGAAGCCACCCGTCAACAATTCTTGGACTTCTTCGAGTTCCAAGTTGGATAATTCTGGGTAGCAGAAGAAGATGAGAATGAAAGATAGGACACAAAATCCTGCGAACAAGGAGAAGGTGCCTGTTGGGGTGATATTTTCCAACATGGTTAAGAATGTGGCGGAGATGATCAAAGAACCCCCCCAGTTGGAAGCCGTGGCGTAAGAAGTTCCAATACCACGGACTTTCTGAGGGAACATTTCACTTTGTTGCCAAGGAACATTACCAAGACCTATAGCATAGGAGGCAACGAAGCAGATCATCGAGACGATGATGACAATCCCCCAAGTGTGGATGTTTCCCAAGACAACAGCACTATTGTGATGGAAGGTGATTTCAATGAAATGGAATGCAATAGCGTTCAAGACTAGGAAACACGTCATCAAGAAGATAGAAATGAGTAGGATCAACCTACGGCCGATCTTATCGATGATAAAGAATGCAAAGACGGTGAAAACAAAGTTAGTACCGGCGACGATTAACGAGACTGCGGTAGAGTTATTGAAGCCGATTGCCTTAAAAATCGTTGAGGAGAAGTACATCAAGGAGTTGAAACCTGTGTATTGTTGTATGGCCTGTAATGCACAACTGAGGAATAGGGCACGGAAGTTTGAAGGGACTCTGTGAAGCTCAAGAACGGTGTTCCACCATTTTTTGAAGGGATTTTTACACTCGGAAAGAAGGTCTTCTTCTTGCAAATCCAAAATCTTTAACTTGATGTTTTCAAGAGAGGCGTGAGGGTTTGTTCTCATGAGAACTTTTTCTGCTGCTTCGGTTTTGTTTCTCATGATGAGGTATCTTGGGGTGTCTGGCAAAAAGAGGAAAGCAACAAACTGGATAGCTGGGGGTATCATGGACAAGCCGACCAAGATTCTCCAACCATTGTGGACGTGGTTTAGGCCTGCACCGATGGCGTAGGCAATCAACTGACCTCCGGTGATGCCGAGACAGTTCAAAACAACCAATCTACCTCTGTATCTGGAAGGAGCCAACTCAGAGATGTATAGCGGGGAGATCAATGATCCGATACCGACACCGAAACCCATGATAAAACGGCCGACGATCATGGTCCATACAGACTCTGCGGCACACTGGATGATGGCACCGACAATGAACATCAGGTTAGAGATCATCAAGAGGGGCTTTCTGCCGGAGAAGTCGACAATCAAGCCGGAGAGCAAGGCGGTGATGAACGCGCCTAGGGAGGTTGCGGCGGTGATGAACTGCTCCTCGCCGTAGGAGAGCTCTGTGCCAAAGGACTTGCCGATGGAGACTAGGGCGGAGGAGATGTAACCGGTGTCGTAGCCGAACATGAAGCCCGAGATGGACGCCAACGCGGTGAGAAAAATGACGAGGAAGGAGGGCTTGTCACTGGACAAGGTGGTGATGGACACAGTCGGCTTGAGGTCCTTCGACGAGGACGAGTCGTGCGAGTACATGTCGAGAGAGGAGGTGTACGAGGCGGCGGCCGAGGGGGAGTTGGACGTGTTCCTTTCTCTTTCAACGAGGGTCTGTTGGGTCTTTTCTGGGTCCTTGTCAAAGAGGCCTAGCATAATGAGCGGAGTCGAGCGAGGTCGTCGTCGTTTTGACGTGTAGTGAGATGCAAGGGATGCAGCGGAGAGAGCGTGGGGATGGGAGCAGACGTAAACTGTATGCTGTGACCCAATTCCTTAAGGCTAGAGGGTGGTGTGTAGAGAGAGCGGTATTTATATATGGGGAACCTTATCACCGTATCAGGCGACCCTATTGCTCCAGCAAATGGAAAGGACGAGAAAAAAACGAGCAGTTGGCAGCGGGCAGCCTGCTTTTTATACTCGGCGAACTTGCCGACCGCCCTTGTCCTCGCCCCCGCCTTGCGGCCCGTCTGCCGCGCCCGCCCCGGCGACCGCCCGCGCCGCTCGCCCATTTCGCCGGCGGGGAGGCATGCGCGTCTGCTGATTGGCTGCCCCGGAAAAACCGACGCGCTCGCCCCGCAACCCCTAATCGCCGCTGTCCCGGCCGGGTAAGTGCCCGTCTCGAGTTTTTCCGCATGCGTCGTCGCCCTCTTGCGCTCTCATTCTATCGCGCCTGCTGCGCCTACTGCGCCTACTGCGCCTACTGCGCTGCCGGCCTCTGCTCGTCTCGCTTCGGCGCGTCTAAGCTCGCACCGTTTCTGCGTCTGCGCCGTTGGGTTGCATGCTTGGCCACCCTAGTCTACTGCCGAGGGATGAAGAAGCCGCGTTAGTGCGTCTGGCCGGAGCTTTTGCCGAGCAGCGCATACCAAAGCAGGCCAGGCTAGATGTGTAGGCCGGGTCGTGCATGTCTCGAGCGGTTTGGTCCCCCCTCCGGAGCTGGGGGCGAGGAGGCCATGCACGTAGCTAGCCAACAGCTTGGTTTGCGTTTATTCTCATTCTTTCTCGCCGCACAGAGAAAAGAAAGAGAGGCACACAGACAGAGTCAGCATCAAACAGAGATAGAAAAACAGCCCTTTTTACTAGCCGGACTGTTTTCCGCCAGCCGCTAATTTTTAGATCGGAGAACTCGCTCTGGTCAAACACCCTCGTGCACAAGATACAGGGGTCGTGAGTCTCACACACACGCTCTGCGCTATAGCATTCCACCCCCAGATCGGGCCCCCGCTTAGGCTTTGCTACGACAACCTGCATCTGTCAGAGCAGCCCCAACGATACATCACCACATTCCTTCACTGTACCTGTACTCCATTTGCTAAGAAAAAAGAAAATTATAGAAACAATAGAAAGAAATCCGCTGATCTCCCGATTCACAATGCGTTTGATTACCAGAAAGCTTAAAGTACTCCTGTTTGCCATCTTCGGGCTGTTGCTGCTGACACTGATCATCAGCAAACAGTCGGCGACGGTGTCACAGTTGCTGGAGAAAGACCACGGCATGATAATCCAAGAAGACCGCAATCTCATACAGGACGGGCACAAAGCCGGCAACCAGCATCACGATGACACTGCGAACCACAACAGCAACCAGAAGGTCGAGGTCCCTGAGAGCAGCCTAGGCTCCGACCAGTCTTCCCACGACCCCAGTCTGGAAGTAAAAATCCCCCCGAGTAACGGCGATGCAGCCCCAGCCAACGACCACCCTGATGTTAAGAATGCCCCTGCGAAGATACAATCAGGACACCACGGCGACCAGGAAGAAGCTAAAGGCACCAAAGAGACCAAGGGCGCCGAGGACAAGGGCTCGTCCGAGAGCTCACCAAAAGAGATGGACACATCCAAGGACACATCAGAGGTTTCAGAGAACTCTTCAGAGAATTCATCTGAGGAATCATCAAAAGACTCGGAAGGTGCCTCCCATGACAACTCTGATCCCCAGTTGCTCCAGGACTCATCCTACGCGCAGTCCGAATCTGAAAACGACCTCGTTGACGAGGATGTAGTCAAAGAAATCATTGAGGAATATGTTGAAGAAGAGACAAAATCCAAAAACCCAGGCGAAGAGGTTGTCGATAAAGACTGGACCATCAACATTAACGAAAAACTGTCCAAGGTCACTTCTGAACAGTTTTTGAAAGGCAGCAAAGTCACCAAGACGTTCTTTTCCCAGCTTTTACATCTGATCTACGGGAACCGATTGTCGTTCCCTTTAGAGCAAAGAATGCAGATGGAAAATGGTAAAACAATTATCGACAACATTCTCTTCTACTCTGAAAACCAAGAACGTCTGTCCGAGTTCGACTGTGGAACATTCATGGACTTTCCTGACAATTTCATTGAGGATCTAACTATCAAACATAAAATCGTTGTTGACAATATTCCGGACATCGAACCAAACTTCTATTCCGGGTCAGGATACGTCATTGTAGGAGGTGGCAAATACTCATGGTTTGCTTTTTTGGTCATTCAAACACTCAGAAAATTGGATGCCTTCTTGCCCGTCGAAGTCATCATACCTTCAAATGATGATTACGAAGCTGAACTCTGCGAGAAAATTTTACCGAAATACGACGCCCGTTGTGTCAAGTTACATGATGTCTTCGATGCCAAATTGTTGGACGACATCAAGGTCACAGGATACCAATACAAATCGCTAGCGTTGCTTGCTTCCTCCTTCGAAAATGCATTTTTATTGGACTCTGACAATTATCCAATAATAAATCCAGACCCGCTGTTCATCTCAGAATTATACTACGACTATACAATGATTACATGGCCAGATTATTGGCGTAGAACGACGTCTCCGAAATTTTATGAAGTTAGAGGCACAAAATTAGGTAAAAGAGTTCGTCATTTGAACGACTTCAAAACAGATCCCAGCCATTTTAAAGTGGAAAACGAAGATGACGATGAAGAGATACTAAAAAATGAAGTGCCTATGCATGACAGAGAAGGTTCCATTCCTGACTGGACTACGGAGTCTGGTGAAATGCTGATTAACAAAAAGATACATTTTAAAGCCTTACTTTTGGCCCTTTACTACAACCTAGACGGCCAGTTCGGTTATTATCCTTTACTATCGCAGGGCGGTGCTGGAGAAGGTGACAAGGAAACCTTCGTCGCCGCCTCAAACTTTTATAATCTCAAATACTATCAGGTCAATAAGATGCCAGATCGTGCCTACGGCTTCTACAAGTATGGAATGTTTTTCGACACTTCAATTATTCAATACAACCCGCTGAAGGACTATGAAAACTTGAAAAAAGCTTATGAAGGTATCAAGGATAAGATTGAAGAAGAGGGTGAGTCATTCAATTACGATTATACGAGCCTATTTACTGACGCCTTTAGAATAGATAATTCTCAGCCTATGTTCTACCATGTTCATGAAACAAAGATGGATCCTTTTGCCCTTTACGAGGAGAATGGAACCGTCGACTTAGATGGCAAAAAGTTGAGAAATCTAGGCGGCGACTTTCCGAGAGTCGATTTTGATCTAGAAAAATTCCTTTGGCAAATGATTGAGCGTTACGTTTGTGTCGAGAATCTAAATTTTGCGTACTTTTCTGGCAAAGACAAAGGTGCTGTCTGTGGCGACTTCATCAAAGACCAACTAAAGTTTTTAGACGAAAGTGGCTACCAACTTTTGAAACAATACATAGAAACAGAACCATTCGAAAATTTAAAAAGAACGAACTAGATCAAGTTCTCTATTTGCTTTTCTATCTACCTTTTTATACAATTTTACATTTATCTTTTTATCTTTTGACTTTTCTTTTTTTTTCTTTCTCTCTTACTCTTTTCCTAAGCTAAACTTTTCTATTTCTTTCTTTCTCTCCATCTCTCTCTCTTTCTTTTATGATTACATGTCTTCCTTGTCTTACTCAGGAAGTATGTCCTTGCTTAAAAAAATTCATTTACTAGTATAAAAATATTTTGTCTTTCGTTTTTATAGCCTTTGAATAGATCATTTTCTCCTAAAACACCATAGTTCCGTTCATGGCAGCACTAAACGCCCCACCTACAACCCCTGCACTACAATTAATTTCCCAAAAGGGAAAGCTTAATGCAAACGCGAAGAACCTCTTGGAGTACGGCAAGTAATTTCTCATTTTCGACTTTTGCGTTGTAGATTGAAAGGAGCAATGTTTCATGTCGGGGAGAAGGGGCACAGGTCGGAGTGTGCGGTAACCAAAAGGACATTGGTATACAACTATTACGACTAGATTGAACAACATAAATGGAAGGAACAACCGCAAGTGGAGCGTTCGACAGACCTCTACCAAAGACCTATAGCGCCTATCCTGATTATGAAAAGTTCAAAGAACACATTGCTGATTTCTTGAAAGAATACAAGGCAGAAGCAGCTTACAACCTTCATGAGGAGCAAACAGAGGATTTTTATGATAGAAAGGAAGATGACATCGAGCTTGCTAGAGAAGAAACTGAAGCTTCTTCTGGTCCTAAATACATGTATTTACTACAAAAGATTGCGAACAGAGAGTTAGATGATATCACGATTGAGCTCGATGATATAATCAGATTTGAAAGTTTACAGCAAAGTCGTGACATTGCTGGTGAATCTTTAGCGGCAGAAATTCCCCGAAATGCTCATCATTTTGTTGAATTGTTCTCTACTGTTATTGACGAAATTCTGCCCCAACCAACCAAACCAATTAACGACAAAGATACTGTTTTAGATGTCATAATCCACCAAAGAATGTTACGTAGTAGTGCGTTGCAACAAGAACGTCGAAGAGAAAATCAATTATCAGACCTTGATCCTTCGAGAACCGGTAATGACGAAAATGGCAATGATATGCTCGGTGATGAAATGAATACAGCACACGAACTCTTTCCTCCTCAGCTATTAAGACGTTACAGCCTATACTTTAAGCCATACACAGGAGCTACAGGTAAATCATCTAAACCTTTGAATGTGAGAAACGTGAAAGGTGGCCATATAGGGCAATTGATAACCATTAGAGGGATCATCACCAGAGTCTCTGATGTTAAACCTGCTGTCGAAGTGCAGGCTTATACATGTGATGCATGCGGTTATGAAATTTTTCAAGAAGTAAAAGCGAAGACTTTTGCCCCAATGATTGAATGTCAATCCGAGGTCTGTAAGCAAAATAGGAAACCAGGACGCTTGTTCCCAAGTACAAGAGCTTCGAAGTTCTCCCCTTACCAAGATGTCAAGATTCAAGAGCTTGCGTCTGATGTACCACCTGGAAATATTCCAAGAATGTTGACCATCCATGTTAGAGGACCCTTAGTTAGATCTATGACCCCTGGTGATTATGTTGACGTTTCAGGTATCTTTTTACCGCAGCCATATACTGGGTTCCAAGCTTTAAAAGCTGGTCTATTAACTGAAACATACTTGGATGCTCAATATGTGAAGCAGCACAAACGTAAATATGAAAGTTTAGGCCTAACCGATGAGGTCAAGGAAAAGATTGAAAATGTTAGAAGTCAGGAAGAATTTTACGATATCTTAGCCTCATCGATTGCACCTGAGATTTTTGGTCATCTAGATATTAAAAAGGCCTTACTGTTGTTGTTGGTTGGTGGCGTCACCAAAGAAATGGATGATGGTATGAGAATCAGGGGTGATATAAACATACTTTTGATGGGTGATCCCGGTGTGGCCAAATCACAGTTGTTGAAGTCAATTTCAAAGATTGCACCGAGAGCAATTTACACCACAGGTAAAGGTTCCTCTGGTGTTGGTTTGACTGCGGCTGTTATGCGTGATCCTATAACGGATGAATTGGTTTTGGAGGGTGGTGCATTGGTTTTGGCGGACAATGGTGTCTGTAGCATTGATGAATTTGATAAGATGGATGAAGGCGATAGAACTGCGATTCATGAAGTCATGGAGCAACAAACCATTTCCATATCTAAGGCGGGTATCACTACGACATTAAATGCAAGAACATCGATTTTAGCAGCAGCGAACCCTCTTTATGGTCGTTACAATACAAGAATGTCACCTAATGAAAACATCAACCTCCCGGCAGCTCTACTTTCAAGATTTGATATTTTGTTTTTGATTTTGGACAAACCGAGTGTGGAGAATGATATCAAGTTGGCGGAGCATGTTGCGTACGTTCATATGTTCAACAAGCATCCTACTATTAACGTTCAAACAGTCGATGAGCAGACAATGAGACAGTACATTTCCGTTGCTAGACAATATAAACCGGTCATTACGAAGGATGTAAGTGACTACGTTGTTTCTACTTATATCAAACTGAGACAAGAAAGTAAGAAAAACGAAAATTCCAACACATTTTTTTCACACACTTCTCCTAGAACTTTACTTGGTATACTTAGAATGTCGCAAGCATTAGCCAGAATTAGGTTCTCCAATGAGGTTTTGTTGAGTGATGTTGATGAAGCACTTAGGTTACTTTCAGCTGCAAAGAATACTTTGTACGATGGCCAACATGAAATTGAAGAAACAACACAGGAGAAATTGTTTACCATTATTAAAGAGTTCATTGCCAATCAAATGCAGACGACAAAATCTAAGATTGTTTCTATGGAAAGATTAAAAGAGATTTGTATAATGAAAAATTTTACTGAGGCCGAAATATCGGAATGCATTGAGAGGTATCAACAGCTAAATGTTTGGCAAGTCATTGACAATGGTGAAAGTCTAACTTTGATTGATATTGGCGACGATGACGATTACACATCGGATAATAGTGATGCTGATATGGATGTGGATCGAAATTTTTAAATTCGACTTTCCTCTAAGACTTTTGTACTGTACTTTTTTGCCCTGTTATTGTATTTTACTTACATGTTGTAATATTTGTTTCACCACTTCTAATTCTATTACTTATCAATTAAATATTATATTAATTTCACAAACGAAAAGAGCAGCACGAGGAGCCGCTTTATTATAGATATTACACAAAAATAGTATCAATTAAGTCCCAAGTCTTTCTTCACCATAGATCTGCAGATCGGATGATAAATCATTTCATACTTTTCGAAAGTTGCTAGAGCCAAAGGACGGTCGACTTTATTGAGCATAGTATAGGAAGGTCTGACGAATTTCATTCTACCAACGGTTCCTAACCAATTTGCAAGGTCTTGGTAAGACGAAGTTATGTTTGCTGTAAGAAGTAATCTGAACCATCTGAAGATGACTTCGGCATTCTGTGATACGGAATATTTGCTGTAAATGTTGGTCATCAAGTCGATGGCCTTCTTTCCATTCTCATTTTTCCAAGTGAAACCATTCTGGCCCTCATAAGAGCAAAGCTTATCCAGGAATACACCACTTTGATTAGCACTAAATTTTGCGATATCTGTGGATTTGAATTTGGAAGACAGTTTCTCCGGAGCTGTTTCTATAATATCGACCCATTTAGCAGCCAAAGTGTAACATTCGTCTACTAGCTTGGTATTGAAGCTAGGCTTTGGTGGCAAACCTGGCTCGTATAGCCATGTTTGCCAATCTATGGTATCTAAGAGATCAGATTTGTCCGAATAGAAACTATAAAGGGAATCGAGGAATTGGTATGAATCTAGAGATTTGTATTTGTACTCATTGAAGTAGTGCTTAATGAAAGGATCGAACGCCTCCTTGCCGCCTAGGGTCTGTTCGATATGGAACAACAAGCTGAAACCTTTTTCATAAGGCACTGTAGAAAAACTATCGTCAGGGTCTGTTCTGTCTTTCAAGTCTTGGATTAAAGTGCTGAATCTTTTTGCTGAGTTTCCCATTGAGATGATGGAGTTGGTCAAGTCATTCCAGCCGATGATTGCGCTAAAATGTCTGAAATCCTCGCCGTGGATGGCACCCTGGATTCTTCTTTCTAAATAGACTGTCCAGCCTTCGTTCAACCAGAAATGTTCGAAGGAACAGTTGGTGACTAGGTTCCCGGACCAACTGTGGGCCAATTCGTGGGCAATAACATCTATGTTTTCACGATCACCGGAAATCAAAGTTGGGGTAGCAAAGGTGCAGTTAGGGTGTTCCATTCCACCGAAAGGCATCGAGGAAGGTAGGATGAGAACGTCGTAGTCCTTCCACTCGTACGGGAAGACGATGCTTTCTGCAGTCTTGATGAAGTTCTCCGTGTCGTGTTCGAATTCGTACTGACAGTTGTCGATGAAGGAAGGCTCGGAGTAAACGGTAGACCTGGGGCCTATCGCTGCGCCCGTGATGTCGCCGGAGGCGATCGACACCAAGTAGGAAGGTATTGGGACTGGCTGTTCGAAGTGGTAGACAACATTGTTGGCGGAGTCTTTCTTGTCCTTGAGCAAACCGGAGGTGAGGGTGTTGAACGGAGAGGTCAAGAAGTAGGAGAAGGTGGATTTGATGGACGGGGTGTCGAAGCAGGGGAAGAACGATCTGGAATGTATTGGCTCACACTGGGAGAACAAGTAAGGCAGCTTCTTGCCGTTGGTCTGCTGCGGGTCCAACCACTGTAGGGCGGTGCATCTGTCGGTTGTTTCGTAGTCGATTTTGAGGGTGACTTCGTCGTCTGCAGCCAGGCTGTGTCGGATCTCCAAGGCGGAGCCCAGCGGCTCCATTCTGTCCTTGAGCTTGTAGTCCTTGACGGACTTGTCGTCGATGCTGATGCCGTGGATGGACAAGTACGAGGTGTCGAGGACGATGGACGACGTCTGCTGGAGACACTTGAGGCTCAGCGAGATGGATCCCGCCAGCTTCTTGTCCTTGAACAGCACGTCCAGGCTCAGCACCGTGTGCAGCACGCTGAACTTCTCGTAGTTGGAGAGCGTCGACGGGTCCGCCTCTGGCGAAGAGGCGGGCAAATGCGGCTTCAACACCTCTCTGAGCTTCGCCGAGATGTGTGGGTAGTGGTCCTTACCAGCCATGGTTGATACGTGTCTGCGGGCGATGGTGCTGCTGATGGTGCTGCTGTTCACGCGGAGGGGGAGCTTGAGCATCAACACGAGGCAGGCGATGGGCGGCACACAGAAAGAGCACCAGATTACTGCACAGGAGCCCACCACAGATGTCAAACGCTGGCAACGCTGGACGCACACGCAACCCAAGGGCAAACACGATCCTGGTCTGCAAATGGGCACGCAACCAGGAATTCAAGAAAAACGGCAAGGCAGTCCACCCAGGACGCCTTCTCGGCGTGGCCACGGCTCAGAAGACAATGAGCCCTGCTGCATTGCGTTCCGCCTGCTGTCAAAACTTCCGTACCGCTCCAGTGCCGACTATCTGGCCGGCCCTGCTGCACCGCAAGCCGCAGTTGCCTCTCTTGGGACATGGCCGGCCTGTCTGGAGATAGCCGAGCCTGCGACGATCTTCTTCCCGTGCAGCTAAACGGCTTCTGGGGCCGTTCCGGCGGCACTGGAGCCGAGTTGCCGCGAGGAGACGGGGCAGCGGCGGCGGAAAGTGGCGGAAAAAAATGCCGACGCGTCGATCAAAAAGGATGAGGGTTTGGAAGAGTTTTTTAAGCACGTGCGTGCAGGCAGGGCTTGTGCGGTCTGCGCGGGCAGCTTTCCAGAAGCGACGCAGAGCGAGTCACGGCGAGACAGGTGCGGCCCGGGAGTGCCTCCTGCCTGCGTCAGGGCAGGCAGGCCGGGAGAGGAGAGGGGTCTGGCAGTCTGGGTCTCAGTCAGTATGGCGACATAGGGGTGAAATGGCAGCGATGTTTCAGTCCACAAGCATCTCCTGGACCGAGGCAGCGTATTAGCCCTGTGTCTCCCTGTTTCTCTCTCCACAAGAGGTTCACATCACAGTCAAACGGTATGTACAGCACCCAGAGCACGCCTCAGGCGAAAGAAGAATAGCTCAGACAGACAGACAGACAGAGAAAGTAGGCACTGAAAAATCAGCCCGACGTCCATTGGAAAAAGCCAGCCGGCACCAGAAGAAGACGGCGACAGGACGACAGCACCGCAGACGATGTTTGTGGCGCAGAAACGAAACCCGTTTGACGCAGACACACAGGCCATCCCGTCGTAGCGGCACGCAAAGAGCATCACGCTTGACAGTACGCTGGCCATAGGCATGGCTAAAATTTTCAGGATGCACCACTGCAGGCGTGCACCCCCCCACTAGGACCTCTCTCGGCCAGCTGGCGGGGACACCCACAGTTTTTCTTGCCATGAGTTTTTCTTCTGCCTCTGTCCTTTCCTAGGTTTTTCCTCTGCAGAGTTCTGCACCCGTTCCAGAACACCATTCTAACATTCGTCCACCTTATTTTTTTCTCTAACCACAGTCAAGATGCAAATTTTTGTCAAGACCTTAACTGGTAAGACCATTACCTTGGAAGTCGAATCTTCTGACACTATCGATAATGTCAAGCAAAAGATCCAAGATAAGGAAGGTATCCCACCTGACCAGCAAAGACTTATCTTTGCCGGTAAGCAATTAGAAGATGGTAGAACTTTGTCCGACTACAACATCCAAAAAGAATCCACTCTTCACTTGGTCTTGAGATTGAGAGGTGGTATCATTGAACCATCCTTAAAGGCTTTAGCTTCCAAATACAACTGTGAAAAGTCCATTTGCAGAAAGTGTTACGCTAGATTACCACCAAGAGCTACCAACTGTAGAAAGAGAAAGTGTGGTCACTCCAACCAATTGAGACCAAAGAAGAAGCTTAAATAGATTATTTGCTCAATTTGTTTTTATTATTATAAACTTATAATTTTAATTAATATATAAATTTAAATATCTATATACGTATCTACGTAAACTATAAATCTAGGTCTTCAATGTAACCCAGCCGGAGAGGTCCAAGTTGCGCCATGAACTACAAGCCTTCTGACGAGATCCTAAAAATGGGAGGCTGTGAGCAAAGTGAACGCAGACAAATTGAAACCGGTGCCTTTTTTTACCCCTCCTCCTACCCGCTCGATCTCTAACGCAAACTTTGCTTGCCTGTGTCTGTAGAGTTAACCAAATATTGCCGTGATCTCTCAAAATGCTCAGGTTCAACAGATGGGTAAAGCCCGCTTTCCTGCTCAAAAGATCACTGTACACGAAAACGACTCTCAATGCCGGTGGAATAGAGATTGCGCAACCAAACCCCAACCACAAGTCTTTGATCTTGTTGACCACGCCGCCACAGCTGAACAATATAGTGAGCAACGTGATCGACAAGCAGGCCACGAACACAGGCATCAGCCAGATCCTAGTGGTGTGCGTCGATTCCATAGCCGACTCAAGAAACGCCTATTCCGAACTATGGCTTGAAACTCCATTCAGAGTCACCCATCATGAAACCATTGAGGAGAGAAACGAAAGAATCAAAAAGAAAGTCGAGCCACTCAGCGTGGATCCAATCAAGTTCGACAAGTCTTGGAAAGACACCAAGGAGCAGACCTTGTTCCAGATCAATCTCACCAATCTCGGACTAAATTCAAAGGTCAGACTGGCGAACACCCTATTTGAAAATGGAGAAAACAGTACTTGCTTCTACATTGGGAAGGAGTCATACGACTGGTACAACCTTGCGAACGTGACCGTTGATGTCAACCTTGACAACTTCTCCGCAGTGCAGAACATCGAGTATGCCAATCGGTTGACGGAGATCCCACTCGTCGAAGCCGTAGAAGAAGGCGCCGACGAAGAGCTTTTTACCATCACCGATTTTGAAGGAAACCTCATCAAGAGCATAAATAACCAAAGTGCTTCTGGGTACCTCACTGACAACTCGATAGTGATGAGCTCAAAAAAAGACCTTTACTTCAAGCTATACGACAACGAAACAGAAGATCCGACAAGACCTTGTCTCCAAGAATATTACAAGTTGATTGTCGGGGGCCTTGGCTGGGGGGAGAAACAAGCATTTCTTGCTGTCGACCCCATTGTCGGCACCACCGGATTTAGAGACGTGAAGCTATTTTACTACGACAAAGACACCGCCAAGCACCACGTGGAGTCTCCCGTTGTATCCGGCAACAGCAAACTCGTTTTTGAATGCTCTGAGTTGGAGAGTGGTTACGAGGAGTATAAGCAGCCAACGGACACTGGGGCACAGGAAACCGTGATAAAGCCTGGCGTGTTCGCCATGGGCTGCGAACAAGGATTCGAGCTTGACGGAATCTGGCACCGCTCCAACGGCGAGTTTGTACAGATTGAGGTGGCTCAGAGCTAGCCACACGGAGTGGGGGCTTATAACTTGTATATAGAGAGGCCGGCAGATCGGGCGGTGGTTGAACAAATCGGCTGGACCGAGAAGTGACGGTAACAATAGTAATAATAGTAACAGCCATATTGAGTCAGCCTCTGCGCGGGAGGCTTTTCCTCGGTTTACGTGTCGTTCGGGGGCCTGTGAGGGAGAGTTGTTGATGTGTTAATGGAGTCGATGAAGGTGATGGCGACGGTGCCAGAGCAGGTGCAGGTACTGAGCTCTACTACTAATCAGATCTTAAAAGTATAAACAGATACACAGTTGCTAGATATCATGAGCAACCTGATTTCCACACTTTCCTCCTTCGATGTAAGTTCACACCGACAAGAGACTATTTAATGTTTCTTTGTTCTCCCTTAACGATCAGTTTGGCTTGAATCGTGTTAGTCGACGCCATCTTTAGCTGCAGAATACTAACCAACGATTTCCCGTGTGAAAACGCTTCCGGGTATTCTTTTCGTCGTTCAGGTTAACAGCATCAGTGAGCAATTGAGCTTAGATAAGATCAAGGAGAACCTCCAATCGGTGAAGGGAAAGTTTGCAACGTTGCGTCCACCACAGGAATTCTTTGATGTTCGTCATTTCTCCAAGCCATCCAACTTCAGTGAGCTCCAACAGCGGGTCACATACAACCTAAACTACTACCAATCCAACTACGTATGCATAGTTTTGCTTCTCTCCATATACGCCTTGGTCACCAACGCCTTGTTGATGTTTGTCATCGCCCTGGTTGTAGGAGGTATGTTTGCCATCAGCAGATTGCAAGGTGAAGACTTGGTCTTGCCTATTGGAACGATCACAACCTCACAATTGTACACAACATTATTGGTCGTTTCGTTGCCTCTCGGGTTTTTGGCCTCTCCAATCAGCACCATGATGTGGCTTGTGGGATCCTCCTGTGTGTGTGTCTTCTCGCACGCCAGTTTCATGGAGAAGCCGATCGAAACCGTGTTTGAAGAACAAGTTTAAGCTGAAATACCTCCCCCGTGTATGGGTTGGATACAGCATATATACATGCGTAAACGTATATACTAGAATCAAAATCCTGTTTCATAGCTTCACCCCCTGCCAAGAAAAGGCAGGCGGAGGGTGTATGATAGACGAAGTAAGTTCAAGGCTCAAGACGAAAGGGGTGCACGACTACAGGGGTATATGTCACTACAGGTCAAAAGAAAATGTCTATGTCAGTAGAAAGAAGACCCAAAAAGTATCACTCATAAAATATTCAGATACTATCTAGCTTGACTAACGCGGTGGTTAAATTTCATCATTTGAGACATTGTAAGAGAAGAACGCAACTGACCGCACAAGAAACATGGCACGAGTGCCAATGTGTCTAGTCCGGTCACCAACCGTTCGATCATGGCAAAAGCCATTGCAAAAAGGGGCAATCTCCACCAAGTCCAAAAAAAAGACTTGAGGGAGTGGTGTAACTACACCAGCCCCTTCTAAAAGGCATCACCCCTGGTACAAGACACAGTGGACATTGTACCTTGTGATGATGGTCCAGGGAACAAGCACATTTGAGTACGAATGAAAGGAAAGCACTACTGAAGTCAGGAATGGCTTTCTGTTATATAGTCCCTTCTCACTCGCCCTCCTTTTTGGCTGGCAGCGCGTGTCGTCGTTATGCCATAATGAGGGTTTGGCCCCACTGTGTAGCCAGGGTTTGTCGCAGGGCGGCATGTCGGAAGTCGGTCTATGATTAAGTGTTATCTATTAATAAGATTGTCTTGTACTGCTATATAGAGAGATAGACATTAAACATAGTTCTTTATATAGATAGATATTGTAACCAGATGGAAAGATGACAGAAGCGAAGTGGGCACAATTAAAGACCCAACTTGGTTCTCTTCCAGTGTCTTCTCTTAGCGTTGTATCTGATCTTGTTGTTGGTTCTTAATCTGATCCATTGTGGCAATGGTCTGTTTTGGTTTTGAGCCTTAGCCAATTTTTGCTTAACTCTGAAAGTTTTTTGGGACTGTAAGAGGTGTGGTAGTGTCCAGAAGAGGGACGTGGAAATGTTAGTATTCTGTCGTCGTGGCAAACTCCATTTTGCGACGGCCTCAGACAGCCAGGCGTTTCTCGAGAGCAGAACAACCTGCACAGCATCACTTGGGGACAGCAACATCTTGTCATCTCTTTGAGGGCTCATTCAATTCTATGTTTTCAATGTGTCCATGGCTGTGTAGTCTCCCTGCTCTCGTTTTGCACGCTGTCTGCAGCGGTGTGTCTAGTACATACAGGCATCTTTGTTTGTTGCTTGAAGTTGAGTTTTCTTTGTTCCGATTCTGACTCCGTACCCGTTTCTGCTACAGTCTATCTTCAACCACGCTCCTCTTCTGTAACATCAACTGCACAACCTCTCTCCCTCCTCTCTCCCTCTCGCTCCCTCACCTCTGCGCCACCTCCCACACAGTGGAAAATTTTCCAGACCCCCGCGCCAGCAGGCACCCAATGCGGTAAATTCCACCCCGCACACCGCATACATGTCAACCTGTTGAGAGACCCGCACACCGCACTTTGGCAGCGAAGAGCCAGAGGAAAGAACCGCCAGAGCGAGCTGGGCCGGGGCGAGCAGACGGTATGCTCGCTGCGCTAGGTGTTTTTTTTTCACAAGCACCGGGGTACATGTTTCACAGACGACGGTGTTGATGAGGGACAGAGACGGGATGATACAGAAACGCCTAGCTTCTGGAATCAGACACCGTCCGCAACACAAACAGCATGACCAGATCCTCCGTCCTCGCAGATGCGCTCAATGCCATCAACAACGCTGAAAAGTCTGGTAAGAGACAAGTCTTGATCAGACCATCGTCCAAGGTGATCATCAAGTTCTTGACCGTCATGCAAAAGCACGGCTACATCGGTGAGTTCGAATACATCGACGACCACAGATCCGGCAAGATCGTCATCCAGTTGAACGGTAGATTGAACAAGTGTGGTGTCATCCAGCCAAGATTCAACGTCAAGATCAACGACGTCGACAGATGGACCGACAACTTGTTGCCAGCTAGACAATTTGGTTACGTTATCATGACCACCTCTGCCGGTATCATGGACCACGAAGAAGCAAAGAGAAAGCACGTTTCCGGTAAGATCTTGGGTTTCGTTTACTAAGCGTGTCTCCTGCATCGCCCTGCACACCCTACATGTACCACTAAATCCCAACCACTGCTACATATGTATTCTCTATAATCCTAATACAGCAATATAGACCTCATATCCAACTTGTCTGTCCACCCTGCCCCGTATTCCTTATCCTTATCTGCACCGTCCTCTATAGCGCCCGATCGTGCACTGTGTGACTGTCTTTCCGCATTCGCCACCCACCCACGCACCGCACGCAAACCCGCTTGCTCGCTCCCGGCGAACCTTTTTCCTCGCTCTCGCTGTCTCCTCCTACTGGTTCTGGTTCTGGCTCTGGTGCGCCTGCTGGCTGTCACACTGTGGGAGAGTCGCTGCCTCTGACGAGAAGAAAATTATTCACCTTCATATATTGCTGGACGGTTGTAACATACCCCATCATAACAAAGGAGCAGCGTTATTAGACCTTCCTCACACATCAACAATGGCTACTGGTATGTATACAACCCCTACATGGCGTAGTGTTCAAGAGAACTGTGTTACATCGGACTTCAAGAGCAGGGAAAGTTGCAAAATGATGGAGAGAAAAAACGTTGTCCAAGTACAGTTCAGAAGAGGACGGCACCACTGAAAACGCCTGCGACGACAGAACTAGACGAACTGGCATGGCAGAATCCAAAGCACGGATATATTGGGACCAATGAAAGATATTGCAAGCAGAAATGAAGATCACTCAAGTTGGAAAAACACACCGCTAGCTGTACTACAACGAAGGCCCCCCGTCGAATACCTATAAAGAAAGGCCAGGAGTTATTCTCTAACAACAAAAAAGACCCAAAATAGAACTATCCTGGTGCAAGGAATACAGGGATCTGACAAATCAGAATAGAAACCCATTGCAGCTATTGAAGACCGACACAGTGGACGCATTTGCTTTTGCACACACACCACCTTTCATCACATCACATCACATGTTGCAAATACTAACATTTCATTCCCCCCGCCCTTTTCCCACAGAAAACGTTACTCTTGGTCCACAATCACAAGGCACCTCTGAGGTGTTCGGTGTTGCGCACATCTACGCTTCTACCAACGACACCTTCGTCCATGTTACCGATTTATCCGGTAAGGAAACTATCGCCAGAGCAACTGGTGGTATGAAGGTCAAGGCCGACAGAGACGAATCCTCCCCATACGCTGGTATGTTGGCTGCCCAAGACGTTGCCGTCAAGTGTAAAGAAGTCGGTATTACCGCTGTCCACATCAAGTTAAGAGCTACCGGTGGTACCAGATCAAAGACCCCAGGTCCAGGTGGTCAATCCGCTTTGAGAGCTTTGGCTAGATCCGGTTTGAAGATCGGTAGAATCGAAGATGTCACCCCAATCCCATCTGACTCCACCAGAAAGAAGGGTGGTAGAAGAGGTAGAAGATTATGATTGGTTTTAAATTTATTTGCCTATACTTTTAAAATCTTTTCTTCTCTGCTCAATATCAGCTTCAATACATTTTTTAAAAATAAATCTACTGTCATATCTATAAATAAAGTATCCTCATATCTATATATAAAGCGGTAGTAACATTAATAAAAAACTTTCAGCAATGTATAATTAATAAACCATTCATTGAACCTAAAAGCATTACTTTTTTGTGCATTCGTCCGAGCAACGCGTTGGCTTTTAGTTAGCTGTTCTACTAATCCACTCTCCCTGTTTTCTACGTCAGAGTCTGACACATCGAATGCTAGACAAAGTCACCGCCAATGACACCTGCCATGGTCAAGGGTAATGAAGACAACAAGCCTGGTTGTTTTACTTCTCAGTTGGCTAGAGTTCCCACCAGTGCAATACTATTTGTATCACTAGTTTTGAGAATTTCATTCTTTTTGTTTGGACTTTATCAGGATGAGAATATGCCATTACCATACACGGACATTGACTACTATGTGTTTACAGATGCTGCCAAGTTTGTAGCAATCAACGAATCACCATTCTTGCGTGCAACCTATAGGTACACACCTCTACTTGCCTGGATCTTGGTTCCAACAACATATTCCACCCACCGACTATGGTTTTCATTCGGCAAGTTCATATTCATAGTATGCGATTTGGTGACTGGTTACGTTTCAATGATCTCGTTACCTTCTCATTACACTTATCTCTCCACGATCTGGTTATTCAACCCCATGGTGATCACAATCTCAACGCGTGGATCGTCAGAGTCTTTGCTAACTTCATTTGTCTTGCTCACAGCGTATTTCCTAATCAGAAATAATGGAAAGAAACTGACAGACATCATTGTGTCTGGGTTTCTGTTGGGAGTGTGTGTGCATCTCAAAATATATCCTTTCATTTACGCTCCAGCCTTCCTACTTTACTTGGACGCCAACCAACCGTTATACGCTCCATTCACACAGAAACGTCTCCTGTTTGCCCTAAGCGCACTTGCAAGCTTTTCAGGACTAACATACTGGATGTATTACGTCTACGGATGGGAGTACTTAGACGAAGCTTACTTCTACCACCTCATTAGGTTGGATCACAGACATAATTTTAGCGTCTACAATATCTCCCTGTACTTGAACTCAGCTACGACAGCGGAAGTGGGCTCTTTCCAATTTGAAAAATGGGCATTTTTGCCACAGCTTGCATTGACTCTTTTCATCATACCTCTTAGTTTGAAAGAGGGACTGCAGTCGCAGGATAAGAACTTTAGAGACAGCATTTTGTACAAAATTATGTTTATCCAGACATTTGTGTTCATCATGTTGAACAAAGTTTGTACATCTCAGTACTTCATCTGGTTCTTGTGCTTATTGCCACAAACACTTGTGGGAACAACCATTAGCGGCAGGAAAGGGCTCGTGGTGCTACTCGGTTGGGTGCTCACCCAGGGATTGTGGTTGTTTAATGGCTGGAGGTTAGAGTTCTGCGGCAAGGCGGACATCTTCATCAGTGGACTCTTCTTTTCCAGCAGCCTCTTCTTTCTCTGGAATACATACATGGCCTGTGTCTTTATTCAAGACGTGCAGCAACAAATCCGCCTCCAGAGACGAGATCTGGAGCACAGAAAGAAGATATAGCTCTAAGCCATGGGCCCTATCAAGCCTCTTTTGCAGTACACCGCGCCTAATATAGTTACTAAATAGAGACATCTGTAAATAGCGCCGAGGAACTTTGTTCTCTTTTTCCTGCGCTGCAGTAGCCAAACCTGCATACTGATAAATCTGACACCCGTCCATCGCACGTTTCCTGTCCACCTGCGGTGCAGAAGCGAGAGCAATCATTGCCATTGCACCAGGAAAGTAGGGCTATCGTCACCGGCGAGCAGGCTATCCAGCAGTACACAAGACAAACACCAGCAGAATCAAATTGGAGAGACACAACCACGATCACAGTTTTACATCAGCGAACGCACACATACACACATACATTCGTTCACCACATTCATAATCACCAACGACATGGCCGAGTCTTTCGAGATAAGATCGAAGTCGTTCACTGTGAAATGGGTCAGTGTTCCGGCCAACAGCAGAATCAAATGGCTGATAAGACCTTTGAAGAACTCAATCAACCTAGGCGTGTATGAACAGAAGCAGAATTTCAGCTCTGCTAATGATGTGTCTACTGCAAATGCAAGTACATTCTCCACTGGTTTCCTTAACTCTAGCTCGAAGTTGGAAAACTTAAATGTGGACCAAGTGAATCAAATACCTCACCGTTTTTTCAGTTCCGCTCCGATAAACAGTTTGGCTGACCCTATAACCAAAAATGACTCCAGGCCAGGCTTGAATCAGTCAAAAAGCTATTCTTTGAATAGTAGCAGTAGCAGTCTTAGCAGCAGCAGCAGACTTCTCAATAGCAGTTTGAGTTCGATGTCATTGGAGGAGAAACTGGACAAGCATTTGAAGAAGGTGAAATGGATAGGGAGGTGTTCTGGTGATGCACTCAAATCGGGAATTCTTCAAACGCAAGAAGGTGGCTTATACGCATTCGTGTTCGACAACACGTTCTCCAAGACCAAGGCAAAGACTGTTTTGTTTGAATACGATGTTCAGTCCGTTTTGGTTCTAGCCTCTTCAGAAAAAAGTAAAAGCGATCGGAGGCCGCAAAAGATTGAAACTGATGATATAAATAGGAGACACAGCACCACTAAAAATGAAGTGAAGTTTGATCCACAGAAGAGCATTGCAAGAGGGAATTCTACGAGGATCTTTAGCATAAGTGGTGTCCAGTATCTGGAAGGTTTCTTGATGAAAAAGAAAAGAAGAAAAGGTAGAGCTAAAAACTTTGCAAAACGGTTTTTTTCATTGAATCTAACCTATTCCATCCTTTATTACTACTCAAATGCTGATTCCAACAACATCAGAGGAAATATGATGATCACACAAACCGTTATTTCTGCTGATCCCTCGGAACTGATGATGTACTTGGACTCCGGGATGGAGCAGTGGATACTTAAGGCTACAAACAAAAAAGATTTTGATATGTGGATCGAGGCGTTCAACTTCGTCAAGAAACAAAATAAAAAGACTAAAGAGTTAGTGAACAGACAGCCTTCGGTATCAAGAACTTCTCGTACAATTGACAATTTGATGGAAGACTCTGCATCTGCTTACAGTAGTCAGGACGACGAAAGGCCAGCAAGAAAGGGGAATAACTTATTGAATCCGCAATTTCAAGTGGTAGAGGTAAAGTTAGCGTCACTAAAAAATACTGTCAGTAGCTACATTGAGAGTGAAGATAGGGGATTAGAAAACTCCAAAGTTATTAAAACGACGGCGCCAACGCTCACGACGGCAAAAAATCAGGAAAATCATTCGGATTCTTTTTCGGACCTATCGACATCCTCACAGGGACAGTTCCAAACACAAGGCTCGCTTCCAACGGCCTCAAAACTGGTCAAAAAGCCTTCCAGGGGCTCGATGAAAGATTCTTCAGTGAGTCCAGGCTCGATGCCAACCAGAAAGCCATCATTTCTCTTCCGATTAAAGCGAATCGGATCCCAGTCTGCTCCTTCAACCCCAGATACACAATCGTTTGATGTTGAGCCCCCTCGCCAGTACATAGGAAATAGCAGAAAGAACTCTAGTGATAGTTTTGCGTCAGTCAACAACAACAGCCAAACTCATTCACAGTCCCAATCTCAACCTCAGTCAGTTGCATCTACTCAATGCTCCCCGTTGATAGGCCCCTTGGTATCTACCTTGTCATCTAACAAAAAAGTTACCGAAGGTATTTTGGATTCAATTTTAGATAAGGTTTTAGAACTGGAAGCTGAATATGCTGCCTTAATGGAGCAAGAAAATTCGTACAGGTCGGAGTCTAGAATTCCTTTGGGTCGTACAAATACACAAGCAAAGTCAGTTCTATCACAGGAGTTTTATGATGCGCAGGAATTTGCAGATGAGACGGAACACGGTGTTGTCATGTTAAACAGCGAAACTCACTTGTTTGATAACGCTGATCTAGTGTCTGATAAAGGAATACAAAGTGATATACTAAACGCTAACATTTTTGAACAGAAACTAGATGACATTAGCATTGCTGCATCGTCAACCTCAACGGAAGATGATGAAGATGATGAAGAAAATAATGATGATGGCCAACAGTCTACTCGACTAGCAACCAACGAGTCAAGGGTGTTACCTGATATAACTGAACCCCCGTTCGTAGACCGTTATCCCCTACCATACAAGGGTATATACAATTCCAGGACAGATATAAAACCAGCAGCATGTGAGCCTCCATCTCTTATCTCGATATTGAGAAAGGGTATTGGCAAAGACCTCACAAGTATGACTATGCCTATCTCCACCAATGAGCCTTTGTCGTTTTTGCAGAAGTACACAGAAAGTTTGGAATATTGTGAACTGATCAATAATGCAATACATTCACCTCTTGAAACAGGTGAAAGAATTTTGAAAATATCAGCTTTCGCCATCAGCTTTTTATCCTCGTATAAGGATAAAATTAGATCTATCAGGAAACCATTTAACCCCTTGCTCGGTGAAACATTCGAGCTTGTTCGACCTGACCTTGATATAAGGGTTGTAACAGAGAAGGTGGTTCACAAACCGTTTATCATGGCAACTCATGTTGACTCCAGTGACTGGTATATTGAGCATTCAATATGTCCACAGCAAAAATTTTACGGCAAAACTGCTGAGATTTCTGTTGATGGTACGCTAAAGTTACATTTCAGAGATAGCAAGGAGTCTTACAAGTGGAATCAGCCCACTACTATATTGAGAAACATTGTTTCGTTGACAGGCGAAAAATACACAGAACCGTTAGATTCTATCACCATCGAGTCAAATACAGGCTACAAATGTGTGGTCAGCTTCATACCCGATAATGGGAGATTCACCAGCAGTAGATCAGAAAAGGTTGATATGAAGGTGTTCAAAGATGGTAATGGAGACAAGCCGCTATCTTTGTCTGCAAGCGGATCCTGGACGAATAGTATAAAGATGAGTAATGGTAAGACTATCTGGCAAATTTCAGATCCATTGCCACAACATGAAAAAAAGTATGGTTTTACAAAATTCTCCTGTTGTTTAAACGATCTCGATCAAATTCATAAGGGGTGTGCACCTACTGATTCAAGAAGACGTCCTGATCAACGAATGTATGAGAATGGTATTGTCGATGATGCGGATGAGTTGAAGCTGAGACTAGAAGAAAATCAAAGATTGAGACGAAAAGATTCCGAAGGTAATGAAGTGGTTCATGTTCCCGCTTTTTTCAGAAAGGGAGCTACGGATCTCGATTGGTATTTTATTCATGGAGAGAAGGGTTATTGGAATCGCAGAAAGCATGGTAACTGGGATGGACTGACGAAACTTTGGTAATGTTCGAAAGCTTCGATTATTTAACGTTGTATTTGTATGAAGTGTAGTTATAAAAATTATGTTAAGTTCTCAACAGTGCAACTTGCAGGTAGTTAGTCTGTAATTTCTCTGAAAAAGTACTTGTGGTTTTGACCTCCGGTAACAACCAGCCTTTGATGTGGTAGTTCCTCCATGCTATCTAAAATACTGTGATCGATGGATAACCCTGGTATATCACTTGCGGCGCTATTACTATAATGGTTGCTGTCGGAAATTGTAGCAGTATGGTTGGAGTCTGTTGCTAGTAAACGTGGTGAGAGTATGAATGAGAGTTGTTCATCGTAATTGATTGCCTCTTCGATAGCATTCTCAATTGCATTTTCAACAATTTCATTCTTGTTGGAAACGTTTGTAAAGACAAATGATGCAATGATGAGGACAACACCAGTGAGGTACTGGATGGAGAAGTTCGAGCCGCCGTAGAAGTAAGAATCTATAAGCATAGTAATAGGAATTGCCGCGGAAAGTGATAGTGAAACAGATAAGGGAGACGTGATGAGCGAAGCACACGATCCGCAATAATCAGAAAGACAATTCAAGAAGGAGGACAAGAAAAGCATCAATAAAATGATATGGTTTTCCGGTAAGCTCAATTTTTCCCAGTTGAAAAAGTCAAAGACTAGTAAGACTGGGAATCCTAGAACTAGCGTAAGTAACCCGAGGTAACCATACACTAAAGAATCACGCTCAGAATCAGTCTGTTCACCCAATTTAAGTCTTAAAATGGCAAGAAAGCCAGAAAATGCACATGCGCCGCAAATTGCCAAGAGATCCCCAAATTTATCAGGACTTACGAGGGCAGAAAGTATATTGTAATTTGATGCATTAGTGGAAAATGTTATCAGTGCTATGCCACCCATTGAACAGAAAACAGAGATGACTTTCCCCACCGTGAATTTTTCGAATTTGAGGGCAACCCCAATAATGAGAGAAAACACTGAGGATGATGTGGCAAGCACAGTTTGGTTTGACGCAGATGTGTATTTTAACGCAGATGAGCCTAAGAAACAGCATGTGAAATAGAGTAGTGCAGAACATGCACTGACTTTAATAATCTCATGATGAGACAACTGCACTTTGGGAGTTTCTAGTTGAGAAAAGTTGCTATTGGCATCACTCTCAATGATATAAGGTGGTGAGTTCCCATTAGGGAGACAGCTTTCCGTTTCAGCTGCATTCTCAGGTTCGGCTCCGATGTTGTAAATGCTTAGATTTCCCAGCCTTGTAAGAGTACTCCACCACTCTCTAATTAACGGCCTAATTCCAAACAGAATAAACAATCCTCCGTTCAAATATGCAGCCAATAAAGGATGATCGAAGTCTGTTTTTTTCATAACATTATTAAGTAGCTGGACTGAGCTAACCCAACATAAGACCGAAAAGGATAGTAAAATCAAACCTGTGATCCAGACATTTTTCTCTTCTGCAACAATTATGTCTACCACCTCGTCTAAAACCTGCTCCTGTGATACAACGTCATGACTTGTTTTTATACTTGGAGATCCTGGAAAAATCAAGTTCGTTATCGGATCGTGGAATCTGGGAGATTTTATCAGCGATCTCGGGGATTTGAAGATTTTCGTGTCTTTACCATCGGACATGGTGCAATCTTGAGTTTTGTTGAAATAAATCAAAGCATATAAGACGACTGAGACAAAAGCAAACTCTTACATCGAACTTTCAATTTTACTTACCTTCTCCTAACTGTTATCGATAAGCCTGGATTGTAAAGAGTAGAAGGTTCCGATAGGCGCTCCTTGAGTGCGGGTTGCAGTTTCCTCATTAAGAAATACGCGTAGAATTCATTTGTCCTTAATGCCAAGTCTTGCACGAGCGAAAAGAGAGGGTTGTCGTCGGTAAATGTATTAGTTTATAAAAGCTGGTAGTGATAGAATGAAACTAAACAGAAAAAACGGCAGTAATGACCAAGATAATAGAGAGATGATAATCTAAAATAAGCATGAAAAGATAAGCAAAAAAAGGTAAAATGTAAGTTGTAAACTGTAAATTGTGGGTTGAAAATTGTAAACTGTAAACTGTAAACCGCAACTTCAAATAGTGTAAGTTGTTGTAGATTGTAAAGTAAAGCATTGAGTATTAATCAATAATAGACAATGACGCGATTGATGCAATTAAAAAGGAGACGAATGGAACCTGGCAAGCTTTATGCAACAAGCTAGCGAGGTAGATAGATGGGGAAATACACCTCAAGCATAAGCAGTTTAGTGAACACAAACGCAAGCATGCATCAGAAAACCAAATGTAAAAGAACTGAAATAAGTAGCATATGCTGCTACCTGATAAGGGGAATGAAAAAGCAAAAAAAATTAAAAGGTGTAAACTTGTGTGGTTATGGGTTGGCCAAACGTTTCAAGATTTCTGGAGGATGATAAAATGGATTAGTGGCTTTGTTGGTTGGACTGGAGTTTCCAGAGATCTTACCAGTTGGTAAGGGAAAAGTTTCAATTGGGTCCGCGGAACCAGCTTTAACACTAGTGGTATTGATGTTCTTCTGTGAGCTAATAGCACCGAGAGACTTTGACCTCAAGTTCACCCGTCTTGAGTTGGCCAAGCTCAAGGTGGAAGGGCTCTTAAAGACCTTTGGTGGCTTTGCGGGGTCAGAAGTTGTGGTGACAGTCAAGTCAGCAGAAGATGCGTGTCTTTTTCTGCGCAATTTCTCCTTGATTTTTTTGGTATAAATGATGTTCGATATGCTAGAGTAGTCGTGCAACGAATTACAGTCTGTATCCCCATACATCTGATAGATGGCTTCGTTGTCAACGAAGTAGTTGTCCATCGTAATAGGATGGTTGTATGTAGGGGATGAGTTCACAACGCCTGCTTGTGGATAGTAAAGCTGATTAGAATCCGAGAAGGTGGAAGGGCCAAACGGATTATTGAAGTCATTTTCGAATTCATTGAAAGAAGCCGAGGTTGACATGAGTAACTGCTCGATTGGGTCTATCTCCATGGTGAGAGTGGACTGGACAATTCTGTTTTCGTCGTTGTCGTCAGACAAGTTGATACTAAAATTTGTTGCATTTTCATCATCAACTAAAGAGAACCCCGAGTTGTGGTGGACCTGATCAGCGAAGATTGGGACGTTTAAGTTTGGATCACATGCTTTGTAGGCAGTATTTGAGGCGGAGGGATTTTTTTCGAATTGAGTCATAAGTGAGGGGTAAAACCAACGCAAGAGTGACAGGTAGAAAGAGAATGTCCAGCAAGTTGTGGAATGAATGTATGCAAGGTAAAAGAGGAGGGAAGGAAATAGCAAAGAGATTGTTCAGCAAGTGGAAACGCCAATGAATAAGTAGGACGTTTGATCAAGGTTGTTGCTGGGTAATAAATAGGTAACCAAGGAGAATTGGGCAATGGACTGATCTGCGGAAGGTATAATGCTTCTCGGACTAAAAACTAGAACATCAAAGTCGTAGTGTGTGTGTCGAGCAAACGTTGGTAAGAGGGTGGGTATGTAGGTCGATGTAGAGTCGGGGGTAAGAATATAAGATGCTAGAAGGGATGGGAAAGAAGGAGACAGAGAAGGAAGGGATGAAAAGAAGGAAAGTTAATTATGTAATGTTCTATCGAGAGTGTGTTGGATGGAGGGGTACTGCAAAGGAGGGAGGGAGAAAGGAAGGAAGAAGACACGGAAACTGCGGTTGACACAGGAGGGTGGGAAACAAAAGGTATATATCGTATCATGGTTCGGACGTACAGGTGAAGAGAAAGGTGCTCGGGACGAAGCACGCTGGAAGCGCAGACGCAGAAGATGGAAAACGACCAGATGGAGAGATTTACGTGAACGATGAAATTAACGATAATGGCTGAACGAGAGCTGCTAGCGGGAGTTCAGCACAAGGGGGCTTTCCCCGATAGAGGAGCACCGCACGCCCAGAGGCACCCACATCGACCGAGATCCAATCGATCCTTGCAACTCGGTGCCAGACAGCTCGGTACCGGCGCCAAACAGCAATAAAGCAAGCACATTTTCTCCTGTACTTAGCAATAGGGCTGGGTGCAGGCCACGCTGGGCGTGCCACGAGTCAGGACCTTGCTGAATGTTGCCGCCTCCCTCCCCGCCAGACCTGCCCGAGGGGGTACCCATGCCGGCCTGCCCAGGCAAAAGCTGCACGACGGCTAATGTTAACAATGCGGAGTGCAGTATAAGTATATGGCCCGTGGACAGAGTGCTGGCGTGCTGTGATAAGCCCGGGCACATTACTCAATAGAGCCTGCCGCCATAATGGCCGACTCCAGGCAGATTGACCACTGCGGCCGCCCGCAGCAGCCGCCAGTCTTGCTGTGGTAGGTGGGACTGCCTACGGCTGTCCAAGGCTGCCTATTCTGGCCTGGCTCCCCGACAAAAGATCGGCAGCCGTGCATGCAATGCAACGCACCGCCGCCGGACACATATATCCGGCCGGTGCTGCGCCGGCAACGACGATCTTCCGTAACGCCTGGCCTGTCTGGCCTCTCTTTGGCTGGGCAGTTCGCACGCCCGCTGGCAGGCTGCAGCGGCAGGCTGCAGCAGAACGGGTCTAACAACGTTCTGCGCCCCAATCCACGGTGCTAGAGGTGCATGCCACTGTTCGACGGCGGGGTCTGTTCCAGGGGCAAGTGGAGCTAGTGGATGGAGCTAGCGGAACAGTCCCTCTACCCACTGTACTTACTGTGCGGACGTCCTCGGGCGCTGGCAAGCAAAGGACACTGGACGCAGACAACACGGGGCACAGGGATGCCCCAGAGGCAGAAACACATGTTGCGCTGGCGGCTGCGCTCCACGCCCATGAAACACCGGCGCTTTTTTCACTCCCCCAGCCAAGGTCTGGTCCCCTGACTGTCTCCCTGTCTGCCTCCATACCCTACACCCGGCCCGAGGCACCTCGTTCCACGTTGCCGCTCCTTGCCCTCTTGGGGAATATGCCACCCTCCTCCTTTATCCCTTTCTCCGGCGAGAAGGTAGCTCTCGCACTCGCTGGCGCTTTCTCTCTTTCTCGCTCGGCGCTGTCCCCCCACCGTGCAGTGGTGACGTGAGAATTCACGTGCATGCTGCCCCGAAAATCACAAACCTCCCAGCCAGACCACCTCACTCCGGATCCGGTAGCCGCTCTGATTACCTTCCTCTGCAGCACACTCAATGTGCTTCATTTGGCTCTGATCTGGCTCTGATCTCTCGTATCTGTCGCTGCAGCCATTCACACTTCCGCATACGTACCAAAATCTGTTTTGTTCTGATCTGCTGTATTGTGCTTGCTCTGCTTGCTTTACTCAGATTTACTTTTGTGGCATCGTTCAGCCTTACTCCGCCATGCTCTTCGTCATAGTGATCAGTCTATTACCTTTAATTACTATACAACTTTTCATATACTTAGTACACACGCACACACACCTCTTCATCTATGATACATCACCTACGTAACCGCTGCCGCTGATCCAGCCGTTTCGCCACGCCAGCCAACCAGCCAGCCACTGACTTTGAAACACATTTGGCTGCTGAAACGCGATTTATGGACCCAAATGGAGTTACACATTTTGTCCTTGCCTTGTTTTGTCCTTTTTCTTTTTTCCCGCGCATTCAGCAGCCGCTGAAGTCTAATCTTTTCGGCTTAATACGAAGCTGCTCATCGTCCATCTCCTCCACGATGTGTCTTCCCGTAGTTTGATTCACATATTCAATGTTGTGCATTTCTTTATTGCCTGTGCCGTCAGACCGCTGGTCAACTGTATATCTCGTCCGATGATTGTCCTTCTCAGTCGCAAATTTTGTCCTGAATGGGTTTTCGATCTTCTCGTGTCTAACGCCTTCCTCCTCCGCAGCCCTATTATCTTCGTCCTCGCTCGGGATACATTCATCCTCATCGTGGTTCAGAAGACCCTTGATCGACATCTTGTGGCTACTGCTCATTGGCGGCGTCCGGAGCAAATCTTCCGAACTCCCAATGCCCAGCCCTCTAAACTCCTCAAAGTTTAATTTTTTCGGCTTGATCTTTTTCCCTTCCTCGGACAGTCCCACGTAAAACTTCTCCCCCGTTGCGTGATACACCATCTCGATCTCATTCTCAAACCTCGGATTGAAGATACTCTTTTTCTTTTGAGCTTTCTCAATCTTACCGGCACTCACTAAAAAAGGGCTAGAATATTTTACTCGGTTCTTGAGATCTTTTTGAACGTCTTCAGGATCCTCTATATCCTCAAATTTACACTTCTCGTTCCCGAACTTCTCTAGAATGAAGCTCTCGTCCATAATTTGCATTGGAGGTGTTATGGGTCCTTTGGCATTGCTCAAACTCTCCTCACTCATCCCTGCTCCAGCAATATTCAATCTTCTCCTTAGTAAATCAGTTTTTTCCTTGTTGTCCTCATCACTTTCGCTTTCACTCGAAGTATAATTCATCAACATCTTTTCTCTATCGTCTTCATATTCAGTATTCAGAAGTTTGTCTCTTATTTGCACCGATCGTTTCTCTTGTAAGTCATCTTCCATTTCTTCCTCTCTGACTTTTTCGTCGTCCTCCTCCTCTTCATCTTGCTCAATCTGAACTTTTATTGACGATCCGAACTCTAAAAGACCTTTCTTGTTAGATTGAACTTGTTCAGGCTCGATCGCTGCACGATCATTTCTCCTCATACTTTCACTCAGTCTTCTGCCACTTCCTAATGTTAAAGGTGCTGTTTGGAAAAGAGGATGTCCTAGTTTAGATGTGTCTTTGTCCATAAATGCTGTTACATCTCTCTTTCTGCTGAGATGTCTTGGAGTCGCCTCTGGTGTCCTCAACGGGTTGATAGTGAGATTCCGTTGATTATTCAAAAAATTGGATTGATGATGCTGCTTGCTGAAAATATCAATCACAGGATGATTCTTTTTGGTTGTTGTTTGAGGTGATAATGGTAGTAAACTCGAAGGGTAATCATCATCATTGTTGTTAAGGTATGGGGTTTGGGGTGTGAATAATATGGGATTACTGCTTTTGCTTTTATTCTTATAGCTGCCATAATTCGTAAGACTGTTCTTGCGAGTATGGCTTGACTTTGGAGTCGGTTCGAAAGTGGATGTATTCTTCGAAGTTGACTTAACTTGCGGCGTAGTAAAGAATGGATTTGATTCACTCTCCATTGGAGGTGGCGTGGATGGATGTCGGTTGGACATTATTTGTATGATATGGGATGTGCTAATCTAATTGAGGAAATGGTAATAGAATAAAGAAGATAACTCTTTGAAGCTCTGAAACCAGTCAAAAATGCAAAGGGCAATATACCTCTCTATGTGTTTACTGAACTCAATACGTGGTACAGGCGACTCTGTTCCCATGTATCTCTGCCCAAATGTGTGTTTGACCTCTACAGTTTGAGTGTTGTGAGGAGTAGCTACTGTACCAAAAAAATGGCGCCAGACTAGCAATGAGAAAGAGAATACGAGAAGTAGGCAGGAAGAGAAAGTACAAACGATGAAAAGGCTTAACCCTCCACAAGGGATCAACCTTTCGTAAAAGTGCCCACATGTAAACAGCAAAAGTCCAGCATCCCCTGTCTGTAAGCAAACAAACCTCCCGCAGCAACGCTTTCTCTAGAACCCAGCCACTTGACCCGCACTTTTTGGGAAATGTGATTGCTTGCATGATTTTCCTTCCTCCGGCCATTGTTTGTGCACGGGTGTGACAATCTGTGCCAGTGAAAGCTGTCGACGCGTCGCTGCAGGGGATCATCACCAAATTGACAAGATTGAAAGTGTAGTCTTGATATTAAACATACACACACGTATAAAAACGTTGAATGCAGTGCAGAGTAGTACAGCAAAAGCCAAATGATGCACTGATTTCACCACGTAGGATGCAAGAGATAACAGTATACTCTTTTTCGTAATTCTTCGGTTTCCGGTCCATCCTCGGGAAACATAGGATGGTCCCAGTGTACCATCTCCACCATCTCTACATCGAAGTCGAAAACCTCCTTGGCATCACTGAAAAACTTGAAATCGTTTTCAACCATCTTAGGCTTGGGTCTGTGTGGAGACCAGACAACCAAGCACTTACCTCCAGTTCGTGCTTTACCGTCTTGTAAGGGCTTGATTAATTCTTTGCATGCCTTGAGAAGTTTATGATGTTCGGAGTGATTGAATACAAGATCACTCATGATGAGAAAATCAGCCTTCCCGGTTCCCCCGAGTATTGCAGACACATCGCTTGTGTCGTTACCCCAAATATATCCTTCCACATCAATTACCTTTTGCGCTTCGGGATATTCGAGGTGGTCAACGTTGTACTTGATGTTCTCTAGCAAGTCTGGATCCGGATAATCGGTACAAACAACCTTTTCGGCGCCGTTCAAGCTACACAATAATGATGGTAGTGCAGAAGCAGCTCCAAATTCTACTATTTTCTTACCCTTGATATATTCGGTTGCATGTTTCTCAACGTAGTCAGCAGTATATACGCCTGCATTCCACAAAAGATGACCCCACAATGGAGATTTACCCACTAGCCTTAGGTTAATTTCTTTGATGCCTTTTTCAGCTTCAGGGGTGCAGTACTTTCTTTCATATTTAGTAAAATGTGATTCCGGCTTTGGTGGTCTGAAATCTTCCGGTTCCTCAAAAAGGCTACCCTCAAGCAAGGTTTCGCTATCAGACATTTTGTTCAATTCTCCTCTTCCGGGGACTTGTGCCGTTCTCTCGTTGTAACTGTTGGCATCCGGATTTGTTATCGTGGATTACTAGAAGACGTCAGTTTTTTCGACACTTGGCAAAAATAGTACTGGTTTTGAAAAGTATAACTTACGTAAGCATTCTACAACATAATATAAAAAGAATGAGGTTATTTCAGGATTTTTAGTTCAGATGTCTTTCCCATTTATGGACATTCCGTAACTTCCCAATCAGATGGGTCATGTACGTTAGGATGGTCAAGCTTGGCCATTTCTGTTTCCGATAGCTCAAAACTCAAAACGTCCAAATTCTGAGGTAGTCTTGAAACTGTTTTTGTTTTAGGAATTGGAATATAGCCCTTTTGTAAGGACCATCTGATAAGAACTTGGGCAACGGTAACACCTTTGTCCTTTGCAACAGAAACAGCATCGGCATCTTTGAGTCTGTAAGCATGTGATAAAGGTGCATATGCAATGACCTTAATATCTTGGCTATTGGTGAAATCACATAATTCTTGTCTCATACACCATGGGGACACCTCAATCTCATTGACAACGGGCTTAATTTTTAGGCCGTCCCAAGATAATAATTCTTGGATATGTTTTTTACCGTAGTTAGAAACACCGATCGATTTGACAATGCCTTGGTCAACTGCTTCCTGCATAGCTTTCCAGGTATCTAGTCTCATTTGACGACCTTCGGTCGGGGAATGGATCAATAACAGGTCAATATAGCCTAGCCCTTTCACCTTTTGCAAACAATCAGCGATTGCCTTTTTGGCCGTGGAGTACCCATTCTGATTATTCCAGAGCTTTGTAATATAGTAAACATCTTCTCTCTTATGCTTTGGATCTTCTTTCAACCACTCAACTATACCATCTCCACAAAGCTCCTCATTGCCATATAATACTGCGGTATCGATACAACGGTATCCAACGTTCAATGCCTCTTTGACAATTACATCGGCATTACTGATCTCCCACGTCCCTAATCCCATGAAAGGAATTAATGCTCCATTGTTAAGTTTGATGTTCTTCCCAATTGTACCAAGTGACATTTTCTTGCTTCTTTTTGCTGAGCTTGTCTTTAAGTCTTCAACTAGAAAAGAAAAGTGTATAAATTAAGAAAAAATGACATTCTTGGACTGGGCAGACATATCCCGGAAATTTATATTCGGCCTTGGCCAATCCTCGGAAGGGCGAGAAGATGATTAAGGTCAGATAAATCCGAATTCCTAATTCGGAAAGGTTATTCGCAGGAAAGGCTTGACCTCTGAATTAAACTTGGTATACTGTCAATGCTGCTAATCAATTACAATCTGCATTATGCTAATCTAATTGACTATTCTCTACGTTTAATTGAACTGATTTTGTTTGGCGTCGATATTCTTTCAGATTTACAAATTTTTGATGTTGTCCTTGTTTTGAAAAATGCCGTTGAGAATTTGATTTCTCAAAATTATCAGTTCATGCTGTGAACGGAAAGTAAGCTTCGGTTAAATTATTCTTATTGTGACAATTAAGTTACATTTTCAATAATGAACCTAAGAAGATATTCTAACAGCTCTGCCGATAATCGCCGATTTAAACATAGATTGAGTCATTGGTACTATTTATACACGACAGACGATTTGTTGTAATTATGAAACTTTTCTTTGTAGAGAACAGATAATTCAAGACTTGTTACGTGTCTGATAACACTATGAGCAAAGAAGACCAGAATAAATAAAGTAAAGCAAAGAAAATTAGTGGTTGGCTACATACACAACATATACATCTAATTAAATCATTTTGGCAATCCTGTTTGCAAGTTGATCAAAACATCATCTGTTTCCGATGGGCCCTCACCGACTTGTGTCAGAATGACTCTAGAGACACCTTGTGAGTAGATATCCTTATCCAACGAAGATAACGGGAATGATTCTGGAATGACAGCATTTTTGGGATCGAAGCTACTTGATTCCCAACCACCCAAGTGGCTGAAGAATTGGTGCAGTAGACCCAAAACATACTTCTCGTTCTTTTCTTCGTAATAGATGACAGCATTTGGTCCAGCGTCAAATGTGTAAGCAGCTATAATTTTGCCGGCTGACTCGTTCAACAAATTGATCAACTTGATGATTCTCTTAGAGGTATCATTCAAATAGAAAATAGGAGGATAAGAATCTAAACAAACCGAGTGGAAAGAATTGGAGTCTTTCATTGTTAACTCTGCAAATGTTGGGAAATCCTTTTCGATAATTGCTTTTTTCATCTCAATGAATCTCTTTGGAACAACCTCTTTGATTCTGTGTTGAAACAAGTCTGAGGTATGGACAGTCAATTGCATCCCGCTTGTACTTGGGACATCCTTTTTCATGTCGCTGACAACTAAAATGGCAGCTTTCATGTCAGGCCAGTGTTTTTTGTCAGCTACCTGTACAGCCTTTGAATCCTCACCATTTGCCAAGTCTCCCATTTCCCAGGCAACGTAACCACCGAATAAAGAGCGACAAGCAGAACCTGAACCCTTTCTAGCAATTTTACTCAATTCAGATGCATCGGTGGGTAATTTGTATAATCTTGCAACTGCAGAAATGAGAGCAGCAAATCCAGCTGCAGACGAAGCCAAACCAGCAGCGGTTGGAAAATTGTTTTCTGAAACGATGTGCAATGGAAATGTAGCAATTTTAGGTAAGGATGAGTTCTCATTTTCGACTTCCTTCCTTAAGGATCGTAGATCGGCCAAAACCTGTTTAGAACGTGCTCCATCCAATGGGTACGTTGCGCCGTTAATCCAAAGTTGATCATTGTCGAATTTGGATGAGCAAGATGCGGTTGTTAAAGTTCTCAAATTTGCCTGATCAAGTGTCACACTGATGGATGAATTGGTTGGGAGGTTGAGATCCTTATCTCTCTTACCCCAATATTTCAAAGTCTAGAACAGTTGGATAGTTAGTATTTTTGAGTTGATGGAAAATAATAGGGAAAAAACGACGATTGGACTTACCGCAATGTTGACCGGACCAGTTGAGGTCGCATAATAGATTTCAGACATGGCTAGTCTATTTATAGATTTGAATGGAGTTTTCCTGTTTGGTATCACTAAAAGTTAATGTTGAATTTGACGTTGAATAAACAGAGCCGTTAGGTAGAAGTTGAAAAAAGTGTTGAGCATTCTTTAAAAATCAAAAATGGCTAACGCGCATCAGGAATAATACTGAACGAGCGGTACGAAGAGTTTGAAGACCCAAAATGAGAAATTTTGTACTTTTTTTTGAGAATAAGTAAATATATTATATACTTATAAAACACTAGGAAAACTACATTATAGAACAAATAAATACAAAAAGTAAAACGTAATGTACTGAGGCAGAAAAAGTGGGAATAGGAGACAAGAATAGAAATAGGAAGAGGAATGGTAATAGTAATAGTAATAATAGAAACAAAAAGAAACTAAAGGAAAGAAAACATGATAACCACTATTAGAGAGGGAAAAAAGAGGGATGGCTAAAAAGGGGGTGCTGAAAAGACAAAGACAGAAGAAAAATGTATCCAGAATGGGGGAAGGGAATATACAAGTTCAACACAGACAATGATAATGAGTTGTTCAAGCTTCTGTAATTCTTTCCCACTTCCAGATTCTAGCTTTACAATCACCTGAACCGGTTGCAAAGTAGCCACCATTTGGATTGAGAACAGGCGAGACAGAGACACTAATGACTGAGTTTCTGTGACCTTGTAGCATGATGTAAGGTTCACCTGTTTCTTTATCCCACATGATGACACCTCTGTCCTTAGAACCGGACAAAATGAATTCATCATCAGGGGTACAACAGACAGATAACACAAAATCTTTGTGACCAACATAAGTAACTTCACAGTTGGATTTTGAGACACTGCTTGGTTGCTTGTCTAGGTCTTTCAAAGACCATAGCTTGATTGTTCTGTCTAAAGAACCTGAAGCAATTTCCTTACCTTGGTTGGTGAAGGTTACCGAGTAAACAGAATCCATATGACCATTGCCGTATTCATTTGAGGAATCTAATCTTTCGACCAGGTAGCCCTTATTTGCGTCCCAGACCCTAACGGTTCTATCAAGAGAACCTGCCGCAATCAAAGAACCATCAGGAGAGACAGCAACTGTGGTTACACCATCTTCTATACTCAAAGTCAGGGAACATTGACCGTTGTAAACATCCCAGATTCTAACAGTACGGTCGCCAGATCCGGAAACCAACCTCTTACCGTCAGGGAAGAAATCTAGAGAGTAGATATCTTGCTCGTGGCCCTTCAAATATTTGACGATTGTTCTAGTAGCCAAGTCCCATATTCTAATGATTTTATCTTCAGCACCGGTGGCTAAGAATTTACCGTCTGGGGAGAAACAGACAGATCTGATGTACAAATCGCCTGTATCGGTATCATAACCTCCATTGGTTGAAACGGATGATTCGTCGTTCAATCTTGCAACTAGATCACCTGTTTCGACACTGAAGACTTGGGTTAACTTGTTACAACCTGTTGCCAAGAACTTCCCATCCTTGGAGAAACGGACACAACACACAACAGAGGTGTGGTCAAACGAATGAACTAAGGAGATATCGACTTTCTTGGGGATCTTAGGGTTGTAGACCAAATAATAATCATTATGCTGCTTTTTGTATGGTAGAGAGCCAAAGGCATCAAAATCTTTTAAGAAGGCAGGTATTGGCTTGTTGTGTTGCGCTCTTTTTATCAACGATTCTTCAGCTGGTTGGGGCTTTGTCAAAGATTTGGAGCCAGAATAAGTGGCTGTTTTGCTTGACGAAGGAGACGTTGCTTCGTTCTCTGACTTTTTCGAAGGAGAGACCTTAGTGTTGATGGTGGCATTGGTTGTCGAAGGAGTGTTAGCATCTGCAGCCAAAGAAGCGTTGTTGGCTTGGCCCGAAGGAGAAACAGACGAATCTTTGGCTGTGATTGGAGGTATGGAAGTGTTGCTCGATATGGAAGGAGCGTGGAGGATAGGATTGGTGGCAGCTGAGGCCGAGCCGCCTTGGTTGGATGCAGAAGCAACAGAAGGAGTGGAGTTGTTTGAGCCTGCAGAGATGACGCTGGCGGGGTTTGGCAGCGAGGAGGCCAGAGGAGCGATTGGAGCCAACGTGTTGTTAGTCTTCTTGTCGACGCTGCTGCCGCTGTTGTTGAAGATGTCAGGTTTGTTCAGCTGGTTGCTATATGCTGGAGGAGAAGTAGAGGAGAGGTTTGGAGGAGGCAACTGCTGGGGCGTTTGGCTGTAGGGAGCTGGGTTCAGGGTCTGAACAGCTTGCGCCTGGGCCTGTGCGTGCGCCTGGGCCTGTGCCTGTGCCTGTGCGTGTGCCTGGGCATGGGCATGGGCCTGGGCCTGAGCAGCCACGGCCTGCTGCTGCAGCGATTGCTGCTCCAACAAGCGGTCTCTGACTTCGAGCTCCTGCTTCAACTTCATGATTTCTCTCTCGTACGCTTCCTTCATCGAGCGATGCGCCTGCTCCAACTCGTAGACCGTGTTGCTAATGTTGGTCAACTCCTGGTGCTGCTGGTTCAACTTGATTTCGTACTCGTGGTGGTCGTCCTGGTAGCGGGAGGTTTCCCGGGTAAGGTTGTCGAATTCGCCCTTGATTGCTTCCAAGAGCTCATCTAAATGTGCACGGCTTGGCATGATGTTGGTGTTGTTGCTGCTGTTGTTATTCTTGCTGGTGCTGCGGCTGCTTGCGATCTGTCTTTCCGTCTACCGGCTGTTCTGTGTGGTGTTTCTGTCCGTCTTGCTGGCTTCTGTGCCGTACGCTTGGTATACAGTTAGGAGAGGTGCAATAAATAGGCTGCGCAAGAGTCGACGACTGGCTTGTGAGTTCGGGCACGTGAGCTTGCTCTTTTTCTCTGGTTCTGCGGCAGCTGTCTCTGTGTTGAAGCACCTAGCTGGAAGTGAAGCGGTGGTTGAGTTAGGGTGTCGGTAGGAGGACGCTCTGGAGGATGCAAGTTACAGACAAGTATACCCAAGGTGACGTAGGGCCACACACGGGCGTCCAAGAGAGCTGCCCCCACTCCGGAGGTTCTGCCACCGTTCGAGCTGGAAGAGAATAGACAGACGTGCTGGAGACGACGCAGGCCCCAGAGACAGGCAACAACGACACGAGCGGAAGCAAAGCTCACGAAGCCCAGACGCAGACGCAGACGAAAGCGGAGCGATGACGAGACGGACAAAAAGACGCCGCCTGCGCCGACGCGACGCCGACGCGTCGACAAAGGTCAACGGGGCAACGGGGCAATTACCAAGAACGGTCGCTGGTGAGCGCTTCGGGGTTGTCGACAAAGAGATCCGGGTCAAACTCGCCAGAGCTGTTGCCAGACTCCACGTCCATCTCTTCGGACCCGTCGGATTCGTTGTCGTTGGCGCTGTCGTTGTCGTTGTCGTCACTGCTGCGGTCTTGGTAGTCGAGCACTTCCTCGTCGTCTTCTTCGTTGTTGGCGCTGCTGCGACTTGTGCTGCGACCGTCCCAGAAGCGGTTCGGCGTGAAGGAGCTGATTGGGCCCTGGTAATGACGGTTGCGGCTCATTGCGTCCATCACGCGTTGCGTGAGTGCCGCAGTGATGTAGTCGTGGCCGACTGTTCGCCGCCTCTTGCTGGTGTTTGCGCCGCTGCCGGCAACGGTCGCCTGGTTGTGCGCAAGGTATCGGCGTATCATGTAGAGCTTGTGGTCTACGAGTAGCGGAAGACGTCTGAGCGAGACGTGGGCGTGGGAATCGACGCCAAGCTCAAACTTGAGCTCTGTTTCGATCAAGCTGCCGACCTCCGTCCTGGACACGGCTGTCAGCGCCTTGTCGACTTCGCAATGGTCCAGGAGCACGCACAACGCCTCTCGGGCCCGCAGCAGCGTCACAAAGAGCGCCTCCTTGCCCATCCCCGCCGTCTTTCCTACCTGCAGACTCGAGTACGTGCGGCCGCCGGCGTTCACCTGCTCTGGCGGCACTGAGCTCATCAGCTGCGCTAGGAGCTCTCCGAGAGAGACCCCGCTGTTTTCCCGGACATATCCCATGATCTGGTTGAACCACACCCTCACATTCCCCGTGTGGCTAAACTGCAAGTGGTTGAGCTTTTTTCCCTTGATGTGTTCCCGAACATGTGCCAGGAAGAGCTCCAGCTCCTGCAAGAACAGAGCCACCTGCCTGTTCTCTCTGCTGTGAAGATCCTGGCCCAAAATAAGCTGTAAATCTTTCACCTTATAGTCGTGCACGCCAACCATCTTCCGCTCAATTGTATAGGGCTTTTCAGCAGCAGCGGCATCTACCGTCTGCTGTCGACGGTATTGTTTGTACTGCCACCCATTACTCCGAGATTGCACCACCGGAAATCGGCTTGTGCTCTGATCAGAGATAGATGAGACGGAGAAGCCCCATGGCCTATCGCTGTGGCACACAGCCCGTGCACCAGCGGGGCACAACACTCGGGCTGTCTTGCCGGTTGATAGCACCGGTCATAGTAGGAAATGGACGCATGCCCTTTTGGCCAGAACGAGATAAGATAAGAACATGGACAGGGAAACCAACGGATTAGAAATAGGAGAAATACTGCACATCGTCACCATCGATTTCCAATGTCCAACACGTCTGAGTTCCTGGACAAGGGAGTGGAGCTTGTGAAAAAGGCCATCGAGGCAGACAGTGCTTCCAGATATGAGGAGGCCTACCAGTTGTATTACAACGGTTTGGACTACCTCATGCTCGCATTGAAGTACGAGAAGAGCCAGAAGGCAAAGGAGACCATAAAGGCGAAGTTCACCGAGTACCTCTCGAGGGCGGAAGAGTTGAAGGAACACGTGGTGAATAACAACCAGAAGGATCAGAACGGAGAAGTGAGCTCCACCTCGGGGAACGTGAAGGCGAAAAAGCTAGATCCGAACTCGTCATCGAACAACAAGGAGGAAGACACTGACAACAAGAAGCTCAGAGGCCAGTTGGCGAACTCGATTCTTTCAGAAAAGCCTGACGTGAAATGGTCGGACATTGCAGGGTTGGATGCAGCCAAGGACGCCTTGAAGGAGGCAGTCATTTTACCGGTGAAGTTCCCACACTTGTTCAAGGGCAAGAGGAAGCCCGTGTCCGGGATCCTGCTCTATGGGCCTCCGGGGACAGGTAAATCCTACTTGGCCAAGGCCGTGGCGACAGAGGCAAACTCGACCTTTTTCTCGGTCTCCTCTTCTGATCTCGTCAGTAAGTGGATGGGAGAGTCCGAAAGATTAGTCAAACAGTTATTTTCAATGGCGAGAGAGCAGAAGCCCTCCATCATCTTTATCGATGAGGTTGACGCACTCTGTGGTCCGAGAGGCGAAGGTGAGAGTGAGGCGTCGAGAAGAATCAAGACCGAATTGTTGGTTCAGATGAACGGTGTCGGCAATGACGCAGACGGTGTGCTCGTGCTAGGAGCAACCAATATACCCTGGCAACTTGATTCTGCTATTCGGAGAAGATTCGAGAGAAGAATCTACATTGCGCTACCAGACCCGGAGGCCAGACTAGAGATGTTCAAGTTGAATATAGGCGAGACGCCATGTACGCTCACGCCACAGGACTACCATACTTTGGCCAACATCACGGAGGGGTACTCAGGTCACGATATTGCCGTTGTGGTGAAAGATGCCTTGATGCAGCCGATCAGGAAGATCCAGTCGGCCACCCATTTCAAAAAGATTGACACCATAAACGAGGAAACGGGCGAGAGCCTAGCCCAGTACCAGCCATGTTCTCCCGGCGAGCCTAGTGGAATTGAGATGAACTGGATGGAGCTGGAGGGAGACCAGTTAAAGGAGCCTGATCTCTGTTTAACAGACTTCCTCAAGGCAGTGAAGACCAATAAACCTACAGTCAACCAACAGGATTTGGAGAAGTTTGTAGAGTTTACGAACGATTTTGGTTCGGAGGGGAACTGATTGCCGACAAGGTACTTCCCAAGAAAACTGTGTAAATACTAGTTGCACAACCCAAGTTATCTGACTATTTTTACAACATTGTTACTAATGATTATAACTGTCCCATTATATGTACCATTTACCCGCTATAATCCACTACTTAAACTTCTCAACCTTGTTGTTGGAATCTGATACCTTCGATTCATCGATCTGGATCAAAATAAGGGCGACGTTGTCACCCTCAATGAACGCCTTGGCGACAGGGTTTTTCTTCAAGTGCAGGTTTTTGAAAAATTCGTACTCTTCCGAGGTGCTATCCAGGAGAAACTTCACAACGTGACCGTCAAGCGTGACACTCATGTCACCTACCTCGCTCTGGTTGATACTGTAGAGCAATTTCAAAACACTGTTTTCATTCACCTGGTTGCCGTTGGCAACCCAGTCGTGTACAAGTATCGAGCACTTGCCATTCTTTTGCAGGTTTTCATACTTTTGCGTGTTTTTTGGAGTGGCTACTAACACAAGATTCCGGGAATTCTTCAACAAAGCAATGTTGCTGCTTGAGTCTTCCTCGTTAGGCTCAATGAACGTGTAGTTCATCAAGCTCACGTGCGGAATGTTGTCTGAACATGTGGCCAAATGCAGAAGACTCGAATGGGAGAGCAAGTTTGTGATCGAAGGAGTTAAGGGGCCGCCTGTCATACTTATTGCTGTTCAACGTCGAATAGTTATGGATCTGAAGCCTAATTGATCCCCCTGACACCTTCGTATTCCCTTCTTCTGCCTCTCCCGTATTTGCTTAGTAACCCCCGCCAGGCGTGGTCTCTTTTCCAACCCCGTTCACGTGAAGTGCTCTGAACCTGTGCACCGCCGACGTTGCTCTACATGCTTAAACTTTCTTGCTCAGCTCTGTATATGTATGTTTTTATCATCTACTACCCAGACGACAGGCTCATCTCCGTGTCTGCGGAGCCGTTGGATTTGAAGAAGCCGGCAAGACGTACGCCAAACTTGAAAGTGTCAGCTGGAAAGACACATGACTGGGGGGACCGTTCCTTTGTTGAAACAACCCATGGTTCTTTTGGTGGACAGCGATCCAGATGTGATCGATCTAACGAGTTCAAGCTACGACGAAAGCGAAAACGACGAGACTTTTACTACACCAGAAAAGCCTGTGGACCGGAAAAGGGAGGTCATGGTTAGTGAAGGGTCCCATGTTGTGGAACATGGTGATGCACACAATTCTAGAATCTCGGTCCCCGTCGATCGAGCGACAGAGACAGCTCTTCGCAAGATCGGCGACACGCGTGTCGTTAGCAGCAGTGGAGACAATCAGAGCATTTTGTCGACAAAAGACAGACAAAAAAGGTTGGACACTCCGGGCGGTGACATTGCAGAGCTAGATAAGTACTTTGAAGGCAAGGTGAGATCAATCGGAGTCGATGAAGAGAATCGGCTGCCAGTGGAACATGTACTTAACCGACGAACTGGTTCGGACCAAGTAGGACTGGTAGAACAAACTTCACCGGATGAAATCAATCTCTCAGTTCCACAGTCGACACAGCAAATAGATAACTCCTCGTCTCTTTTGACCTCGACATCATCAGATTCAAAGAAAGACAACTCGACCTTCATATCGGGAATATACAGCAGCATTAGCAAGGTCAGGAACCTTTTTCTCCCGAACAACCTGTTCACTCAGGATAAAATCAATGAAGAAGAAAAAGAAGAAGAAGAAGAAGAAGAAGGAGAAGAAGAAGAAGAAGGAGAAGAAGAAGAAGAAGCATCTGCTGTTGTCACTCGCTATCACCAAATAAACGATTCAGAGGCGTCGAAACACTCACAAATCTCTTCCCAAGATTTCAAGTTACCACATTTAACCTCCCAATCGACGAGAAATAACACATTGAATACTTCTTCTTTTGAGGTAAACACGATCAGTAGCCAGCTTCCCAACCAAACATATTACATGGAAAAGTCTCAACAACCACAACCACAACTTGCATCTTTGTCGTTGGTGGTTCCCGACTCAACTACATCCTTATCCTCATCATCTTCACAATCGCAGTCTCAACATAGTCAGTTGACTAGTGAGCAGAGAAAAACAGGCTCAACTTCTAATGACATGCACGATTCAGTTTCTTCAACTAAGACGCTACTTCCGCTGAACAACGAGCCTCTCCGTTCCAAGAATCCGTTGTTACAATTTTCCCAATTGAGCGGCTCACTGCTACAAATGAGAATAGACAAAAACCCCCAAAGAAAAAAGGCGAAATCACGGAAATTAAAAAAAGTTATAGGAAGCACAGATGAAGAAGATGAAGAATCCATAGCAAAAAGGGAGGAACGAACAGAAGAAAAGATAGCCACAATCCCCAGCAATGGAAAAAGAATTTCTAGTTTTGGTTTGCAACCCATCTCAACCGATAAAGTAGGAAAAATAACAGGCTCAAAAACTTTTATAAGTGAGGAAATTGGGCTAGATGATACCATGAAAATAGCATCATCTGGAGGCCTTTTTGACGACGACGATAGACATCATAGACAAAAAGAGGTCGAGAACACCTGTCGAGAGAGGGTCACCAGGGCATGCATACAAACAGAGGAGGAAACTAGCGATAGACGCAGATTGTCTGGCAGTGCAAAACATATTTCCACGATAGAGTTAGAGCTGTCTGCATCTGAAAACGAGATTGAGGAATCTGACAGTCTGGAAGTTCTAGAAGTCAATCAATACTTGAATGCATTGGAAGAACAGTCTGATAGCAACATAGAGAACATGCCAGGTGACTTTTATGATACCGCCGCCAACGATGTGGTTGATAATTCGAAGGAAAAAGCGGATGCTTATAGCATTCAAAAATCGGATACACCCAAACTGGAAGAATCACAAGCCACCCAATCAAATGTCATAAACGAAATGTTAAACTTTTATGAAGAAGAGTTTCAAAACCAACAGCTTGAAGATATTCACTTTAATAATGATTTTCGGGAGAATACAAAAAACAGTGCAGATTACTCGAATTTGTTTGTTCCTGAAGATGAATCTTATGACTCGAATCTTATAGGCGATTCTAGCGAGCAATATAAAAGTAACGATAAAATATTAAAGGAAGGAGAATTAAGAGATATTGGAAACATAGCTGAAGATGATGAGGATGATGAAGATGAAGTCTTAATAGTTAAAAAGAATAGGAAAAAACAAATTAGTCATCGGCTTATGAGTTTAGCTCGACAAAAACGGAAGAAGAAACTGTCAGAGTACAATCCTTATTCGGATTCCGATAGTGGTTCTGAAAGAGATGAAAGCACTTCCGATTTATCTTCAGGTTACATTAGTAGCCCTAACGACAATAAAAATTCAAGAGATTTTATTGTAAATGACAATTCAGTAGAATTTGAGTCAGATTCAGATTCGGGTGATGAGTTGGCAAAAAATGAACTGTTGAGTAAGCTCCAAGAAAGAAGCGAGCGTGAGAGTAAAACAGAGAAGAAACGAAAAAAGATTGAATCAGAGATGGAGAGTTCAGATGACGAGCAGCAGCAAAGAAAACAACAACGCCGGAAACCACCGCTTCAAGAATCTATGAGAATCAGAGGAAAAAGAGCTCGTACTAGAAGTAGCAGGCTCAAAGAGAAGAGAATCGAGGGAAAGGACGTTATTGTTTTGGATAGCGATTCGGCTGAAAGTCTAGGCAACGCTGAGATTGAACCAGACGACCATGGTCAGATGTCAGTTGTGAAGATGGAGCATCCATTTTTAGGCGATTCACAAATGGCTTTGCTTGAAGTGAAGTCTAATATCGAGCAAGCTTTTTTCGAGAAGGCTGATATCAGAGATCTTGAGCCTGAACAGCTTGAGCCTGAACAGCTTGAGCCTGAACAGCTTGAGCCTGAACAGCTTGAGCCTGAACAGCTTGAGCCTGAACAGCTTGAGCCTGAACAGCTTGAGCCTGAACAGCCTGAGCCCAAAGAGATTGAGCCCAAACAGCTTGAGCATAAACAGCTTGAGCTCAAAGAGACTGAGCCCAAAGAGATCGATCCCAAAGTGATTGAGCAAGGAAGCGTACCCGAAGATCAAAAGTCCGAAGGAGCAGAACAAATTGACACTGTACCAAAAGAATTTGGTCTAGAAGAGCCCAAAGTCAAAGAAATTGAGTCGGAAAAGGCTGAAGTCAAAGAAGCTGATATCAACAAGGTTATAGGTTCTACCAAATTACAATTCTCTGACGCAGTGAAGCATATCAAGAAAAGTTCAGGACAGAAAACAGAGAAACAAGTTAACGAAACTACGCCGGCAAACCACCCTGCTTCTCCAACTGACTGTAGTAGCTGCACGAGACAGAAAAATTCTGATTTGATAGAATCATGTGATCGGCAAGAAATATGTTCTAATTGTAAAAGACAAGGTGTGGCATGTGTGTATCATCCTGAAAAGGGTACGACAAAAGTTGACAAGACTCTCAAAAAATTTGCTCGAAAACAATCAGCGAAAAAGAAAAAGAAAGCACCTAAAAGTACCGACAATTCGTTACTTGAGAAGTTGAACGAGAGATTGAGAGTGAAGCATGGAAAGAAGAAAGATAAGAGAAACGGCCAAACTGGGCGTTGAGAATCACAAGCGACAGCCGACTGTGGAATTTATAAGGGAAAATACTACTTTCGCTTCTTTACTAATTATATAGACTTACAAGAAATCACGTATTGGTAATGGTATTATTTGGAAAATAAAGTCAAGCCCCATTTTTCTGCGCATGAAAATTTAAGGCGAGCGAGATCTTGACCGGCATCAGAGTTATCCCGGGGAAATTGATCACATCTTCAGTTTTCCCTTTTCACGACTGTTCCTGGAAATCATCACCTTACAACCCACCACAGAACGACGATGGCTGATGCTATAGAAAATGAGTTTCTAAAATTGTTCATTGGGAAAATACGTTCTGAGGTGATTGCAAAATTAAATCCGAGAAACATATCTGGAGGGAAGAAACTAAGCACTCATGGCCAAGAATATGCCCAAATATACTCAATGCTTGAGAATACATTCAAGCTTCGAGAAGGAAAGTCTGTTATGATTATTGGCCCTCGAGGGATTGGGAAAACGCTTCTTGTTGAAAATGCGTTGCATGATCTTGAAACCGTCAAACGGTACACTTTCTTCACGGTGAGGTTGAATGGGTCATTTTTCAAAGACGATACTGTTGCGATCAAAGAGATTGCCCGCCAATTGGACTGGTACTTGGAGAAATACAACCCTTCCGAACGAGAGAACTTGCAAAGGGCCACCTTTGAACAAAAAACTGTAACTAACACCATGAACGTGATTATTGATATTCTCGATCGCACCAGATTGAACGAAACAGACGAGAGGGTTGATTCGAAAGATGAAAAGAACGGTACGAGCGGAACCAAACCGTCGTTATTTGTGCCTATCGTCTTTGTCATCGATGAAATTGACAGATATACCCATAGTGCCAAGCAGACTTTGCTTTATAACCTCTTCGATATGGCGCAATCATCATCATCCAGAACAGAAGAAGGCGGAGATACGAAGTCCTCAGGAGGAACCACGATCAGTGTTATTGGGATTACTACGAAGACGACGGTGAGGGAGCAGTTAGAGAAGAGAGTGAAAAGCAGGTTCAGCCAGCGAATCATCCAGTTCAACAAGGTGCGAGATCTTGAAGAGTTTTGCCGATCTGTTTACGACATGGTCTGTTTCACAGAAGAAGAATGCGATGAAAACGAAGACGGCTACAGCACATGCCGCAGGCAGTATAACGAGCTCATGCAGAAGTACTTTTTTGAGAAAGGAGAGTTGCGGAGGCTGATTGTTGAGAACTTCTACACGATCAAGGATGTGAACGCCATAAGAAACGAGCTGATCGTGTTTATCATGAGCGACTTCAATCGACTGACGTACCACCACCTCAGCGACTACAGAAATCGAAACGTCGAGGTGATGCGTACGTTGAGCGAGAGCGAGCTGAAGCTCCTGATCTCGTGCTGTCGAGCGAAGATCCTAAACAATGTTCTCCAGATCAACTTCGACATGGCGTTTGATGAGTACTCAAGGATGATTCTCAGCGAGCGCCGTGACATCCAGTCCCGGATCCAGGTGGTCGGGATGTCCTTGAAAGACTACGAGGGCTCATACTTACTGAGCCGCGACGCGATGCAAATCTGCTGGGAACGGCTCTGCGACTTGGGGCTCCTTGAAAGACAGGCAGTGTCCTTCTACGGCAACAGTGCCCATCTAACCGGTCAAAGAGGTCGCAAGGACGATTCCTTCACCACCAGCACAGGCACGGGCTCTGGCCAGGCTGTGCGGACTCTCTCCACGAGCGCCCTCACAAAGGGTTCCATCAACACCTCCAGCAGCTCCTTTTCTAGTGCCGCTGGTGCGATCACCCCCAGCGGTGTTGCCGTCTGCGGCGTCGAACTCGATGATATCGACCCGTCTTGTCTGCGTCCGATTCATGATGCAGACACAACACCGGGCGTGTCGTGGTGGTGGCTTGAGCACTGGAAGCGTGTGGCGCAGTAGCGCAATCCTGTCACTCTTCCGCCGCAAGCGTGGCGCGGGCGCCTCTCCCCCGTCTGGCGGTTCCGGCATCGTGCTGGGAGACGACGGCTATGGTTGTTGACGGACAGAAACAGACAGATATCCTGCCCAGCCGAGATTGTAACCGGAAGGGTGCTTCCTGTAGAGGCTCATCGGACAGAGCTTGTATATTTTTCTATCTTCTAGCTAGGTACATTGGTATTGTTTATATACCACCGGACACTAGACGCACACTCCACTCTGGAAACAACCTTGGACAGAGAGGTTATACGGCGGACAACACAAGATCACTGAACGAACACGGATACGAAAAGCTTTATCAAGAATATCCATTACGATACACGATGGATCCAACCCACGCGCCGGACTTTCAACCCCCTTCGACCAACCCCGACGTGGAGCCAACATTGCCGCCAACACTGATACCTAACAGACGGCCTATCCAGCCTCCTGTGCTGGCAGACTATCTGAACCCATTGGACAAGCCAATTGAGCCGGAGGTCTCTAAGCACAAGTTGATTGGTGCCGGCGGCGGGATCAAGCACAAGATTCCGAAACAGCCGACGGAGCTTGAACCATTCAGCTCCAGCGATGAAGCTGACGAGGACTCCCATAGGAGGGACGAGAATGACAGCCACGGCAACGAGGATAGATCCAGAAAGGAGAGAAGTCCGCAGTATCACACTCTAGTGGAAGAGACAGTCTCCGAATACGAGTCGATCACAGTGACACCTCCACAGTCCGAGGCGGTGATACCGCCCTCCGATTCGGCCTCCTCGCATCCGCCAACAGCGCAACGCACGCATTCGTTTTTGAGTGACAAGGGGCCCAAGGTCCATTCCTACCAAATTGCAGACCTCGAGGAGGTTCCCCACGGCATCCAAAGACAATCCAAGAGTTTGGAAGGTTATAGCTTCCCGACTCATCGACTCAAGCCACAGATGACCACATCCAACAAGTTCCCATTGGTGATTGTCGCATGTGGTTCTTTCTCGCCAATTACATACTTACATTTACGTATGTTCGAGATGGCATTGGATGCCATCCGTGAACAGACACGGTTCGAAGTTATGGGAGCTTACTTCTCTCCCGTAAGTGATAACTACCGCAAGCCTGGTCTTGCGCCGGCCCACCACCGTGTGCGCATGTGCGAGCTTGCATGCGAGCGGACATCCTCGTGGTTGATGGTGGATGCATGGGAAAACTTGCAGCCGAAATACACTAGAACTGCCTTAGTGCTGGATCACTTCAACGAAGAAATTAATATCAAACGAAACGGAGTTTTAAGTAAAAATGGGGACTCGAGATTGGGTGTCAAAATCATGCTATTAGCTGGCGGCGATTTGATCGAAAGCATGGGAGAACCTAACGTTTGGGCGGAGCAAGATCTGCATCACATTTTGGGTAATTATGGCTGCCTCATTGTTGAAAGGACAGGCAGTGATGTGAGGTCGTTCTTATTGAGTCACGACATCATGTACGAACACAGGAAAAACATTCTAGTCATCAAACAACTAATCTACAATGATATCAGTTCTACGAAAGTTCGGTTATTTTTGCGCAGAAATATGAGTGTTCAGTACTTGCTACCAAACAGTGTCATCAGGTACATCCAAGAGCACGGGCTTTATGTCGATGAGAAAGAACCTGTCAAGCTGGTACTCAACAAATAGGCTGAGACCGAGACTTCTGTTTCCATTTCGTAACCGTCTGCTGAAGTAGGAGTCCGACAAGATATACGAGTAAATATATGATAAGTAAAACTATACTATAATATAAGTTAATATAATATAATATAATATAAGATAATATAATATACTGTACGACTATAATATACTATTTCTAAACCATGGTGACCAACTCCTCAGCTGAGGTTGGATGTATAGCAACACAGCTGTCGAAGTCGGCCTTTGTTGCACCCATCTTAATGGCAACACCAAAACCTTGCAAAATCTCTGCAGATGCGTCTCCGACTAAGTGCAAACCAACTACTTTTTCATCTAAGGATTTCACACACACAAGTTTGTATGCAGTTGGAGATTTGTGTTCACTCATAGCATAGTACATACCGTTGAACTTGGACTTGTAGACTTTGATATCGTCTTCACCGTATTTTTCAACAGCTTCTTCCTCAGTCAAACCAATAGTACCCGCTTCAGGATGAGAAAAAACAGCAGTTGGAACGTTGTCAAAATCTTGTTTTTGGTCCTTATATATCTCAGGTCCAAACAAACGGTTCGATAACTTACGACCGGTGGCAATAGCAACAGGGGTCAATTCCAAGTTACCAACAACATCACCCAAGGAATAGATCTCAGGCACGTTGGTTCTCTGGTATTCGTCGACAATGACTTGTTCCCTCTCGTTTAGCTTTAAGCCAACGTTTTCGGTGCCAATTCCCAATAAAGATTTTCTGCCCATAGTCCAGATCAATTCTTCGACAACTAGTGTGGAATCGTCGGTCAAATAGAGCTTCTTTTCACCAGAAGGCAATTTTTCGACCTTCAAGACCTTTGTGTGAGTTAAGATGTTCACCCCTTCCTTCTTGTAGGTTTCATGGATGGTTTCTTTAATCAGGGAGTCGAACTTGGTCAAGACAGACTTACCACGGAGAATCATGTGGGTCTTGGTGCCTAATGCGTTGAACACTCCGGCAAATTCTGTACCAATGTACCCACCACCAATAATGGCAACGCTTTTTGGCTGAGAATTCAAGTCAAAGAATCCATCAGATTCGATACCGTATTCATATCCTGGAATATCCTTTGGTATGACAGAGGTACCGCCGGTAGCAATCAAGATCTTGTCGGCAGTGAAGGTCTCCACTTTGCCGTCCTCAGTCTTGGTCACTTCGACCTTACCATCTTTTGAAAACTTGGCAAACCCGTAGATGTAGTCAACACCTTCTTTAGTCAAGTTACGTTCGTAGATGCCATTAAGACGATGGACGTAAGCATCTCTCTTCTCTTTGAAGGTTTTCCAGTCAAATTCCAGGTCGAGGTCTTTGGTGTTCTTGAAGCCGTAGTCGTATGCCAACTTTAATTTGGCAGCCATGTCACTTGCGTACCACATGACCTTCTTTGGAACACATCCCACATTGACACAAGTACCACCCATGGCCTTGGCTTCGATCAATAGCGTCGAGGCCCCGTGCTTTGCAGCACGACGTGCAGAGGCAACACCACCGGATCCTCCTCCGATGACTAGATATTGGTAATGTGATTTCATTGCTGTTCTGAGCATATGCAAAATGTAAAAGCTTTCAGGGGAACGACAGGTTATAGATAACACTCACAAAGCCAACCCCAGTTCAAAGCCGGCAAGGAGGGAGGAATTCGTCCCTTTATACTGAAAGAGCTTGCCGTACATTAATCAGCCACAGTGAAATTCATGTTGCGCGTGCCGAGCGGTCGGGGAATGAAGAAGACTAGACCTAGAGGATAAGTGAAATGGGGGAAGAGAAGTTACGGAAAGGACAGGCAACAGCAGGAGGAGGGAAAGCGAGCAGCAAGACACATATACAACAAATGGCTGGGATATTTTCGTCAAACGACGTAGACGAGCTCGACAACGGGGCGTCCACGGCAGACGTGGATATGGACGTGGATGTCGATGTCGATGTCGAGATGGAAAACGAGAATGAAAACGAGAATCAGAATGGGAACATGACCGAGGGCAAGGAGGACGACAGTACAACAGCAAGGACTGATGCCAATACTGGGGAGGAGCAAGCGGGTGGAGAAGGTGCTAAAAATGGCAAGACTTCGAAGAAAGATTCGATCAACACTCCAGCAATACCAGAGTTAACCAGAGCTGACAAAACTTTGGATGAGTTGTTGGACTTGCTGGACGATCCCGACTTCACGCCCATAATACCAGATGCGGTGACGGATTACTACGTTGCGAAGAGTGGTCTTGATCTTGGTTTCACGTCATCGACCACTGGCTCCTCCGTCGAAGCCACCAAGATCAAGCGGTTGCTAGCCTTGGCCACACAAAAGTTCATCTCAGACATTGCCACGGACGCCTATGAGTATTCACGAATCAGAAGCAACTCCGCAGTTTATTCGGCGAACAACCCACAGACCCGATCGAGAGCATTGCTCATGGCAACAATGGCGAAGGCCCGTGGAACCACCAACTCAAACGGAGACGTTGGCGGGAACTCGACGGCGGCGTCGGCGACCTCCAACACCAATGCTGGGGCAAATGCCGGAAATGGCGGCGAGGAGCAAGGAGAAGGTGATGTGGCAATCAACGGAAGCTCCTTGAATCCAACTGGTGCCAACCAGAACAAGGAAAAGGTCACGTTGACCATTGAAGACTTGAGCAGTGCGTTGGATGAATATGGACTCAACATCAACAGGCCTCAATTCTACAGATGAGGAGCATGGAAAGCAAGGGATTTAAATAGAAACAGCGAAACAGCGAAACGTTGAGATTCTTCTCCCTTTGTAATCAATACTTGTTCCATGCTCGTTGTACATTTTTTATTCGTTTCTTCTGTATCATAACCTAAATTTAAAAAATGGATTTTCGACAATATATTTCCTATAACAAAAACTACAAAGCTTTCTTCTTTAAGCATACCCAAAGGAGGGGAAACACTTCCTTTGCCAGTTATTAATATCCCATAAAATAATGCCTTCCTTGGTTCCTATACATAGCATTGATTTCCCATTCCTATTTGCAAGTTCCAATCCATTGATCTCGATATCTGAGTCAACATAAAAGAACGGATCTCGGAGTGGGGTTTCCATTATAGCTGAACTGTCATAAACTTCACTATCCTCGTTTTCATCATCGTTGTAGGAATCATCATCACCACTTTCACTGACAACTTGTTTACCCCACGGCCAAATTTCCCTGAAGTTCCCAGCATTCCCAAGGTTTTCGTTATTCCACCAGCACTGTTGGCTGATATATCTGGTTTCGGTATATTTGTTTCCAATATCATCATCGTATTCATCGTCGTAGTCGTCATCTTCGTTTTCATTGTCGGACATATCCATGTCATCGCTATTTCTGTCTCCTTTGAGTCTGTTGAATTTACCTATCCTTTTCCTGAATTGAAGAGGGTACACTTGCGATCCCTTGTAAGTAAGCAAACTGCTAGATTGCGGGCTGTAGTTGGTGGACAGTTTCCTTTTCAAAAGATCCTCTCTGTCAAAAGTTCCCTGTAGAACAATCTTGTACGGCCGATCTTCCCCTCTTGACTCGTTGTGATTGGAAGAGTAGGTGCCTCCATGATTGCGGAACCGAGTATCCATATATCTGTAGCTTTCTAAATATCCTAGGTTCAAATCTCCACCAAAATGAGAGAGGTCTTTAAAATCATCAATATCCTTTACTATCGGCTGGTTGTACCACTGTTTGGAAAGGTCTTTCTTGCTATCCGTCGAGATAGCAATAGGGTATTTTCCGAAAAGATTCGAGTAGTGGTCCTGTCTCTCTCTTCCAATGTGATTACTGCTACGTGCATCGTCGTCATCAGTTTCCATACCTGATGGTGAGTTGTCATCATCTGTATTCACGTGGATATCGTCGCAACTGTTATCATTCATATAGGAGACGCTGATCGAGGGAGGGACATTGTACAGGTACTTTGGGAGTAGCAAGACGGAGTGATTGTTAAAGTTTCTGCTGTCAATGAGGTGTACTCGTCCCTGGTGTTCGGAGAGACAGATCAGGTCGTCGTTGTAGTTTGAGGTTTTCACGACACGGAAGGCCCCCGGCTGAGTTTTCGGGCGGGTGGAATGGATGGAATGGAGCGGGGCGGATAGGTTTCTCATGTCGTAGATCAACGCTAGACCATCCTGGAAACATGTGATGAACTGGTATCCGTTGGAGAGGAAACTGGTGGAAAACCCACAGTCGCCCGGGGTCTGGAGGATGTCAAAGTTCTTGGTACTGGGGCTGCCGCCGCCGCCATCCTTCGGAGTGCCCTCCTGAGGGTGGGAGATGAAGATCTTCGGGGAGTCGCCCACGGTGACGAGGGTGGAGTTGTCGTTTGAGAGAATAGAGTGATTCAACGCCACCTTCAGGTACACCGGGTTGGCGGACTGGATGACGCGGGACGGGGTGATGTCGAACTGGTAGAGAAACTTGTCGTTGTTGCAGAGGTACGAGCGATAGTGGCTCGAGCCGGAGGACGCCAGCTTGTTGATGGAGACGGAGTTGGTGATGAACTCGCCGATTTGGATGTTTTCCGTGGCCGCCGTCTGCGGGTTGCACACGGAGAACGAGCCCTTCTGGAGCCCGACCGGGTTTGTGTCCGGGTCGAACGAGTCGGTGATGCCGCCCATGACGACGATCCCATCCAGCTGCTTCAAGCACCGGGGGCTCGACTGGAACTTGATCGACGAGTACTTGAGGATCCGCGTGTGCACGTTCGACCGTGCACTGCCGTCTGCCCCCAGCAGCGCCGAGTAGTTGAACGAGAAGATCCGGTTCTTGTACGGGAAGTAGAACGTCGGGTCCTGGTTCCCCCCGTAGTCCTCGTCGTACGACGAGTACGACGACGAGATGAGCAAGTCCTTCAACTGCCAGTGTGGCGACGTGAGCGCCACGTTGAGGTAGTGGGACCGCTTCTTCAGCACTGCCTGTCCAAACCGGTGTGCATCGGGCAGCGACCGCTCCTTCCGTGCCGTCGACATCTTCCCCTGCGTCACCTCCAGATCGATCGTCATGTGTCTAGCTGTCTGTGTATCTTTGCGTCTGTGCGGCTAAGCGGCGGATTGCGGGTGCACGCCAACGGGACAGAGAGTAACACACTGCTTGGCTGCTCTAGACCCTCAAACACCCTTTGTGCCGTCCAAACTTCCACAGCAGAAACAGCAGCCCCATCCTCTGGCCCGTCTTTAGCAGGCCTTATCGGCTCCCCTGCTATCTTCACCACCTCCTTTTCCGCCGGGAACGGTCGATCGCCCCCGCCGCCGAGAAAAACAGGCTCACGAGCGGGAGCGTTGTGGACAGGGAGCAGGAACAGAAGCAGGAGAAGCCCACGAAGAAAGGCCAAGGGGAAGGCCAGAGGCATTGGACAGCATCAGTAGTAGTAGTAGCAGCAGCAGCAGCAGCAGACAGACAGACATACACAGCCCGCACGCACGCAGCATGGCCTCGATTGTGTACCTGTTGGACGCCAAGGCCCGGCCGCTCATCCATCGAGACTACAAGGGAGACGTGCCGACGTCGCTTGTGGACTCGTTCCCGCTCTTGTTGATCAGAAACAGCTCGAGCTCCAGCAACATGACGACGAATCTCTCGGAAAGCGAGTGTCCGCCGGTGATCTACCACAACGGACACAGCTACTCGTTTTTGATCCACAACGACATCTACGTGTTGGCGATCTCGAAGTCGGACATCAACGTGTTCAACGTGCTGGTGTACTTGAACAGCCTGGTGGAGGTGCTGACCCACCACTTCAAGGAGTTGAACGAGATCTCGATCAAGGACAACAACTCGATCATCTACGAGCTGCTGGACGAGATGATGGACTTCGGGATCCCGCAGGTGACGGACGACAACATCTTGAAGGAGTACATCACGCAGCAGTCGTTCACGTTCGAGAAGCTGATGAGCTCGGTGTCGGCGTCGGCGACGTCGACGCACAAGAAGATCAAGCAGGGCAAGCAGGACCGGCGGGCGCCGCCGACGACGTTGACGAACCAGATCTCGTGGAGACCGCAGGGCATCATGTACAAGAAGAACGAGGCCTATCTCGACGTGATCGAGAGCATCGACATGCTCATCAACTCGCGGGGCCAGATCTTGACCAGCGAGATCTACGGGAACATCCGCTTGAAGAGCTACTTGTCGGGCATGCCTGAGCTCCAGCTAGGCTTGAACGACAAGTTCATCAACAGCGGCCTCAACTCGATCCGCGGGTTGACGGCGAGCTCGCAGACCGCCGCCGCCCCGACCACCGTGGACTCCAAGAAATCCGTGGAGGTGGAGGACGTGAAGTTCCACCAGTGCGTCAAGCTCTCCAAGTTCGAGGCAGACAAGGTCATCTCCTTTGTCCCACCGGACGGAGTGTGCGACTTGATCACATACAGGGTCCACTCGGACGTCCTCAAACCGCTTTTCTTGATCGACTACAAATTCAAGAACCACTCCAACACCCGTCTAGAGATCATGGTGAAAATAAAGGCCAACTTCAAAAACAAGGTCAGCGCAAACAAGGTCGAGGTGCAGATACCGGTCCCGGCAGACATCGACTCCCCGAAGTTCCACTACCAGAAGGGCAAGCTGAAGTACATGCCCTCCGACAACTACATCAGATGGAAGTTCCACAAGATCGAGGGCGGCAAAGAGTACGTCATGGTTGCCGAGTTGATGCTTCTGAGCATCATCAACGAGCAGGAGTTGATGAATTTCAGGAAGGTGCCCATCAATGTCAAGTTTGAAATGCAGGGCTTTGTCACCAGTGGCTTGCAGGTCCGATACTTGAAGATCAACGAACCGAAGCTCAACTACCCAAGCTACCCCTACGTCAGGTACATTACCAAGAGCGGAGACCATTACGACATACGCAGTGGGCGTTATGGTACAGGCCTTTGATTCCCTCTTCTCCCCGCTTCTTCACCAATATATATATATAAACATCATTTACACAACTGTATAGCTAGTGGAAAAACCAACAACTTCAAAGACTTTGATTTCGCCAGCGTAATAAAAAATCAGCAAAACAGCTGAATCGAACCCACTTAGAGCCATAGAAAACGGCCTTGCACAATAACTGCATTTCGCCCAATGGCACGCCATTAACGAACCCCGAGTTTCGTACTTGAATCAACACACAGCCCATCATTACCTGATTTGGTGTGCGTAAACGAAGATTCGTCTTTTTTTTCATCGCTCACACAAAAAAAACCGTGCAGATGAGGAAAATATGTCGAGATCTGGGGCAGGAGACTGTTGACAGTGTGTAAATGGAGTTGGCCAGTCTCGTTTTGAAAACCTCTGAAAGAGCTTCCTTTCACAGATCTGGCAAAATATGAGCACTTCCAGCATGAGCAAGGAGGAGCTGTACGCGCATTTCAAAGGACTGGGCAATGACGCCTTCAAATCTCAAAATTTCCCTCTTGCGATTGAGCATTATACAAGTGCCATCAAGGAGCTCGAATCGGAAGATGGACACGAAGATCTTGCCAAGAAGGATGATGTGAATATCATGAGCGAGAACCTAGAGGACGTGAGGACACACAGCCACAAGCACGCGCACGCGTTGGCGATTCTATACTCCAACAGAGCTCAGGCACAGTTGAAGTTGGAGAACTACGGTTTGGCGATCAACGACTGTACCATTTCGTTAGACCACGACAGTTTATTTGTGAAAAGTTTGTACCGCCGTGCGGTTGCCAATTATGCAATCAGGGACTTGCAAACTGCGTTGAAGGACTGTAAGCAAGCAAGGGCCGCTGCGCCTAATGATAACAAAATCAAGGTGTTGACCAACGAGATTTCCCAGGAGCTCAAAAGACTGAGATTTGAGCAGGCCATAGATGTTGTCGAAAAGAGTGTTTTCACCTCTCTAAATTGGGACGACATGGGCACCCCTGATGCAGATAGCAAGGACGTGAAGCAGTCTTTGGAAGTAGAGGTGACCGACGAAAAGAAAGGTGACATTGTCATCAAGGCGGGACTAACCCAGAAATACATCAACAATATGATCGAGGTGTTCCGTGACGGCGGGAAGTTGAACAAACACGACGCCTTTGCTATTGTGAATGCAGTGAACACTATCTTCAAACAGGAGAAAGCACTGGTCGATATAGGATTCAAGAAGAAGACCAACCCCAACAGCGACTACTTGCACCTGGAAAACGTCGAGAAGTTGACAGTCTGCGGTGATACGCATGGCCAGTACTACGACGTTTTGAACATTTTCAAAACTTTTGGCGAGGTTGGTGAGAAGCACGCATACTTGTTCAATGGTGACTTTGTGGACAGAGGGTCCTGGGGATGTGAGGTTGCATTTCTGTTATACGCTTTGAAGGTATTGTACCCAACCAGGATATTCATCAACAGAGGTAACCACGAAACTGACGATATGAACTCCGTCTACGGGTTCAAGGATGAGTGCAAATTCAAGTACAACGAGAGATTGTTCAAGTGCTTTAGTGAATCGTTTGGGAGCTTGCCATACTGCACGTTGATCAACGACGACTACTTGGTGATGCACGGTGGCTTGTTCAGCGATGACTCCATCACGTTGAACGACCTACGTAAGATCAACAGACTACACCACACCCATGGACAGCCTCCAAAGACAGGTGTTGAAATGGAGTTGCTCTGGACTGATCCTCAAGTCGAGGAGGGCAGGTCGTTGTCGAAGCGTGGAATTGGCCTCCAGTTTGGGCCGGACATTACCAAGAAGTTCGTCGAAAAGAACGGTTTGAAGGGTATCATCAGGTCGCATGAGGTTAGACAGGAAGGTTACGAGTGGGAACACAACGGCTTGCTCTGTACCGTGTTCAGTGCGCCTAACTACTGTGACGCCCAGGGCAATTTCGGCGCTGTGATCGAGATGACCTGTCCCGAAGGCGACGGAGAGATGAAGCTTGAGAGCTTGAAGTTTGAAGCTGTGGAGCATCCAAATATTCCTCCGATGAAATATACCAAAAACCAGTTCGGCTTCTAGACGTATATGTAGACATCCAGAAAAGACAGATACCGAGATAGATGTAGTGTTACGTGTACATGTATATTTATGTGAAGATGCATGTATTATTATGCATTCACTTGGTCGAGATCACGGGCATGGACATGTCAATTGTCTCAAAGAGAAGATACCGATGGAGGCACGCAGTATATTCTTCAAGCTTGAGAGCAACTGTGGGGTTTGTCTCGGAAGAGTTGTAGAGGGGGGCAATCTGAACAAAGGCATTAACCTCCCTACAATATATACGCTTCCTGAATGAGTGGAGAAAGAAGAGAGGCCAAAGCACAGCCTCTGGGGGGATCCGACCAGGAGAAGAGAGCAGGTAATGGAGGGGAGGTAAGAGCTGGAAAAAAACTGGACGACATTCCCTCTCTGCGGCAGTGAAATTTTCGGCGAGCAGGGGAAAAAAAGGTCGAGAATGAGAAAATCGGAGCAGGAGGAGGTTTTCAAGCAGAAGCAAAAACGCAGCCGGCGACGGCATCGACACAGCCACCACGCCATTGGGAAGCCCGAAGCCAGGACCAGCATGATGCACGCGACGCTGACACTGGACCGCCTTGTGCTGTGGTGCTGGGTGCTGCTACAGGCCAGCTGTACCGCCGCCGCGGCCGTGTTCGAGCTCGACCTCGACATCAGCATCGCAGACAAGAGCAACAAGAACCACAACCACTACAAGGACCTGATGCACGACCCGTCGAGGACGTACGTGACCGTCTATGCGGTGGAGCCAGCCGCCGGCTCTGCGGCCGCCGGCCCTGCGGACGCCACGCTCGCGTACCTCAGCACCGTGCACGCCGACGACGAGGGCGTGTTCCACCTCTCGCTGCCGCAGGGCGCCGGCGACCGCCCCGCGGACGTCTTCCAGCTCAACTTCCAGTCGCTGGACGTCTTCTTCGCCGTGTCCTCCCAGTTCCGCGTGCACGTCGCCCAATCCGCCGCCACCGTCCAGCAACACCTCCCGGGCCTCCACCCCTCGCTCCAGAGCAGCCTGCCCTCCGTGCTTGTCGACGACGCCACCCACGCCGCCGTCCTCGACGGCGCCCTCTTTCGCATCTCCCTCAACCACTACCTCCAGCAGGACGCCGCCGGCCTCGCCGCCACCGTCGTCCGCTCGATCCCGTTCATGTCGACGATCCTCGCCAGCCGCTGGATGACCATCGCCTTTGTGTCCGTCATCATCGTTGCCCTCCTCCCGGCAGTGCTCACCCGTCTTGACCCCGACTTCGCCGACCGCCTTGTCGAGGCTCAGCAGGAGGCCAACCAGGCTCAGCACTAGTTGCAGCCCATCGCCCAATAAGGAAACTATTTGTCGCTACATTCATGCTGGCACGGGACCAAAATATACCGCCGCTTTGGGACAGGCTGGCCGAAAAGGGCAGTTAAGCGACGGAGCGGAAACCGGAAGAGGCCCGCGAGATAGGCGGGCAGAGGGTGAGAGAGCCAGCCACGGGTGCCGACGGTACCTGAGTGTGCATGGAGGCCTGTATTTACGTTGGTTCGGGGTTGTGGAGGCCGTGGATGTAGGCCTCGTGTGTAGGTGTAGCCGGCAGAATAGAAGAATCGAAGACCAAACATACAGTCGGTCGTCCAGTCGCCAGCTACAACAGCACAGACACAGCGGCACAGAGGTACATGAATCAGTGTGGATGCATCGTGGTCCAGAGGATTCAGGCCCACACTACATAGAAAGTCGATTTCCCGGCACAGCAGTGCAGGACGGAGACGCAAGAGCACTGGAAGAAGGAGGAAGTGAAGCAGGAGCTGCTAGAGAGCTGGAGAAAGACGAGGCATACACGTCGTGCAGCATGTCGACGACGCCGGGCGCCATGTCGGGGCCGTTGGGGATGGCGGGAAGTGGTCTGGCCTCGCACAGAGCGTGCCCGGGCGGCCGCTCGCAGCTGTTCAACGTCAGCGTGATGGTGTACCTCGTTCTGTGGTACGGCACGTCGACGCTGACGGCGCAGTTGACCAAGGCGATCTTGAACCAGTTCGACTTCCCCGTGTTTGTCGGCGAGTTCCAGTTCTGGTTCAACTTTGTGCTCGGGTACGCCACCATCGCCGCCTCCCGCAGAGCCCCCTTCACCCGCATCAAGCTCTGGTTCCCGCAGTCCACATTCCCGCAGAACAGCAAGTTTGTGCTGAGTCGCCAGATGTTCAAGTTGTTTTTCCCCATGGGCACCCTCCAGTTTGTCGGCAAGTTGTTCAGCTTGGCCGCCACCTCCATCTGCCCAATAGCAACCGTCTCCTCTATCAGAGCACTCAGCCCGTTGTTCATCGTCCTCGGTTACAGACTCCACTACAGGATCCTCTTCTCCCTACGAACATACCTCTCCCTTGTGCCCCTATTGTTGGGCGTCATCATCATCGTCATCTCCCAATCAAACTCCTCCGCGGAGTCCTCCGACCAGATCTCCATTTACAGCGAGCAGTTGGACAACTCATCAAATAACATTTTGTACACCGCCGCCGACTCCATCGGCTCCACCGGCTCCGCTAGCACCGCCCACGATTTAAACACCCTCATTGCGCACAACCCAGAACAGGACATATCCATTTTGTCCACCATCATCAATACCATCCACAACAACCAGATTCAGTTGCACGGCATTTTTTACGCCCTTCTCTCAACTTCAGTCTTTGCTGCAGGCTCCATCTACACCAAAAATGTCATCACAAACAACAACGTCGGCAAGTCAAAGGAGAAGAAAGAAATCGTGCGATTGGCCCTCTTTTCCTCAGACTCAACAGCCACGTTGACAGCCCTAGATTTGGAGAAAAATGAGATTTCCAACCATCAAGAAGAAGATTATCTCGACCGGGTGAAAGAACCCAAGATAGACAAATTGACAACCCTCATGTATTGTTCTCTATATGGGTTGGCTTATTCTATTCCAGCCCTTCTAATTTATGAACTGCCAACCCTATTTTCCTCAAAACTTTATCCCGCAACACTAGGAAATACTCCCGCTGCTCAGACAACTCCAATTCCGTATTACACTCTAATACCATGGAAGCTTCTCATAGTCAATGGGTTTTCATATTTCTTTCAATCCCTTTTAGCATTCCACATTTTGGGAATGCTACCTACAGTCACATACAGTATCGCCAACATGATGAAACGTATAGTGGTTATATCAATTAGTATAATCGCCCGTGGTAGACATTTGACCATACTAGAATGGCTGGGCTTGTTTCATGTTACGGCAGGATTGTACGTTTATGAAAAATGGGGTGCAAAACAAAAATAAACCTTTATTATCTATTCCCAAGATTGACCAGTTGTCCGTTCGTTTCATGTGTTAATATTTGTATTGTCTCTGACATTCTGTTACATTTGATTTTTCTTTCGTTTGTTCTGTCTTTACTTTCTCTTGTTTCACTTTTTTAAATTTCCCTCTTTCTCTTCTACCTTACTTTAATTTTTTTCCAACTTATTCCATAATCAAAACTGCATCTTCATAGTATAATTCAGCATTCAGCTTGCTCTTTTCCTGTTTTGTTTGTTATGTCTTGTTTTTTGTAACCCATCCTGCTCATTTTGTCTTACTTAATTTTATATTTAAATCCATTTCCATATCCATATCTGTATCTCTACACCTTCATATAGATGTGCTATATATTTTACCTGATCAATTGTATACCTTCAGCCGTGCCTAAAACAACTGAGAACTCTCCTAATTTTGAATTCTGCATGACCACTGCATCCCCAATCTCATAATCATCCCCAGTATTTAATTCCAGTACTATTTCAACACCTTCGTATTTTCTAGACAAGTAGCATACTTTCAATTTTGGGACACCGTTATCGTCCACAAAACCAACTGTAAATAATCTTCCACTAGCAAAGTCTTTTCGGGTTAGGTTTTGGCATATATGTATATTTTTGCAATTGTTCAATCCAACCATACCTTTGAACACCATTCCGCCGTTGATTCTCCAAACAATCAACTCTTCATTGCTCGTAATACAATAAATGGCACTGTCATCCTCGCAAACGTTAAAATCAACAATCTTAACCTCATTTGTGTCTTCAATACAAAGTTTGTTCATTAACATGATTTCCCCGTTTTCCATTTCATACTTGTTCGGCTCATGCCAAACGCTCAACCATTTTCTACGAGAGTCAAGTGTTATCAATATTCTGTCGCTTCGTAAGTATTCAATGTCTGTAATTATTCCATCATGGCCGCACTGTAAATTTCCAATTTCTAGTAAATTATAACTTCCATCATTACTTTTGTTTTGAAATCCTTGGAAAAGTCGTTTTTTCTTAGTGTCTGCACCGATATCATAATCCAACTTTACCATACTTCTTTGAGCATTAGTAACATATTTATACCTGTCTCTCGATAATTCATATATTTTCAGGTTTCCAGTATTGAAGCCAACAACAAATTTTTCTCTAGAAAGTATTTTGATACAACTGATGAAACCACCGTTAGTAAATTGTTCTACGCATAAAACTTTATTGATTTGCAACCCATTGTGACCAATTTTCTTTATTCTTGTGCTGAGATCATTTTCAAAATAGCAATATTCATTTTGACGTATACCTTCCCATTTATTTATTCTTGGATTGAAAATAAGTTGTTTAGCACTCTTTCCAGATTTCTGTAATTGTGATTTATTTCCACCGTCACTATCTCTGACATTTCGGAAGTTGAGCATGAAATCTTCTTTCAAATTTACTGTATTGATAAAACATTCTTGATTCTTCACCGGGTGCTTCTTTCTAAATATTTGCAATGGAGTTTGCCCGAAATTGTGAATGATAGAAACAATGACTGCTCTCTCATGACTATCACGGATCTTTTCTATATCAATACTTCCAGGATAACTCAAGTAATGAAACACATTAGTTGCCTTTATCGCCTCAATACCTTGTTGTTTATACCCGAAAATTAAATCGATCCATTCATGCAAATGCTCACTAACAAAATCACTTTCTAACGCGTTTCTCATTATTCTTACAAATTTAATTGGATCGCCATCAGCCCATGGCGGAAGCTCAACATCTTGAACTGTTTTACCTTCCTGTAATTCACCAAATTGAAAATTGTTTGAATTTATCAAGAACTCTGGTAAATAATAAAATTCAGGAATTAATTCTCTAACGTCAGTAGTATTATCCTGTGACGCACTCTTCCACAACTTGGGAATGGAATGAAAAAGTCTGTCAGGGTGGTCAAACTTTCCCCCTTGAAGCTTGAGGTAGGATTCAGTAAAAGGACGTAATCTTATTAAGTATGAGGTAACAATCATTGCTGATGAATAGTGAGTACCATAATGAAATGGTGGTGTATTTGCAGACATTTCTTTTGTGGCATCATATCTTTCCTTAAACTGCTGTTCTCGCATGTTGCTCTGAGCTCCCATAGGCTTGGACAAATCTCTATAGACATTGGGATCACTTAAGTCAATTTTTTCTGATTCATAATCTGATAGAACAAAGGGGAAAACAGGGTATTGTGTCATGTCATTGAATGTTCTTCCAGCTATTGTATTCAATAGCATCAAATATTGAAAATTGGAAATTTGGCCACTACACCACTTAGCAGTAATATCAGAAGAAGCGATGTCAGACGAGCCTGATAATATACTATCAACTATATTGAAACCGTTATTCTCTGTAGTATTGGAGCTACCGAAATTGCTACTTTTTATTGTCTTGATTTTTTGACGAGAAGCTAGCTTTAAAGCTTCGTCAAGATTAGTATCTTCCAACTTTGATGTAATATAGCTAGAAATTTTATTGAAAATACTGTTCCTTTTATTGCAGTCGATGCATGTTAACAAGACAGAAGACCCGTTTTTGAAAAAAAGCTCAAATCCGACGTCTCTGAGCAAAAACTTTGTTTTTGAAACAGAAACAAGATCTTTAACTGCCCAACTCTTAGATTTATGGAAATTTAGATCTTCCTTGTTATTCTCAGAACTTTTTTGGTTGGTAATAGTGAGGTCTGTTAAAAGTTTTACCACACTATCCCGCTGATTTTCAGGCGCCTCATAATTGCAACATATTTCTCCATTACCGTTGTAAAAGTAACCTTCAACAATATATATGTGCTCACACCCCAGTACTAAAATTGCTTCAATTGTTTCCAATCCAATGATCTGAGTAATATTGAAAACCTCATCAATTCTGTCATGCACAAACAAATTTCTCAAAATTCTTCTATTTTTATCCTCGTCAAAATCCTCATCAGCTTTGACCTTCATCAAATAGATGGATTCATCCATGTCTGTGATAGAAATATCATTCTCCAAATTTTGAGTAACAAGACTCGGAACTTTTGAGCTTTCAATTTCGATATTTTTTTTCCGAATAGATTCCTTACTTACCATCTGACTTTGAGCATCTGATAAGATTTTGATGATTTTGTTCCTCTTTCTGTTTCTGCCCTCTGTTGGATACAGAATGCTGTGAGATTCTTGTAAAGGAAAAGAAACATTTGCTTTCAAAGATTTATACAAGCTTATGAACTGATTGAAGTCATCAGCTTCATCCTGAAAACTGCGGTTCAAGTTTTTGAGCTCCCCGTTTAAAACAAATTCGTTGAATGGATTGATGTCATTGTTCAAAATCTTCTCAGATTTTTCGAGCTGGAATTTGTTTTTAATATAGTTATTGATAGTGTCACTCCCCGATATGAACAGAGAAGAAGTTGAATAAACTTTGAGATGCTGATTGTATAAGCTTTCGACTAATTCTTTGAACTTATGATTTTCGATAAAAGCCTCCAGCACTTGTTCATCGTTTAAAGTTAGAGTTTCTCTTAAAACGTTAACAAATATCTTTCTGTTATCCTTGGAAATTATTGTGTTTTCGATAATATTTTCAAAATTGTCTTTTTCCAAAAGTAATACTCTAATGCAATTAAATCCAAGCGACTCTAAATCTTTATCAGTGCTTAACAGGTTGTAAAAGATTGAAAACAGCAATAAAAAAGCTGAATCATCAAGAGAGCGTGCGATTATATCCGGATGTGACATGAATATTTTGCAACACATGGTAAGATTTGTTTTCATTTCTTCTTTGGGGGAGTTAGGAATGTTTTCAATGAAAAATAAGCACGCAGTGATAAATGCTTCATTAAATTCCCGTACAAGAATCTTCAAAAAGGGAAGGACTTTAGGATGTGTCTTAGAAACAAGAAATATTTTTTTGATGGTAAGTGTCACCATTTCAAAATTTGATAAGTATGACATGTGCTGTTGGTCACCCTCAAAATATGATTGAAAATAACATATGAAGACCTTGCAAAGAGTAATCGTTTTGACCTTATTATCAAAAGCTATTGTCATCAAACTTTGAAAAGATCTTAGCTTCTCAAATAGCAGAGGAATGATCACAAAATTGAACTCAAGCACGTAGTTTTCATATATGTTTTCAACAATACTTATATTATCCTCTTTATTTTCAACATAAAATCGATCTAGCAATGTTTCAGTTAGAAACTGGGCATATCTCTGATATAGATTACTGGAATTTCCTTGCTTTATGATCATTGATAACAAAATTAGGTTCCCGATCCGTTCTTCGTTCCTAAGATAGATCTTGTCAAAATTTGATCTTCTTTTTAAAATGTTCAACATTTCAATGAAATTGTCAAGCTGAAATAGAGCTTTTTTTTTCTGATCACCTTGTAGGTTCAATGCTGCAAATTTCATTAAATTGTTTAGCACTCCATAAAAATGAGGATATTGTAAATCATTTATAGTGCTTCCAGGTAACTTTTTTACCACATTGCTCATCGTCAAATCTGCAGAATTATCTATTTTAAAATTGAATGCCGCCAGTAGAAGCTCAGCAAGAATGCAGTCATTATTCCACTCTGTTCTCAACAAATTAGAAATAACAGAAAATCCACCAAATGATAAAAACTTACCATACGATTTCGAGTTGAATCTCACAACTTTTATAAGAAGTCTTAAAGCAATATGGCGCATTTTTGTAGAACCTTGCATTATTGAAAATAACATTTTGAAACTGAATGCGTTCAAAAGTTTTGGACAATCCTCGACCAGGTTTTGCAAAATGTTTAGAATTAGCTCTCCACCCAGTTGTTGTTTGTGGTAATTAGGTTTCTCATTGCGCATCATACCGATAGTAAATATAACATGTAGCAAAAGCAACCTTACCGTCTCCGAAGAACGACTATATTTGAGCATGACTAATAAGACACTGTTCACAACGGGTAATATATCTTCATGAAAATCGTCCCTCTTGAGGGCCAAAAGAATTCTTTTAATAATTTTCATATCGGATATTTGCCGTAAATTGAACCGGTGGTATTTACTGTCTTGAAGAAAAACTGTGAATTGAAACAGTAGGAACTTGTTCACTACTTTATTTTGTGATAAAAATGGAGTTTGCCATAAATCAAAATCTAAAATCAAAGATTTGTAAGCCAACCTATTTTTAATGATCGACTCAGCAGGTTCAAATTCATTGTAGCCCACAACGTTTAATACACAGTCCAGAACTTCAATCGAAATGTATTCCTTTTTAGACTTTAGTATTGATCCAAGAATCTCGTAACCTGAATTTGAAACAAAACTATGTTCTATTATTTTATTGTGTTTCAAGAGTGAAAACAAAAACTTTAAGCTGTCCTCCAACGCACCACTGCTATTGGATTTTTCTACTAGAATAAGGCAGTTCACAAATCCACCAATAGAGTTAAAGGAATCTAGTGACGATAAACCAATTTTTTTTTGCAAATGGCTAGCATTTGTTATACTACCTATCAAGCTCTGTGATGCTCTATAGTAATATTTAATTTCATCCTTTCCTTGTTGATTGAGTAATGAGTTACACGATAATACAATATCATCCCTTTTGAGTTGGACCTGAGAAAAAGAATCATCTTCTATTTTGTTAGTTTTTTCGTTCAAAGATAAGTTAAGCTCGATTAGACTGAATAAAGGAAGTAAAGAAAGAAGGCAAGAATCCTCGAATGATCCGGAATAAGCAGCACCTAACATGTAAATAAATAAAATCCATGGCAAGCAATTTGAAGTTTCAATAATATAAACAGATGAAAGCTCTAAGATTAATCCATCGTTTTTTTTTGGTCCTGAAATGAGTAAGCTCAATGATTTGCTGACTGAATCATCTTTCATGGTTGGGAATAGTAATCTGCTATTATCGCATGACCCTCCAAAAATGGCATCTATGACTTTAGACTCTATAAGCAACCCATTTATGTACAAGTCTACCCTTGTTTTCTTCTTCACTTCACAAACGTGAGCAAGCGTAATGTTATACAATTTGTTCATCTCTAACTCAAAGCTCACAAAAAGCTGTTTTTCGGTTTTTGTGACCAAGCTAATCCGTCCATCGTGTATTGAATAGTGAATTAAATTCTGTGCCTTGTTATTCCTGAGTGTCAAAAAAACAAAGCCAGCAGAATCGGCCCCATAAGTTTTGTAATTAGTCGAGTTATCTAGTTTGATCCAGGAAGATAAAACAAAGCTGGAATTTGGCTTAGAGAGGTTTATATTCTCGAAAATAAGTTCATGATCTGCAGAGTTAAAGATAAGAGATTTGGTCATTGTATTCCCTTGACTGAAAACGGAATAAAAAAGCTTAGAGTATCTGCCTCCTTCATAACAAAGTTTAAACAATAATGATATCTGAGAAGCACTCAAACCAATTTCGGAGTACTCAAGGATTAAGAAGCTTAAAGCTGAATCAATCCACCAGTCAAGACCTTTGCCAATATGTTGATGCAATAAGTCAACAAGTTCTTCGGAATAGACGGCCACTTTATTCAAAATAGAAGCTTTGATCAATTGACAAAACAACACTATTATAGACCTGTTGTAATTTACATCGTTGTCATTCTCAGCCATTTTTTCAGAATTCAGGATACTTGATAATAGCTGAATTGCTTTTGAAGAAGAGTCCTTATTTTCCTTGAAATGCATTGAGAAATTTTCTATATCCCACAGATAACTATTCATGTCACTGATAAAGTTTGAGGGTTCTTCAGCATCAAATTCCGGGTCAGGTTGAGAATCTGGGACTATGTGGATAAAATCATCAATTGTCATCCTTGTGCCACCAAAATCTAACATTTCTAGCATCAATGATGCTAGCTTCTTTTTCTCAACCATAGCTAGGCGTTGATTGTTGCTCTGCCTTTCCTTGACGACGATTTAAACACTTTGCCACCACCCACTATCCGCTAATATGTGCATATCTATCTGCCAGGGAGGTAGCTCTAATTTTTTTTCCCTTTTCGGCTTGCTCGCTTCACAATTTTCACGCCGGATTCATCGTTAAAACTTGCTTTGGTCTCTATTATTTATTCCATTCCCTTCTGACCCTCTTCTAGTAATTCTCTTATCGTCAATGAACTTTGGGTGCCCTATCGCTCAAAACTTTTGGGATTTTACAGTGGATTGACTGTGATTGAATATACTACCAGATTGACTCAAAAAAGAGAGCTTTTGCATCATTTTTGAGAAATTAGGCAATCTGATATGTCCCAGGAGCATACAAGCCAGCTTAAAGACAACAGCGGCAAGGTTAAAGATAGACGCATAGAATCCGTAATAAGTGATACTGACGTCAGATTTAATGGAAAGATCAATTCTCATCTGACATCTCCCTCGTTGAAGTGTGCAAATATAGATCATATTGATGATAGTACATTGAAAGAAAATGTTTATAGTATGACTCTTAACATGCATCCTCAGTCAAATAGCCATACGCCCCTGTTGTCCTCTGGCACAATCCCGGACAACGATATTGAAAATATAACCGATATGGAAGATTTAGATGTAGAAAATAATGAGAAAGAGAAAGAGAAAGACTTTGACAATGCGAGCTCAAACACGGAGCAGAATAGTGAGTTTGATCCGGCTTTTAAAGGGGAGATTACGGAGACCCAAGAGGATGAAAATGAACAAGAAATGAGCACCATTCTTCAAAGTAGTCCCTTTCAAATATTAGAATTGCGACGTGAGCTGTTCAAGAATACACAAGTCAAGAAACAAACTGGTTTGAAGTACTACTACATAGATCGTGAGTGGTTAACGGTTTTCTTGAATAAAGAGTTCAAGGAGGATGATTTACAAATAGACAATGTGATTGGGCCAGTCAAGACTATACCTTTTGATCAATCTTTGAATGAGATCGTTGACAGTTTTATCGTGCTCGATCAGTTCAAGCTTCTTTTAGAGTGGTTCCAGCTTGAAAATAATAATCAATTGATTGAAAGAGAACTAATTTACTCAACTACTGAAGATAAGTTTATTATAGACCTACATCCGCTTACAATTATTCCTCACATCTTTTGCAATAATGCTTCTCAGGTTAATAGATTTAAACAGATTCAAAACAGGAATCACACATTTCAGATCTCCTCTTTCAGAACAGTTGCCGATTTATTCAGTTGTATGCTCTCTTATTTTGATTTGACTCAAATCCACGTTTCCTCTACCAGAATTTGGTGTGTAGAGCTAGATTCAACCCATAGTCCTTTAGTGCTTATTCCATCGGCACTGAAATATATAAAGAAGAGGAAATTAGTAAGCAAAAAAAGAAGAAGAAGTGCAACTTTACGTCAAAGACATATAACCTCATGCCACTTGATGCTCGAAATTAAGCAACCAGACGGGATTTTCTTCCTCGACATTGACTCTCATGTTTTGCTTGGCTCAGGATTAGTAGGCCTAAATAATTTGGGAAATACATGCTACATGAATTCTGCTTTGCAATGCCTGGTTCACATCCCAGAGTTGAACTCTTATTTCCTTTATCACTTTTTTGAAAATGAGTTAAATAAAGATAATCCTTTGGGAAACAAGGGAAAAGTGGCAATTTCATTTGGAAGTTTGGTAACTTCTCTGTTTGATGATAGGTTTAATGGAAATCAGTCAAGCTTTTCCCCCAAGGAATTCAAATATACAATTGGTCATTTCAATTCGTTATTTGCAGACTACCGGCAACAAGATTCTCAGGAATTTATTGCATATTTATTAGATGGACTACATGAAGATCTCAATAGAGTTTTGAAGAAGCCTTACGTTGAAAAGCCTGAGTTGGAGGTTGGAAAAGAAGATAATATGGAGGCAATAACAAATTTGGCCGAAAAGTGCTGGGAAGCTCATAAAATGAGAAATAATTCGGTGATAGTCGATCTTTTTGTGGCATTATATAAATCTACACTAATATGTCCAGTCTGCAATCGTGTGAGTATAACATTTGATCCCTACAATGATTTAACTTTACCATTGCCAATAACAAAAAAGTGGACTCATAAAATCAAAATTCTTCCAGAAAACGGTATTCCTAAAATTTTTGAAGCTCAACTCAGTAGGAATGAAACTTATTCCGATTTAAAGCGGCTCATATCCAAATACATGGATATCCAAGAAGAAAATTTGATTGGTGTGGAAATTTTTAGAAATTCGATCTACAAAAATTTTGAAGATTCTACATCTGACTCAAGATACCTTCCTATTTCGGAGTTGATATCATCAGGTGAAGATGTCTGGTTTTTCGAAGTAGAGAAAATTGAAGGCAATGCAATAATACCGGTTTTCAGTACCGTGGTTAGTAATAGTAATAGGAATAACTTTTGCTTGCCCTTCTTCATTTCCCTTTCTCCAGAGGATAGATTTTCTTATGGAACAATTCAAAAGAAGATGGTTAGAAAATATAAACAGCTTAGTACATCTGAATTATTTGTTAAAATTGATGAGGGTGAAGATGGCGGTTACACAAGAAAAGATTTTGAGGGTATTGAGTTGTTCTTTAAATATCTTGGTGTAAACACACCATCTGATGAGCCCAAAATTGAAGATGAAGTTATTAAATCAAATGCTGACACTAAAATGATTGAAGCAAATGTTTCAGACGATGATGATAAGTCTACAATATCTCTTGCATCTCCAGACTATACACTGGAAAACATTTTCAGCTCAAAGGTGGTCAATTCTTCTCTGGAAAAAAACTATTATGGACGAAATACAACAGCAAGATCATTTGAAAGGTCATCCAGTAATAGTAACAAATCGAGTCTTGACTTTTGGTTTCCTGAGAACAACAATACAATTATCAAGCATGATTTGCCTTCTTTATTGGACGGAATGAGTACTGCAAAAAAATGCTATTATTTATACGGGCCTGAAAATTTGAGAATGCTTGAAGAACATTACGAAAAGTTGGATTGCGAGCAAGTCAAAAACAAAGATCAAGATGATGAGTCAATTGATTCTAAACAAAAAGCATTTTGCCCGAGTGATAACGTAGAGATGATGGATGGCTCCGACACTCCGAATACCGAGTCTAAAAGCTTGGAAGATGTTGAGAGTGAATGCGACATAGACGAAGAATCAAAAGATCCCAACTTTGTCCAGAAAAGCTCATTTATTAACACAAAAGATGATATTAACGTGCCTACCAAAGAGCAAAATGATGGGTCACCTATTGATCAATACTTTACAGCAACAGAAAATATAGTGTCTGGTAAGTCTGATGTCGGTCTCCATAAATCTGCCAATGTATTACAATCGGGAGACCATAATGACAAGCTAGTCTCATCATCGTCCTCATCTATTTCTCCCGTGTCCACTTCTTCTGCATCATCTCCATCTGTACCATCATCGTCTTCTCTTTCTATCGCCAAAGATGTTTGTAGTGTTACAAATGATTCATCAGAAGATAGGAAGCCACTTATTGAACCAATGAGCGCAATAGTCAATGAGTTCAGAGAAAATTCTTTTGACTTATGTTTTTGCAACCCCTCCGATAGCCCATTTAGCGGGTCTGAAACTTGGTCTTCCCCTGAAAAGCTGGTAAATGATGACTTGGAACGTGAAAGAACAGAAAACTTGGAAAATGCGAGAAAGCCTGTCACTTTATATGACTGTTTGGAGTTGTTTTCTAAACCAGAGACATTGGGGGAAAATGATCTTTGGTATTGCCCTCAATGTAAAGAGCACAGACAAGCAACGAAAAAGATTGAGTTATGGTCAGCACCGGATATACTTACAATTCATTTGAAAAGATTTGAAAGCACACAAAGTTTTAGTGACAAGATCGATATTGTTGTCGACTTCCCAATAGAAGGACTTGATCTAAACAAATTTGTAGCAGATCAAAATGGAGAACATGTTTATGATTTATTTGCAGTTGACAATCATTACGGTGGATTAGGGGGTGGTCATTACACAGCGTATGTGAAAAACTTTGCTGATGGAAAATGGCACTATTTTAATGATTCACGAGTTACTCCTGTCAACGATCCTGCAGAATCCATTTCAGGGAATGCTTACTTATTATTCTATCGTAAAAGAAGTCGGGCTCCTTTAGGTGGAGACTATTTTCATAATATGATGATAGAAATTCAGAAGAGGAATGGCGAGTTGAAAAAGGCAATTGATGATAGCCAAGTCAAACAGGCTTCTAGCACTTCAACATTGGAGACCAGCGACGAAGAAATGCATACATCTGAAACGTCTGAATCTTCCGAAAATTTTGAGGAAACTCAGCCGGGCAATGGTGGCACTGCCGAGAGGAACATTAAAAATAGCAATGATGACTGCGATGATGAAAGCGAAATTGATGCAGATGATGGCAACAAGAGGCGTAAGCTGGGAGTTTCTTCTACAATTGGCGAGCCTGTCCGTAATAATAGAGGCAATGACGTTGCCACTATCGCAGAAGAAGGAAGCGCAAGCTCCACGGATACCAGTTTTACTCCTATATCCAGCTAGTCCGTATATGATGAGCTAAGATGTTTATTACATTTCGTGTATACATATATAATTGCTAGCTATTTTACCTGCGCTAAATGTCATATTCGTTCTTATGCTGTACGCGATTTTGAGAACCTTTTTTTCTTCATTTTACTTTAATTAAATTTTTTCGATAACATGAAAATTTTGAAATACTATCTAGGTCACTTTCTTATAAGGCAGTTGCTAGTTACTATAATTGAGATTAACAAATAACGTAAAAAAGTCATTATGGTTGAAGTAGATGAGAGCGTGCATTTGAAATCGGTTATATTTTCACCTTCGGAATTAGCATTAATTGCACCTGACATCACATTATCGAAATATCTCGAGGCAGGGTATCGTCCTTCTTTGCGCCGGTTCAACGAGTTTAGGCCTGTTGCCATTTCCACTGCAGGGATATCTAGGTATGACAAGAATGCAGAAACGGGTCAATTGAATGAACTGACCACTGTTATTGGATCGTCTTCTGTGAAATGTGGCGGAACATCAACGATATGTACCATCAGTGCAGGAATAGTTGAAGACGATTTTGAGGCGGTAAATGACTACAGGATGAGGCTTGACGCCGACATCATAGTTGGAGACGAGAAGGAAGAAGAGGTGGAGAACGTTTTGGGAGGTGATTTAATCAATGAGAACGGATCAGTATATCCTGTCGTGGAGATCGCCAAAGGTGTGAGCGGGCCACCAGGCGAGGAGGAAATTGGGCTCGGAGAAAAGCTTTACGAGTCGATATTGCATTCAGGACTCATTGACAGAAAGGCTTTGAGGGTCAATGTTGGGTTGAAGAGCGTGGACGAGAACGGACAGGAGGTGACGCTTAGGGGCGACGACGTCGGGATGATCCAAAAAAATTTCAGTTTTGTCATCTACGCACGGATCCAGGTGTTTGGAAGAACAGGTCCGCTGTTTGACCAATGCTACGCCTCGTTGGTAAAGGCGTTAATGGATACCAAGCTTCCAGACGTGTATTTAAATGAGAGGGAAAGTACATTGAGAACAAGGAGTGGAAAGCAGAATGCCAACATAAACGTCCAGAGCTATGACTTGGTTTGCGATCCTATACAATACAAGGAGTTGGTGCTCCGGAGTGACCGGATCTGCTGGTCGAGCACGTTTGGAATAATCGATCATACTCCTGTTTCGGCCATGGCAACGAGCGGTAACGATGGTGACGTTAGCATGGATTGTGGTGCTTCTAAGCGGGAGGTAGTGCTCACCGACTTGGAAGGGGAGGCAGAGGACAACATCTCAAAAAGAGTGTGTGCGCTCAGCAACGGAGAGGGCCGATTTGCCAGCGTGACGATTGAGAGAGGCGAAGGCTCCAGAATCACTGCTGAGACGATACGGGAAGCGTTACGGTTGTCGCAGGTGAGAGCCCAAGACATGATTGGAAAGTTGTGATGAGGAAAAAGAAAAGAGAAAAAAAAGGAAAAAAAGGAAAAAAAAAAGAAATCCTTTTCACATGCGAGTTTTTCACCAACAAACCATGATCAGTATAGATAGATATATATTGTCATATAAATATCAACACATAAATTATACAGGTGAAACGTAAATAGGCCGAAGCTACTGTTTTTTTTCGGCCTTGAAACGTCTTCTTTGGGTTGGAATTGGGGAGCCGGTGTTGGAATCGTAATTCTGTTGGAGGGTCTGTTTGTCCAACAAGACGTATTCGTTGACCTTTGCTGCGACACCGCCTCGGACTCTTTGGACGACCTTGGACTTCTTGGACTTCTTTCTGTAAACCTCGATGTAGAAGGCGATGAACAAGACCAAGTAAGAGGAGATGATCGAACAGCCAGACAAGGTGGCCAATCTAGTTCCAGAGCAGGTCAAGTTGGCGGTATACTTGGGGTTGTAGTCGTACATGACCTTGATGTAGACGGCAAAGTAGATGAAGCCCAAGTCGATGAGAAACTGGATGATCTGGAAGCGGGTGACCCACTCCTTCCACCAGACACGGATGCCTCTGGCGGCGAGGAAGTAGTACCAGTACATGACGACGTGGACAAACAAGTTGAGGGAGATGGGGACCCACGAGATCGGGGTGGTGCCGATCAACTGGGTGTAGCAGAGGAGCGCCGTAGCACCGTGGTGGTAGGTGTGCAAGAAGGTCAACTTCTTCTGCTTCAAGACAAGGAAGACGGTGTCAATGAACTCGACGTACTTGGTCAAGTAGTTCATGTAGTAGAGCACGACCATCTTCTGTGTCCACGCGTTCTTGTCGCAGATGGCGTAGAAGAGCCCGTGGTGGTAGATCTGCGGAACAAGCTGCTCGACGAGCGAGAGGAACAAGATCAGCGACAAAGTCGTCAAAAAAAGGTTGTGCACCTGGAAGATCCCGTTGAGAACAAACGGCGCCACGTTCAGCTTCTTCATCAGTCTGTCTCCGCCAAAGATCACCGTGTAGTACACGGCGATGGCGCCAAAGACTTCCTGCGGCGTCGACAGAAACGTCTCGCCGGCCACAAACTTGAACTCCGACATCACGAAGCGGCCCTGCGAGAGCACCGCAAAGAGCCTTTCCACGTAGGGGTAGAGATCGACCCCGAACGGGTGGTCGATGCTTGGAACAGGGAACGAGGACATGTTTCCGTCTGGATTGGGGCTATCGGCTGGGAAAAACGAGCTCTTTGGGGATCACAACTGTAACGAGCGACTGCAGCAGCACCAGCAGACACTCTCTGAACCCAATAACCCCAGCAGTCCCACCACCACCAAAGAAACCACCAAGCACTACCAGATAAAGAGTTACGGCACGGCCACGACGAGAGCGCATGGGCTGTCTCCTCGTCTCGTCTCCCAGGGCACGCCGGCAGAACACGAACATGTCAACACGCCCGCCAACACGTCAACAAGCCGCGGCACGCCCCACCCACCTCGCTGACGTAAGCCTGCGGAGCTCGGCGTATTTGTCTCTTTAGCGGCAACAGCCGAGAGGCTGCTGGGTTCCCCCGAGAATGAGGATGCGCTTATGTCAGCGGGCGTCGACGCGGTGGCTCTGGACATGAATTGGCAAAGGGCCGAGCCGCCGCGGGAGAGGAGGTGAGGAGGGGAAAAGAAGAGGAGGGGGCAAACGGGGCAACAGAAACAACAGAACAGGACGGAAGAAGAGGCAGAACGGAGGGCAAAGCACACTGTGATGGAAAACACAGGGTGGAACAGAGAGCGGATATCCAGCACGGCGTCGCAGTCGACGTCGGACGCACTGGAGTCGCTGTCGGAGGGCCCATCGGCGCTTGTGTGGACGCTGACGTTTGTGGCGTCGATCTCGGGGTTTCTTTTCGGGTACGACACGGGCTACATCTCGTCGGTGCTTGTGTCAATCGGGACGGACCTTGGCGGGGTGGCGCTGACGATCAAGCAGCGGGAGTACGTGTCGTCGGCGACGTCGCTGGGGGCGCTTGTGGCGTCGCTGTTTGCCGGCGTGCTGGCAGACGTGATTGGGCGCAAGTACGCGGTGATGTTCTGCGACACGCTGTTTATTGCCGGGGCGGCGCTGCAGTACACGACGACGTCGTTTGGCGGAATGGTTGCGGGCAGACTTGTCATGGGGCTCGGCGTGGGCGTCGGCTCGCTCTGCGCCCCGCTGTACATCTCGGAGTTGTCGCCAAGCAAGTTCCGGGGCCGGCTGGTCACGGTGAACTGTCTGGCGATCACGGGCGGACAGCTTGCTGCGTATGCAGTGGGTGCGGTTGCCACCGGCGGCAGCGGCGGCGCCGGCGCCGGCTACGGGTGGCGGACCATTGTGCTGTTGTCGCTGGCGCCATGTCTCGTACAGTTCTTCTCGATCCTCTTCCTCCCGGACACGCCGCGCTACCTGATCATGAAGGACCGCTACGATGACGCGGTCACCGTGCTGAAGCGCATCCATCCGCTTGCGTCGGACGCGCTGATCCACATGAACGTCGACGAGCTGCAGCAGCTAAACATGCTATGGAGCAAGGACGACAACGTGTGGTGCCGCTTGTCGCACTCGTGGAGAGACCTCTTCCTGGTGCCCTCGAACAAAAGATCGCTCGTCATTGCGTGTGGCCTCCAGGCGATCCAGCAGTTTGTCGGCTTCAACGCCTTGATGTACTTCTCCTCATCCATCTTCGAGATGGTCGGCTTCAAGAACTCCACCCTAGTCAGCTGCTTCATCGCCGGCACGAACTTCGCCACCACAGTCGTTGCCCTGGTCATCATCGACAGGGTCGGCCGCCGCAGGATCCTCCTCTACTCGATCCCGCTGCTACTTCTTGCCCAGGTCTCGTGCGCATTGGCTTTCGCCAACATCGACGTTGACGTCCAGACGCATCTCCAGCCATCGCCAAACCCCTGGCGCTACCTCCTCTTGATCTCGTTGATTCTCTTTGTCTGCTTTTACTCGATTGGGTTGGGAAACGTCCCCTGGCAGCAGAGTGAGCTTTTTCCACAGAAAGTGCGTGGCCTCGGGTCGTCACTGTCGACAGCCACAAATTGGTTTGGGTCCATGCTCCTCTCATTCTGCTTCCTCTCGCTAATGGACACCATCAGCCCCTCGCTCACCTTTCTGCTGTTTTCCTTCAACACCCTCCTCGCCTTCATCTTTGTCTATCGCCTATACCCGGAATTGAGCGGCCTGCAGTTGGAAGACATCCAGGCGCTACTCAGCGATGGCTACAACGTGGCCAAGAGCATGCAGCTGCACAAGGAATGTCAAGGCTACCAACTACTCGACCAGAGTTAAAAGAAACTCATTGAAGCATTATACCACTGTATAGATTTTTATTTATTTGTTATCATTTATTCAGGGACTTCTTTTTCCTTTCTTCAAGAAATGAATTATTAGACACAGAAAAAAATGTAAAGCATTAAAATGGTAGATAGAAAATAGTAAACATAAGGAAGAAAGCAAAAAATAGCATCCTGCCTCAGCGTGGCACGACGTGAGACAAATCGGCATCTCGAAGCTGCATGCTCTTTTTCATGTGACTTGGCGGCGTCGAAGGAGCATACCGTCCTTCGTAGTCAAGCATGCTCGGATGATTCCCCGAGGCTAGGTTGAAATAACCCACTTTTGGCGAGGTCTGTGGCGAGTACCCGTGTCGCTGTGAGGTTTTGTAGTACGGGCTGTTTGCGCCAGGGTACTGCAGTGGATGCTGTTGGTGTTGCTGGTGCTGCGGTTGCTGTGGTTGCATTACATATGCACGCGGATAATGTGGTTGTTGCTGCTGTGGTTGCGGATAAAATCCTGGCTGTGAATAAGGCACCTGTGGCACTTTTGGGTGACTTGTACTTCTTGCGTAAGGCCCGTAAGGTCCATGCTGTGGATTGAAGTTTCTATGTTGATAGGATTGCGGACTTGGAGCATAGTGCATCTGGTTCGACGGAGAAGAAATGGGGCCCCGCTTAGTGAAGCCATGACCAGAATTGTTGGCGGAACTATTGTAACTATGCGGAGAGTTTTGATAGAGCTGTGGGGAGGTACGATGTGGGGAGGAAGGAGGGATCTGCGGCTGCACTTGATGATGGTTGGGGAACTGGTACGCTGGGTTGTTGTTGTAGTGGTGGTGGTGGTGGTGTGCTTGCGGCGAAAACTGTGGGCGAGCGTGGCTGATGTGCTCCTTTCTACCGTCCACCAAGTCAGAACATGACATAACCTGATGCTTAGACTGATCGGCAACTAGGTGGATTGGAGGCGCTGGTAGTGGTGTTTTGGGAGCTGGGGTACGTGCTTCTGCAACGCTCTTCTTTCTCTTGATGGGTACAGAAGCTGACCTCATCAGACTGTCATCTATGTCTGCAGCAAAGTCGGGATCCAGTCCCGGCTTAGACAAGTCTGTCGTGGCTGCCGAGTTGGTGTGTTGATGAGTGGAAAGAAGTTGACGAAAGTGCGGAACCTCCTTGAACCCATCCTTGCCGACACCGCCTGGTGTTGCGTACGGGACGCTGCTGCTGTTGCTCGCGTGTTCGTCATCGTGTTCTCTGTTGTGGATGAAGGAGTCGTTTATAGCATCGCCCTTTGCGGAGTTCGTGGACAAGCTGGAGAGTGTGTGGTTGTGGTGGGAGAGCAGGTGCATTTTTGGGGTGGAGCCCACGGAGTACTGCGGGGTAACGTGCATGTGCGTCTCGGGCGAGTTCGCCGGGGTGTAGTCGAGAGCCCGTCTGGTCGGGGTGTTGGGCACAAAAGAGAGTTCGGTGCCGCCTGGCGTGGCGTCCCTGGGTAGGCTGTCCTCGCTGGCTGACGCCCCGTAGCCGCCCTGCTGTTTTTCCTGGCTGCCGCCATAATCCTCGTCGTCCTCTCTTTCCGACTCCGACTCGAAACTGGACACCCTCGACTCGGCGTCCTGCAGCAAGCTGTCCAAGTGGATCGACTTCACGTTGGCCCGCTGCGTCACCCGGGCGGCGTTCTGCTCCACTGTGTTGATCTTCTTCCCCATCTCAAGCGCCTTGTTCACCGCCGACTTCTGAGAGTTTTTCTTCTTCGTGTCGCCTAGCACGTACTTCAAGTACTTGAACTTGGACGCGGGAAGCACGTTGATGCTGTTCACCGTGCTCTCGGACGTCCCGCTCGTGTTGACGCGCACGCTGCTGTCCGAGTTCACCGTCACCACCGACCCCGTGCTTGTGTCCGCATCCAGCACGGGCGAGACAACACCCGTCGTGCGCTCAAAGTCGTCCCACTCGTTGTCTGCCAGCTTGAGCTTGTCAAGAAGTCGCCCCGTCGTCGCCACAGAGTCCACCGACACCGCACTGATCAGACTTATCCGCCGCCCGTCGTTCCCATGCTTCTGCCGGTTCGCCTCCTGCGCTATCCTGGAAAGCGGCGAGTTCACGCTCTCGTTTCTTGGCATCGTCCTGTCGTTATTGGCCTGCTGCCTTGCGCTGACGATCCGATCGTTCTTTCTTGCCCCTCGACAAACAGCACAACTAGTCCTGCTCACGTGTGCTGGATAGGGAGAACACCGCTGTGTGTGTGTGCGCCTGTGCCTTTTCCTGTGCCCGTGCTGTCTCTGGTGCTGTCCTAGAACCCTTGAACGACACCACCTTCATCTGCAAGCCCTCATGGCCACCCTGAAACCATTCACGCTCCTGGAGCAGACCTATTTCAAAACAAGGGGCAGCGGCAGCAGGGGCGGGAACGAAAACAAAAACAATCATGCAGGGCGGGAGCCACCAGTAAAAATAGCAGCACACCGGTCACGTGGCGCAAACCCCACTGCCGTTTGCCGGGCCAGTTACGTCATCCACCGCCTCTTCTTCTGAAGCCCGACGCTGATCGACCGCAGACCAATTTTTCGCACCGTTGGTTGGTGGGGGGACTGTCTCTTTTAGGTAAGTTTGGGCGAAAACGGGTTGTGCCGGGGTCACGTGCGGGTGTTCTATATTACGTAAGCGATGGGGGACTGCTGGCGCCCGATAAAGAAGAGCTTTACGTAATGTATTCTTGTGTCTGGGGAGTAGGCTCCTGTTACACTTCACTATATCAGAATACGGCGGACATGGCAATCGCATGGCAATCCAGACACTCTCTCAGTCCTGGAACTCGATCTTGAAGTTGTCGGCAGGCAGGGGTCTCTTCTCGGGAAGCACGATCTTGCCGCGGGACTCCATCGTTCTCATCTGGATGACCTCGAGGAGGTCGCAGAGAATGGTGCACACGGGGGCCGGCACGCCCTTTTCCTCGGCAATGCTTAACGCGGTCCCGAGAATGACCTTGTACTCCGTGTACTGGTTTTTCCGGATGTCGATCAACATCGAAGGCGGGTAGTACTCGCCGTCGTCGGAGCGGATCATCTTGTCCATGATGTCCTCGGGGAGGTCGACGCCGTCGGCCTTGGCAATGGCAAGGATCTCCCGCATGGCGGGTCTCGCCACCTTGTCCATACCTCCAAACAGCTCCAAGCGCCCGGCGTCGACGTTTGTGATCGCGCATGTCGTGTTGATCGCCCCATTGTACACCAACTTCCTCCATCTGATGTACTTCACGTCCTCGTCGTACTTGGCGCCGTTGTGCTCGTTGTGGTAGAGCGCGGTGAACGCCTTCGCCTTGGCCACCTGTGGCTCCTTCTCCAGCGACGGGTTGAGAAACGGCCCGAAAGACACCGTGTCACTGCCCACGTGCTTCACCGTCGTCCCGTACAGCGTGCTGCTGATCATCGTCACGCCGGAGATGATTGTCGCGTCAGGATACGCCTTGAACATCGATCTGTCGATGCCCACTCCGTTCTCAAGCAACACAATCGCCGTGTCCTTGCTGTACGCCTTCTCGATCATCTTCTCCACAGGCGCTACGTCCGGGATGTTCTTGGTCGTCACCACAATGTAGTCAAAAGGACCTCTCTCCTTCGCAGCCTCGGCCACGTCCTTGTACACGTGGTCGGGCTTGAAGTTTTCGACTTTTCCGTAGTCCAAGGACTCGATAGTAAAGCCGTTCTCCTTCAAAACATCGTAGGACGATCTTGCGATCGCAGTCACCTCTGCACCGTTAGCCTTTAGTGTGTATGCGGCTATGGAGCCAACACCACCAATACCAATCAAAAGAACCTTTGGAGCCATTTTTTTCTGTCTTCTCTTTGTGTTCGTTGTTCTTCAACTCCAGAATGCAATAAAGAGAGTACTAACAAGAAAGTTGAAAAGAAACGGAATAAAACCGGATCTTTTAATCCCCTGCCCAGAAAGAAAGGCCCCTAGCTGCCCATGGAATGTCTCATCTATCGCAACCACCCACCCATTCGGTAACCTCAGTGTCGGAATACTTCCCACATCAGGAATTACGCGCTCCGGAACAGGAGGAGGCAGCCTCTGCTTACGGGTTTCCCGAGGGCCTGCAGACTGGGGAAGCCTGTGGGGCAGCGGTCTACTGCTAAATGAACTCCGGGGCCTTATCCCCAGATAAGAAAGGCAGAGAGAGCAACTGCTATCAGAGTTTATGCAAAAACAGCAGTTTGTTCTTTAATCCTGTTTAATATCGTGTTAAAATAATACAAAAATAATGTCCGATTTCCACGGCTAGTCGAGATATTCGATTTGGTAGTTGTCTTCCCGTGTCGGTCTCTTCTTCGGGAGAACAAAGCGTCCGTTCTGCTCCATGGTTCTCATCTGGATCATCTTCAAAAGGTTGCTTAGCACTGTCAACGTAGGAACAGGGACGTTGTTGCGCTTGGCGATCTTCACAACATTGCCAATGATCACAATGTGCTCGATGTAAGTCCCGTTACGCGTGTCGATGAGCATGGAAGGTGGATAGTAGACGCCGTCCGCTCCTCGGATCATCTCGTCGATGAGGGACGCTGGCAAAGTGACGCCTTCACTCTTTGCTGTCGCAATAACTTCCTCCATCGCTGGTCTCAGAACAGAGTCAGCACCGCCAAACAGCTCCACCCTGCCACTGTCCAAGTTCACAATTGCACAGGTGGTGTTGATGGCAGTGTTATAAACCAACTTTCTCCACCTGGTCAACTTGACATTCTCCTCATACTCCGTCGAGTTGTTCTCGTTTGAGTAGATCTCCACAAATTTCTTGCACTTCGCAATTTGGCTCTCCTTGCTCAAATTGTAATTGATAAACGGTCCAAACTTGATATCATCTCGTGCAACGTGTTTGACGGTGGATTCGTACAATGTTGTCCCAATCAATGTGACACCTGAGAGAACAGTCGCTTTTGGATACTTCTTGTAGATTGGAATCTCAATGCCAATGCCGTTTTGAATTAACATAATGGCAGTGTCGTCGGAATAGCAATCTTCCAACATGTCTACAACAGGTGAGATATCCGGAATGTTCTTTGTCGTAATGACGATATAATCGAAAGGACCATATTTCTCGACAGCTTCCTTCCCACTCAAAACCACTTTGGAAGGAACATATTTCTCAACAGTACCGTAATCCACAGACTCAATTCTATATCCCTGGTTAGCTATCTTGTCAAAGGTGATCGGTCTTGCCACTGCAACGACTTCCGCTCTTCCAAGATGCTCAAGGGTGTACGACACAATCGTACCCACACCCCCGAAACCAATTAATAACACCTTAGGCACAGAAACAGCCATCTCTCAAAACTTGCACCCAGTTACCTTTTCAATCGGTCTTCTTTGTTTTGCAGATTATTAGAAAAGTAAACCCGATTACAAAATGTCTGCTTTCAAAAGCAGTATAGTAATATAACCGGCCAAAGGAAAGCATTTTTCTCGCACGCCACTGCGGCTAGCTTCATTCGGAACAGATAAGCTGTCTGATGTAAACTTGTGGCAGACATTTCGCTGCTTTAGCCCTTTCTCGTGCAAAAAGTTTCTACCTGGAAATCAAAACCACATTTCTTGATTCCCAATTATGAATCATGTAATTGTAGGGGGAAGGCACCATTCAGTACCCATACCCCTCTTTTCCAGCTCTAGTTATAGTACCTTTTGGTACTCGAACTTTGGAAGCACATGATACTATCAGTATGGATTTGTAAAATAAGTGGTTTGAACATAAAGTAAGTCTTTTCTTGAAATTTAACAGTCACTGGTAACAAGATATGAGATATCGGTGGGTAAGTGAGATAGTATATATGGTTATTTGAATTTTAATTAATGATACTTAGTTTTTGTTTCAGTTGAATCTGCTACAAATAAAGCAATACCCCGAGACTTTTCCGTTTATTGTATCGGGCCGACCTTGCAGATAACATATCGTTCAGAATGATGGGAACTATTCCCTTTCGTTTGCAATTACAATTAACGAAATTTTCTGTACTCTTTGGTTTATTTAACAGTATGATAAAAAATGAACTATGCACTCGTATCTTGCAGATTGATGATCAAAGTCGCAAAAGATTTCTCATTTAGTTTGACTGTATATACTCATCTATCACTAGACGTCCAAACCAGCTGTTCAGAACCCTTTCTTATTCACTGAAGCTCCGGTTAAACTTCCTGTTCCAGGTCCCCCTCCAAGTGGTGACGAAGTCTCCACCACGGCAGCCGAACTCCCGAGCATGCTCAGAGTTAAAACCATCACAAGCAAATGTAAACTCAAACAATATACTACAAATAGCCATCTGGTGTACGACGTGCTTAGGACAGACCTTGTAACTTGAATGAATATACGGTCCCAAGGTGTGATATTGGAATTGATTCTCTTTGTCTCCATAATACGAAATTGCTCAATCGGATGCAGGTCGTTTTCGTATTCGGAGCGGTACCTACTCTCAATATCCCCATTACCTTGGGAAATCGAGTTCTTGTTAGTTTGGTGGTATTCCAAAAATCTGATCTTTTCGTAAAGTTCACGGTTATCATTCTTCAAAGTATTGATTTCTCTTTTCAATTCGATTACCTTGCTAAAATGCTTTTTGTTCTCCTCTTCCAGTTCCTTGTTTCTGTTTCTGAAGCGGTCCCTTTGTTGTGTAATAATAGGAAGAAGCGATGCATCGGCGGCGTTGCCTACTGTCAGTGTTAAGTTGTTATCATTCCCTCCGGCTATAGATGCAGCAGGTGATACTTTACCGTGGCTTTGGCCTCCCGCAATCGAAGAAATCATAGACATTGTCTCCCACCTGTCATTGCTTCCGTTGCCGCCGCCGTTACTATCAAAGTTCATCAAATCATTTTCTAGTATTGAGTTTGAATCTTTCAAGCTCTTAATTTCTTTCTCATAAGAATTAATCTTAGCGGATAGCGCATTTATCTTCTCTACATTTTCCTCGTTTTGTCTCCTCAATTCCGTCAAATCATTGTTTAGTTTTTTGTTCCTTTGAACAATTGCAGACTCAAGTTTTGATACGCTACTTGCATTTGATCCAGTATTCACATCTGTGGCTTCATCTTCGTCACCAAATTGAATTTGCTTCAAGATTTCCAACTCTTTCTTAGTCTCTTCATAGTCTCCAGCAGCATCTTTAAATTTCTTCAGTTCGTCGATTTCAAAACTCAATTGCTTGGTTTCTCTGCTAAAGTTGGTCTTAAGAGTATCAATCTCTTTTCTTAGACTCGTTGACGCTTTTCTTTCGTATTCCAGTTTCGCAATCAATAAAGAGTTTTCACCTTCAAGGTTGCTTATCCGTTTGTTGTTCTCTTGTCTTGTTTTCTGGATTTCGATGTCAATACTTGACCCCAATGAGCTGACTTCACGTCTCAATTCTTCATTTCTCTTTTCAAGAGATTTCACTCTTCTCTGGGAGTTGCTCAAATCATTTTTGAGATTCTCTATTTCAGTAGAATTTGCACTTGAACCGTCTTCTTTGTAATTCTCGTCTAATTTTTTCACTTGATCCACCTCTTCTTCACCTTCATCGTCATCATCTTCACCTAAAGCTGCAATTTTCTTTTTGAGTTTCAATTTGAGCATTTTTTCGTTGAGTTCGTGTTCTTGTATTTGTCTTCTCAAGTTTTCAAACTGAGCAGCCTTTTCTTTCTCATCCTTTGCCCAATTGTTTTCCTTCTCCTCTAACAGAGATTGCCATTCATTCTCGGTGGCTTTTATCTGTGCCTCATTTATGGCCTTCATTTGTGTTTCGGTCTTTTCGATTTGCTCTTTCAACTTATCATAATCGGCTACTTTCAAAAGCTTCTCCTCCAAGATTCTATTTTCCTCCTTTATCTTGTCTATTTCTGATGTCGAAGCAATGTTCTCCAAACTAGCTTTTAACAATGGTTTTGGATCTGGTGCCTCCGCAATTGATCTGTACACTTTGAAAAACAAAGTTTCGACATTTTTGTTCTTCTTATTAATGGAATCGATCACATTTTGGTACGACTTTAATAGTTGATTGAAGTTTTCCAATTTCTCCTCATCCGTCAACTTTTTGAAATCTTTTGTTTGTGTTGCAAGTTCTTTCCTGCCTAGCAATGACTCTTTTTGGTAGTCTTGTATTTCTAAAGCTTTCGAGTCTAGTTCCTTCTGTAAGCTGGACAAATCAATTGCAGACCACGAGTTCAAAGCTTTCTCGAACAACGCAGTCGAGTCAACAACAGTGACAGGACTCTGCGATTCAAGCCTATCCACGCTAGTCATCTGTTACGTACGTTGCAACAAGTAGTCTGACACTATAATTGGTGTTCTACCTTTAGTATATTGTGCGGTGCCGATATATAGCTGTAATGTGTGAACACCCCAAACACGTATAAACTGGCAGTAGCGCTCTACACCTCCTCAGTGCGGGGGTGATGTGTTCAGGCAGGCCAGCGAAGCTACTTTGTACCACGGGATAAAGCACCATGTAATATTAGGTTTTGAAAGCACTGTTCTGAGTGTATTCTTATCTTTATTTACCCTCAATTAAACTCAGACACTACGGCTGTCTTATAAAAGCTGCTGTGATGGCATGTGTGGTTTTTATAGGGGGTCCATCAGGAACGGGAAAAAGTACGGTGTCCCAGGAACTTGTCTCGCAGCTTTCGAAGACTGTGAAATGTTGCTTGATCGAAGGTGACGAATGGCACAGTTTGGCAAACATCGAAAAGATGAGCAACAACATTCCTCTCACTGACGAGGATCGATGGCCTTGGTTAAAGAAATTGGCGCAGCTTGCTTCATTAAATGCAAAGGATTACGAGGTAGTCGTTATCGCCTGCTCAATGTTGAAAAAGTCATACAGAGATCTTTTGAAATCAGAATTGGCAAATGATAAGAACATTACCAAGTTATCTTTGTTCTTACTTTGTAACACCTATGAAAATGTGCTACGGCAGATGAAACAGAGGAAAAACCATTTTTTCAAGGAGTCAATGTTAAGATCTCAGTATGACACATTTGAGAAACCAGATGAATCTGTGGAATCAGGAGTGTACATTTTGCACTGTGATCACAAGACACAAAGAGAACTAGCTGATGAAATTAGAGGGAAGCTATAAAAGATGTACATAGTCAGGTGTGAGTCGAACAAAGCAAATCAAATCACTGTATAGCACTTCATTATGCTCTTCTTAAAATTTTGTCATCTTTTTCTTTTGCTATTGTCTTCGAATCCGCTGGAGTTAGAACCCCGTCCACTCATAAAAGCATAGTTTCTTTTCTGGTTTATTTGCGAATTGCTCATGTTGCTCATGTTGTTCATGTTTATACTGCCGATATTGCCAATATTGGCATTGTTAGAATTGGGAATTTTTCGCTTGTTGTTAGCCCGACTGTTAGCATTGACGTTGCTCACAGCACCCCCATAAATGGAATTGTTGGCACCGCCCAGAATATCACTATCGCCCTTATGTATCTTTCGCCTTGGATACTTCATCGTTGAACCCTCAAATATATTCTGTACAGGCTTCGGACTTTGTAGAAACCATTTATGTGACATTGCATCCAAAGAATTGATGCGAACTGCAGGATCATAAATTAACAGTTTACTTAGCAAATCAAAACAATTAGGGTCACTGCCTCCATTATTGGCATACCAAGCTTTAATATTGGAAGGAAACAGAGTGAATCTTTGTAACTGTGGGTACTCGGGATAATTATTCAATGAGGGCCAGTCATACAGTGTTGGGGTGCCCAATATTTGTAATATCTTTAATAATTGATTCTCTTGGAATGGCATATGCTTCTTATTATCCATTTTCGTTTCTTCACCTTTGAACAACGGGCGTAGAGATAGAAGCTCGGCAAGAATGCAGCCGACTGCCCACAAGTCAACAGCCGGGGTGTAATGCCTGGCGCCCAAAAGAAGTTCAGGGGCTCGATACCAAATAGTAACAACGACTTTATCACCAGTATAAAGCGTTTGTAATTGGTTACTAAACTTTCTTGCCAAACCCAAATCCCCTATTTTGATCACACCATCGTGTGTCACCATAATATTAGCAGGTTTTAGATCTCGATGTAAAATCCAATTCTGATGTAAAAATGATAGTCCTTGTAGAATTTGAAACATTGCACTCTTCAAAGTTGATTGTGATATAGGTTTCATTTCAGGGTGGGAATGGTAATGTATAATTTGAAGTAAGTCGTGTTCTGCAAATTCAAAAACCATGTAGATGCATTTCCTCTCAAGGATGATCTCTCTCAAAGTTGAAATATTCTTATGTTTAACTTCCTTACACAACGACATCTCTCTAATGGCACTTTGTGATATTCCAGTGTAGTGCATCACTTCATTATCTTTGGAATCCGACTTGAATTTCTTGATAGCATACAGTTTGTCCACATCGTTCCCCAGCTTCCCCACTGCCTTGTAAACCTTACCGTATGTTCCTGCCGCTATATACCCTTGGACATCATACTTGTCGATAACACTGAGACGGGCTTTGTCTTTACGAGCTCGGTACGGTCCCATGGTGAAGAAGTTGTTTGGCGCCATCCTTGCCAACTGGTTGGCGGTCGTGATGTTTTGCTGATACTGTGATGCCCGCTGCTGAATATTCAACTGCTGTTGGACTTGTTTGACTTCTCTCTGATGCTGAAGATATTTTGCTTCTTGCTGCTGCTGCTGCTGCTGCCGGGAGTACTGCATGCTGTAATAAAGCCAAATTGATTATCTTTGTGCTGTATCTCTGGCCGCCACGAGGAAATCCCTATACAATGAGTGCCAGCCAATGTGTGACAGCGGAAAAGCACCCCGGTATGCGAGTATAGGGCGAAACTTGCACTCACATGTTAGTCCCAGAACGGAAGTTTAATCGTGATTCTTAAGATGCACTTCATGGAATGTTTTGTAAAAAATAGCCATTGTTTATAAAACAGCTTCTAGCATGGAAGAATTGTGTTTAACCTGGTGATTTGTAGTTGCCCCTGTAAGTAAAAAAATTAGCTTAACTATAAAGAGTACACAATGTTCCCAAACTATATACAAAGATGCAGAAGAAGAATTACAGCCTTGGTCAGTTCCTGACTTCGGGAGGAACGTTCTTTTCCGGGGATGCTTTTGATGGATTTATTTTTTTGAAAGCCTTGCTGAAGGGTCTCTTGATGACTCTTCCTAAAGACCGGAGAACGTATTGGTCGAAAAAAGGTGCCAAAAGAATAGCACTGATCCAGATGACTGGGCCCAATACACGGATGGTGGCATACGCATTTGCTCCTGCCATTTCTGCAGTATGTTTGTCACCTTGGGACTCGTCCCAGTTTATCAAACCGTTGTGCATGAGCTCCATTCCCTTAACGACAATGTTGTCTGGCAAAGATGGAGGGTTGATTTCGTATTGGTCAAAAATATACCAGAGTATGAGGAAAGGGATAATGGAGAGAGCCTGTTGGAGAATAGCAATGCTGATGATAAAGCCAGCAGGTCTCAGTAGAATAGATCTCATGTACGGTTTGAGAAGAAGTGGTGTCTTTTGATAGTATTTGTTTGTAGCTAAAGATTTGATTTTCTCTATATCTTCGATGTCGGACACGGTTTTGGCGTCTTTAAGAACTTTCCTTTCCTGTTCCATAGCTTCAGGTAGTTTCTTGATCTTAGTTGCCCGCTTGTAGATCAAGTGTGTCAGTGGACTTGAGGCAAAGCTCCTGCCCTGGAGCAGATAGTGGGGGGAGATTGGGGCATGGAATATACGATTCCCTATCTTTGCAGAGGAAAACACTGACTTGGGGAATAAAAGTCTGAACATTTCTTCAATGAGTTAGGGATGGATGTTCCTGGTTGAAAGACCGGTGCAGCTTTAGTGCAACCAAAGAGATTTCAGGAGGTAGGTAGTCTCTTGGGAAGGTTGGAAAAAGGTTTAGCAAGACCTCGCCTCAGTCACTCTTTCGGCTTCTACTACCTACTACAGGATTTATGCGATTTTGGGGGTAAATAAGGCAGGGAATACCAGGGAAAGAGAGTTTAGCACATGAGCACAAAGTGTAAAAGCTGTAGATAGTATTACCTGGTAACTGAAACTACAAATCTGTTGGGAATATATAAAAAAGGGCGAAGACGAAGAAGAGTATCAGAGACGATCCTGCAGATCAATTAGCTGCTGAGAGAAGCAAAGTACTCCTTGCGAAACTCGTTCGATTCTGTGTTGCCGTCGATACGGTTCAAGGCGACCCACTTAGGCTCGTCTTTGAACAACCGCAGGGCCTTGACGAACTTGTCATCAGTCAATGTGAAACGGTGGTAGATTCCTGCAGGCAAGATGAGCAGGTCATACTTCTCCACGAGAGTCCGAACCCACCTGTCATTGTTGTCTCTGACGTCGAAGTAGCCTGTGCCATCGATGATGTATCTGATTTCCTCGTCTTCGTGGATGTGTTCGTTAAAGAAGACATCCAACTTGGCGTTAAGAGCCTCCTCGCCGCCGGGGAACGTGGCGCCGTCCAAGGTTATGTAGTCTCTGTTCTTGTACTGTCTTTCTGTGGCCAGGTTGTCGACAGATGCTTGTGAGTCGATGTACTTGTAAAAGACCCCGAGCTTTTCCAATTCCTCAGCTGCGACGGGTTCCCCAGAGTCATGAGGCGCTGTCATTGGCGAGTCATCTTCCTTATAGTAGTATATTTTCACCATGCTCTGTCTGTGTTGTGGTTGGCGGGTGTGATAAAAAGGAGAAGAGAAGGAAAAGATAGGTAAAAGTACAAGAGAGATTACTACCTGCCCAATTACGGGCACGGTATTTCACTAGCACATGCCCCGCATAATACTTGTAGCCACAATGGGGAGAAACGTGCTTTTTCTCTCCCTAGCCCTCACTGTGGCATCAACCGTATGCATTTTTATTTGTTACTCGTTCTTTTATTCTTTTATGAAAGACAATGTTATACAGATGATTTTATATATATATAAAGCGGAGATATGATCAAACCACCTTGACATATTTCTGCACTTGGAGCTGCAACATGGCGTTGCGGCTGGCGACCTCGCCGTCTGAGATCTGCGAGCCGATGCTGACAGAGTCTGGGAAACTGCAGACGTCGTGCTTGAGGAGGTCAGAAGGGAGACCGGTGAGGAGACACCACTTGTCGAAGTTGACCACCACCTGGTGGTTGCTGTCAACGTTAGAGGTGCCGATGATGAAGGATGTAAGCACCATGCGTTTCAAGAGGTTGAAGGGGATCTTTGGCGAGCTGTACATGCTTGAATGGTGTAGGAGGATTTTCTCGAGAATGAGCAGGTTCTTGGTGAGACTGGAGAGAGAGAGGCCGCACTTGAGAACCAGGAGGTTGATCAGGTGGCAGAAGCCGCTGACTTCGGTGTCCTGTAGCCCAAGGTTGAACTTCATCTCGAAATTCTCGTAGATGATCAGGATGATCAGGTTGACCAGTTCCTTCTTGTTGTGGATATGGTTCGACATCGACGCTAGGAGAGACTCGATTCTCGACGAAGGGGACGAGGCGTGCTGCTGCTGCTGCTGCTGCTGCTGCTGTTGCTGTTGCTGTTGCTGTTGCTGGTTGTCGGAGCAGTAATACTGGTCCTCGGTGTCACAATCAGAGTATGACAAGGGAGAGCCGACGGTTTCTGGATCGCTGTGTGCTGTGTTAAATGCGGCAGTGGGGACGTGTCTTCTCTGGTAGATGTAAGACATTCCATACAGCAAATATCGGGATCAGAAAGTGGTGCAAGGTAATAAAAGTAGTGGTAATAATAATAGCTATTGAAGTGAATTAGTTCGTTAAAGTAATGATATAGTAGTGAATTTGACCGCCCAGATGATGAATAAAAATTTTTTGTAAAAAGCTTAACCTATTGATTGAATATTCCCAAGAAAAAAATGTGTATAAAAGACCTGCTGGTGCTGGAAATGGCGACGGATAACGAGGTGGCTTCTGTCTATCCTATCTTGTTTGCTTCGGGCGTAAGGGGCTGCCCAAACTTAATGAAAGATGACGGAGACCATTTTTGCTTATCAATGAACCCCGATGCACGCCTAACCTAACCAAACAAATTTAAAAAAGTGAATTTGAAAAATACAATTGACTAATACAATTGAAATAAAAACGTAGAAGCAGAAAAGAGTTTTTTGTGTGTATTTCTTGAATACGCTGTGAGTGGGTGAATATCGGTGTTTTGCAACAATGTGCTTTTCCAGATAGCAACCGAAGACGATACTAGCACGGGAATCGACTGTTCCTGCACAACTAACGCTTGCTGTCCGCCACAAGAGAATCAAGACCCCAACACCAACAAATCGCCACCACCCATCCACGACTGCCAACAGCGGCGTCCCCGTGTTATATAGCACCCTCTCGCCGATGACTAACTCCGTACTGCCTCGCACCCAGCTGTGAGTAATGCCATCCCAGCGTGGGGCCGTTTGCTCCTCTGTTCCTCGCTGCGCCGCCGCGATTACTCACGGCAGCGGGAACCCACCCAGCAGGGCCCGGTGAGTGAATGAGAGAAAATCAGAAAGTGAGTCACCGCGTTCCGCGCGTGCTCCGAGTTCGTCCGTGGGAGGAAGAGAAGGGTTCTGACGTAAGCAGTGTGCTGACGTAAGCAGTAGGTGGACAGGACGGTACGTTGAAGGATGGCTAGAAGGATGGCTAGAAGGTTGGCTAGAAGGACGCTATAGAAGGACAGCTATGGAGGGCAAAAGGACTAGGAGAACTGGTAGCCGAACATGATGGCGTCGACAAGGTCGGGGTGGCCCTTCATGCGGCCTGCGTTCTTGACGCGGCCGATGCGCTCGAAGCCGAGTCTGTCCCAGATGCGGCAGCTGGCGACGTTGGTCTCGTAGACGAGGTTGAACACGCTGGACTTGAAGCCCAGCAGCGGGGCCCACTTGAGGTAGTTGCGGCCCATGACACTGCCGCAGCCGGCGCCGCGGTGGTCCAGGCTGACGAGGAAGCCGGCGTTGCAGACGTGCGCAGAGCGGCCGATGTAGTTGGGCTTGATGTAGAAGCAGCCGAGGAGCTCGTGGGCGCCTCCGGCGGCGATGTCGAGGTCGGTGCGGAGCCGGTCCTGCTCCGGCACGGTGCCCCGGACCATCACGGCGACAAAGTGTGGGAAGTAGTACTCGTAGAACTGCGTCCTCGTGAGCGGGTGCTCGTGCACGTACGTCGTGCCCTCCTCGACGATTGCGTTGAACAGCGTGTAGATGGCGTCGACAACGTTCGCCGGCGTCTCCTCGAGCGAGTTGTACGGGAGGATCGTCACCGGCGTGCCGTCTCTAAGCTCGTCGTAGAGCGGCTGCGTGATGAAGCGGTTTTCTTCGACAACCATTGTCTGCTGGGTGGCCCTGGCGGTAGCTGGTGGCAGCCTGCTGCATCCTGGACCGTCCCGCAAACCGTCGTCCCTGGTGCCTGCTGCCGTCTTCTTATGTCTCTGCGTCCGTCGCCATGTGTCCCGCAAACCGTTCTCGCTCGTTCTGGCGCTTGGCAATCGACCCGCTCGGTCTCGGCATTTCCTCTTTCAGCGAGAAACGCTTATCTACAGAGACTCGGGCTAGCAGGACGGCCCACGACTGCTGGATACATGCGGTTGGCGACTATGAACAGGTGTAGGGCGGTGACAGCGCTGAAGACAGTGACGGCACTGCAGTTGGCCATACCTCGTCCGATCTTCTGCTGCAATCTGTGTCTGCTCCGTGCCCACGCCCCCTGTCCGTGTCCATATCTGCCACCACACCTCGCAGGCCCCCCGGCCCGACGCCCGAAGCCGCTCTCCCGGCATGATTTCCGTTACCGCATTGAGTAAAAACAAACGCAGCCCGAAGACGAGAGACGCCCGTAAAACTGCTCTCATGGGGTCGTCTACGCTGCCTTCACGTACCTGCTTCACGTCGGTGGTGCATACGTCTGTCTATTGTAGAAAAGCAATCCACACTTTTGTGTGGTTCACGTCTTGCCAAACACTAAGATTGTGTATCTCCTGGGCAAACGTACGGTTCACATATCTTTTTTAACTCCGAATACAACCAAAAAAACCAGCATTGTGTAGCGTTCGTTGCGTCTCTCAATCCTCCTTTTTCAAGTCTACGCTTCCCCCAACTTACTTCCCCCTTCTCCGTCGTCGCCCTCTTCTTTTTTCCTTGTTGCAAAATAGCCTATCGCCTCCTTCGGTTTTCGCCAGCTGCTCCACTAAACACCCTCAACTCCCCAGCGTCCCAAGAGCTGCAAGCGGGAAAAGACGCACAACCGATACGAATGTCACAAACAACCGGATATCCCAGTTTCAACCCTGAGCTCCACCTAATCACATCCGAAGACACCCATGACGCGTCGAAAGCAAAACCCAAGATAAAGTTTGATATCAGGAAACTTAATATCCTGTCGCCAGAATGCAACTCGTATCTCGAGCCGCTGTCGCAAAACTGCTTTCCCATCTTCACAGCGGCTTGTATCAAGATAATACAGTGGGAGCTCAACAACTGGCTGCTGACAAAGGACCGATGTGACTGTTTGAAGAAGTTTGAGAAGGACAAGAGCTTTTCGTTTTTGAACTTCGAGTCTCCCACAATGAAAAGCTGCGTGAACGTTTTGCCCTTCTCGTACCAGGCCTTCACCCATGCGAAGACCATCGAAGTGCTTAGCTCCCACTTGGGGTTCCCAATCGAGCTGGTCATGGACTATGAGATCGCCCACTTCGCTAAAAAGATAGACAGCCACAACAAACACATGGTGGAAAAGATGAACTTGGGCGTCTCTTCCAAAGTCATCATCCGCAAAAAAAGCGTGGCGTATCCGTATATATGTCTTATCAAAATCAACCCAAACGATATCTGTGCAGCCCTACCGGTAGGGTATGCCTTCTTCTTGAAGGGGAGGCTGATTGAGAACCTGGCGGGCAAGGTCATATACAACAAAAATACAGTGAACGAAATGGTCCTGTGCCCATCCTACGTTCCCAAGCAGATCAACCTCTACGAGGACTACAAGCAGAACCAAAACAAGGTTCTCTGCTCCAAACTCTACAAGAACTTCCGTGAGGAGGAGAACATCGAGAACATCGAACGGATCAAAAGCTACAAGACATGGTTGAACCGGTACTACACATCTGAAGGCCATATAGGAGACATCCAGTGAAGGTCGCTGCTATTTGTTTCTCTTGGGTTTGGCTTGGTCTCGTTCGGTTCGGTTCGCTCGCTCATATCGTTTGTCTTTTCTCCACTTGGTTCAGTTTGGTTTCCTTTGTTTCTCTGCTTCTTTTTCGTCTTCTTCGTTATACAGTCATTTTATATTGTAATTGATCACAGCGCTCATAATCCTGTCGTCAAAGAGCTTGATGCGGATCGGCATGTCGAGACTGTAGAAGGGGTTCTTCATGACGTAGTCCGCGTAGAGCCGGTGGATCGTCGTCTGGAAGCCCGCGATCTGGGGCTCGCTCAAGTCCGTCGACGTCAGAATGATGACCTTGACGCCCGTGACCGTCTGGTGGACAAACATGTTGAACTTCTCCGTGTTCACGCACCGGAGCCCTGTCTTGTTGCTGTGCACATTGATGCCTCCACCAGTGTTTTTCCGGCCACCGCTGCCGCCGCCAAAGCCCAGGCTCTCGTCCTCCAGCGGTATGCTGGCTGTCGAGGAGCGCTGGTCGGCCCGCTCCGCCAACTGCGAGCTGTTGCTGTTCGTGGTCGTGCCCGTGTTGCCCATGTTGTTGCTGCTGCTGTTCCCGCTCGTGCCCGTGCCGTTCCGCGGGTCCTTCGACCCCGTGTTCCCCGACAGACTGCCCCGGGCCGCTGCCGGCGTCAGCTTCGACGCTATCGCGTGGATCCCATGCAGGTTGCTGGCGATGATCAAGTAGTCGTTCGACTTCTGCTTCGTGATTGGCGAGCCCGCTGTCTTGAAGTCTCGCTGGTAGAGCAGCGACCCCGACTTGGAGATGAGGTACAGGGAGTAGATAGCCATTGCAGTCCAGACCGGAGATGCAAAATCGCCACAAACACACAGACCACTGACGAGCAAGTTTGCCTCCTTTCTCTGGCTTGCTGCTGGTCCACTGCCTCTTTCTTATCGGCCCAACGTCTCCCCAGCCTGCGTCTGCTGTGTCCGATACGACGCCCCGGGTCCTGGACCCCCTCTTCCAGCCTGACGTTTCCTCGTCCTGCCATAAGCGGGAGATACGCGCCGGCCAGACCGCCGGCGAGGCTGCACCGCCACAAAACTGCGCCCATCGACCTTTTCGCGGGCGGCGCGGGGACTTATCGGCCATATCGATCGTAAGACGGAGGCGGGGAGGCAGGTTAGTAATGGACACGGATCTGGCCTAGTTGGCAGGTTTATAAATACAGATGAACAGCCCCTCTGGAGAAACACAGAAGCGCAGTGTTGCGGGGAGCTGCAGGGACACGTGAGGTGTAGCAGTAGGGAAGCGCCAGCCAGAAGAGCCACCGCGGACGGGAAGAGAGAAACGATCGCAGAGATGATGATATCCGTGGCACCGAAAACACCAATGCCTACGTCGAACAGAACCAGTACGAATTTCAGCGTCAAGGGCGACGAGGGCAAGCCGATCACCAAGATCGTGATGTCGAAGGAGTGGGTGCTCCCGCCGAGACCGAAGCCGGGACGGAAGCCGTGTGACGACATTCCGAGCTCGAAACGCAAGGCACAGAACAGGGCGGCGCAGCGGGCGTTCCGAGAGCGCAGAGCCAACCGGGTGAGCGAGCTCGAGGAGAAGATCATGGAGATGGAGCGGGACCGGAGCGTGAGCGAGGGCCTGTTGAACAACATGATCAAGACGCTGCAGAACGAGAACTCGCAGCTCAAGAGCGAGAACGCCGGGTTGCGGGGCGACAACGCGAAGCTGGTGCAGAGGCTGAAGGACTCTGCACCAGCCGGAGGAGCAACGAGCTCGCCCGAAAGAATGAGCAGTCTCGAGTCTCTCTTCAACCTCGAGCCGCAGTCCGCCGTCCCGCTCAAGAGAAAGTCCTCGTCTTCGGTGTCGCCGTCGACCCGGTCTCTGTCCAAGGGCGAGATCGACTTCACCAACGCCTTTGCGTTCAAGAAGCAGCGGAAGATGCCTGTGCTCAACGACATCTTTTTTTCGAAGAGCGAGTCCGTCAAGCCCGAGAGCAAGGAACAGACGCCAAGCGGCTCCGGAATACCGCTTTCGGCCAGACCAGGATCCTCCTCGTCAGCCACACCAACACCGCTTGCAGCGCCTACTACTACCGCCGCCACCACCGCTACAACCGCTACAACCGCCGCCACTACCAACGCTTCAACCACCACCTCTACGATAAGCAATAATATACCTTTTGAAAGCTGTGGGTTCTGCTCGGAAGACACGCCTTGTGTCTGCCGTGAAATTGAGACGGAGCAGCAGCAGCAGATGCAGCGCGAGATCAGAAACATCAAGGAATCGAAGCTCAAGATCGAGATCGAAAAGAAGGAGAGAGAGCTCATCATGGAGCTCACCAGGTCTGCCAAGAAGGACGACATGGCCCAGATTGCAAAATGCACAGGCAACCCTGGAACGTGTCTGCAGTGTCGAAACGACCCACTCTCCAACCTGTTCTGCAAGACGATTGCAGAGAAATCGAGCGAAGAAGAGATTGTTCTTCCAAGTATATCCAGAAACGGGTCCATCAGCTCGATGAACGATGCTGCCGTCAGCATCAGCAACAGCACCAGCAGCAGTATCTCTAACCCCGGCAGCACCTCAAGCAGCAAGTACAGACTGCCATCTCTAGAAAGTCTAAAACTGAATGAGGCCGGTAAGCAGTTTGTTCCCTGTGCGGACGCTTACAAAACAATATCCCACCATCTTGATATCCGCAATGTTGGCGTGAACAACATTGCAAACAACCTCCAGACCAAGGGGATGTTTGTTGAGGTCGGAAGTGTGGTGTCCTGCTTGCGAGAACTGGACAGGAAATTTTCCAGTAGCTAGTGGGTCCGGTGGAACGCAATGCAACGCAACGCAACGACGATCGCCTGCCGCCGGTCGCCTACCGACGACAAAGTCACGCATTCATTTTACTGTTACAACTACTTCCTTATTTGTTTTTTATTTGCTCACTTCCTTATTCACTTCACCCTCGACCGACCTCCATACCTTCCTTTTTTTTACTACAAACCCTGCTCTGGACCGCTGCGAAACCGTCCAGCCAATTAGAACACGCGCAGTGGTAATACGGATAGACTTTTATATACAACTATTTTCTAAACTACTATTTTCATAACTCGCCCGCCTACTTTTCTACTTTTCCCCGACCCGGAACTGCCACACTGTACTACGCAACTCGGCACGACGCAACTCGGCACGACGCAACTCGGTACGACGTAACGCATGCAAAGAGCTCAACATCTCCGAAGTGCATGTGTCTGGCAGCAGCTTGATGTACTCATCTGGCCTAGGAACTAAAGTACACCAAAATTAGGTAATTTCCGACCGTCTCCCCTCCACTCGACAACCCGTCACATTTACCGGCTCTAACCGTGTCCTCCCGCAGACACTTTGTTGCTAAGGTGTGGAATCATCAGTGGAATAAGCAAACAATGTCCCTCAGGACGAGAACCACGCGAGAGGCATTTCTAGAAAGGTGGAAACTTTCAGCCCCACGTATCAAGCAATAAGGTTTGGGTAGATGAATATGGACGGGGGTGTTCTCCGCCGAAAGATGCCGTGATATGTGCAGATTACGCTAATTAGTTGAAACATTTATGCAGTCTTTGTTGGGGTCGTTGAGGCTTTGAAATTTGCTCCTGCGTGGTGCTGAAAATTCCATCGGATTCCTGAATCAACGACGTACACATCTGTGTTCTGTGCATGACTCCGTCCCCCCTGCTGTGTCCACTTCAGTATTAGCCCTACCTTCAACCGCAGAAGTCAGGACTCTAATATAGGTTTCTTTGACATTCAAGAATGTCACATTTTTTCTTTCATGCTTAACATTAACTGGCCCCTTACTCGGAGGATATTAGCACACCCCACACATTTACTTTTCTGAAACGAGATGGCATTAGAAGCGTTGTCTAACTAGGGGGTGTCTCCGTATTAGTTGGCTGGTATACAGCCGGTTGGGATCGGCAGTCTCACCCTTTTTGCCCCATCGTGATCCTCTGTTCCCTCTCCCCCATTCATGTTTGAACAGAACGATTTCTCAGGAGGTTTCGAGCTGTACCTAGAAACGCAGTCACGAGCTTAATATTTAGCGCCCCTTTTGACACACTAGTTGGCCGGGGTCGCAGCAGGAAAAGGGCGTAGATTTCCCAAAAGCGGAAAAGTCTAAATGCATCCCGCAGAACTCGGACCAACCCCACAGCCGTGCGGCAACGGCACTTCGTGCCGTCGCAGACCGTCGGTGTTTTGCTCTGATTTGGTGGCTGGGCATACAATGAGCACAGGAAAAAGCTGCCTTCTCGGAGCTAGGGCGCACTTCGAAACAACCACTTTTGCAAGAGAAGGGAATTTCGTGCGACGTGATTGTTCCCCAGGTGAGTGCTAACGCAGTATCTTTAACACTACAAGGTTTTTAGCTCCGGGCTCAACCTCCCCTGCTGCTCTTACGCTGTCTGTGTATGCGTGTGTCTCTGCCTGCCTGAAACAAGCCTGTTGCTACGTCTCGCAAAGATGCCTTGACTGACTGTTGACGTGCTCTAACTGTCACTTCATACTCCTGAATCGATAATCCCGGCAGAACTCTCTGATACACACTGCTTGTTGCTGTAGCGCTAAGGATTAATAACGCATTACTCCCTAAATTGATCAGATTCAGATTTAATACTGCATGCAGTGTCCGCAGCGCATTGTGTTATCCAGTGCTTCTTTCAACGCAGCAAGGAAGCGAAAAAAAAACATTTACGTCACGCAACCTAATCCCCCCGTTGCGATCGAACACAGTACCCTGATAAAATTAATGTTTGCTGCCTTTTCGCATTTTTGTCCTTTTTTTAGCTTTTTTTTTGAAGCCATGTGGAGGACATCCGATTCGAGGATGGCATTGCGCTAACGCACAGCGATTAAGAGGTGGGATAAAAATTCCAAGAGGGCTTTCCTGCCCTTCTGACCTTTTTCCCATGCCCTTCCTTTGCCCCTCTACAGATCGCTACAAATAAACATAGAGATTTGCACACACGGCCTAGAGTGGGCCAGATGTATGTACTGTGGCGGGAGTGGCTGGCGTCAACACGTGTGCCCATGTAACGAATCTGTCCAGCAGTTTTAGCCCCCTAGGGTCACTATTCGCTACTAAAGAAGCGGGGGAGGCCAAGGAGGGGACGAGATGAAAAGAGGAAATAGAGAAGTGCCCGATGTTCAACGGTCGTGTCCCCCACTCCCCCCAGAGGCCAGCTGGCTGGCATTGTACCGGCGCTATTCATGCGTATTCTACGCCCCCCTTGTCAGGCCTCGCAATATTATGAGGCGCTTGTACTGTAAAACCTTTTCTCAATAGACATTTTGCCTCACACCTTCTTCTCTCTTTCCGCGATACGCTGGCCCTCCCCTAGCCCTTCCACACAATTTTCATGCACTCCTTTCGTGTTCTGCAAACTCCGTCAGACGTTATGTGCACGCCTGCGCCGAAAAGTTGCCCCATTGGGCCCGCGGCCCGCTTGAAGGTGGGTAGATTGGCGCCGTCTGCGCAGAGCGGACCGAACGCAGAAAATAATATCTTGATGTAGACGAAAAACAATGCGCACACCGCACAACAAGAGCTTCCCGTAGCTTGAGTGGTCCGGTGGAGGCACAACAGCCCCATAAGGCGACGACGTCTGGATGCGGGACCGACTCCCTCCGGTGCGCTGCACTCTGCACTATGCATTCTGCATCCTGCATAATGCATCCTGCGTGTGACATATCAGCCTTGCGGCTAGGAGAGCGCTTAGTCAGAAAGAGTCGGGTTACTACATCAGCCATTGCAAAGGGCTTCGATCCAGACAATAATAACTGCGTCGTGTTTTCCTATTTCCCATCTGGCTTCGCCGAATTTTACGACGCACAGTTGTGTATCAAACAACCTATAGATCTACGTAACTTTAATGCAGACCATACTAACAGAGTGCCCGCACGTACTCCACTATCCACCTACCCGCAAACTCTTGGCTCGTACATAATTGTTGGACAATCAGGTCTAATCTCGTTTCCTCTCCAGTTGTTTCGAATCGGGACAGAAAAACAGCTATATACACATCTTCCCGGTCCCCTTCTGCTTCGTTCTAGGTGAACAGCTGATCCACACTTTTCCACGTTTTCTCTTGTTCGGCTTAGTTTCTCCTTGTTGTCCCTCTAATCTGTTCATTTTGTTCCTGTCCTTGTTCTTGTCCCTGCTCTTGTCCCTGTTCCTTGTTCCTGCTCGTTCCTTGATCCCAATCTTGATCTTGGACCTGACTCTGTTTCCGCCCTCTCTTATCATCTCCATCTGGCTTGAACTGCTTCCGAGTGTTGAGTGAATTTCTCTTTCCACTTCATTCTCTCGGTCGCCATTTCCCTAGCATCACCCTCTTTTCTCTTCCTCTCTTTTTTGCATGTCCCCCATCGTCAAGTCTCATTAAAGACAAAATTTCTCAACCTACAATAACCCGCTTATTTTTATTTTCCCTGATTTAGTCATACTATTATTATGACTAAAGCAAAAACGCCAAAGGTTAAACCAACATACACTGGTTACATTGCAACATCAAAGGATGCCCTTTTAATATTTCAAGCAGTCTTATCCGGTGTCTTGACCCCCGTGCATAGAAGACCATCGGAGAATGAGAGAAGCGAGCTGGTGAAGTCTGGAAATGTCTTCGTCTTCATTGAAGAGACCTCAAGAATCAAACGCTGGACCGATGGAATCAGTTGGTCACCATCCAGAATTCTAGGAAGATTTTTGATATACAGAGAGCTGTCGAAGACAGCAAACTCAAAGAGCGATGACCAACATCATTCAAAGAATCGCCAATCTAGTTTCATTTCAGAGAAGTTGTTAAATCCTGAAACAAAAAGTCCAAAGGGCAGATCTGAATTAGAATCCTCAAACTTAAAGACAACAAATTTTCCAATCACCGCATATGCGATGGCCGGAGGCCGGGAAATTATATCGGGTATTAATAACAAAAAAAGACCAAGGACAGACATGGTTTACAGACATGATGACAATAGTAGTGCCAATGGCAATAACAGTGATTCCCATGTCAGCGATAATACCGATAACAATGTCAGCAATAGTAGTTCGAACGTCACAAATAACAGTGGTAGTATTTACTCCAACCTAAGATTACAGGCAAGTAACGACATACAATCCGAAACTTTAGATGATGCGATTTACAAAACAGATGGTCTGATCAAGAAATCTAATTCACTAACTTTGTACACCAGCACATCCTACAAAAAAACCATGCATATTATTTCATACTACAGATCAGAGGATGTGCTTGAACATCTCTTGGAGAAACCCTCCGAGGATGAGAGTTTGAAAGACGTCGAGATTTCATTCGACCTGCTAGAAGCCCTAAGAAATACCTCCTTAGGACATGCAACTCCAAACAAAAAGAGCGGTGAATTTTCAATAGAATCTCATGGGTTCATGGATACCGACGGATTTGATGAACAGTCGATTCTCAAGTTTGCCAAAGAGTATTACAATAAGTACAACGCTCCCAACAAAAGAAGACAGGTGAATCCTGTAGTCCCAAGCCCCGAAGTATACAGAATAAACACTCCAGCCAACTATTACACAGGTCAGAACGTACACAGTCAATTCCCAAACCCGCAATTATTAGAATATCCCCAATCACAGTCCTTGAACCAGTACCACTATGTGTCCTATTTGGCACCTCAAACACAGCAACAACAGCAGCAGCAACAGCAACAGCAACAACAACAGCAACAGCAACAGCAACAACAACAGCAACAACAGCAACAACAGCAACAACAGCAACAACAGCAACAACAGCAACAACAGCAACAACAGCAACAACAGCAACAACAGCAACAACAGCAACAACAGCAACAACAGCAACAACAGCAGATACTACCACCAAACAACTACAGTTACAAATATGACTACACCTACCAGCCTGTGCACGACCAACAACAAGTCGTTCCGATGTCCACGCCACTCACCGCTAGGTCGTCTGCGTATATGTCAAATCCCCCAAGAGCGATCAGCGAGACGCTGGTCGCCTCTCACTCCTCCCGGATAGACTCTCCTCCGTCCAATGGTTATGGATACAGTTGTGCTAACCCGCTAATGACTGCTCACCCGGTCAAGACCCAGAGGTCGGCATCGGATGAGCAGTTCATTCCGAACAAGTTGCCGCAGCTCCACCAGCCACTGAACGCACGCCCTAATTACGATATATACCCATACGGCGCCAGTGGCACACATGTCATGGACCCGCAGCAACAGCAGATCCATCATCAACAGCATATGATGCATGCACAGGGTGCCCCGCCTGCCCCTCCTATTTTGCAAACGCCCACCCAGGATCCGCAACAGACACACACACAAACCCGTTCGCCGAACCAGGGCCCGGGCCAAGCCCAAGAGTCCATTCGGCCGCACTCGCCGTACTCCTACAAGGCCTCACCGCTGCCCTACCACCACATTACGTCGGCAACAGCTACCGCTACAGCGGCAGCACCGGGACCCCTTGCCTACCCACCCTCACTACCTGTGGTCATTCCATCGTCCCGCTCCAACCAGTACATATATCCTTCGGCGCCCCACCACATCGTCGACTCCCAGCAAGGCAGCACCAAGTCCAGTCTCAGCACCAACGCCAGCATCGGCAGCGTTCCCGGCAACAGCATCGGCAACAGTATCACACAGTCCTCAAATACCCCCGCCAGCAGCCGCATCGGCTCGGTCCGTCTGAACGGTCCCGCCGGTTCCCTCGGTCCGTACAATAGCCCGGCGATAGTATCGAGAGCGGACACTCCGAACGCCGTGGTGACTCACTATTATGCCACCAATCCGGCCGATTTCACTCTATCGTGAACCTCCAGAGCCACTGGCGCCTACTTCGGGAGTGGCAGCAACATCTTTGTTCTTGGTACCACTTCTCCATGCCAAAACCCCAACCACTGTGTCTTCTCGGCCGCGACCAGTTGCTTCTTCTCGACCCTCAACTCCTTTTTCTCCCCCTTTGGCCCTCTTTACCTAGTTTTTATACAATAATAGGGCTAATCTTTTGTACTTGTTAACTTCCCGGCCGGTCCACGACCATGCTATGCTATGCCATGCCACCCTATGCCGCCTGCATCCACCCCTCGGCCCTCCCCAAGACGTCAAAAATACGCGGCCCTGCCGTCGCCGGACACTGAAAACCGAATTGCTAGAAACGAGCAACGCCGGACCGGCGCGCCGCCCCCGGAGGCCGGAAGCGGCGATCTTGCATAAGCTTTGGTGCACAGCTGGCGGGGGGCAAATCCGGGGGACCTTCCTAGATCTGCAAGATTGTTCCGCGCCATAGCAGCGAGGTGCAGCGTGCAGCGTGCAGCATGCTGCACGCAGCACGCTGCGGCGCGGGACTGTCCGTCGGCGAAGCTTGCTGGCTTGCTCTGCGTCGGCCAGGCACGCGGGGCTGCGTGTGCCCAACAGTCAACGTGACGCCGGTGCGGGATTCCAGCGTCTGCTGCATTAGATAGAAACAAAGACATCGCACGCTTGCCCCGCTAAGGATCAGACACGGGAAGCGGAGTAGCTTTGACAACCGGGTCCGGGTCCGGGTCGGCATCCGACACAAGCATTGGTACCGGCACTGGCCAGTAACAAGAGCCTAGGATGCGGTGCGGCGGAGGTAAAGGCGGCGGGAGCACAAATAGCCAGGTCATGATCCTATCCTTGCCGGTCTAGTTGCCCCGTGCGCGCTCCGGGGCTCTGACGTCGCCAGGTGTAGTAGGGCCGAGCTGCTGGGTGGCTGCGTGCCCCAAATACGCCGCGTCGGGCTATGGGGTGCGCCAGTGGGTATGTGCGTGCAGCGATTACTGCATGGGGGAGCTTGCTATGTGGACGTTGCTAGCTACAATCAGTCTAGCAGCATTTGTTGGCCTCTGATTTGTGTCTCCTGTGACTTTAGCGGCAAAACTGTGTTGTGCTCTCGCAATGGTGTAGGAACGTGTGGTGCTCGAAGGAGGCGAGAAGCACGGGTGGTGATGAGACAACCCCTAAAAATAGCTATGCGGTCGTATCACACTCCCCAACGGCATTTGCGGCGGTTAGATCTTCATTCGAGCTGCTGGCTTTGGATCTGAAGGCCAGCAGCCTACATCGGAGCAGTAGCATGCTGTGTAAGTGATATGTGTGCCAACAGCATATGCTCACCATGTTTCCCGCTCATCATACTCCTGATATCAGACAGCAACAGGAAAAGCACCTGCCCTGTGACGCTACATTACAAACGATCGGAACGCTAAGCTAATAGAGACATATGCGTAGCGGGGCTTTGTGATGCTATGGGCACCGACCAGTGAATGTGTGTTGAACGTTGAAAGAGCCAGATTTAGTTCTGGTGCCGACCAGATGATATGAAAAGGAAGCCTCCAGGTGTGTGAAGATTTCACAATCTACACTGCATCTATTGTTGAAGATTCGCAACACCAGTGCATGCGGTAAAGCAAAGTGGGAAAACTGCAGTTTTAGTCTCTGCACTGGAGCAAAAAAGCTCACAAGTTGTGTTTAAACTTGTACAGTCCCTTGCCACTATACGCTTCACCAGACAGGCATACTCTCAATTCCCGGCCTACATAGAGTGGCGGTTTGTTTTGTGTGGTGTCTCACAGTACAGATACAACGGTTGGTGCACAACTATACAGCTAGATCTGAGCATAAGATCCCTTGGTGCATTTTAATATTGTGGACCTTTCGGTGGCCGCGTAAAGGCGATGCATCGCTCAGAAGGCCCTTTGAGATACATGGCAGTCGATGACAATTATCTTGCCTCTTTACTGGTTTCGGCCATTGCAGCATTACAGACCAAGCAAACCAACGGCGGAAAAGCAATGGGGGATCCTCTCTGTGAAAATCGTGGCTTTTCTCTTGCGCCGGTGTTTCTCGTGGCAAAGAATTTCGGTACTATAAACACTTCTGATTCACTGGCAACAAGGCATAAAAAAAGAGCGTTTCCTGTATAATTTCGGCTCTTTATCATTTGGCCCATTACACACACCAAAGCTCGGCAAAAACGGCCCCCCTATCCCTTGCGGCGGTTGTTTTTTTTTGCAGATTAGATGCGGTGCTACAACATCCACGCGAAGCGCCGACGTGGCTAAACAAGTTGTCTGTATCTTACCGGCCCACTCGAGAAAGTGCAGCTCTGGCGGCCGATGCTGCGGACCAATTCGGCAATTTAACGGTGAACTTCTTCAAAACAAAGCTTGATTTGCAAAGCGAACGTCATATCGGATGCATATTATTTTTAGTGCGCTCTTTTCTGCGGCTTTTACCTCCGGACTGCTTAAGGTTTCAAGTCTACTGTAGGATCTCGACATTGTTTCTGAATAGGAGAACAAACAGTTGAGGCGGAGAAATTAGAGGGACCGGCGTAAGCATTTGAAAGTGAAACAGGAGCTCATGCACGGATAACAGCGGAATAAATGGCCGCCTGGGATACATATCTCTCTTGATTTCGAATGGGATAACTGCTGTAGTATAATGTTGGCGTCGAGGCGGATAAACCGCAAATCTGTGTCGAGTTGAATAGGGACTAATCACAGCTCATTAAAATGACCCAGCCTTTATGAAACCCACTATTTACCACCAGCAACCAAAGACGGAATGATTGCCAAGGATTTGGCAATTTTGAAGTAGCGGACCCAAAAACGTTTTGTCACGTTGATGTATCTCTTGCAGCTAATAATTTGCGTTGCATGATTAACCCGTTGACCCTCTGGAATAGTGACTATTCTGGTCATGTGGTACAAAGTGTATACGATTGAGGGTTTAGGATACACGAGCCTAGTTGGAAGTACAGCTTGTTAAAAAAAAGTGAGCTTTTGATGGCGAGCCATCATCTTGATCTTTCTCAGTATTAAAAGGATGTTTTCAATCTTTAGCAAAGTAAGGATGCTTTTGTCTTTTGGGGGCGTTAAAGCCACAGAAAACCCAGAGCATAATGATCTACTCTTGTGGAGATTATGTTGTCAGCACTGTCCTGAGAACCATACATCTTAAAGCTGCTCCCATTCTCTATTCTAGTGAAAGGCTTCTGATAAGTGCCGTCTATATCAAAATTCCTAAACGTATGTCCAAAACTGTCACTTGTGGATGGTGTCGGCGAAAAAAAGAGTATAATGTCATTCTTAAATACACGACCACGATTTAGATCATCAATCAAAGACCAAAAAAGTGCTGCTGCATTGCTAAGACCAAGTCATTGTTTTTTTTCAGTAATGTTTTCCTTAACTTTGATCAATTGCAGTATGTAAGCCATAACTGCATTCAATACTGTTTCAACAAGGTAAGACATGAAGTTCTGTCCTTTCTGAGAGTTTATGCAACGTAAATCCCGTTCATGCGTGTCAACGTAATATACTCAGATCTGTCAAAAAAGTATACACCGATTAAGGTGGAGTGGGCATTGTAATGCTGTTGGCTTAAAAAGAAAACTAGATTTACCTATAGTAAACCGAGGATAGCAGAAATTTAGCGGAGCAAAATCTTTGTGACCTCTTTTTTTGTCAGTATCCTCACCGGGTCAGTATCAGTCATGCTAAGTCTTAAGCTAGCAACGGTTGTATAGCAAGTTTAATACCATTTTTCGAGAAAAACATTGTATATGTCAACTGAACAGCCAGCTTTTAATGTGGTTTCAAGTTTCAGATATGCCAAGATCTTTTTATCAATTGTGATAATGCTCAGTTGCTTGAGCTAAGCAAAAACGTAGTCGCTTCTTCTGGTATCTCTCCTCCTGATGTCTATGTGAACAGCTTATCCGCCGCATAACCGCAGGTTTGACTATTCAAGTATGTGAAGCCTCTCGAGCCCCCTGCCTTTGCGTCAACATGATTTTTTTAAACTCAGGGTTCAACCTCTTATATTTGTTATAAGCTGGCAACTAGAGCTGAATCCATGTCTTAGGTGCTTGTGTCCACAGCTTAATGACATTGTAAGAAAAATCAGTTGCAAACTTTTTGCTCACGATGACGTTGTTCACCTTAAAGACGGCTTCAACTTTTTCAGAAAGTTGCGCAAAGAGATGACAATTGGTCTTTCAACAAACAACTGAATTACAACCTTTATCTGCTGAACAATAAATAAGCTTGTTTATGACTAACTTTCAGCATAAGATGAAAAAGGTTTTGGCGGCAGAGCGCCTCTTATTTACATACAACACAAATTTTAGTTGTTGCTAAAGTATACTTTTTCTGAACAACTTTTAACAATAGAGGTCAGAAGTTCAAGGGGCAAACTTAACGAAACGCTACAGTAACCACTAGTGCCTCTTTTAGTGGCCATATTGTTGAGATAAGATGCCGAAGCCAATCATGATCGAGGGATAAGAGATAAGAATCTTATCATGATAAGGTATCTTAGGGTTGAGATAAGATGCCGAGGCCAATAAGGATTGAGTGATAAGAGATAAGAGTCTTATCATGATAAGGCATCTTAAGTAATCTAAAACTGGAAAGTTAGCCGCCATGATAAATGAATAATGGCAAGTTTAACCGAAGGTGTAAGTGTATAAATACAAGAGGTTTGTCCCTTGTATTTATGTTTGAGAA